TTGCCGACAAACTTTGGAAGAAGCAAACATTTCTCAACTCCACAGCCATTTCTCCAACACTCCTTGATCACTGCCAATCGCATCGCGGGGAAGCTCGCCGATCAACCTGCTCGTTCATCTTCTCGACCGAACCTGCTTGTACGAGTTGTTTCATTCCAGCTCAACTGATTGATAATCACATCTTATGACGCAGAAAAGAAAGAAGGAGTTTGTTTGAATGCATGGTAGATTTGAACGTGCTTTCAGATGTCGTTGTCCCTCGCTTGTTTCCGTTGCGCGAACTCGGAACCCCTGGCCTTTTTTCCTACACAGTACCGTACCTGGGGACCTGTTACTGTGTTCCCTGGGTGTACACTACATAAAAAGTTACCGGAACCCTTGCCCTCGTTTGAATTCACGGTTCTCATTTATACTATGTACATCGAAACCCTGCAATATGCTTTCGCACACCGGAAAAGGATATGACGAATATTCTTCGCTGAAGGGACTTCCTGTCGCCGTCTTCCTCCGTAGAGCTCTTCGTACCCTGAAAACTGTGCTCTCTCAACCTGAGACCTTCCATGTGCTGATTTTCGGCTGCCGTGTAACTTTCATTGTGGTCTTCCCCGGCAGACCCTGGTCACCACCCCTGCTTGGGTTACCGCCGGCTCCCCAGCCCGCCCCATCCATCCGAACCGGTCAACGATGATGTGGGCTTGTTGAGAACCAGCAAAACTCATAGGCTCATCGATCATTCTTCAACACGCGGCAAGCGGAAGACTGAACCAAACGTGGATGTGTTCTGGCAGAAGGCGTGTTTTAATCACAAAAAACTATCAACTTAAAAACTACACTCGGTGTTCATGCTGGGTCGCGTGAGTTCTTGATGGCCTCGGATTCATGAAGGTTTAAGCTCGAGACCCCTGGACCAGTTGTCGAAGTCGACATACCTAGGTAGGGAGGTACCTGCGAGCGCAGAACCCGAATTCAGAGGCAAGTTCCATGCACTTGTTGATTTCCCTGGACATCGCGTCGTTGGTCATCCGGTGAGGTCGAGTGCGAATCAACAATCAACTGCCCGGGCGCATTGACAACAACGCGTTCCTGCAACATGTTTGTGTTCCTGCCTGCACCGACCGCCCGTTTGGCATGGAACTCTCCCACCGCTTTTTCCCGCACCGGACCCGAACCGCATATACGTGCATACTGCATGTATTTCCTCGACCACAAGACCAAGACTGCGCTTCTTCTCCCTACATACGTCCTGCATGAACAAACGGCTGATTGTGGAGGATAGGTAGCGAGGCTCGAGGATTGCTGTTGAAGTACCGAGCACTTCCGAGTGGTCCATGCTCGAAGGAAAACACTGGTATTGGAAGGTACGAACGCCCGTTTCTTCGACGTTGTCTCCGTCTCGGAGCGCCCGCGCGTCCATTTTTATGTACAGACAACGTGGCCCTGGCCCAGAGCTGCGTTTCCATCCCCTGCCTCCTGGCCTCCCCATCCGATGAATTCGCCATCTTCATCTGTCCGCACCCCCCAATTCCGTCCTCCAAAGACTCTGTCTAACTCTGCGCCACGCGACATTAGGCGGGTTTTTAAAGCGCATCTATTTTCGGACTGCAAGAAGTAAGTGCGTTCGCCTTCCACGCTCCCATCAGTCCTCTCCCCTATCACAGCGCATCGCGCCGAGCAAATCAGCAACGCTTTTGCGAAGCACGCCTCGGAAGTCAGACCAGGGTTTAGTGTCACACCCAGCACGAGCCCGTTTCAATCTCGGCAGTGTTCCACCCTAGTCCCCGTTTTGGTATCGCATGGGATGGCTGCAAATTTCGACACGACCTTGCTGATGCGGTACCTTGCCGACCGATTCTTCCTTTCGTCAGAAGTTTATTACTGCGAATCGGCGACAGTTTTTTTTTTCTTCTCCCCTTCCAAGCAAGCAAGCCTGACGATTTTCCCGTGTCTTCCCCAGACCAACCCTTGCGCACGCGTCGACCTTGTCCGGCAAACAACCCAGCACCGCGTTCGTCCGACCCAGCGGAATCGATTTGGAAAGAGCACCACATCACCGTCCAAAACAACCACCAACCAGCTCGACTCGTCGACCGAACAAAGAACACCAGTTCGCCTCCCTCCCGAGTCTCAAGACACTACATCATTTGTAAGTTGTTCCGATTGAGTGCGGCCTCTTCCCGATACCTGCGCGGGCGCGCGTCGCATGGCATCGGCCGACCTTGTCGCGTCCTGCGCTCCAGTCGCCTGTCGTGGCGGGACGCACGGGGATCCCGGTGGGAAAAGAAACCTGGTTTGCTGGCCACCTCTCGACTTGTGTCCATGAGGGCGATCCACGAAGCGCAGCTCCCGAGTTCCACGAGTCCGTCCCTTTGCACACAACAAACCCCAAGCAATCCAGCATCGTCCCTTGTCTTTGTTACTCGACATCGCCTATTCGTATCTTCTCGGGACTGACTTGGGCCAACGGATATAGATATCGGCAGCACCAGCGCATTCGCGGCCGTTATTCTGAAATATTATGGGATTGATGACAATGGCCCAACACCGGCAGGCGCCTCGCCAGTTTAAGGAAGAGCCCGGTCATGACTCGGTGAGTGACGCTCCTTTTTCCAATTCCTTGCGACACTCCACCCATCGCCGACAATACCGTCTTCACTTCTCGTCATCCGTCAATGCGGCAGTCCCGCCTGGTTTTGTCAATTCTACCTTCGTACATCCGCGTTCTGGCTTTGCTTGAGATAAGTCTATCTCACAAGCAATGTCGCCGTTGCGACGCGAGGTTGACCCAAGAACCCCCCCCCCCCCCCCCCCCCCATGCTCCCGCGTTCGCGATTTCCCTTGCTCGAGAACCCTGCCAGGGCTTCGCAATTGTTCCAGAAAACTGCATGCCCGCTGCCGCATCCTTGGCCGGCCGGGGAGGGATGCTTCTGGGATTACAGGGGGGCGAGCTGTTTCACCAGCAGCCAGGGCTCCGGGAACATGCGGCAGGGGGCGGTGCCAGGGTGCGCAGCACGCTCCCGCCCTGTCAGTTCAGCGCGCGGTGGGCGACCCCATGCTCGTGCTGCTTCTGCGTCGCATCCATCCCACATATCGACAAGTGTTGAAGGGACAACTGGCCAGCCAAAGTTGGCTGCAGACAGCTGCAGAACACATCACCATCCGCAGTGCGAGGCTCGGGGTTTACTTCCTCGGGCCGTCCGATTGCGCCATCACAGCGCAAGGGCCCCTCGCTGCGGACCTTGGACAGGCATGGCCGCTCAAACGGCGGACGAGCCAGCAGGTCTCGTTCTCGTAACGGCGAAGCAGTTGGGGAAACCTGGTTGGCTGTCTCCACCCCACGCGCTCCCCGCCTCATCCCCCCAATTGCACACAAATCAAATCCTTGAAGCCGATAGGAGAATCGGGAAGCAACGATTTATCAACGATCGGCTGGCTCTACCATCCTTCTGCCCATTCAATTGTCTCTGCAGCGAGTCAGTTGTCGACGCGCTGACGACACTGGTGCGACATTCTTGCGCATCCAGCGAATGTCAAGCGGACAATGGTTGACATACGGAGAGTTTTGGTGCAAGAGAGAGTCAGTTACGTGGGCCGGGGGGCGATTTCAGTGGGGTATCTTCGCGCCAAGTTGGCCAACCATCATCAATCCGTTCTCGGCAGCTCTCCCGGACGTGTCAGAGGGGAAGTTCTGCTCAAAGCATGACCGCCGTCTCATCTTCCCGCAGCAAAGTCACTGCAAATGCCGTCCCAAGTGGGTCTGGCCCGAGGCGAGCAGAGAAGCATGTTCATGAAGAAGACCCTGGGATACAAGACAAACAGCCCCCAACGCCGCCCGTTTGACCAGCATCTTCCAGTGGTCCAGCCTCTGGCCAGGAAGATGGGGGAAAATTGGGAACCAGCCGTCGGGATGGGCAGCCAAAGTGCAAGGATGGGGGGCAAGGGCAAGGATGGCTGCGTGGGACCCGCTCCCTCACCGCTCCCTTGTCCATGCGAGAGAAAACGGGAAAGGACAGGAGATGAGTGGCAGATGACAGACCACACCTCCTCGAGACGCTTGCCTCTCAATGGCTAGCCTCGGACCGCCATTCCCTGTTGGGCAAAAGTCGTGCTACCTGGCTTGCAGCCAGCTGCCATTGGCCACTTCATTAAAATGCAGTCGCCCCCCCTTGCTTATCCCCCCATGGCGGCTGTCCAACCCCGGTCCCGGCTTTCCTTGCCCATCTCTCCACACCTGGGCAATTTTCTTCATCTCGCTGCTCGGTGTTCACACCTGGCCATCCTGGGCAACACGAGAGGCGGTTTGTTGAACCCACCACAGAGGCGCCTCCCATTACCCCCTGGTTGGGTATATCAGACTCGACCAGCCAGGCATTATCGCTTCGCTCTCCCCCTGCCCGGCTCTGCAAGCATTCGTCAGTCCCGCACGTTTATCTCCTTTTTTTTTTTCCCTTTCTCCTGCGAACCCCCCAGCCGCGCCCCCCATATCTCCGCGCTCCCCACAGCCGCCTTTCCTTGCCCTTCAACCACACTCGGTCAGGATTGATCCTGTCACTCCCGCTTCCTCCGCCGCGGGACTGCATACTCGGTTAGTGGCCCTGCTTTCAACACTCCTTGCGCCGTCCGGGGGTAGAGTTGCTGCCGGCAGCGGACGCGATTTCCCACCAGGACAAGCGCCCAAGTGGGAATCTCGAAACCTCGGGACAGAATTCCGAGCTCTTCCTTGCTCCACCGGGGAGGGTAGCATTGGCCTTCCCTGCCCTCGCCCTCGGCTTGGATACCGCGTGGAAACGAGCCTTGTCATACAAAATCACACCCCGAGGCGAGCCCGCCTCACCCGTGGATCCCCGTCATTTTTCAGGGGACCGACATTCGCTCCCGGCCCCCCAGTCCTTGCACGCGTTCCGGAGCGAAGAAAAAAACCACAACATTCCCAGACGCGTCCCCGGTGCTCCAGAACACACATGGTTTTTGTTTCGAAAAGAACCCTGTAATCGTGAGAACTAATGGTTGTCTCCTCTATGCAGCATCACACCCACCACCAACAGCAGGGTCCTGTCCCCCCTCATCTGCAACACTCGCGACCCTCGAGCGTGGTTCACCAGCAGCATCACAGCCAGACCTCGGCGCAGCAGCAGCAGCAACAACAACAGCCGCCTCAGCATTCGGGCGCGTACACATACCCGCAACAACCCCAGGGGAGCAATTCACAAGACCACGGTCTTTCAAACTACTACGCGCACCCGAGCCCTTACAGCACGCCGGGTGCAACGAGCGGATACACGGCCGCAGGTAAGTCGCGTTACTCCTGTCCGATTCAGATAAAGACCGACCGAGCTAACACGCGTGCCGCAGATACCGGAGACATCATGGCTGCGACCATGCAGAGACCGCCCTATCCGCCAATCTCGTACCACACTCCCCAATCAAACTCGCCGGCTTCCGTAGCGTCGCCCTCGGGCCACGACCAGCAGAGGAGCATGTACGCGCAGCCTCCCTCGCAATTACACCAGCAGTCGATGTACTATGGCGCTCCCCAGCAGCAGTACTCGTCCATGCCGGCCCAGGCTGCGCAATCGCCGTACGCGCAACATGCCCAACAGCCACATCAGCCGATGGGGTCGCAGCCGGGGATGATGATGTCGCACACACCCCCTCAGCACCCCATCGCCCAGCACCCGGCACAGCACGCGCAACCGGGGATGAGCCCGCGTCCCGACAAGATTGACACCCATGGCCTCAACCACCGGATATCAGCAACTTCTGCCCCCGTCGCGATGAGCAGCGCGTCATCAACAAGCCCCCAAAACGGTGCGCCGCTCACCACCCCAACGACCGCCGCTGGTGTAAACCCGAATGCTGCCCCGGGGCCGATCCCGGCGACCACGCCGCTGGTAGTAAGGCAGGACACGAACGGGGTCCAATGGATTGCCTTCGAGTACTCGCGCGACAGAGTCAAGATGGAGTACACCATCCGCTGCGATGTCGAGTCGGTGAACCAAGACGAGCTGTCGGCCGAGTTCAAGACGGAGAACTGCGTCTACCCGCGCGCGTGCTGCCCTAAGGACCAGTACCGTGGAAACCGGCTGCAATACGAGACCGAGTGCAACTCGGTGGGCTGGGCCCTGGCTCAGCTGAACCCGCCGCTTCGGGGCAAGCGCGGTCTGATCCAGCGCGCCGTGGACAGCTGGCGGAACAGCAACCAGGACCCGCGCCTGAGGAGTCGTCGCGTCCGCCGCATGGCCAAGATGAACTACCGCAACAACAAGACGGGGTCGACCACCCCTCACGCTACCCACATGCCCGCTGGCCCCGGCGGCCCTGGCTCGTCAGGCATGACCACGCCAACGGCCATGGGTCCGGGGAGCAACCCGGCGATGGGCAAGCCGGTACTCAACAACATGGCGTCGCAGATGCACCACCATCACAGCGGCCAACAGGACGGAAGCGCTCAGGGAGGAGACGAAGTCGGTATGTTTCACCAGATGGCCTAAAGCGCGCGCGCGTTGTTGTGATTAAGTGTGATACCTCTTCGAGCCAAAGCTGTTTTACATGCGCCTGCGTTTTCATTTTGTTTTGGTTGTGTTTGGATTTTTCTGGGATATACTCGCTCGCCGCCGCCCCCTTTACAGCTGTTATATACCGGCTCTCGAACCAGCATTCGATCTTCGAGCACTGTTTACCCGGGGCGTCAACAGGAACCTGGTACAAAAAGAAAGAACTGTACATTACATTTAGTCGCGTTTGCTGTTAGTCTGTTTTGCTGGTTTTCGGTCGTCCTTCAGTCGTCTGGCTGGGTTGGCTGGCAGAACCTGGGTTGCATTGCATTTTCTTGCTTTGCACCGCCGCATTCAACAGCATCATCGCTCATCACATATCATCAACCAGCACCTTCATCCTCAACACCACATTCTGCCAAAGTGTCCTTGACAGGGAGCCTGATAAAAGATAGATGATGGCACCTCGAGATGCTGGCGACTTGCATTCTTTGCCGCGCATCGTCTTGAGATTTGCGAGTTGCTGCTCTTGCTGCGCTGTTTTTGCTCTTGAAGTATCACACTTGACATGACCGACGCGCGCTGTGGACGAGGCCTGACATGGTCATCAACCCTTTTGAGTAAAACGCCGATCGGCTGACACGCTCTCTCTCTTAGGTGAAGGAGATTATGCGGATGACCAGTCGCACCACCACCACCACCATCAGCCCCCGCCCGGCCAGCCCGGCGTGGAGGAGCGCCCTACCCAAGCCTTCACCGGCTACGGTTCCTACGGCGGCGCCCCTCACGGCTCGTCCTCGATGCCTTCCATCCACGACACGCTGAGCGGCTCCCCCGCCCACGGTGGCGGCCCCGGACCGCTGACTGCCGCCCGCCGGTCGAGCTCCGCGCGCGGCCCGGCAGATGGGCCCGATGACCTCTTCCCGGACATCCCCGAGACCAAGAAGCGCAAGTTCATCCTCGTCGAGGACAGCGACCGCCAAAACCGCCTGCGCGTGCGCGTCACGCTGGACAACGTCAACACGCGCGAGATCCCGGACAGCTTCCGCAGGAACAACAGCGTCTACCCGCGCTCCTTCTTCCCGCGCGAGATGCAGAGCCCCCCGCCCAGCGCGACGGGCAGCCGGTTCTTTGCCGACGACGGGAGCGAGGCCGAAGACGACGGCGCCACCGAGACGGAGGGCCGCCGGGCCGGACGTGGCGCGAGCGCGGCGCAGGCGGCCAAGCACCCCAGGACGCTGGTCAAGGTGCCCATGGAGGAGGGCCAGGAGGTCGAGCTGGCCATCCCCCGCATGCGTAGGTCGTTCCGTGGCAAGGAGGTCCGGCTCAACGACCTGGGATATCGCATGGCGTGGCTGCAGAGCCGCGTGTTCTCGGGCCGGACCGTGTTTTTGCAGCGAGCCCGTGAGTTTTTTTTTTTTTATCCCCATACCCGTTCCCTTTGTCGTGACGTAACATGACTGACTGACACGGCCGCAGTGGATTGCTATCGTAACAAAACGCGCAGCGCCATCGAGGGCCAGTTGCAGGACGTTAAGACGGCGGCGCCGCACTACGAGACCCGCGTGGGGAAGCGCAAGTTCAACGAGAGGATCCGCGGAGAGGAGGACTGAATGGGGCTGGAAGGATGATGATGACGAGGATGAGGATGAGGACGAGAACGAAGGCGGGGAACGGTTTCATGGTGACGAGGGCGGCTATCGTCGTGGTGGGCGGTCGTTTTGCTAGGGGCCGGCTTCCCATTTTTGATGGCCGGTCTGGGTGCTACGTCAACGAGGGTTGGGGCTACTTCCATTTGGTATCTGTATAGAAAAGCTTGCTTGCAAGCGAAGGCATCACTGCCGGGGATCATAGGCAACAAATGTGTATATTCTAGTCATCAGGGGGTTTGTCAATATTACTGGGTAACAAAAGGCGGCGTGCGGGCACATCGACACGGCGTCACTTGCCTGTGTACTTCGTGCAGTGTTAGTGTTTTTGTCAATGAGTGAGGGCTAGCAGGTATGGTGTAGAATGTCCACCCTCTTATCATGGCCAAACCCGACTCATCCCAGCCCATGAAGCTAATTCTCCTCGACTCGTCCCAATCTTATAGCGTTGATTCTCAACTCATCCCAATTCACCCATATAGCTGATTCTGACGGACGCACGTTCCGAGAACTTCTGAGTCCTCTGCTACTCATTCGCCAATCTACTCACCCCTCAACCACCGCCCCAGCGCCGCCGGGTCAGCAGCATTCTCCCAGTGCTCGACGGCCTTCCCCGTCTCATCAAACCTCCACAGCCCACAAAACGGCATCTCGATCCCGCCCTTCTGTTTCCCATTTCCATCTTCCTCCCCGCTCCCTTTGCCCTTCTCACCACCCTTCTCCTCCTCCTCCTTGTCAGTCCCCTCTTTCTTCTCTCCCTCCTCCTTATCTCCCTCCTTCTTCCCCTCGTTCCCCTCCTTCTCCCTCCCCCCCTCCTTCTCCCTCCCCCCCTCCTTCTCCCTCTCCCCCTCCTTAGAAGCAGTACCAGCAACAACAGCCTCAACAGCAGCTGCAGTAGCAGCTGCAGCCTTAGCAGAAGTAGCAGCAAGAGCAGCCGCAGAAGCAGCCGTATCAGCAGAAACACTAGTAGAAACAGCCGTGCCAGTAGTAGCCGCAGCAGCCGCCGAACCAGCAGCAGTAGTAGCAAAAGCCGTCGCCGCAGTCGCAGCAGCAGAATCAGCAGCAGCCTTCGCAGCGCCAGAAGCAACCTCGGCAGCCTCGGCGGCAGCCGCAGCAGCCATGCTAGCCATAGTAGCCGTGGCAGCCGCGGCCGCAATAGCAAACGAAGCAGCAACACCACCCCCAGGACCAGAACCCGAACCCGAACCATCACCATACCGACTCATCCCAGCCCCAACCTCACCCGCACCCGCACCCGACCCCGATCCCTCACCCAACCCCGATCCCGAAGGGGAAGACAAAGACACCTCACCCCCCCCTTTCAAAAACCCCATCACGCACCCAAACACACCCCCCGCATCCACCACCACACTCTCCACCTGCATCACCAACCTGCCCCCCGCCGCCGCCACCAGCTCTTCCTCGTGCCGCTGGGCCGCGGTAATCCCGACCAGTGGGGCGCGTAGGGGGTTGGTCAGGTTGCGGTCGGCCGGGTGCAGGACGATGGTGGGCGCGGCGATAGTGTGTAGGAGGGTGAGGTCGCTGTAGAGGCGGTGGAGGTTGGTTGTGGCGTTCTTTTGGCGGGTGGGGTTGGGGGGTGGATTGTTGGGGGTGGGTGTCGTGTTGTTGGTCATGGTGCTTGCTGGGTTTGTTGGTGGGCGTGGTTTGGGGGGTGGTGTGCTGGATGTGGTTTGCTGGAGGTGCTGGTGATGTTGGCTGAGATGACTGTGAGCTGGAAGGGAGTTGACTCTGAGAAGGAGGTTGGGTTGTGGTGTTGTGAGGTGAGAGTTGGAGTTGGGAGTTGGGAGTTGGGCTCCGGTTGGGTTGAGGTTGGGTTGCGAGGTAGGGGTTACCTTAAGCGGGTAGCATGGAAAGTGGAAGTGGCCTTGTGGTGCTCTCTCTCGGAGGTCCGGTGTGTGAGAAGGCGCGGTGGTGATGTGGCTTGGGGGTACCCGTGTATCGACGTGTCCATCTTCAGTTTTACTCACTAGCCTGAGAGCTACAATCAGTCTCTTGTAATTAGTGCTTAGAGTCGGTTTTAGTTAAAGCTTAGCCCGTGGCGATAACATGCACTTGACGATAGAGTTTCGATATCAGGGGGGGTGGCTGATACACTCGTACACTGCATCGATATATCTCCGCCACTTGGTGAGACCCAGCACAGCATTCACCGGAGGCAAGTAAACAAAAGACATCTCACGAAATAGCAAAATCTCATCGGACAACCCCCCCAAAAGAGATAGCCGGTTACGAAACCCCTTGAATTTGCTTCGTTGGACGAGAAGGTGGCGGAATAGGTTACGACTGTCGCCCTTTTTGACTGCCAAACCATCCACGGCAGCCCCGTTACTCGACGGTATCCTGAGTATGTTAATGTATAGAGATATTACTCACTCTTATTCCAGTGCCTAAACCATACAAACAACACGCACGTAATAATCTTCGAGTTCCATCTCGTGTATATTCAACTGGCTTGGGAGGAGACTGCGGAATGTTGAGGGTGACTGATGCTCGAGTTGGAGAGAGGGTTTCCCTACGATGGTTCGTTTATAGTGTCATGGACGGCGGGTTAATAGCTAGACTACTACGTGTGAGGTCGTCTTCGTATACTAGTTGATGTTGCCACTTGGCCATCCTAGCCCAGTAACTCGCTTTAAGTTGTTAAGGAACTTCGGCAGCGCGGTGGCCTTGCCTTCCCCCCAACCTCCAACCCCATGCCCACCCCATGATAACTCACGGATGAAGTCTATACTGCACAAGTTAGTCTTAAGACACAACCTGCTAACCGTCTAGAGGCCCAAGCCCGACAAGCAGCCCTAGCACAGGTGTCAGACATACTCCCTACCTACAGACCAGTCCCCACAACCGCCCCTATTTCTCCAGCCGAGTGTAGTCAGTACTGTGTAAGTCGGCTAGCCAAGTCCATCACCCTTCCCTCCCCCGTACCCTTCTCCATCCCAAACCCTGTACCCCCTTCTATCCCCTCCCCATCCCAGGCAACACAGAAGAGCAGCAACACATAACGCAGCAAGTCAGCAGACAAGCAAGGTAGCACAAAACAACCCCCAATGCAAGTCACGCTTCACCACCCTGTCCCTGTGTCATGACACAACACGACTCCCTGGCCAACTCCTTCCCAGCACCGAGTGTATGTTATGTCGGCCCCCAGCACCCGCCCCCAGCAGTCGCACATCCCCAGCACCGTAGCACCCAGCTCATCCCCAGCTCATCCCCAGCACCTCCGTAGCAGCACCTCCCCAGCAGCAGAAGCAGCAGCAGCCGCGCGCTCGGTCCTCACCGTTTCACAACACCACCCGCCAATCCCTCCCCACCCGGCCCCTTCCGCACGTTTCACAAAATTTTACCCTCCTCTCACCCACCCCCTAAGTTCGCCCCCAACTCGGGCCAAGCCCCTCCCGAGTCTCACCGCACCGAGGTCGCTCGTAGGTGACAAATGCCGAAACACCCGTTCTATTGCCTGTCCGTTGCCGGGATACGAGACACAGAGGGGGGTTCCGGGCCAAGCACGATCCGAGTCAGGTTGGGAGCGTACAACCTTCGCAACCCGAGGACGCGCCGAATCGTCCCGGCGACTCGCTCGCCTCGGTGGCACAACATCGGTCGGCACTGATTCAAGCTGGGTCATTGTGGCTGGTTTTCAGTCCCCTTCCCGGTCACAGACCGGAGTGGTAATTGTCTGTCCCCTCTAACCCGCTACCTACACACTCCTCCTCCCCCATATTCACGCATTACACTCGCGATAGCACAATGCGATGCATGAGCTCCGTAAATAATGTCATAACATCGCCGGCATATCGACAGGAAAAGAGAAAAAGAAATAAAAGGAAATAAGAAGACCTCCAAGAAACAACCATCGACAGCGTCTTCCATTTTCTAAAGGGAATATGTGAAAGACGCGACGCCCGCCAACCCACCAAACCAGACAAACCACATGTAGCCGCAAATTAAGGACTCCAGGGCCGCCTTTCTGTCCGTCGTAGAAATTGAAAAGAATATTGTACACACCCCTCGTGATTGTAGACCAGAGGGAACTTGGCTCGGCTCCAAGCTTGGAGCAGCGCCGTGGGGTCCGGGGTGGCACTGGGCGAAGCGGACTGATTTGGTTTAAGCAGCCGCCCGGCATGCGGCTTCTTGCTCGTTGCAGGCGGCGATGGTTTGGCCCTGAGCTTGGCCACCGTTGACGGCGTCGGCGCAGGCGTTGTTCTGGATGGCACAGGCGCGCTGAACGGCGGCGTCCCTGTTGGCGAAGGTGTTGCCATTGACACTGAACGGGCGTTGAGCATCGCCAGTGTCCTCAACCGCAGGAGCCGCGCCGCCGATAGCAGCAGCGTTCTGGGCACCCTGACCGCCGTTGTTGCCGCCGTTGTTACCACCCTGGCCCTGACCGCCGTTGTTGCCGCCGTTGTTGCCACCTTGGTTGCCACCTTGGTTGCCACCCTGGTTGCCGCCCTGGTTGCCGCCGTTGTTGCCGCCTTGGTTGCCGCCCTGGCCTTGACCGGCGTTGTTGCCCTGACCTTGACCGGCGTTGCCGCCTTGGCCCTGACCGCCGTTGTTACCGCCGTTGTTGCCACCGTTGTTCTGGCCATTGTTCTGACCGTCATTGCCGCCATTGTTCTGACCGTCATTGCCGCCATTGTTCTGGCCGTTGTTACCGCCGTTGCCGCCGTTGTTGCCGCCGTTGTTGCCACCGTTGTTGCCACCGTTGTTGCCACCGTTGTTGCCGCCGCCGCCGTTGCCGCAGGCACCACCGACGCTGAAGTAACGGCAATCCTCTTGCGAGCCACGCTGAGCAACAGGCATCAGCACGGGCTGGTGGTTGGAGGCGCTAGACATGGTGCAGACACGGTAGCAACCGGTCGGAAGACCACCGGTCACCTCGGCAGTGAGGCGGCCCTGGCCGTCTCCGGCGTCGTTGATACCCTTGAAGAAGGCAAACTGCTTGGCGTCTAGAGGCTGGGTAGGGTTCATGGTGTTTCCGGTGTCCTGGACTGTGACGTGGGTGTGGCCGATAATCTGGCCCTGTCCGTTCAGGTCCTGAGGGGCCGAATAGTAGGTGCTCGCGGCGTTGGTGAAAGCACCCAACTGCATGTTGGCAAGGTTGACCTCGATTTCGAAGGTAGTTAGCTCCTCGACGTCGTCGCCGTTCTGGGGGTTGACGATGACCGCCGAGACCATTCTATCGACGGAAGGGATCTTGCCCATCGCTGCTCAAGGGTTAGCTGGTGAACAGTCACTCTCTAGGAGTATATACACATACGGATACCGTTGCAGGAACCATCGCGGTTTTGCAAGCCGTTCGTCAAGGTCTCGCCGGAACAAAAGTTGATGAAGTTGGCCTCGTCACTAATAGAGGGGTTAGTATCGACAGCATCAAGCTACTGCACGAGGGTAAACATACGTGGCGGATTCGACCTGGCCGTCGGCGACGTCACCTCCCTCCTGGCCGGTTGCTGCCGAGCCGGTCTGAACGGCGTCTGCTGCCAGGCAAGTGTTGCCTCCGTTGTTGCCGCCGTTGTTGCCGCCGTTGTTGCCGCCGTTGTTTTGGCCGTTGTCGCCGCCGTTGTTGTCGCCGTTGTTCTGACCGTTGTCGCCGCCGTTGTTGTCGCCGTTGTTCTGACCGTTGTCGCCGCCGTTGTTGCCGCCGTTGTTGCCACCTTGGTTGCCGCCCTGGTTGCCGCCTTGGTTACCGCCCTGGTTACCACCTTGGTTGCCGCCGTTGTTGCCGCCACCACCAAAGCCACCACCAAAGCCACCACCAAAGCCGCCGCCGAACCGGTTACCGCCCCTGTTCTGTCGCCGTTCCAGGGCAATGGGAGATCTGAACTGGTGGATGGATGCCGCCTCAGCAACCATGGTCACACCCAAAAGGGCCGTCACAGCTGTTTTCATCAACATGATGGGCGATTTTTTGAAACGTTTCGATGGGTCGTCGAGAAAGAACTGAGCTCCGCGGGAGCCGAAAGTTGAATCGAGGAGGATAAGATGGTTCCAGACCGTCAAGAAGCAAAAAGTGAGTTTTAAAAAGGAGTGCTGTGCGACAACTGGTGCCGACGAAGTGGGATATGTACAAGGTACAACAGGTACAACCCGCGTCCGAAGAAAGGAACGAATGGAAGGATGGAAAGAAAAGAAGAGGGACGAGACAAACAACTACCACCGCACTGAGTGAGAATGGGACATGGTCGAAAAGAAAAAGGCCAGGACAGTTCTCGAGACCGCGGGAGTTGTTATAAGAGACGAGCCGCCAGGACGGGAACAGGGAAGGTGCTGCGACGGCGATCCGACGAGAATGCCAAGCCAGTGTTTCTCATGCCCCCGGCAAGCCAAGCGGTTTCGAGCTCTTCCGGAGTGCACCCCCAGCATGCCCCAGCATGCCCCAACAAGGGTTACCGCCAAGCTTTCTGCGACCAGGAACGTCGACAGATCCCGGGCAGTGCGGCAGGAGGCCCGGAGAAAGAGAAATGGGTGTGCGGCCCCACGGGTCTCAAACGCGGAGCAGGGGGCCGGTGATGCAGAACGGGGGAGTGGGAGGTGGGAATGTTGAAGTCGTCTGACAGGAGAACGGGAGAGAGGGGGATTGGAGATGCAACCTCAGAAGCCTGTCCCTTGCAGAAGTCAAAATTTGAAATCCGAAATCCCACATCAAACTTTTTTTGAAGTTGGGATGGCAGGGACCCTGGGACGCTCCTGGATGACCTCAACACGGGGTGAGAGCACGGGGCAGAGACGAGACGAAAAAGGAAAGCGTGCCTTGCAGCTAAAACCAGGCACCAGGCACTAGGCACTGTAGAACATCCGAGGAAAGAGCGGCCTGCTAAACGACTCCCGTACCTTCCATCCTCCGGGTTCAAACCTGGAAGTTTCTTGAGTGGCGATGGAAGGCCCGAGTGGTTCACCCTACTTCCACACTTCCATGCCCCGGCACACACATTCGATGCCTGATTCAGGACCTGGAGAAGAGGCAAAAGAGCTGTATCGTTATCGTGCAAAGTTCTCAGCGGCAACTCCATCAAGGCGCGCGCAACGGCTGCAACGGCTGCCCCAGGGCTGGGATGCTGGGCTGAAGTTGAGGCGCGTTGTGTGCCAGGTGCCCATGGCTGGATGGGTGAAGCCCTGCTCGTCCCAAGTTCTGGCCAATCAGGGATGCCATACTGAAGGCGATCGGGCAGCTTGTGTCTCGGGATCGATGAGATGAAGCGCAAGCGAGCGAGCATTGACTCCGCTCCTGTCGTGGGGTCATTCCCCACTTTCCCCTTTCAGGCGCTTCTCGACCCGACGGTGGCACTTGGCTGGCCAGCAACCCCCTCCAGTCAACCGCACGTCGGTACCTTGTCGGCGGGTGTCGGCAAACCTCCAAAATTACACACAACAGGTTAGGATCTTCACTGTCACCGTCCGCGCATTGGCATCGGCTGCTGTCTGTTGTATCAGGACGTCCTCTCTGCTTGGCGACCGGGAATAGCGGCAGTTCGCGGTTACGTCCATCATCGTCTTTTCGTAACTACGAGTCTCTGACCGGTTCTCCTCGGTATGTATGTTTGTAAAGTAACAGTATACGCTGAAGCCGGTAGATGGATCGCCTGACCGAGCAACGACCCCGAGTTGCGACGCCTTCAAGTTCCACCCGTGTTCAGGAAACAACCAAACGTCGACGTCAGCTTTAACACGAGGCCAGGGACATGATTGCGGGCCGGGCGGCCAAGCCTCGTGGCCGTTAAACCGTCTGTTCTCGAGGAATCCACAATGAAAATACCTTCACGAGGCGTGGGACTTTCGTAAGTAGCGTTCGCAAAATTAACTTTGAAACCCTCGGACCCAAATGTTTAAGTTTGTGCCCCTGTCGAGCCGCAACCTCGTGTAGTTTGCAGTTTTCGACGTTGCTTCCCTCGCTTCCTCAGGGGCACGTTGTGATCCCCTGCCTCTTGTCAGGCAGGGTACAGCGTCTGGGGTTCCCACGAGCCAGGCTCGCTAGGTTTAGCGGGGGTTGAAAAATATCGCCGACAAACCCGAGTACCCAAAATCCAGTCCGAACTTCATCCTACCGCAACCTCATTGAAACGGCCATCTCTTCATAGGGCTTGCCGAGCCTCCTCGTTTCGTTGAGGTTGACATGATTCTTAGGCAAGGTCGGCAGTATGATGCCGCGGACAAGCATGGAGATGAGATTACGGGCTGACAGTCTAGGTGGCGGCCGACCAGAGACCGCCGTTGCCCTTCACGATGTTTCGGTCTCGCAGGCCTGGGGTTGACCGGCCATCTGGGTCCGGGGTCCTTGTTCCCGAATCAAGCTCCACGCAGCGCTGCGGCTTGGTATGGACCATATTGTTTGGTTCAATTATTGTTTGGCGTTGGCGACAGCTTGAGGCGAGAAAACACTCGAAGAAGATAAAACAGTGAAGTTAAATGTCAAGTTGAACTGGTCGCACTCTTGTTGGGAGTTGGGACGAACCTCTCAGGGGGCCCCTTTTCAGCTGGGCCACCAGTAACACAGCGGTAACACGCAGGAATAAACAACAATAGCGTGTGGGAACAGCAGATAGTTACATTCCACAGTCAGACCGTGCACACGATTCACAACAGCACCACTCGGGATACGGAAATTCTGATTACACAGCAAACAGCAAACCCCCGTGACCATGGCGAGAGCGCAAGCGCGGGCGGCAAAATCGTGAAGCGGACCCCTGCGCATCTTGAGACACAACCACAGAACGTCTCGCCCCCCATCCCCCTCCCATCTCCCCTCACTCACTCGAGAGCGAGAACTACTCGGGTTTTGTGAAACAGTGCAACAGTTGCAACTAGCTTTGTCGAAACCAGCCCTTCATTTCTACCACACACAGATGAATCGTTGAGGGAGCACAGCGTCACCTTGGTCGGCTCTGTCGGCATTCTCTCGAACGGCGGCCGTCGGGTGTGGAAGGCAACAACCCAACAACCCGTCTACGCAGTACTGTGTAAGTTGGTGCCTGACATGGAACAACACACGCTTGACTTTGTCTCCCCCCCCCCTTGACCCCCCACGATACCGCAGCTCGTGACTAGAGATCGACGGAACGAAACGAGAGGCACCTCAAAATGCTCGGCGCGAGCTGATGCCGCCATCGGAGCTTGGCGTCCCATCACGATCGCTGGTGTCGGCGGGAAGATCACACAGAGGGGGGTTTCTCCCCGCTGCTGGGACGGGGCACCGTTTCCCGTCGCCGGGACGGATTTCAGATGCGGTCTATCACGATGATCACTTCTGGAAGGGTATTATTTGATGACGTGAACCGCCTCAAGAGCCAAGATGGGCGGCTCGCTCTCCACTGCAACTAGGTACCGTCCCGCGGGGAGGGGATCGGCTCCCATCGTGCCATTCTAAGATCGCCAACGCCGCCTGGGCAAAACAATAATAGCGGTGTTGGTTAGAGATCTTCTGACAGTGACTCGGTCTTCAGGCTCGAGACGATCAAGTCCAGCCATGCAGCCAAGCGGTATCCCGCCCTCGCTACCTGCACCTCGATCACCGGCGCCGCGGCCTCGTAGTATTCTGCTCCCAGCTCCTGGCCGCGGATGGCATTCGGGCCCTCGGGCAACACTGCGCTGGTGTTAGTTTGTTGCTTATAACAGACCACCGCAAAGAAGACGGATCCCCCGTCGAGGTCGAGAGACACTCACCAACGGTGCAGACATGGGCATTCGCCTCAGACGCCCAAGCCATCGCAGTAGCGACAGGATCAGACAAGTTGGCGGACCTCAACCAATCAATCCGGTCGGTCGCGTACTTGCCGTCGTTGATCTCGCGGGTGAGCTCGTCCGCCCAGCGCTTGGCCTCCGGGTAAGGGCCGCGGCGGCGGACACCACCGACCAGCTTCTCGGCGATGCTCGTGTCCCACACGTGGTGCAGGTTGAAGCGGCGGCCGTCGAACAGCACGGGGATGCCGTTGCCGCCGCGCGCCACGTTCTCCGTGTGCAGCGGCTGGTGGATGTCGCCGACGAAGTGGACGACGAACTTGGCCGCGATGGCGCGCTCCCAGGGCGGCAGCTCGCCGGCGACGTCCAGCATGCGCGTGGTGTAGTTGTGCAGGGCGCTGACGACGCAGCCGCGGTCCTTCTTGCAGTCGCGCTCGAAGTCGACGCCGCAGTATTGTGGGGGGTCGTCCTTGGCGTCGATGAAGTGGAAGTCGGAGGTGAAGCGGCCCCATTTGGTGTACCGGATCGAGTCGGCCCAGGTCGAGACCCCGGCGAGGTAGTCGCCCGTGTCGTTGCGCAGGAGTGCTTGGAGGTAGGTCGTCGTCGCCGGCGACACGAAGTTGCTGGCTAGGTAGCCGACGGTGATGTGCCCGAAGCCTGTGGTCGTGCTTGCATGGTTAGATTCTTGCCATTTTGTTCTCTAGACTGGAAGGAAGAGAGGTGCTTCCATACCGCCCCAAGCCAGCGCACCCGGCACGGCTGCCGCCGTAACGGCGAATGTTGAGAGCTTCATCTTGGGCGACGCGACGGGAATTGGAAAACTACGTGTGTCCCAATTGAACACGGTGATTATCACGTAAATAAAAAGAGATATATGTACAGCAGCAAAAACACAGGAAGAGATAATGGAAACGTTCACAGGCACAACATCAACACAACATGCGGCGGTTCCAACTGATCGTGGTCAGCTGTGCAGGCGCATGGCAGGCTGCCAGGGCAAGGATGCTCAGCCGGACGGAGAGACATCAAGCCCCTGTCGCGTTCGGGAGTTCACGTTCACAGAATCCACATGTGTTTGGATCCCTGTTCCTGACTGGCCCATTGGCAACACGTGACCACGCGCGGTGAACGGGTTGCGCTCTCTGGCGCTTAGCGCGACAAATTTAGCGATGCAACGAGAAAGGAGGGTTGAGTCTGCCGGCTTCTCTCTGGAGAAATGTCCCATCCGGCCAACTTCTGAAGACAGCCCGATTTTGATTGCGGACCGCACCTGCCCCGGGAGCAGCCGTTAGGGACATTCAGTCGCTTGTTTAAGAAGTCGTCACTCGTCACTCGCCTTAGGTAACCCATCACTTTCTCCAGCCCACACCTCCATGATTTGGGGTTCAAATGAAACACATCAAAGTCTCAATGTCTTCGACGGCAATCCCCAACTTCAAAAACACCCCATACCTCAGGTCCCTAGTTCTCACGTCGAGGGAGGTTCCATACTAACTACCGGGACGGCCCCGGATGCAAACTCCTTGGCAGCCCAGCCAACCATTCCCGATTCGTTCTCTTGCCTGTATTCGACCTCGCTTTCCTCGTCCCGCGGCCCTCACCGCGGGCCTCCTCGAGGGCCTCCTCGGCCGTCACGAAAGCTGACAGGCTGAGGTAGTTGGCGACATCCTCGGCAATGTACCAAGACAGCTCCCGTTCCTCCCGACAGTCCTCCTCCGCCAACCGCGACTTTTCCTCCCCAGACAGCTGCTCCCGTCGCAAATTCCTCACTTCCGCGATGACGTGGTGAAGGACCGCCTCGGGGCATCTGACGGCGCTTTTGGCGTGCTCGGCTCTGCGGATATACCTCCGTCTAACATCGGTAGCGCCGTCTAGCGAGAAGGCGATGCAGTAACTCATCTTCTTGCCCCACCCTGACAACGTATTAGCGCTCGTCACAGGCACGCCCAGCGGCGGATCTGGATATGGAGGCTCACCTTGAGTGTAAAGCAACGGTACATCCCACGCCTCCTCGCACGCATCGACATGCACCCACCGGCGCTGATGCTCCGAGTAGATCTCGGTCCACACACGGTCCTCCGCATTCCAAACCCAGCGCACCCTTGCCCCGACAGCCCGGCAGAGCATGGAGAAGCAGTTCGTCCACTCCCCAACCCGGCCCCGCCTCGTCTCCAGAAGCTTCCAGGGATCCGAGTACCGCGGAAACCGCTCGTCGGACCCGCAGTCAGGCTTCACGCACCGGAAACGCTCCACCCCCGTCGCGCCCCACGACTTCTCCTCGTCGGTCCGCGACGCCATGCCGGCGTAGACCGTGGCCGACCCACAGACGCGGCAAGGCGGGTTGTTGACCCAGGTGAAGAAGTCGCGCTTGAACCAACGCAGTAGCGCCCGGACTACGCAGTCACGGTACGCCCATTGAGGGCGGCTACCGTCGCCCAATGATTCCGCCTCGGTTTGCATGATCTGCGCCTCCTCCTCGGCTTCCGAGTACAACCTGTCTAGTGGTAGCACGGCCAGCGCCTCGTCCAGGCGCCCGGAGTCTTCGTACTTCATGGGCATCGCGCTGAGCTTGAGAAGCAGGTTGCGGAAGTCCCGCGCCGCGATGTCGCCCGGCTGCGGCGGCGCCGGGAGGACGGGGAGGGCCCGCATGATCGGGTGGGCGGTGTCGGCTGTGTATGGGGGAGGCTTGCTGGCCTTGGGGTCATGGAGGTTTCCCGGGGGGGCTGCTCCTTTGCGAAACAACTCTTTCCGGTTTGCGGCGATGAGCCGCCCAAAGCGTTCGCCTAGGTCCTTGGCCCAGCTTCCGTCTGCCAGGTCGACCGCTTCCCCGGGGAGCCGTGGCCGCTCCCCGATTCGTCCTTTGATGTCTTCGAAAATAGAATCGAAAGGGACCACAATCGCGCGGCCGGTGCCCGGGGAGCCGGCGACAATGTGACCGTACAAGTCGCCCGTCCGGGCATCGACGACCCACGAACCGCAGTCCCCGACTTGGAGTGGCGAGTCGAAGACGGCGCTGAGGCTCATTGTAAACTGGGCGTTGTTCGAGGAACGGCAGTATACGGGGGCGCCTGATAGGATTCCAGTAAGAACTCCCCTGGAGGTGGCGCTCAGAATTTCTCGTGTCTCCTTGAGCTTTGGGCTCGCCAGGGCTGTGATTGTAACCATTCTGCTCCCAGGGGATAAGTTCGGGTTGCGGACCTGGTTTCTCCACTCGTAAGGAAGATGGGGAGCGTGGATGAGGGCGTAGTCGAGACCAGGGTACGACCCAGATTCGAGGGAATTGAAGAAGGGGGCTCCTAAAATCTCATGGTCCGGTTCGACGACAACGCTGCTAGAAGAGTCGACAACGCTGCTAGAAGAGTCTTCCGGCTCTGTAAGCGGTTCTGCTTCTTTTACCCACGAGAGAACCTCTTGTGGTGTAGCGCCAGAGTCGCTATCCGCCTCTTCGTCGCTCTCGGAGTCGCTCTCGAAGTCGCCGTCATCAAAGCCGTCGATATCGATTCCGCTGTCCTCATCACTCTCGCCTTCCGCGGTGACCTCCGCTCTACGCTCGTGGCTTTGGAAGACATGTGCGGCCGTGGTATAGTAGAATTTGCCCCCTGATTTAATGACGCCGCCGATAGTGGCAGGAGATTTCGAATCGCCGACAAATAAACTGGAACCATTATCATGGTTGCTTCTGCTCCCCGGTGACCCGAGGAAATCGCTCTCTGGTCCAATGTTTCCGCTGAGAATGGTAGGAAATACCGAGTGGTGGACAGATACCTCCAATTCGTTATCATCGTCGCTCGCTTCCGGTTCATTATCATCGTCTCTCGCTTCCGGTTCATTGTAATGGTTGCTTGTCTCCAATATCTCCAATTCGCTACCATGGTTGCTTCTGCTCTCTAGCGGCCTGAAGACTTCCGCCTTTCTCATCGCCTCATGGCGGCTCCCTGGCGCCAGCGGGATGAGATGGTCGAAGTCGGGAGTCTTGGGCATGTGGCCCGTCTTGATCCCGCGGTAGCCGTTCAGGAGGCCGCTCTCCCGGATGGTGTTCCGCACCTCCTTGCGATGGGCGGCGACCTCGCAGCAGAACATTATGGTGGGACTAGCGCTGCTATGCGTCTTGCCGAACATGTAGATTGACCATGTCACCCAGCTGGAGATGGGCTCGGCCGATCTCTCCAGGTACTCTTTGATCCTGGGCGCGATATCGTCAAAGGCCGCCCTCGCCGGGCCCTTGGCCTCCCAGCACGAAACCTTGCCGTACTTGGTGATGAACCGCCCGATCGAGAGCTCGGGGTACGGCCATGTGTCGCTCTCCCGTTCCGTCTTTTGTACCGTGAATAAATTGGAGAGACGTTCCGAGGTTCGGAACATCGTCGCCATTTTCTTTTTTTCTTCTTTCCCTTTGCCAGTCTCGTTATACAACGTCATCCAGGGGGACGGAAACGAGGTTCAAGACAACCTGAACTCCCCACGCCGGTTTGGTGGGATGACAGTTAAATCACCCAGTTTTGACCTCCTTGGACTCTCGTGGCTTCAGCCCGCAAGGCTGCGCGGGGCGATGCAACTCACGATGCAGACTGCTGACGCGGCGTCGAGGCGCTCTGATAGGCCGACTCCCTGCATCTTCATGCAGTCGCTGCGGCATCAAAATCTCCAGCCTCACTGGGCAAAAGTCGGCGTCACCTCAACCCACCACATCATCTCATCAATGAGGCCTTCCCCAGTTTCGAGAGTAGCGTGTTCCGTACAGCTAATTTAATATAGCCCCTTATGGTTTGAAGAGAACTCACTCGAGTCTCCGTAACTCACTCTTTGGTGTTTTCCCTCGAGCCCCTTTTTAGGTTCTCTGGTGTAAGCCAAATACATGTAGTGGACATACCACAAGCACTTCAAAGTTCAACTCTCTCAAGAAAATGGGTTCAGACAACCCACCAAACACCATCCTCAACCAAAGCCTCCTCGACGCCCCCGACTCCCCAGCAACCCGATCCGCCATCTCCACCGGACTCTGGGGCAACGACACACCCACCACACCCACCGCCGGCCAACGTCTACACAGCGCGGACCGCAACCCCACCAACCCCGACGACACCTACTGGACCTACTACCACCAAGAATGCACCAATGCCCTACACGACGGCGGCCGGCACGTCGCGGCCCGCACCCACGCCGACATCGTCTCATGCGCGGCCAAGCTGCGCCGCGGCATGGCGCGCGAGGACGTCAAGGACGCGCTGCGGGCGGAACTGCTGCGCGCCCGGTGCCATGCCAATGACGAGGAGTTGTTGGACAACTCGGTCGACTTGACGGCGAGCCTGCTGCTGATGGCCAACTTTGGGCGGTACGCCTACGGGTTTTCGGGGCGGAACAGGGTGTGCTGGACGAAGGGGTCGCTGGGGGAGTTTTTAAGGGATTATTTTGAGCCGGAGCGGAGGCTGGTGAATGAGGGGGTGAAGCTGGAGAGGGTGTTTAAGGCGAGTAGTTTGGACCGGATTGCTGGGTTGGAGGTGGTGTGGACGGATAACTTGGCGGATCACCTGCGTCTGACGGATGATGATCGCAAGGTGCATCTGTTTCATCACGCTTCGTTTCTGGAGACGCAGCGGCAGAGGTTGGTGGTTTGATATGGCCTGACCTGACCTGTTTTGGCGGGTGTTGTTTGTGCCTGGGTTAACGACCCAGCATGCCTCCTGACTGACTGGCTGACTGACTTGCTTGTGACCAGCGCCGACAGCCTGCTGCCGAGCGGGCTCGCCGAGGAGACGCTCCGGACGCTGGCGCTGCTCTGTCCCACGGCTGACGCGGAGACCAAGCAGTGGCTGGCGGGGCTGCCCAACCACGGCGACCTCGACCGGGGCGTCAACCAGTGCGGGCGCCTCAAGACGGACGACCGGCGGATCGACAACTTCTTCTTCTGGAGAGACCGGCTGGTGATGGTGAAGCAGGTGTTTGACGAGGCGCAGCCCAAGACGATCCGGCAGTGGTGGTACGACTCGCGCAATGGGGTGCAGTGGTACACCTTCTGGGTTGCTGTCCTCGTGCTCGTGCTGACGGTGGTGTTTGGGCTCGTGCAGAGCGTGGAGGGGGCGCTGCAGGTGTATGTCTCGTTCAAGGCGCTAGATACGGGGGAGCATCTTGGCCCGGGGGGAACCTGATATTTGGAGTCTCCCGAAAGTGTGAGACGGCGTACTATCTAAGACAGGGAGACCCAGTGCTGATCAACGAGAGCAACTCAAACAGAATACAGCATCGAGTTGAAGTACTGAGGTCTCATGAGAAAAAGAAAGGAGAACACATGTTCTCCATGTCGCCTAATACGGGGCCGGCGGGCAACCGTGCAGGAAAGATGGCGCGTGGCCGGGCCTATGCGCTGCTTCACACACCCGTCTCATTCACCTTTCCCCCCTGCTTGCGCTCGTGAGCCAGGAGCGTGATATTGAAATGGATATTGGCACCCGGGAAAAAGGGCGGCGGCACGGCGTCTCGGGGGATATTAAGATGAATTTTGGCGATATCGCCATCAAAAGCCAAGAACCATTGGTATTCTCCTTCTCCTTTATACACAAACTCGCCATTCTCGATGACAAATGGCTTCGTCAGGTCGTTTGGCTAGCAAGCACATTATTAGTAAAACAGTAGGGGGATGATATGTAGGTAGGTAGTTAGGGATTGAGGGGGGGGGGGGCCGCTTACGCCGACGGTTTTGCTCGCTGTTGGCACAAGCGCATAGGAACTCGCGCCAACCCAGGCTTGGAACATAAATCCGCTTTTTTCAATATCCCCTTCTTCATCCAGTTGAATGGACGCAAGAGTGCCATTCCCCTTGCGAAAGCCGACGTCATCCCCTATCACTTCGGCGTATCCTGGTTGGGGGGTGGGATCATCAGGTGACGATAGGTAGAAACCAGAGGCCACCTGGGCAAGGAGCGCCGTGGCCGACAGGAGAGCGGAGGAAAGCTGCATGGTCGAAAGAGACTGCGTAGGTCGAGGGAGAAAGTTGGAGATGAAAGAGCTGAAGATGTGGGAGAGAATTGAGAAGCGAACGACGGCCCGCGAGTGACCGGCTTATATAGATAGCCAACGAGCTAAGGTTCGGACCTCTTTCCATTATGAGAACCTTCATCAAGGTTTATTCGGCTCATAGATCGTCCCACCATTGAGACAACAAGTCACCGTTGACAACTGAACTGAGACCATACTAATACCGCTACTGAAAGAACCAGCTCACCGCGTGAGCCAATGATCGACACACCTCGGACTGTCTCCCAATACTCACTCGTGAGCGTTTAGCGTGACACCATAAAAGTACGTGGCGGTAGCTGGGTAGGGGTTACCGCCCTTCTCGTCGTTCTGAAGATAAATGGCATAGGAACCAGACTCGTCAACCAAGCTCCACTTCCACCTTCTTTCCCCTTTATACAAGAGCTTGTCGTCTTCGATGGCAAACGGCCCCGTCACCTCGTTTTGCTCACCCACAAAGTAATTATCAGTACAACACTGGGCGGTGTTACATGCCTAGTACCTTCGTTTAATATTTAGCTTACGGATCGTCACACCACTGAGACAGTTGACAGCTCCGCTAGTAGTTGACAGCTGAACTGAGACCATGTGTACACTACTACTGACGCAACCAAAAGAACTGACTCAACTCTTTCTGTGTCTCGGCCTTTTATTCTACCAAGCGGAGGCCCCAAAACCCGGAAGACTAAGGAAGGCCAGCTCGTCCGTTTCTTCGCCGCCAAACCCGACCCAGCCAACTCCAAGACGGCGGGTGAAGGACTCCGACAGTCTTCTATACACATTTTCACCTCGGGCTGTCCCCCAAGCATCACTTGTGAGCGATGAGCGTGATATTTTGACGGCCTCTGCCCAGTCTGAATTTCCTTCTCGGTCCGAATAGCCTTAAACGAGCTTCCTCTACCGGGTGGAGGCCGAATTGAAGGTAAATGCTCGGCTGGTCATTCAGGGGGTCAGAAAATAAAAGACCAGCCAAGTTCCAGCTCCAATCTCCTCCCCCTTTATACACGAACTTGCCATCCTCGATAGCAAACGGGCCCGTCAGGTCGTTTGGCTAGCCCCAAACATATTAGCACAATACCAGGTGGCGCTATGTAGAGATGTAGGGGTGGTGGGTTGGTTTGGGGGAGGGGGGCCGCTTACGCGGGGAGGGTTGCCCTCCGTTGACACCAACAAATACGTGCGCGATTTGTTTCCGCGTTCGAACCTTAACTTCTCGTGTTGGAAGTCGCCGTGTTGGAACTTGAACCCGCTTTGGGCAATATCCCCTTTGGAATCAAGACTGATGTTTGCGGTCTTGTGGGCGTCCTTGTAAAACCCAACTGAGTTACCAGTCCAGTCCCTCAGTCCGGCGTATGCCTTCGGATCGGCATGGTTGGAGGGTGACGATAGGTAGAAAGCAGAGGCTGCCTGCGCAAAGAGCGCCATGGCTGACAGGAGAGCAGTGGAAAGCTGCATGGTCGAAAGAAGCTGGGTAGGTGGAGGGAGGAATTGAAGATGGGAAGCTGAAGATGGGGAGAGAATGGAGAGCGGATAGCGGGCAAGTCGGCGTCTCATATGGGTATTTACCTACTCGGCTCAAGCTCCGACTTCTCCCTCCACAATAGTTATCCTTACGCTATAACTTTAATATTTCGCTCGCAGATCGTCCTACCGCTGAGACGGTTGACAGCTGAACTGAGACCATACTGAAGTTGGAGACGAGAGACTCGACGATGCGGAAGAGAATCGAGAAGGAAACAGCGGACAGCTTGCCGGTTTATATACATAACCAGCCATACAGATCTGTAGTTCAGACTTTTCCTTCCACAATACCTTTGATAGTTTTGACAACTGAGCTTGAGACCGTACGAATACAGATTATAAATGACGCTACTAAAAGAAGTCGTTCACATGCCCTGTAAGCTGTTAGTGTTCATGGGCCCTTTCCCGCCGAGAAGTACTACAAGAATGCGAAAAGCAGTGCGCCAATTCTTTTGGTAGGGCCATCTGTGCTGAGACGGGCTTAACTGAGACCAGAGTTACCTGTAGTTACTGGGAGTTGCCTTTCGGTTGGAGAAGGTGTCGATGTCAAGTCGAGGCTGCCAAGAATGGCGATCCGTAATCGGCCGAGTATAACTGGTCCGTGCTTCCCCACAATCTCAACCCCGGCTGCGGTGTGCGGGGTGCCTTATCAGGGTCCCACCCGGTGCCGTTCCAGCTCTCCCAGCCTCTGCGCTGCAGGTCTCCTGCAGGGATCAATCGATGTGCATCAACTGCAGTGGCCCAACCAGAGCACCGTATGCGAGTCGGTCAGCCAGGCTGAGCCAGCCGCGGGGCACACTCAGCTTCCCTTTCCGGGATGGCATGTCTTGCTTGGCTTGCCTTCCTCTGCCGATCCGCGCCTGCGATAAGGGTCTTTCGGCACACGGGAGCGCTGCTGGTGACTTCACAGTGTGTGACCGGGTCCACGTGCAAAGTTCAACACCAAAACCACCACCGTCCAACAACCCTCAAAATCCCCAAGCGCGACAAAATTGATGGCCATACGATCGAACCCAACACGCTCGAGCCTTGTTCCTTCTTCGCCTTTTCTCAGTGGCAGCCCTGACCCGATATGCAGCGCTTTGTCGCCGCCGTCTCTGATGCGCCTCACGCGCCCAGAGTCGGTGAGGCGCTCTCGGGCATCTTTGGCAGCGTGAGCTTGACGGCCTGGATATGTCTCTTGGTACGCCGATCGGAAGACACTCAATAGAGGTGCCAATCACTGACGGCGCTGTAGCTCCCACAACTGATCACCAACTACAAAGCCAAGAGCGCAGATGCCTTATCAATGAAGTTCCTGATAATCTGGCTGCTGGGTGATATGGCCAACCTTTCCGGTGAGTAGTTAACGAGTCGCCAAGGACAAATCGCGATTCTCCAGCGCGCGAGCCAGTCACCCATACTGAACCCCTCGCAGGCGCCCTCTTCACAAGCCTCGCGCCCTCCACCATCGCCCTGGCCAGCTACTTCTGCGTCGCCGACCTGATCCTGATAAGCCAATGCACCTACTACAACACCATCAACGCCCGCCGCCGCCGCGCCGCCGCCGCCCGACGCGAGCACCACCACCACCGCCACCACCACCACACCCACCGGCGGCCCTCCACCGGCGACGACGATGACCGCGACGCGTGCGCCTCCTCCTCCGCCGCAGCCCCACCCCCAACCGAATCCGACCCCCTCCTCCCCACCACAAACACCCCCGATAACAACACCAACCCCAACAACAGCGGCGGCCTACCCGGCTCGCACCGGCGGCACTCACTACCGCGGCGCACGAGCAGCAGCGTCGGCATCGGCGGCGACCCCCTCGCGCGCATCATCACGGGCGAGGACGACACGCCCGACAGCCGGCCGTGGCTGCACAACACGGTGAGCCTGGTGGCCGTGTGGGCCGTGGGCGTGGCGGGGTGGTTCGTGAGCTACAAGATGGGCGCGTGGGCCACCCCGGGGGGCGGGGATGTCGGGGATGTGGTGGCGGAGGAGCCGACGGCGGTGGTGGGGATGGTGTTGGGGTATGCGAGCGCGGTGTGTTATTTGTGGTATGTTTTTCCCTTTCTTAATGGGTTTCTTGTGGTTTTCTCTCTCCCCCCCCCATTGTGGGGGTTGGTTTTGTGATGACATGTGCTAACGGGGTCTCGGACTACAGCGCGCGCGTGCCGCAGATCATCAAGAACTACCGCGAAAAGTCGTGCGAGGGGCTCGCGCTTCTCTTCTTTTTGCTGTCGCTGACGGGCAACTTCACGTACGGCGCGAGCGTCATGGCGTTCTCCCAGGAGCGCGACTACTTTATCAGGGCCCTGCCCTGGCTGCTGGGCTCTCTGGGCACCATGGTCGAGGACTCCATCATCTTCGTGCAGTTCCGCTTATACTCGCCGGAGAGGCAGGTCAAGCCTGGTGGAACGGCATAGAGCGTTGGAGTATCGGCTCAGGTTTGTAATGTCGGACTATGCGGTTTGTTGACGGGTTGCGTGGACGGGGACTTTAGTTTACAGAGCATAGACGGGTGGGATGAGATGAGAGGAGATGGTCACGGTTCCTGGGGATGTGGGCATTTGCATGTTTGCATGTTTGCAGCTTGGTCTGCATCTTGGCTGCATTTATGGGGCGTCAAGGCTCCAGATTGTCGTTTCGTGGGCGTTTTGCATATTATCTGATGTTGATTACCTACCTTAGCCCGGCTGTACTGTACATACCTCGCGTGCATGAGCTATTTAGATGAGAGCCGAAGTCATTTGCAGCAGCCAGTATCCACCTCTCGTTCTCCGTCCCCTCACGCATCGCATGCAGCCACTTCTCATCAGCTTTACTTCTTTTTTATTTTATTTTTATTCCACACTGCCCGCCCAACAATGTTCGACTGCCTCCCGGTCGAGATACTGTCCGTCATTTGCGACTATATCGGAGACTCGCACCCCCCCAGCGTGTTGTCCCTCGCGCTCACGAACAAACACTGTTACTCTGTCGCCTGCGCCTTCCTCTATCAGGCCATCGCGATCGAAGGCTGCCACCCCCAGCAGCTGGCCCTTGACGCGCAGAAATGTGAGGATTTGCTCCGCCGGGATTCGGCATTCTGCCATGTCAGACGCTTCGCCGTGTATGGACGATGTGAGGAGCCTTGCCTGTGCGATGATTCCCTCGAGCGGAAACGGATGCCCTTTCAGAAGCTTTTCTGGTCGCCCTACGACTATAATGACAATGACGGCGAGAGTCCAATTGTGTCTTTTATGGACTCCCTTTCCTTCGACCACACAGCTGGCGAAGACATCCATCAACTCGACGCGTGTTGGGGGTCGGTATGCCGTTTGGTCAGATTGCTGCCTGCCCTGACAGACTTTATATTCGCCTTGTCCCACTTGATGCCGCCTTGTCTCCTCGAGACGCTACACAACCAGTTTGCCGCGTCGTCTCCCATACGGCTGCGGCTGCACATCATCGACTTTGGCCTCCCCAATCTTGAGGACGGGAGATCCGATCCCCAGGAGTTATCCCTCGCCTCGTCACCTCTGCTCCACCGTATCTGGGCCCGCTATTGTGACACGGACGGCTACGACCGAGAAAGCAGGCCAAGCTACGATGCTGAAATCGCCATGGAGCTGGTGGAGGGCTTCGCACCGAACTTGAAAGACGTGCGTTTGTTCCACGACTGGGGCAACAGCCATGGAGTCGATTTACCACGGCCGGCTTGGAAGCGTTTCTCGAAAGCCGCCATTACTTCTGGTTCTTTGCAAAAATTGGACCTTGACGGCACGCGATTGTATTATGAGTTCAGAGAAGTACCGAAAGAGGTCCTCCAGCGCTGGGAGACAAGCACCGACTTTTCTGTTCTTCAAACTTTGAATCTTCGCCAAAGACTCGATCTAGCCGGCCTTACTTTTCTGGCGGAGTGCTGCAGCTTTCCGAATCTCACATCGTTGACTCTCTATTACGACCCGGGCGAGGGCCAGGCGGGCACCGAACCCCTGCACAAGTTTCTCTGCGCCCTGCCGAATCTTCGCTCTCTCGCGTTGCTGGGTGATTGCGCCCAAACAGTGCACGCCACCGCCTTCAACCCCGGCCTGAGAAGGCTACGCCTCCCTACCACAGCGGGAGCGTCGTACCACCGCCAGCTCCGCTCGATTGTCGAACGCTGTCCCGAAATCGAGCACCTCGCGGCGACCCTACCCCGCTCCCGAGGCGGCGCCGACGAGGTTGACTTATACAGGACCGTTGGCAGGTTACCGCGCCTTCGGCACCTGGACCTCTCGCTGGACGCCAGCTCCCCTACCCCGGAGACACGGTACTTTGTGCCCCAGCACGCACACCCGCTCCGGGTGCGAGAAGTTCTCCACCTAGACTACGCATCCCCCCTCAGCCCGATCCACTACTCCCCGAACCGCCCCGTTTTCAACGCCCTCGTCGACAGCGCGGCCGACGAGAAGCTGGCCCTGGCCATCTTCAAAGCCGTCTCCCAGGGCAAGAAAAACCCCGTAGGCGCCGCCAACACGGCCGCGGTGCCCCTCGAGAGCCTCGCCCTGCGTGTCATCGGCACCGGGGACTGGCCGGTTTCACTCCGTGCCTTCGAGGGACAATACGTATCCCGCACGCTAGGGCCGTACATACGGGTCATGGCGCGCCCCTGGCGCGTCACTCGCGACCCTAGGGACGATCGCCGCGACGTGCTGCACGCTGCACGCATCGACCCGGACCCTGAGCCGGCGGGGCTTGCCCTCTGGGAAGGGGAAGGGGAAGGGGAAGGGGAAGGTTTGGAGCGCGACGTGCTGGCTGTCTTCCGGCAGCTCTGGCCCGAGAAGGCACCGGGCAGTAATTGGTTCGAGGACTGGGAGAGCTGGCCGCTGGAGGGCGTGGACGACGAGTGATGCCTTGGCCGGGACGACGGCCGTTGAGGGACGGATTGGGATTATAACATTGAGCTTGTCGCGCCGGCTGGATTGCTGGGTCGGGACGGGGACATGAGGTCAGCGACCGGCGCGTGCTCCCGAGCAATGAGAAATATGTCTGCCTCTTTGGAAGGTTATGTACAGATCACAGTTGATCTGGAGCTTGCATGTTGTCCGGGGTGGAGACGCTCCGGGACCGGGACCGGGGCTCGGACCGGAGTGTGGAGACCGGTTCCGGGAGTGACCGCTTGAGTCCGGTCCCGTGTGCCGATCGATGCTTGGGCTTTTTTTCAGGGACGACCTGGAAGTTATAGATTTGGGAAGACATTTTCACACGATCCCATCAAGCTCTGTGTCCGTGGTGACCCTGGCTGAGCCCAAGACCAGTCAATCCCTGCCAAGGCGCTGGTCGTTTGAAGTGGGTTCTCAGGGCCGCCAAGCGAGCCGCATCGTCCCATTTGGCGCTTTGCGTTGTGAGAAGGCGTGCTGTGTATTCGTAATCCTCTTAAACAGCTCGATATTTCTTCTCCATTCGCCTTTGTGAGTTGAGACGGGGTTTCTCGAGTCTTTCTCTGATTTCCGGGACATCCGACAGCTTCCTCTGCAGCTCAGCAATGCACGCCATTTAACTTTCTTTCCTTCCAGTTTCAAGCCTGAAACTTGCCAGACCCAGAGCCACAAGCGGCTGCAATTGCGGCCCCGCCCGCCCCGACCACCAGAGCGTTGCAGCGGCGAGTTTCAGATTCCAATACGACAAGAGTTTTGGCGCCCGGTCGCGAACCCGGCGCTTCTGGTCGTCCAGTCTTCCGCCATCGATTGGCTTTCCTTTCTTCTCCTTCTTCCCATGTGTAATCCGTCCTTTTTGCGTGTGAATTGATCGACAATTTCCACCAAAACCTCTCTCTCTTCCCTTCCCCTAATACAAACCAGCTGGTCTGAATCCCTTCACCTTTCCCCTCTTACTTTCATTCGAGTAGTTTGATTCCCTCCCCGGCGGACAATCAACTCCCACCCAAACCACACCCACCACAACACACCACAACCACCCCCCCACAATAACCACGCCGCACACCCACCTACCTACCGTAATCAGTACTTAGCAAAGATGAAGCCCGCCGCCCTCGCCGCCGCCGCGCTCTCGCTGTGCGTCTCGCTCGCCAGCGCCGGCGTCGTCCGCACGCCCATCCGCCCCGACCAGGTCGTCCCCAAGACGGGCGACGACTGCTTCTTTGGCGTCGTGACGCCGCAGGGGTGCGGGTACGTGTACTTTCTTCGCTCGTTGTTGTGGGAGATTGTGGCTAATTCTTTGGGTTTGGTGCAGGCCTCTGAGGACGAGCTAAGTCCGTCCCGCCGTCTGTGTTGACGTGTACCCGAGGCGGTGGTGATGATGGGATGGTTTGCGACGTGATATCTGGCTGGGAAAGGGCAAGCAACGCAAGCGTGCGCTCTCTCTTTTTCTCGCAAGGCCGATGCCTCGATAGGGCCGGTGGAGCTCGCGGATCGGCGGATAGAGCGGAGCAAGGCTGGCTTCGGGCCTGTGGTGTTGGATTCTTTTCGTTTATTATATACCCTACTACGACATGTGTAAACATACTTCTTTCGTTGGTGCTTTGGCCCTTTAATCCGGACACCCTGTCGAACCAAACGTGTGTAGGCTGCCTTCCCTGAGTCCCGAGATGTTGTGGGCAATTTGTGTTTCGTTGTTCGGCGGCGTTCTGGAAACGTCTGTCAATGGCATTGTTATCAAGCGGACTCGCTGGGGTGGCTGGTTTTGGACACGATCGACGCTCGGGTAGAACAAGGTGGCAGCTGCCGTGAACCTTTCGTAATGACGCGCAGAAACGGAGAAGCCAGACGTTGAAGGCTTCATATTAAGCGTATATTGGGTATATTTGTACAATTCGCACCGCCACCGACCAGCCGTATCTTAGCTGCTCTGGAGGCAAGCCCAGCACCCTATTCGTCTCAAAAAAACACAGCCTTAGCTTACACCAATGGCCGTTCTTTCCCTTAGCTTCTCGTATTACCATTACGTCGTCGTTCCGAATTAGGCGGGCAGGGGCGCCGGGGCGCCTGTCGGGCTTCCCGCTCTCGCGGCGGGAGGCGGGAGGAAAAGAGGGAGGTAGGTAACAAGAAGAGACACCACTGATCGGACAGGATTAGCTTATGAGAGCGCAGGGTTCGGAGGAAAGGATTGCCCTACCTGACATGCCAACATTGAAGTAGCCCGGCGTGCTGCTGCTCTTCTTGGTCTCTTCGCTCTCGCCTAGCCAGCTCTGGATGCTAAAGACAACGGACGCCCTGTATCACCTGTACGTTAGCTTGCCGTGACCTGTGACGATGCGTGGTGCATGTTGCGCGAAGATGTATCATCGTTCGATGCTTCGCGGGAAAAGATGGACGCGCGCGGCAGGCAAGAGGCTGCGGGATCGGGTTGAACTTACCACCCGACGTATTTGTTGCGCATGAAGATTGCGGCCATGGGGAGAGTCGAGGAGATAGTCGATTGAAACTCGACGTTGTCGCCCTTTGCAGCCGGCTCTTGATACGGAATAACTGCAGACGCGGGTGTCGTTAGTGCGCATGTTCTTCGTTGGGATTGCCAATCGCAATGGGAGTTCATCGACACTCACTCAAGTCCGGCTGCCTCATGTCCTTCTCTTTGTTTGACTCCATGGCGAACAGGGTCGAATTCGCGGTCGTGGTGTTTGATCGTTGATAGCTATTCGTACAACGTGCGAAACAGCGACGTGTTTTCGGTGGTGATTCTCGTTCGATGCAGCGCCGCAGACCCCAGATGAATGCCCCATAAAAAAAGAATCCGGGGACTCGGAAGAGCTTCCAGGCGCAAGACACTCCCTCCCTTACCTAACGCACGGGCCTTTGGCTACTTGGAGAACCTATCCGCCTGCTCCCTCTTCCTCTGTCCGAACCTCAGCGGAGTGGCCGGAAGGACCACCCGGCCTATTCCTTCCAATGCCACCGACCAACGCCCCATGTTCGATCGAACTCGGAAAACCTTACTCGGCACATTCCCAAAAAGGGAATCTCAAGGGTCCTACCTCGATCTCGAGCCCCTAACCATCGACATTGACACATCCGCGAGTGCACAAACGCAAGATAACGACGCGCCTGGCTGAGGGTGCGACAATATTCGCCGTATCCCCTCGGCCGAATCAAGTGGTTGGTGCCCGCCTTGAAATTCGCAGAAACAAGTCAGTGGCAGAGCTTCGAACAAGATGCAGCGGCCCGGACGGCAATCTCCGTGGCCTGTGACATCGCACATCGCAAATCCGGAAACCAGTGCAGCGAGGATGGTTGTACAAAGATGCCCAACCATTCCCGCAACTTTTCCGGCTGGATACCGATCTGATCCCGATTGATATGGGATCCCGCGGCATTCCCCCCGTATCCGCTGACCGGGAAAACGGGCATGATGACTGTGATTGAATGGCAGCTGAACGATCGTGATGACCAAACTCGCATCAGCAGCGAACCACAGCCTCCGAGTCGTGCAAAGGGTCCGGCCAGGGTGCCAGGCCACAGAGGGGCGTTGCCAAGTTTGATAGATCGCTGGCGACATGTATCTCCACACTGTGCACCCTTTCGAGATACCACTCACACTCACATCTGCAACATATGAATGCAATATTCTGCGTTTCAAGATGAGGTGCAGAACACTGCAGTGGGTGTGTGAGGGGGCCACTATATCTGAGTTACGGGATAGAATAATGGATATGCCGTTGTGCTACCGCTGCTATTCGACATCGAGATGCCCGAACCCCCACCGCGGGAAGCACTGTGTGCAGAGTTGTGGCAGCACCGTTAGGGTCACATCCCTGTTGCTCAAATTGGGGCCAGCGTGCACGCCATCTTCCCGAAGAGCCTGTGGTCGGTCCCGCACGCACGCAGCCCGACCACCCAAGCCTCTCTCCGTCGCTGGGGTCGACTACCACCCGTGGACCACCTGCACCGAGAGTTGAACTGTGACCTCCCCTGCTTCAACTCACCTACCGAAGCAGTCCCACGTTGCTCGGTCTCGAAGTCCGTTGCACATAGGTATTCCTCGCACTTCAATTACCAATGTTAAATTTTTATTCCCGCCATTATCGAAGCGAGGATCGAAAAGCGCTCTCAGCCGTGACTTCCGCCCGAAAACCGGCCTAATAGGTTCCATACGACGAAACCCCAAGTGACCCGAGTTCCCACAGCACTTCGCGCTGCAGGGGTCGGGTTCGAGCGGGTACTCCGACCTCATCCATTTCATCCCACCGCCGTTGCCATCCGACAACTGGCACCCCCCCAACCCGACGAGAGGTTCTCCTTTATCCAACGACATCTTGCGGCATGGCGCAGTCGCTCCCCCTCCTGCGATGACCTCCCGGCCTCCGATAGGCGTCCAGCAGCGACCGCCCCAGCACAAGCTGAGCGGGCCGAGTCTGTCGCAACGCCCGGCCGCCGCCCACCAGCGCGCCCTCTCGCAGCAGCAGCAACAGCAGCAGTATCCGCCGCCGCCGTCACCCGTACGCAAGGATACCTCCCTCTACGACTTCCCCCCGGCCGACCCTACCGATGGCGCGTCAGCTCGCCACGGCCCCCAGCGCCGCGGCGGCTCGCGCCTCAAGCTCGAACTCTCGCACGACTCCGCCGACCCTTTCCCACATGCCGCCCTCACCGAGTCGCCGAGTGCCGCCGAGTCGACCAAGGCCTTCACGCCATCACGCATTATGCCTCCCACCGACTCCTCCGAGCTCAGTGATATGAGCCCCCATCTCTCGATTCATCCCCTGAGCGTCGAAGTGGACGTCCCGCTACCCATGCCCCAGCGCCCCCCACCCTTCGTCGCCAATGCGCCCCGCCGCGAGATGCCCCCGCCGACAACCGCCAACCCCCCCAAGAAAGATAACCGCCCGAAGCCGTACGCGGTAGAGCCGCCGGCTGCCGCTCCGCGATATGCGACACACAGTGATACCCAGGCAAGAACGGGCGGTTCGGCGCCAAAGACCGGATACGCAGACTTCTACCCCTGGACGGGGAACCATCCCGAAGACCAGTTTTCCGACAATGTGATTCGAAACGGATACTACGATAAGGGACTGTTTTCCACGGCAGAGACACAGTCGGCTAAAAACATACTGTTCCCGGCACTGAAGCACAAGACTGGCCTCACTGCGCTCTCATCCGTCTTCACCGCCGTGCTGGGACAGAGGAGGCATAACGGGCAGATTGCGGCGCCGTCGACCTTCAAACCCCCACCCCGAGTTACCCTCACCGATACCAAGCGGGAGATTTGGTTGAGGGATCTCGCGAACCCCGCCATCTCGCTCCGACGGCTCAGCCGAACGATACCCCACGGCATCCGCGGCAAGGTTCTCCTCGAGCAGTGCCTGGACAAACGCGTCCCGACCGACCGTGCGGTCTGGCTGATAAAGTGCGTCGGCGCAAATGAGATTCGGGCAACGAAGCGGAAGGGCGTCAGCACCTTGGTAATGGGCGGGGAGACGAGATGGATCAAGGACTGGACTGTTTCGGTTGAGCAGTTCATCGAGCATGTCTATTTCTCATTCGACGACGATGACTGGAAGTTTAAAGTCCACTACACGTGAGTTACTGCGAACCTTGCTACCCCTTCGGTTATCAGGCTAACCCAAGACCAGAACGCGACTGGCGGCACATTTGTATGCCGAACATTTACTCGACCGCGAGCATTACTCGGAATGGCTCGTCTCCAATCTCGAAAACAGCTCCGACGCTAAACTTCCCATGTGGATGCTCATCACCCAGCTATACTGGAAGGACTTGCTCAAAATGAGGAGGTATGGCCGCAGGCTGGTTACCGCTCTTATCAGCCATCATCACCTAGTATGTAAATCCGGACGTCAATTTTTGAAAGAGTCTGAATGCTTATACTGTCATAAGATATATAACCACCCCGACAAGGATATTTTGCACCCGCTGCTCGAAAGCCTGACGCAGTGCATAAACACATTGATATTGAGCAGCCCTGAGAACTTTGTATCTCCATCCGCTTGGTCAAAGTACAGAGATGCTCTAAAAGCGTGCCTTCCCGCCGGGGATGAAGCCAGACAGAACTCCTTTGGGGCGATAAATCTCCGGAACGAGCAGCTCGCGGCGGCCGCCAACAGGTCGCAACCAGCTGCCCGGCACATCTTGGTGCGCATGCTTGATGGGACCCTCCAGGCGCCCATGCCGAACGAGCTTCCGGCCCAGTGTTGGGGGATCTCCAAGGACAAGGACGCTTTAGGGAGGGCTCTGCTCGAATGGTGCACGTCGCTGTACCGCCCCGGTCTAGCGAAGGTCTACGTCACAAGCCGGATACTGCAGCATTGGAGCACGCTAGGCTTGGACTCGACTGGGACTGTGCTGGACTTTCTCGACGCCGATGTTTGTGAAGAGAAGGAGCACAAATCGGTCTTTTACCACGTCGTCTGCGAGCTTGTCCGATCAGATATTTTCTCGGTCCCTCGCTATATCCAATGGCTCATGGCGCGTGGAGGGACACGGAACCCCGAGCTCGTCTCAAGGGACGGGCCGGCACCCACCCGCCTGCTCGTCGAGGTCCCGACACACGCTCTCGCGCCGTCTCAGCGGGATCTCAGAGGCGAGATTCTCCGGCGCGCCTCCTTCAGCGTAGCAGAGGCAGCAGCTGATGCCGAGTTGGCGCTCAAGCACCTGAAGCATGCACTGGGGATGCCGACAGATCTAGCGGGTCTGAAGCCGATGTCACTCATCAAGTTTACTAAGAGGATCGCGTCCGCAGACCGAGCGCTCAAGGCCGAACTTGGTTGGTGGCTCCGGGCCAACTTCACGGCTCACGCTGAGGAGAGGGAGAGAGAAGGCAGCCAGGCGCCCGAAATCTCGCCGACCCTCTTTTACGCTGTTCGATCCGTGCTAGAGGCAGCTGAAGACTTCTCCATGTTTGGGGATATCTTGAAAACGCTCACGCGGCATTCGAGCGTGGAGATCCTGGCCGCCATCGCCGACACCGTCACTCGTCACTTTTTTATCTTCTCTGCCTCTGGCGTTACCTTGACCTTATTTCGCAACCTCCACCAGCGCCTCAAAGCCGCCGTCCAGGAGCAAGGCATCGCTCTGCGTCCGCTCCTGGCCTCGCTCGTTACCCTCGCCCCGAGGATACCGGGGATGGAGGAGCTTGCCTCGCAGTTGAAAAAGGACCTGGCGCTGAACGACCGCCAGAACCCCGTGGATGCCTGTTCCCCGGTGTCCGATAACATGGTTGCTCGATTACAAGACGATGCCGGCGAGCTGCACGAGGAGATCGAGAAGCTTCTGGCCGGCGGTTCGAGCGTCGACCGAAACACCATGGAACGGCTATTCCAAACTATTGTGCAGCGCCTGCAGGTCAGCTGGGCCAAGGAGACAGACAAGCAACGGCCCTACAGCAGCCTGCTCGGCCGTCTGCGCCTCTTCAACACCCAGCACTTTGACGGTCTCATGGTCAAATGGCTCTTGAGTCTCCGCGCGCTCGGCAGCCGCCCGTCTATCCTGAGGATATTCCCGCTGCTTGTGTCAGTGGGGTGTCTCGACATGGGCGCGATTTTGGCAACTGCCTCGGACTTTTCGGCCGGGCAAGGCGCGGGCACCGCGCGAACACCCACCACCGCGACCGCCATGCCCCAGGTGGTGCAGATTACATACCGAACGAGGTACATGCAGGAAGTGCTGCAGTTGCTTACCGCGCCGATCCGGAAAAACGACCTGCTCACGGCAGATGAAGTATACCGCTTCTCCATCCTCCAAGACCAAGCAGTCCGAGAATATCCCAAGGAGGTTCTCGGACTCATCTTCCTTGCTTCGGCCGAGTATTCCTATGCGAAAATGCAGAACGACCTTGAGGCCCTCCCTTTGGAGTGTGACTCGGTCCAGCTCAGCGTTCTCGACCTGCTCAAGCGCCTCGCCCTAAGGGACGCCGCCGGGGTCGCAAGGGTACTGGGTGTTAGGAGCCCGAACCCGCACGTTAGCGGCTGGATTGACTGCGTGACAACCAAGCTGTTGATCCCTACCGCTAATGCGCAGACGCGTATCTCCTTCGACCAGGTCCTGGAGCTGACCAACGAGTTCACCCTGCCCTTCTGCCAGGTCAAGCTCGCACTGAGCTTGAGCTCAAACGAGCAAGCCAGCCAGGAATCCACCGACCGGCAGCAATCACACGTTGACCTCTTCGCGAACGCCATGGATAAAGCCATCGGCGCAGGCAACATTTCGTGGGTTGGGATGCTAAGCTGTCTCAGCCCAGAGATCACCCAGCATCTCAAGGTCCGCGCCCAAAACCGCTTCCTTGAGCTTCTACCATCCCTCCGTAGTCCCCCGGTAAGCGATAGTGTCCTTGCCCACAACCTCCAGATGGCCGAGAACCTGCTCTCCGTCATCGACGCCATCATGCGCGGCAGCCCTGCCGGCCCGCGCCAGCCCCAGCTCTCACCGGCCGTCGTCGACAAGCTCGTCGACCTCTGGGAGCTCCTCGCCGCGCCGCCGGCCGACAACAACGACCACGACCCGGACATGATGGACATATCCGAGCCAACAGAAACAACAACAACGACGACGACGACAACAACAACAACAACCACGGACCCCAAAACAGCCCTCCTCACCCACTGGCTGCCGCTGATGCTCAACTTTGTCACGCTCCACGCGCACGCCTTCGACATGTCGCGCCCGACCAACGACGTGCGCGCCAAGATCCTCGTCGCCTGCGCCGGCCTCATGCAGGAGCTCGACGCCGCCGCGCCCCCGGGCCCAACCCCCACTGGGGTAGCTGCTGCCACCGCTACTACTACCGCCGCTGGTGCCGCCCCAGGCGCAGGCGCGGGCTCGGGTTTGGGTGCCGCTAGCGTCGCCGTCGGCACGGCGCAGTCGCTCAGCCGCCGCGTCTTCGACCTCTCCTGCCTGCTCGTCGACAACCTGGCCGAGGACGCCCGCGCCATGTGCGTGCGCGCCGTGCGCGACTGCGCCGCCGGCGATCCCCGCTTGCGCTACCTCTTTGGTCTCCCCCCCGCGGCTGCCTCCTCTTCCTCTGAAGGTGGGGAGGGTGGTGGTGGTGGTGGTGGTGGGGGTGCGCTGGTGCTGTCGCATCGGGAGAAGGGGTTTGGTTCCGGTGGGGTGGGCGCCGGGAGGGCGGCGGCGGGTGGGGGTGGTGCGGGCGTGGGGAATATGTTGTTTGGCGGGCTGTTGGGCACGCCGGCGGCGCTGTGGGGCGTGGATCGCGGGCAGGCGGGGGAGAGGATTAGCTTGTTTCAGTATAGACGGTGGGAGATGCTGAATGAGCCGACGCCGAATGTGGGGGAGAATGATACGGCGCTGAGTTTGGGGCTGTTTGAGGCGAGGCGGGTGCAGTAATGGGTAGGGGGGATACCGGGGGGGAGGAGAGATTTTGGGGGAGGATATTGAAAGGGGGGAGGTTGAAGGTGGGGGAGGTTAAAGGGGGGGAGGTTGAAGGGGGGGAGGTTGAAGGGGGCGGATTGAGAAGGGGAGGACAAGATGGGAGGAGGACAAGAAAGAGATGGGCGGAGCGGGAGCGATTAGCATTTTCTTGTGTTTTGTTGTTTGAACCATCATCATCGTTTAGGAGTGGAGCGCGGGTGACAGGCAGGGCATGGGATGGATACCCGGGTTTTCGTCTTTTTGCTGGGCGTGTTCGTTCGGGTCTCGTTCGGGTTGGGTTTGGGTTGGTTGCGAAGCGGGTTCATCGTCACGACACCACACCGTCCGGTCGTTCTTTTCATATGTATATCTTTGCTTGGCTGTCATGAAGTCCATGGGCGGGGATGGAGGGGGAAGAGGGGTTCAAGAAGCGTGCTGCTCGGAGTTTCCGTTATCGATGCTATAGCTATCACGAGCATGATCATGAAGGATGGCGTTCGGCTCGGGTTGGTTTGGTCCGGTTCCTGGGTGCGTATCAGAGGTGGAGGTTCATAGCGTCGGTAGGAGTCGGCAACGCATTCAACAAGCGGTGTTGTTATTCGTGTGTTACCGGTGTTTTGTTTCTGAGGTGTTGAATACCTATGGGTAATGTGTTTGTTGATGTCCATTCTGATGTGGTGTGCATGCTCTGGGTTCGCTCTTCATACGAGAGCATATTCAGGGGTAAACGGACCCTAACCCTTGCCCAGTGAATACAGCATATAGTGGCGGCGATGAGTTTACAGGCTGCAGCTATCTGCAGCTTACGGGGCACTCACATTGGATATCTTGCACTTGACTTACTCATCAGCATGGATAGCCTAGTGTTGGTACCCCATTTTGATTTGTCTCGCCCCAAACACAGAAAACTACCTAGGTACCTTAGGTTCCAACCCGAATCCACACAACGGTCCTAGGTCCAGCCAGTTAACCGGGACCACGAAAAATGGAGGGCGCTGCTCTCTGCCGTCTCTGCGCGGGCCTCGATATACAAGCCGCAGTCGAGCGTGTCGTATCTCGGGAGCATTGGAAACATAGTGGCTCCCATCATCTCGAGTCCCCATGGCACCGTACGCTTGCCGACGTCGATGTCTCGTCGTCCTCGTGCGCGCTCTGTGCCATTGTCATGAAGGGTTGGCAGGCCAGCCGCGAGGTGGTGGTTAGGCGAGCGATACAGAACGCCATGTTCGACACTGAGAACCCGCCGCCAGGCCTGGATGACCCTGTGAACAAGATTCCGGCATACCGGGATGCGGATGGGATCACGCTCGAGGTTCTGCGGAGGCCGAGGATGGTGGAGGATGGCCGGGAGAATAGGTCCAGTCTCTTCCTGCGGGTTAAATGTGGTCCGGCGGAGGTGGCTTCGTTCGATGTCGTTGACCGCATCGTGGCCGAGCTGCGTATCGCAAGGGCTGGTGGTGGTTCCCTCGCTCCAGGTACTATGGATGCGGTCCCAACAGATATTGCGCTACACACGGATCTGCTCGTTAATGACGACCCCCTATCGCAGGACAGCCTAGGTGTCGCGAGAGGTTGGCTGGAGATGTGCGTGAACAGCCATGGGGGAGATTGCAGCCCCCGTACCGGAGCTAAGGGATGGATGCCCACACGCCTGCTGGAAGCTGTGTCTGGATCCACGAAGATCTATCTACGGGAGTCTGCGGCGCTCAAGTCTGCCGACAATGGTCGCTATGTCGCACTCAGCCACTGCTGGGGCCAGGGCGGGACCCCCTTTACAACAACACACCAGACGCTCCCTCTCCGGCTGGGTGGCATCGACATCAGCGACCTCCCCCAGACCTTCCAGGACGCGGTCACCTTAACCAAAGAACTCGGCCTACGATATCTATGGATCGACAGCCTCTGCATCATCCAGGACGACGCAGAGGACTGGGCCAAAGAAGCCGCGCAGATGGCACAAGTCTACCGCAACGCGCACCTGGTCCTCAACGCAGCCAACAGCGACTCAGACAGCAAGGGCTTCCTCCAGCGGCGACACATCCCGGACACCATCCCCCTCCCACCACCGCCACCACTACCAACCCCCTCACCAACCCCCTCACCAACCCTCTCAACAACCCCCCCAACAACCCCCTCACCCAACCCCCCCTCACCCTCACCCCTGAACCTCACCCTCCAACTCCTCCCCACCAACCCCAACCAACATAACCCCCTCGCCCACGAACCCATCACCACCCGCGCCTGGTGCCTGCAAGAGCACATCCTCCCCCCGCGCGCCCTGCAATACGGCACCCACCAAGCCTTCTGGACGTGCGAGCACCTGCGCGCCAGCGAGGACGGCACCGCCATCCGCCAGCCGGCCGGCGCCGACGGCGGGGGAGCGGGGGGCCAGCTGAGGCTGGTTTGCGGGTCGGGGAATATCGCGCCGTCGGTGTTTGGGCGCGCTGGTGCAGGGATGTGGGAGGAGGGCGGGGAGCTGCTGGTGAATTGGGCGGGGTGGTACGGGATGTTGGAGGACTATAGTGCGCGCGGGATTGCGAGGGATGGGGATCGGTTGCCGGCGCTGGCGGGGTTGGCGCGCGTGGTGGGCTGGGAGACGGGGAGTGCTGCTGCTGATGCTGATGCTGGGGAGGGGGAGGATTATCTGGCGGGGATATGGCGGACGGGGTTGTGGGAGGGGTTGTTGTGGTGTCGGGCGAGGGAGGGGCTGGTGTTGGCGGCGACGACTGAGTATGTGGCGCCGTCGTGGTCGTGGGCGGCGGTGGTTGGGCCCGTGCAGTTTGTGTTGTATGGGTGGTATGCGCGGCGGGCGCGGTGGAAGGCGAGGATGTCGGATTGTGAGGCGCTGGCAGAGTATCGTGGGCATTTTACGGTGAAGAGGGATAGTGATCCGTATGGTCGGTTGAAAGGGGGGACTCTCACGTTGAGGGCACCGCTGCTGAGGGTTGTGTCCGTTCGGCCTAGGCAGGTCCAGCCGCCGGGTTTGCGCTCGTTGTTTGGCCATGCCCCGGGCCGTTCGGAGGTGGCGGATTTGGTGGTTCAGATGAAGTTGGGGGGTGGGAGTGTGTGGGTGGAGGGCGGGTTTGACGATCGGGGTGCTGTGACTGATATCGCGAAGCTGGTTGTCATCTTTCTATGTCGGCTACCACATGTCCTGGAAGAGGGCTTTGTCGAGCAGCGGTTTGGCCTCATACTGGAGCCTGTGGATGGAAGCAAGCAGTACCGAAGGGTTGGGTTCATCGACGGCGTGGTGCTAAAGAAGTCTATTATGGACGGTTTGAAGGGGCATGGCATGTTCTCTATCGTCGGCTATCCCCGCCCCTTTGAGAAAGATGACATCTACGAGGCCATACGGGATAATGAGCTCGCTAAAGACCCGCTTAGTCTGGACAAGACGGAGGTTAGGATATGTTGAATTGAGTTGTATAGGGTGCTCCAGGGACTAGCTCAAGAATGATTTAAGTGTCTATCGTTAACAGGCTCTATCTTGGACGATCAGCCATTTACATACTTGAGTATACAAATACAGTTTAAAGAATCCCTAAGATATTATACCAAAACTTCAAAGCCATTTTCCAAATTCATCCCTTTATTGTTCAATACCGGCAATGTAGGTATGTAGCTGAGAGTCTCTCAATTCAGGGGTCAACCCTCCACGAGGCTCCCCCTGTTGATCGCTCCTTCACCCCTCCTCATGATTGGTGTCACCCAAAAGACCGAGCTCGGTCTCATTCGTTTGTATTTCCCCGCGCTTCTCTACCGCTGGCTGGGAAGCAACGGTGGATTCGCGGGGAGTGACATCGCGCAGCCGGACAATTTCCCCCTTGAGCAGGACTGCCGACTTGGCATCACGGATTCTCCCAACGTCGTTGCATGCAGCAAGTAAGAAAGCTACTCAGTTGCCTTCTTGGTCCCTCGCATAGCAAGTGCGGCCGATCCCTATGGACGGGTGATCTCACACACCATTCGGTTACCAACCGTGCCAGTGCGTGCCAACTTACCCTCAGCTCCTCTGGGCCACGATGCAACCTCCAATGGCTACGCCCAGAATCACATGTGCCAGCCAGGGCTGAAGCCGCGGCTGCCATGAGGCCGTAAAATCCCAAGATGCCCCGGGCCCGGCAAGGCGCGACCATGTCGAGGTTCCGCGTGCGGTTGTCTCTACGCCCCCTAACCCCCTGAGGATTACCTCCCCCAAGACCCAACTATAACCCCCTCCCAATCCACCACCAGACAAGTGAACCAACCCACCACGCACAATGCGTTCCCTCCAGCGGCTCGTGGCAGCCGCCCTAGCCACCACCCAGGCGGCCGCCGCCTTCGAATACAACACCTTCGACGGCCCCGGCTTCCCGTCCTGCTACAACGTATCCCGGGTGCACGACGCCACCAGCGTCGCCGACATGGCGGCCGTCGTCAAAGAAGTCGCCGCCGCCTCCTCCTCATCCTCTTCCAACTCCTCAGCCGTCGGCCGAGTGCGCGCGGCCGGCAAGGGCCACATGTGGTACGACACGCAGTGCAGCGACGCGTGGACGGTGATTGTGCGCACGGAGCAGGTGGCGGCGATCTCCGACTTTGAGCTGGCCGAGGGGGCGGATCAGGGGACGGTGTGGGTGGAGGCGGGCACGACGTTTTTTCAGCTGGCGGATTACTTGCATGAGCGCGGCGCGTCGGTGGGGTATACGTTGACGAATTGGAATATTAGCTTTGGCGGGAGCGTGGCGATGGGGGCGCATCGGTCGTCGATTCGGGAGGATAGTATGGTGGCGGCCGGGGTATTGGCGATGGATATTATTGATGGGATGGGGGAGGTTAGGAGGGTGGTGAGGGATGAGGGGGACGATGAGTGGTTGGCCGCGTCGACGTCGTTGGGGTTGCTGGGCATCATTGCGCGGGTCCAGTTGCAGGTGTATCCCGATACGAAGGTCTATGCCAAGCAGGCGACGTGAGTGGTTATTTGCTTGACTTGTTTGGTTTGGAGAGGGAAAAGGGGGACATGACTAACAAGTTTAGGCTTGACGAGAAGGACGTCCTCGACGGGGATATCTATGGCATGATCGCGCCGTATGCGACGGCCAACCTCTGGGTACGTGATCTATCCTCCGAGCAACACACAGCACCGTCATACTAACGGCAGGGTAGTGGTGGCCATACAAGCGCAAGTTCCACCACCGGTACTACAACCCGGTGCCTGCCAACTCGACCCCCCAGGAAGGATTCCAGAACACCTTCTCCGTCACCGAACTGGAGGCCATCGCAGCCCGCACCATGCTCGACAGCGGCAAGTACCTCGCCACGTCCAACATGCTGGCCGAGGAGATCTTCTTTGGCCTGTGGTCCAAGCCCAACTTCCGTGAGAAGACGACCAACGAAGAAATCGAGGAGTGGCCCGTCTACGGTTGGAACTACGACGTTCTCATCGGCGGCCTGTACCCAGACCAGAAGGCCGAGTGGGATTACGGCCTGGCCGGCTACACGATGGAGTTGGCGTTCCCTATGCCGCTGGCGAACAAGATGCTGAAGAGGGTTCGGGAGCTGTTTGACGATGAGCTCAAGAAGGGGATCATCATGACGTCGACGTACCGGAGTGGGATTAACATCAAGTGTGAGTTGTCGTCGTTCACTTGCAAGTGAAGACCCAGAGTGAGATGCTGATAACGCGGCAGTTGGCAAGGCCTACTATGATTTCCTCGGCCAGGTCACGTACAACACGACCGACGGCGCCGACTGGACTAAGGGCGCCATCATGTTTGATTTTCCCTCGTTCCGGCCCACCATTGGGGACCACAAGCGGTTCAACGAGCCGTTCTGTAAGTGGCCGTGACCCAGATCTGATGGACAATTATCGAACTGACCATCCCCAAAGACCACAAAGTGGCCAACACGCTCATCGACGAGTTCCCGTGCCGCCCGCATTGGACTAAGAATACTCGCGAAGTGTTCACTCGATCGGTCAAGAACCTGGATCCCAACGTGAGTGTTCCGGTCAGGTTGACGGGAGTAAGTTTACTGACTAGATGCATCATGCAGCACCTCCGTCGCTTCAAGGCTGTTCGGGAGCGGTTCGATCCTCAGGGCATCTACCGCAATGTGATTGGGGAGATTCTAGGGTTTTATTGACGTGCGGTTGCAATCAGGTACATAATAATACGGCTTATTCAGACGGGTCCACGGTACCTGGGGGTCTAAGATCTTGAAACGTAGATATTTGAAATTAAATCAATTAAGAATGCTCGTTAATTTGCGATATGCTTTTTATTGCATACGCTATCGTGTGCAAATGGGAATTTTCTTCCAACTCTTCAAATGAATTTGGGGCTGGAAGGAGTAAAGTGTGGAAAGTCTTATATCCACGGGTACCCGTGAACCTTCCCCTGTTGGTCCAAAACATTGCACTGCTCTGCACGGGCGACCCGTGTGTGTTGGTGTTCCCTGACCGCTGTTGTTGGTTGTTGGTGCGGGGAGGTGAGCGCGAGCAAAGCACACCAAATTGTTTCCCTTCCACAGAAAGCCAGCCCTCCTCCCTCCCTCTACAAAACGGCAGACGACCAGCAAGAGACAACCGGGAAGAGGACGACCAGCAAGAGACTCAGACAACCGGAAAGAGCAAACCCAAAAACCATGGATTCGGAAAACCAGCAGTACACCGTCGACGATGAGATCGCCGCTTTTTTCTCCAAGACGGCAGTGACCCGCGGCACATGTGACGGGTTGGCCAAGGACCTCGTCGGCGGCGACCAAGCCGTCCCCGTTGCGGTGCAGGGGGCCTGCTCGTATACCGTCTACGCCGGCCAAGGTCTCGGCTACGTCGTCCAGTTCCGTCTCAAGTCCCTCGAGCTCAAGGGCGAGACCGCCGCTCTCGCCCGACGCATCTTCGGCACCTTGGCGCCCGAGGTATCCTTCAGGCGGCAGCTCGGCGAAGACTCCGAGGCAGCCGGTCAAGAGCCTCTGCTTGTCTACGTCATGACTCGCATACGGGGAATGAGCCGTCTTGACTTCATACTCGCGCATGGCTTCCCTGAGAACTCGCCGGAGAATATGGCCCGCCGCAAGAACCTGATCCAGGACGTGGCAAGGTCCGTCGTTGGCTTCTGGTCTAAGCAATACAACAACGAACTACGCTAACCTCAGTCGATCTAGATTCTTTGCCATCGCATGGAAAGCACCACAGGCAGTCGAGCAAGATTACCTCGATCATATGGCCGAGACCTTCGAAAAGGAGCTCCAGATCTTGCTCGTCGCCCTCCCTGACCGGTTCCACCCGATCATCCGCGCCACGCTCGCAGCGCTACCGAGCATCTGCTCCCTCCCCACGGTTCTCCTCCACAAGGACTTTGGCGACTGCAACATCATGGTGGAGGACGAGACGTGCCGTTTGGTCGGCGTCATCGACTGGGCCGAGGCAGAGATCGGCCCCTTCGGCACAAACCTCCATTCCCTGCAAGACTTGATGAGCAAGTTGCACCTGAAGAATGGGTGGATCAGGTACGAGGACTACGACGACCTGGTGGGTACGTTCTGGAAGACCTTGAGCGACGAGGTTGGCGGACTGGATAAGGATACGGCCAAGGCTATCAGGGCGGCACGGGTCCTGGGCTTGCTCAGGTCTTGGGCGTTCACCAGCCGGCTTGCCAACGAGCCTGTGCCGGTTCCGATCAAGGATGATGAGAGCGGGAGGTATAGGATGATGATCATTGATGGGCTGCTGCTGAACCCAACCACCCGATTTGAGGGACTGGATAAGTGGCTCGAATGAAGGGGAAGGGAGGCGAATATGAGCTATGAAAAGGGGAGGGAGTTGCGACTAGTGTACATGACACCAGCCTCGACAAGGGCAGCCTTCAAATCTTCTACATTCTCCAGCTTGGGCAGAGGCTTACCCGCATTGAAGACCCTGCGGTTCCCGGTCGTCATCTTCGAATGAGTCTCATGGCTATGCAAGTACGGGGGGGTTCCATCGCAAGACTCGAACGACCAGCCCGTAATACGAGTCGGCTCGCAGTTCTTGATGAGGGAAACGGGGAAGGGTGGAGGAGGGGGCACGTACAACGCCCGGCTTTGCTGGAAGTCGTGGACGTTCAAAGCCCGGTCAAAGGCTGGAAACGTGGGAAGGGTTGCCACTAGAGCCGCCATGGTGTTCTTGATGATTCTCAAGAACGAATCGGGTGGTGCTTGGTAGATTTGGTCTGTGCGGTCAATGAGAAGCGGAGATGCAAGAGAGAAGACTCAGAGGGGATAACGGATGGGGGGTCCTCGTTTTATGTGACAGCCTGGTCAACTCGAGCCTGGGCTTGTGTTGGGACCTTCCGAAAGCTGAGGACGGTTGGAAGAGCACTGGCACAATTAGCGCGTGTTGTTGGTTCTCCAACAGGCCTGGCGCATATGTATGGGGTCCGCCCTTCATCCGCTTTGGCCGGGGATTGTTACGGGGCTGGGGGTGTTTTGTGAGGAGCTGCGGGAGGGGGTGGGGTTTGGGAGGCGGAGAGGCAATGGGTTGCGCTGAGTGGGGGGAGAGGGAAGTGTATGAGGTGAGGGCGAAGGCGGTGAATGTTGCTGCTTTGGTTGCGTATCATGAGGGGAGGAGCGTGTAGGTTGCGTGGCTGGGAGGAAGAGCGAGAAGCACTCTTGAAAATCTATCTTAACGAATTGAGGGACAGGCCATTCGCATTCCAAGAACGGAAATATCATAAAACTAAAAAGGGCATTTAGGAGGGCTAGACATATGGGACATCTGCTTTATTGTCGCTCAAAAAGTACCAAGGTACGTCGTACACGACTACTTCGTAGTCCCGCCTTGGGCAATAAGGCAGACCCACGGGTTGATTAGACAATTGCCATGAATCTCTGCATGGTACCCTCCTGGCAAATCTGCCAGAGCGATACTGGATGGATGACCCCCTTTGGCAGGCGCAGATGCCAGATAGCATCGCCGTGGGAGTTGATCAATGCGGGCTGCACCCTCTCCATCTCGACCACGAGGTGGCAGGTGTCAGAGGCCACCTTTTTCCAGGCCTCAATCACATGACGATCGAGCTTGAGCCCCCATGTGCCGCGCCAGGTGAGGGTTGCTCGCCTGCTTCCCTTCTCCCTGTGGTAGATGACGGCGCTTGCTCCCCCCCTTCTTCCCAACCACAGCGCCATAGTCTCCAGCTGAGGCATCTTCAGCGCAGCTAAGCTGGCGTTGTGTAATAATGTAAAGATCTCCTCTTTGGGAGTGTCGGGTGTCAGAAGGGATGAGGTGAGGGTTAACGATTGGAGGCAAGGCCAGGTATAGGATTGCTGACAGGCGTCGAAAAAGTCTTGAGCCTCAACCATGAAGGAAATATAAAGCCGTTCAAGGTTGCAGCTCTTGGAAGCGAGAACTTGGACCAGCTGTCGGTATGCGGCTGGGTCCGTGGTCAGAAAGGTTCGATATGCCGAATTGGCTTCGAGTGTCGACTGAAACTGTTGGTTAAAATCTTCAAAGATGGATAAAGTTCTGACGTGGCTTGGGAAGTCCTGCAATGTATAGGACAATAAAAAAGTTGCATAGACACGCCTATCCAGGCGAGTCCCCCGCTGCTGCAAGCGCTCCCAGTTGCGCCAAAAACTCCACGGCTCGTAGACTAGACTTTGCAGTCGAGGGAGTTTGTCCCATAGGGCTCGTAGACCCCCGGGGCTGATCTGGCGTCGGAACTGTCGACGTATCACAAGCCCGGTAACTACCGGAACCATGGGGGTCACCTTTGGAATTGCAGGTAGGATCGGGGAGAAAATCCGCATTGTAGCTGCCGCGGTAGGAGCCCGAACCCGCCTGCCGCTGACCCAGCCGTGTTTTCGGTCACTCCATAATTCCGTGGGAGCAGATTGCTGATGCCGGATTGGGTCCCCATAATCTGGCCCACAAGGATAGTTTCTGAAGAAGTGTTCCGAGTCGCTTGGTGAATAGGCGCTCAGGTCCAATGTCAGACCACCATCTGTCGGGCGCCAGGTGCCAAGGATTGAAAATAGCTTGTACGTGGCTTTCCCGATGAGATGGCAGTTCGAAACTCTGCTTGACGCCCCCTCCACCTTGTTGCAAGAGTCGCAGCCATAGCGTGGAAGCTCCATGTTCAGGCTGATGTATCGAACAAACTTCCTTCGTCGTCTGTCCAACATGATGCGGCTGAATTCGTCGAGACAGCCCGTCTGTAGTTTCAGTTGGCTGAAGTTCCTTGTCTCGATCAAGAACTGCCATTCTTTGCAGACAGCTGCGCAAGAAGTCCAGCCACGATGCTTTGCCTGACAGACTTCCTCGAGGATCATGCGGCGGATCTCGACAGGGAACGAAACCCACGAACTAACCACGGCGCAAATTCTCATTTGCTTGACGCCGCGGAGCATTTCTCTATAAAGGTCGTCATCGCCGTGTCGCTTTGGCATTTTGACACAAAGACTTGCGGGCTGGTGTTGGAGGTTGGCGATCATTTGTGGCTTGTGGTTGTGAACAGAGGGAGGGCTTTGACCGATACTTGCTAGATATACTCCACTGGATATTCTACTACCCGTGGACAACAAAAGGTCGGGCCAAAGAAATGGCGCTGGCTGTCCACCGAACAGGAAGTGCTCGAACCGTAAAAAGAACTGCTAGGCTATACACTAGATACCTAGGTACAGGTAGGTTATTTCAGACGAACGCGGATTGATTAGGTAGGTACGGAACAAGTATGAGGAGGCACTCAAAAAGCCCCGTGACGAGGCTGAGGTGCAAAGAAAAGAAAAAGAAAAACCAAAACTATTATCGCCTAACAAAACCTAAATCGAGTAGAAAATTAATAAGCCAAGCACAACGAAATCCCATCCCATATTTCACCACCCACCATCTACTTCGACCTTGAGAGGACCCATTTCAACAGTCGGCTTGAATTGGGTCAAACTCTGCTGCCATGTCCGAACAAATAATTGAACAGCTCCAGCGTGAGCTGAGGGAAGTTCAAGAGCGGGCTCGGCTCGATGCGGAACAGTCAAGGCTCAAGGAAGAACAACTTCAGAATCAGCTACACGAGGCCGAGAAACGTACCGGGAAGACGACATAGGTAGAGTACTTGGATGAGCCGAATCTTTGCGATCGAAGAGCAGAGAACACTGACACTTCGGAATCGCGGCTTCGTCGTTGTCGACGGTAGATTCCTTGGACAGGGAGTCGTCCGAAACAGAACTCGCCGTCCGAGAGCATCCGCTTGAATCGCGAGCGGCGTGTAGCAACACCGAGGCGAGGCGGTTCAGCGATGCGAAGGTGACATTGACAAAAACGACGGAGATGGTGACCTGTCTCCAGAAAACCCAAGCACACCACCGGCGACGGACTCAAACGAGCGGAAAGGAGGGCCATCGGGCGGTATTTCTAAAGACGGCGACCAAAAAGTATCACCCAACGCCGACGCCACCACCGGTCCCCCCATTCGAGACTATTGCACACAGGCCTGCCTGCTGGGCCTCAAGAAAGGCGGGATCTCGACGCCAACTGGCCCAATGTATCCTCGCATCGGACCGCCGAGGGCGGCAGCCGCCACGCCATCACTGCCGACGAGTTCACCGGGTTGGTTAACGAACAGTTTCGCCAGGGCCGTGACGTGTATCAACACTGCACCGCGGTAAATCCCATCGGTTACGCGGCCAAGATTGGGTCTACCGGCGTCCTTTGCAAATAGAACTGGCGCCGTACGGTTACACCTTCGTCGCCAAAGGGACGATCCCGGCCTACTACGACCGCCTGAAACACGAGAGTCTCGTCTACGCACGCCTCGAGAGGCTCCAGGGCGAGGTAATGCAAGTGCACCTAGGCATCACAGACCTGTCCTGGGGCAGTGGCTTTGTCATACCCGGTGGGACGTACTTGGGATACAGGATGATGATGTCTTGGGGCGGAGAGGCGGCTACCTATCAGGTGGTGCCGAATCTGACTGCCGAGAGAAACCGCTGGATAGAGACGGTGTGGAATGAAGGCGTCTCTCACCACCCTAAATTTCTCTGGAACGAGGAAGTACGGCGTGTCATGGCCATCAACTTTGACCGGCCTGCTCTCCGCCCGCCACCCAAGCACAAGCAACTATCAGCCTTGTCTCGTCGCGACCAGAAGAGGAAGCGGCGCAGGGGACCCGACTCGGACAACCAGAACCAAAAAAGGGTGTCAATCGGCGGCAGTGGCCTACGACTTGTAGAGTAAACCTAGGTAGATAAAAACATTATCACTTCCCGACTTCCGCCACCTTCTGCCGCATCACCGTCCCACTCCCCAAACCCAAACACCCCCCTATCACCCGCAACCCCATCATGCACCTCCACACCCCCCTTCAACGCTTTCGCCACTGTCGGATACCCCCGTTGCACGCAAAATATCGGTAACTACAAACCTCCCAATCAAATCACGCCCCACCACCACCGCGCTCTCCTCCAACCCCCACCTCCCATCATAGCCCACGTGCCATTAGAAATCACAACCGCCCTCGCCGCAGTCCCACCAACCCCACGCCCTAGTGTCCCACGTCGTGAGCGTCGTCCGTCTCGAGCTCCTCGGGCACCGACTCCATCCCGGCCGAGCCGCTGTAGCTCCTCTGCCTACGAGATCGGTGCGGCCCTTCTTGGCCACCAACAAGAGGGCCGTTCTGTTATTATTATGATCCCTTGCATTGGCATCACAACCGCTCTCCAGCAGCAACTCAACAGTATGCCAGTACTTTTCTACGCCCTAAAGCGGTCCTATGTTTTGGTAACGGTCTCTCGCCAGCGGTCCGCGGCCTCCTTAAAAAGAAGTTTGGTAATCTGGATCCCAGTCACCTTCCTCAGTCCATGTTAGCTGATTTTCGCCGATATCGGCACCATTTTCGAGCAGCAGTTTGATAACATCCTCCTGGCCATACTCGATAGCCCAGGAGAGCGGAGTTCGGCCCTCCACATTATCCATCGTTTCGATATCCGCATCTTTTTCGAGCAGCAGTTTGATAACAGACTCCCGGCCAGACTCGACAACCCAGAAGAGCGGAGTTCGGCCCTCCACATCATCCCTCGTTTCGATATCCGCACCTTTTTCGAGCAGCAGTCTGATAATAGACATGCGGCTATTCGTAGCAGCTAGTGAGAGCGGGGTTCGGCCAGTCTCATTCCTCGTTTCAATATCTGCGCCTTTTTCGAGCAGCAGTTCGATAACAGACGTGAAGTTATTCGTAGCAGCCAGTGAGAGCGGGGTTTGGCCATTTTTATCCTTCATTTCGACATCCATACCCTTTTCAAGCAGTAGTTCGACAACAGACGTGTGTCCGCCCTCAGCAGCCTTTGAGAGCAGAGTTTGGCCCGTAATCTTATCCCTCGCTTCTATATCGGCACCCCACTGGAGCAGGGCATCGACAATAGCCGTGTGGCCGCTCTGGACAGCCGCTGAGAGCGGAGTTTCGCCCATAATCTCGTCCTTCGGTTCCACATTGGCACCCCGCTCGAGTAGGAGGTTGACGACAGAACCGTGGCCACGCCAGGCAGCCCATGCTAGCGCAGTTGTGGCGCGATACTTTTCGTGTTCCGTTTCAATATCAGCACCTCTCTTGAGTAGAACATCGACGACAGACTTGTGGCCATCCCTGGCGGCCACCAACAGTGCAGGGAAGCCTTCCTTATCCTTGGCATCTATGTTCGCACCCCTCTCGAGTAGGAGGTCGACAACGGACGAGTGGCCGCCCTCGGTAGCCCAAACAAGCGGAGTTTGGCCCGAAGATTTCTTATTCCTCGTTTCCACATCTCTCGTTTCTATATCGGCACCCTGCTCGAGCAGGGCCTCGACGACGGAGGCGTGGCCACCACCGGCAGCCCACGACAGCGGGGTCCGGTTTTGAGCATCCTTGAGGTCTACCCTAGCACCCTCCTCGAGGAGCCGATCGACAATGGCCCGGTGGCCGTATTTGGCAGCGCATAGGAGTGGAGTTTGCTCCTGAGCATCCTTGAAGTCTACCCTCGCACCCTCCTCGAGGAGCCGATCGACAATGGCCCGGTGGCCGTGTTTGGCAGCGTATAGTAGTGGAGTGTGCTCCTGTCCGTCTGGGAGGTCCGCGAAGGCACCGTGGTCCAGATAGCGCTCAATGTCGAAGCCGAGTTCGGCGCAGTAGGTGAGGGCGGTTCTTCCGTCGTCGTCCATTTTGTTTGGGTCTGCTTTCATCTCCAGCATCGCGCTTGCGACTTCGTGCCAGCCGTTCCGGACAGCCTGCGGAAGCGCAGGCTGTAGGACGGGGGACTTGAAGTCGCCCGTCTTGACGAGACAGAGGAGATACAATGCCTCGGTTCGGTCCCGGTCGTGAGTTGCTCGTGCAAGCTGTTTGAAGATCTCGGGTCGGGGCGGGACGTTGCTCGGCCGTAGCTGGTCAATCTTTTTCTCGATGGTTTGGTAGCAATCCAAAATCTCCGTGCCCTGATTGCCTTCTTCGCCCGTGCTGGAGAATTGGTCGCGCATCCAACTGATGCCGTCTCTGCCGAACTTCTGCGTCACGCCATCCGAAGCCTGCGCGAGAGCCCAGCGGTAGAGCTCTCCAATAGCGCGGAAGGCTTTAGCGGGGAGGTCGTCGTCGTCGTCGCTGCCGTCGCCATCTTGAGCCGGAGTTGATAGCGGATGCCGCTGGCATGCCCATTGCAGCAAGGTTTCGGCTCGCTCCCACTCTGATTGCCGCCTGTAGGCTTCGGCTTGTCGAATCGACGTTGTGAGCATCTCCTTCTCCGAAGGCATTTGCAGCCTGTTGCGCAGTGCCGGGATGATGCACAACAAGGCGTCGGAACGCGTTCCCAGGCCGCTCTCCGCGAAAGCCGTGGCGAGCGCGCTGACGGCCGGGTTGTCGAACCGTACGTTGCCGTCGTCCTCCACAAATGTCGTGCTGCCGAGGGGCACGAGGTTCTGAACCACCAGCGCCACGACCAGTGCGACGAAGAGCTCCTGGGCGCAGATGTCTAACAGCGAACCGTCGATCGGGCAGGTCTGGACTCGAAGCCCGACTTGCTGGCCGAACTGGCGAGACTGCGACTCGCGTACCAGGTCCCACCCACAAAGCCTCTGGAAAGATTGGAGTGGCCTGCGTTCTTGCTTATGTTGCCGCAATATCCAGCGGTCCCCGGAGTCAAGGAAGAACAAATCGACAAGGTTATGATTATAGCACCCTTCAACTGCATCGATGGTCGCGTCGGTAAATGTGGGTGTGCCGGAACCAAGCCAAAAGTTCATGTCACCCTGTCTGTCAAGATCGCGACGCCAGTTGTGATCGTCAGGGCCGACCGAAACGACCCTGACCGTCTCATGTCCTTTTTCCTTTGCCGTCGCATTGGGGTTGTCGAGACGTTCATTGGAGGTCAGAGACCACATCCAGAGCCCCAAGATGGCCTCGACTCTCGCAGAATCGATCGCCCAACGGGTTTGCATCTTTTTGCCCTGGGGTGGCTTGAGAATGACGGGAACCAACTGTTCGCGGTCACCGGCCTCGTCGTCAGCGGTAGGTGAATCTACTACTTTGACCTGGAGCGTGATAGTGTCGTAGGGCATGCTTTTAGGAAGGAGGGTCTCTGCAATGCGGCGAAAGGCCTCGGCGAGTTTGAAGGCTTTGGCGCGGACTTTGATGGTGCCATGCTCCCATAGCTGGTACTCTCGGTCCTCAAGCTTCCCAAGCGAGACATGCCCCGTCAAGTGTGCAAGCCGCACTCGGGTTCGGATCAAGTCTTCGAGCTTGGCTTGACGCTGACCGGCTTGGCTTGCCCCTGGCGGGTGTGTCGAGGCGGGATCATAGACTTCCTTTACCTCGGGATCGCGAGAATCGACCGTGCTGACGTCTTCGCCCTTGTGGCTGCCAACGTGCCAAAACGAACCTTCGTGGTGTTCTCGTAACTCAAAGGCAAGCCAGTCGAGTTCGTGACCGGCGACCGTGTCGGGCATGTCTAAGAGCTTGTTGCCCTTGCGGTCGAGACGCTGCATGCGGAGCGATCCGCGCAGCAGGCTCATGACAATGGTGATGCCAAGTTGTGTGAGGGAAATCCATGCCTTCATCCCTCGCAGACCTATAAACTGTATGATATAGCCGATCACGACAGCGAGGACGGCAACAAAAGTGTACAACTCGAAGTGGGACACCTTGTCCCAGTCCTCCTTCTTGGAAGACGTCCACATTCTGAGAGGCTTGGTCGTGTCCTCGATATGGGCGAAAGGGTCAAAGCTCTGGTCGCCAATGAGTTGCGGACCTGGCTGGAGCCAAATAAGGCGCGACTGAGAGTGTGCGGCTTGGTCTCTAGAGACTCTCTCAAACCGAACTTCACGCGTGGTTTGCCCGATAAGCGCTGCACAGCTCCACATGCCGCCGCACATGAGAGCAGTGCCAATAATGTACATGCTCGGGGCGTAGTTTATTGTCGCGGCCGGGCCGTCTCCTTCGTTGAGATCCCAGCGCAGGATCCAGACACCGGCGCCGGCCAGAGTGATAACGCCGGCTTGAAGCACGAATCCTATAGCAGCCACGGTATTGAAAACCCAATCCGGACGCTTCACGATGCCGACGTTGAGCGAAATGTTCGGATGGGTGGCGAACGAACTGTGGGTAGTTCCCTGGTCGCTGCTGTTCGCCCGCCTTTTAACTCTTCTCCAGTCACTCCCAAGGGTTTCTCCATTTGAATTCGCGTATTTCTGCAGATAATGTTGAAACAGGAACAAGCCCGCTTTATCGTCCACATAACCGGGTGGCGGGGTGTTGTAGCCTGCGTCGTAAACCAGCTCGATAATCTTCGGGCGTCCGAGAACGCGGGTAATGCCACCTCTGTTGAACAGCTCGCAAACGTCGCGGCTTGTGGATGTACACAGCTCTGCCTCGACGACACCGTCGCCCTCTTGCGACCGACCAATAAAAGCGCGGAGGGAAGAATGGCCGCAGACTCGAATGGTAGAAACGATGGCGGTCAGGATCCCGATCGGCGCCATGGCAAAGATGAAGTAGTCGAGGAAGGATGTGCTCTCGCTGAGGTACTGCCTGGTCATGGATTCTCCGAACAGGGCTAGAAGCGGCCCTATATCGGTAGCCAAGTTGTTGGAAAAGTCGGACAGGTCGTCGGCCCCGACCGTGACGCCGACCAAGGCCGCGGCCCAGACGACGCAAAAGAGGTAGCGCTTGGCCATGTTTGATTTGTCTCAACTCCAGTCTCTCAGGCCTGTAACTCGCTGGGTCGCCTTCTCCTACATTCAATCACTACCAAATCATTTCCCTGCCGGGTGGACGTGGTGGACGGTGGAGAGGTGAACAGTCAACAGAGGATGGTATCAGCTGCGTAAATTTGTTGGGGTGGGGAACAGGGGGTATTTGAGAGCTGAGTCGGTACCTAACCTAGCACAACGAATTATTGGTTGACTATCGTAAATATTCTGCCGTTCACGTTGTACTGTGTACATGGCTTGCATAAGGTAATCACCCAACGAGTGAGCTAGCCGAATGAGGTGGCACACTCTTCGTGATCTTCCCAAATGGGCAGCGCCGCAGCTGGCATGCTAACTGGCCGCCCCTCGTGGATGGTTGATTGGCTGGCCCTGGAGGTTCGGGCCGCTCGGCGAAAGTTGGTGATGTGAGTGTTCTGTACAAAGTAAACTTGAAGATGTAATCTAAAAAAAAGAGTTTAATGATACAAGCATAACTCCGAATACCTGCCTAGATAAAGCCGAGACCCATATCTTAGCGCCGTGACATGACCTTCCCGTCCCTTCCTCTTTTCATTAGCTTACAGCTGGCATTTTCAACGCCTTTCCACTCGGCAACTTCCGGGTCGTTCCCCTCTCTGCCGATTGCATCTTACCACTGTCTTATCACGGGTATCCCTCGCAAAGAAAAATCACTTTCTCCTCGTGATTCCGTCACCAAAATCACAATGTACGTACTGTGTAAGCAAACGCCAAATGGGCCCCCTCGGCGCGGACCCTTCTCGCTAACCCAACTGGGACATTCTCCCACTTTAGGGCCGCCACGTTCAGTCCTACGCCCTACCAAGAAGGGAGGCCACTAGATCTCCAAGTGTGCAAAAGCTACTCCCCCGACCTGCCGTCCCGCGTTACCGCCACCATCAGCAGAGTGATCTCGATGACCATGTCCGTTGTACTGGATGTCACCTTGCAGACGCGTCAGGGCCCGCCTGTACACCACGTGCTCAAGCTCTACGACCGTCGATTTGGCTCCTGCCTGCGTGAAGTTCGCAAGGACAGCCCCGCGCCGAACCCACAGGAAAATGAAGCAGCGTTCGAGGCCTTTGTCAGGCGGGGAATGATGCCCGGCTTCCTCCGCCATCTAAAGGAAAGAAACGAGACCGAGATGCTCGCGGTCAGGGCTCGGGAGTTCCTTGACGAGCCCGATCGCACCGAAGGTCTTGCCAAGTACGAGGCCGCGCTCTGGCAGGACTGTATCGAGCACTTTGAATGCGAGACCAAGGCCTACCACCGACTCGCCGATCTCCAAGGCACCTTGGTCCCGCGCATCCACGCCCATGTAAGTCTGTCGGCCGCTGAGCTCGCGACCATCATACCACAGGAAACAGCGCCCTACTTTGAAGTGAGAGGTATCCTTCTGGAACGGGTCGACGGATATTGTCTAGAAGACCTGACGCTCGGCCCCCTACCACGAAACCTAAAGCCATGGCACCACATCATCCAGGTGGCCGCTGATGCAGCGTATGAGATCAACAAGCGCGGCGTCATCATGGAAGACTGTGCGCCACGCAATGTGGTCGTGGACAGGCAGTCGCAGACACCGCGTATCGTCGATCTGGCACAGTGCATCTTCCGGGATGAGATGGTGAGCGAATGGTACGAGTGGGGGTGGCACGAAGACGAGGATGATTGGGATCCGGATGTCGAGTATTGGGAGCAAGTGAGTACCAGGAGTAACCCAGGGGCGATTGGGGCGGTTATGGCGAATCGTATACAGAGGAAGACGGGTGTGAAGATGGATTTCAGGTATCCGGACTGGAGTGGGATTATTGCTGAGATAAGGCGGAGAAAAGAGGAGGCAGCCCTCTCTTCAACACCCCCTAATGCCCCTTCCCCCAAACCAACCCCCTCCTCAACCACTCGGGCACAAAAGCCTTGATCCTAGCCTTCTTCACCTCCTCTCCTTCACCTACCCTACAACAAACTCATCCCCCTCCCTAAACCCGCCCGCGCCCGAACTCGCTTCACCCCGTCGTGGCGCACTAGTTAGGGGTCCGGGATTACACAGTACTATAGGTAGTTAGATATATAATCAATCTACTCTTTAGTCTACCAACCAAAAGGGTAAAACTAATCGAACCTAAAGGTTGTTTTGGGTTCGGGTTGGACGGAACGGCAGCTGGCAAATTTGGGGATGACAGATTAATCATTAATAGGTACAGATCAAGGTAGATATCGTCCCCGACAAGCTATCCAAAGCAGTAGGGCAGTGTCTCCCTATTCAAGCCCCCTGGCTCTTGAATTCTTGCTCCGTCCAGTGCCAGAGTTCCTGAACAGCCTTTTCGTTCTCCAGCACCTTATCCTCATACTCCTTCAACTTGGGGTTGTAGAACCCGCCGCTCCTGACAGTCTGTGAATCTGCCGTGCTGGCCCATAGCTGGCAACGTGCTCCTTGGCGGACGTCGGTCAAAAGGATAGACCCAAGAGCTTTGATGAACCCTCCCAGCCAAGGTCGCCGCTTTGCCAGGTCATCGAGCAGACCAGTGTTCACCACGCCGGGGTGAATAGCGACAAATTTGACGGCCGGGTAGAGTTTGGCCAAAGCGCGGGTGTGGTAGTAGTCGGCCAGCTTGGACTGACCGTAGCGCGCCAAGCTAGAAATCTCGTTCATGGGGGTCTTGCAACGGGGAAGCTGGACCCCATCCGACGGCGCTTGTCTGAACAACTCGGAGCTGAGGTTGACGACACGAACATCGGCCTGGTGCGTCTCGGCCGTCTGGAGCAGGATGGGGAGCAAGAGCTTGGTGAATAGCGCGGGCCCCATATAGTTGGAGCCGAACTGGACTTCGTAGCCGTCGGTTGTCAGGCCGGCGGGGGATGCCATCAGTCCGGCGTTGTTCATGAGCAGGTCCAGACGATCGGAAAGACCCGAAAACTCGTCTGCGGCCTTCTTCACCGACGCAAACGAGCCCAAGTCGAGCTCGAGAAACCTGATCTTGCCCTTGGATGCGGGCACGGCTTGGTGGATCTCCTCGATGGCGGCGTTGGCGCGGGCGGCTGTTCTGGCCGTGAGGTAGATGGCGGCTGGGTTGTGTTTGGCGAGTTGGAGCACGCTCTCTTTCCCCAATCCGCTGCTCCCGCCCGTCACGATTATGATCTTGCCAGAAAGGTCTGGCATGTCATGATCTGGGGAGAAGCCCATGATGTTGACGGGGTGTGTTGGGAAGCGTGGCGTATTAAGGGGTGATGGAATGCCAGAGGGTTGGTTCTTAGGGAGTTTAGAGGATGAATACAGTTGGGCGCCTTGGGGCATGCCGCATGATGGCCCCTTTATCACAATCCCAGCGCCGAGGTGCCCGCCACCAGGTCTCGGTTGCATCATTTCCTTATTACATGCCTCGGCTGTCAGGGCAGTACCTAAAGGCTAAAGTTTCTAAAAAGTGGACTTCCTTGGGCGGTCGAAGCCCCATCTGTCAAATCATGCCCCTCCCCCTCCTCCCCCCTCTCCCCCGTCTCTCGTCCGTCAGGGGTTGGGGCCTCCCGGTGCGCCTACCGTCCGGAGATATATCCAACCCACACGAGAATCTAGCTCCGCATGGGTTTTTGTAGAACGGCCGGATTATATAAACTGTCATGGGGAATCGGCTGTTTATTTCCCCCGGTTCGATCTGCGGGTGGAACCTTGGGTAGTTTGATTAGTGATCGTTGACCCCCGAGTGAGGTCAGTGAGGTCACTCAGTTGCCACTTTCGGAGGGTTTGCCATGGAGGCCTGTCTAACCAAGCCAGTGCTAGCATAGACGTGGGTTTTTGGCAAGCTCTGAACTTCTGAAGGGTTGGGCAACTTGGGCTAGATAACCTGGAATACAAATTGAAATAACAGCCACGACTTCGACATTCTTTCTCTTTCGTCCCAGACATCACTGCCCCGTACCACCCAGTCATCTTTCTGATTATTCTCGCCATGAAGGCCCTTGTGTCAAAACCTCACCTCCTCTCAAGGGTTGCTACTCTGGCCTTGGGCAAGACCATCGGGGGCCCAGCTGCAGAGTTCACAGACGTCCCCGAGCCGACCATCTCCCCCAACGAGATCCTTGTCAAGGTCCGCGCCGTCGCACTTAATCCGACCGACCATATGCACATTGATGTTATCTCACCTCCCGGATCCACCATCGGCTGCGACTATGCTGGCGAAGTCGCCAAAGTCGGTGGTAACGCCGTTAAAGCTTGGTCAGTTGGGGACCGCGTTGCAGGCGTTGTTCACGGTGGTCTCGTTCCCGGCCGGGGTGCCTTCGCCGAGTACCTCAAAATTGATAGTGATCTCGCATGGAAGGTCCCGGACGACGTGGACGACGCAGCTGCTGCAACGTTCGGCGTCTCTGCCGCGACGGCCATGCTTGCTCTAAATTGCCGCCTCGGCCTCCCTTATCCTGGCGAGGAACAGGACATTCGGCGGCAGCAAACAGCGCCTGCCATTTTCATCTACGCCGGTTCCACAGCTGCCGGCCTCTTTACCATTCAAACCGCCAAGCTCGCCGGCTACACTGTTGTCACGACCGCCTCGCCACACTCCACCGACCTCGTGAAGAGCTATGGCGCCGACGCTGTCTTTGACTACCACGACCCAGACGTTGCCACCGCAATCACCAAGCAGTACCCCGACATCTCCATTGCCGTTGACTGCTTCTCCAAGGGCAAGTCCTTCGGGATCAGCGACGAAGTGCTCAAGAACAGCAAGGGCAAACTCATCACGCTGCTGCAGCCACCCAAGCCCAAGTATCCCGGGGTCGAGCACGAGCTCATCTTGGCCTACACGCTCTTCGGCCATGCATTCCAATGGCTGCCGCCCGTTGGACCGAAGTGGCCAGCGCTCCCCGACGACCGCAAGGCGCTCGCCCGCTTTTATGCCACTTTGCCGCAGCTCGTGGGCAGCAAGAAACTCAGGGCGCCGCCAGTTCTTTTGGAGGAGGGGGGGTGGAATGGAATCTTGACGGGACTGGACAAGTTGCGGGCGGGTAAGGTGTCTGGTGGCAAGATAGTGGTCAAGTTGTGACTTGTATAAGCCGAAACCCTGCTTGGCCTCCATACACGTCGTCATGGAAGCCACGTGACAACTCAACGATTGGGCGGGGTCGGGCCGCAGTGCTTGAAGTTTTGAATGCAGGAGCGGGACGATTGTCACGATTTAATTAGTCCAACACAGAATGGGCATGGCAACGGAGGGAGGCCCGATGCAGACTTGAAAGTATTCCAAATACTGGCCAAGATGGAGTATTGTTATGAGTGCGAACGTTATTTTGTGAGCGCAGAAGCGCTTCGCCAGCATCGCGAGAACTCGGCTCGGCACATGACTCATGGCTCTACCTCCATCTTCGGCTCGACCACAGTCACAACACCGACCCCTCCTGTACGCGCTAGCCCACAGACATCAGCATCAGGCTTTGCAATGGCGCCAGGGTTTAGATCTTGGTCATCGCGCCCCGTGACTCAGACAGCCACAGCCTGCGGTACGGCTCGAGATGATACGAATCATACGATTGATACCTCTAAAATCCTCATAGATTCTCTAAAAGGGTAATTATGTCGCAGTCATCATTTCGCTCTCGCCGTTTCCCTCTTGGGAATTATTGACCTATTAGGTGCTGACAATCGCCTCCAAATAGGCTCTACACCAGCGGGGAGTACTCAGACCTCGTGATATCCTGCCGAGGAAAGGAATACCACGCGCATAAGGCCGTCGTGTGCACCCAGTCCGACTTCTTCTCTGCAGCTTGCCGCGGAACCTTCAAGGTCAGTGAAAGTCCATGCACTAGCAAACTAGCAAAGGCGTGGAACTAACCTTAAAGCAGGAGGCACAGGAAGGAAAGATTGACCTCCCAGATGATGACCCTCGGCTTGTCGATATCATGGTGCATTACCTGTACCACTTCGACTATGACATACAATTACATGGCTTAGAAACGGACCGACACAGAACCAACGACAGCGAACCAGGAGGGGGCGCCCTTCTTACTCATGCAAAGGTTTACTCCTTGGCAGAGAAGTACCTGATCCACGGACTGAAGGCTGTTGCACTTCGACAATTCAAGGCTGCTACTGCTCGCTCCCCAGACATCGATGATTTCCTTCCGGCAATGGAGGAGGTGTATACATCCACTATTGAGGATGACAGAGGCCTAAGGGATGTCGTCGTGGAAACACTTTGCAAGCATTCCGAATGGCTAGACGAGGAGGATGTACGAGATGTGGTTAAGGGGCTGGGAGCTTTGACGTATGATATGGTTATATATATGCGCAAAAAGCGTATCTTCTGAAACTAATGGGGGGAGCCACGCCACGGCCCGTCACTGGCCCCAACTTACCTCCGGTGGTAACTATAAAACGCACGCACACATGGTAAAACAACACAACCCTCGAACTAATCCTTGCATTATTACCCTATAGCGAACCTTCCACCCTCCATCCGCCCAACTCGACGGGTTACTAATAACCTACCCAGTCTCTCTCTCGCACACGGGGGAACTCAAGCCCCAAACCTCGTCGGCCTCGCCGCACGTACCGCCATCCCCTCCACCCCCTCTTCACTACCATCTATACCCCGACCCCCTTCCGGCCCGCCCGGCGCATCACCACTAACATGACCATGGCCATACCCATCACCATAATCATCACCATAATCATCACCATAATCATCACCATAATCATCACCATAATCATCACCATAATCATCACCATAATCACCCCCCGACCCATCTCCATACCCATAACCGCCATAACCATACCCACCCCCCGGCCCATCACCCCCATACCCACCACCACCACCACCACCACCACCACCAGGTCCCCAACCCCCACCCGTCCACGGCTCATTACCCCCTACCCCCATCCTCGCCCGGGTTGGGGTGTGGATGCGGATGCGGGTGCGGTTCTGGTTCCGGATGAGGATGGGGATGAGGTTCCGGTTCAGGATGCGGGTGCGGATACGGCCACCCCGGCCCCGGCCACCCCGACCCATGCCACCCAGGCCACCCCGGATGCCCCGGATGCCCCGGATGCCCCGGATGTCCTGGATGCCCCGGCCAGCCCGTCGTGGCCGTCGTATACTCAGTCCGAGTACGCGTGCGCGTGGTGGTGACGTCGGCGGTGAAGAAGCGGGTGCTGGTCTCGTCGTCGGTGGTGGTCGAGCTGGTCGTGGTCGTAGTGGTGGTGGTGGTCGTCGTGCGGGTGACGCGTACGTTGGTGTGGGTGCGTGTGGTGCTGGTGGTGGTGCGTGCCGTGGAGACGTCGGTTGTCGTGGTGCTGGTGGTTTCGATTCCGGTGGTGGTTGTGCTTGTAGTCGAGATATCAGTCGTGGTAGTGCTGGTAGTCTCGATTCCAGTGGTCGGGGTACTTGTAGTTGAAATATCTGTCGTTGTTGTGAGGGCCGTCTCGGTGTCCGTGGCGATGTATGTGGTGGAGCGGTCTACGTATGTTATGAAGGCTGTGGTGGTGGTGCTTCTCGTTGAGATATCAGTCGTGGTGGTGCTGGTAGTCTCAATCCCAGTGGTGGTTGTGCTGGTGGTTGAGATATCGGTGGTAGTAGTGCTTGTGATTTCCGTAGCGGTCGTGGACTCAGTCCCAGTGGTCGTGGTGCTAGTCGTGATGATTGCTGTAGACGTCGAGGTCGTAGTGGTTGTTGTTGTAGTCGTCTTGGTTGATGTCGCTACATAGAATTAGCGGTGAAAAACACCATAAAGCACAGAAGAGCCGAAACAAGAGGAAGCAAACAACCGGCCTGAGCCCTAGGTCATGAAGTTGAGCACCCGAAAGACTTACACGTAGGACAACACGAGGTATTGTCGGCATCTGCGCAAGGGACTCGGCAAACCCCCATGTCAAGAGTAAGACCGAGAAGCACGCCAGGTGCGCAGTGGCAGTCCCTAGCGTGAGGTCAGCACAATGCCACAGCTTTCAAGGGCGTATCCGTCAACTCACACGCCGTTAACCATGCCAAAAGCACTATATCCCTGAGAATCACACTCGGCGGCACAGGCGTCGAGTGTCGTGGGGCTGATAGATGGCGTAATAGACAGCAGGAGACCAAAGATACTGTCGAGGCCGAGCGGGCCCAGCCCGAGGCAGCCATAGAGATAGTCGGTGTTGCTCCCCAGCACGGGCACCGTTGGCCGCCGGATGAGAGCCACCTCGGCCTCGATGATGAGACCCGGGTCGTAGTCTGGCTGGTCCAGCACTGTCGGCGGCCCGGTCAGCGTGTCCAGGATGTCGTCACATTCAAAGAGGAGGTCGGTGAACAGGCGCTTGAAACCGGGGATCAGGGGCGTGTAGCAGCCCTGCAGCTGCGTGTTGATGTACACGGGGTATATGTTGTTCTGGCCGCAGCAGCGTTGAGATGAGGTGTCGCAGTCACCAAAAACACTGGAAGCCCGTCAGCCATGATGTAGAGAAGTGGCATGGGAGGGATGATACTCACCCAGGGGCAGCATCACACGTCGTGTTGCACACGCCTGGCGTGGACAGCAGCTCAGCATGGACGCGGAATGCTCCGAGACCGAACGCCGACCCGCAACGGCAGCGAACCTGGCCACTGTAGGAGCGCGTCAGCACATAATAGTCACACTTGTCCTGGCGTAACTCACGCTTCAGGGGACCCGTGGACCAGGGGATACCCCAGACCGGCGCACATGTTGAAGCAAACATCAATGTCGACCACCAGCGCCGATGCTCGGACATCCTGAGTGGGAAACCCGGCTGGGGAGTTGTAGCAGCCCAGGTGCTGATAGTAGTCGGCGAGGGCCGGGTTGGAGTTGATGATGGGCACCAACTCGTTGGCGGCAAACGTCGGAGCGGCGTCACAGTGTTGTTGATGCTGGAGCCGGGGTCCCAGTTGGGAAAGCTGCGGGACGGATCCGTGGGATTGGGGCCCTCAGGGGTGAAGCTGAAGAAAAGCCCGGCACTGATGAGGAAGTTGGGGACTGTTCAACAACGTTAGCCCTTATTTACGAGTTGGTGTTGAGAAAAGGAGCTATCAAGAGCTGTAAAGGTGCTGAAAAACACAGAAATCGACATACAACAACCAAGATTAACAAAGTTATCCGATCCACAGGCGGCGATCTCGGCCGCGACCGAGCCTAGATAACCCTGGGCATGGACGCCGACGCTCAGCAGACCGGCGGCGGCCGCGAGGGCCTGTCCGACCCGAGGTCGCATGTTGACGTAAGGGACGACGGCACCGTCAAAACACCGTCAAGAAGTGAGGGCAGAAAGCTATCTACGATGAAGGAGCGGACTGTAGGACGCTTCAAGCAAAGGCGGCCGGATGCGGTGCTGTTCTAAGTATCGTTTCCATGGCGGGCGAGTCGCATGTTTGAAGAGCGAAAGGGGATAACGCAACCACCAAGTGATCCCACGATCAGGGCGCCGTCGCGTCGGCTCACGATACTAGGTCCATGGTGTTGGCGCGATCTAAGACACCCCCAGTGCGGGGCGTGGAATGCACATAACGGTAACGACAGAGGAAAAGAACAGTCAAGACACAATGCGGTCGATATTTGACAAGCATTCCTAGTTGATGGTCTCACACGAGAGTCTAGACAAGCCCTAGCCTCGCAGCATGCGAAAGGGAGGGCACCCGTTAGCCCTTGGCAGATGCCAGGAGGGATCAAAACTCCAACGCAAACTAGATGAGAAGCTCGTTGAAAATGCCAAACGCAACGGCCGGCGAGATTCCGCGGAGGCTTTCCCCCGACGGGGGAGAACCCCTGACATCCTGGAAGCGGCGAGACCGACGTGAACAGCACCCATGACCACGATACGATGTATGAGTGTACCCGAGTCTAGACCGCCAGCAAACTAGCAGGCGCCATCCTCCATCAATACCTAGCTCTGGTAGCCACTTACAAGCAGCTCCGCGTCCGCTCCCTGACTCCAAGCCCATTCCTCCTGACGCCAGGATTGTGTCGAACATTTCAGCAAACACCGCCGATAAATGTCCAGCCGAAATAAACCAAAAGAGCAGCAGCAGAGTAGCATTCGCCCCATCACCCCATCCCCGACCACAACCACCACCGTGCCGGGCTCAACGGCATACAGCATCCTTCTACCCATCAAATTCGACCCCCACAACCTTGCCCGTCCCCCCTCCCGCACCCACACTCGACGAGGAGCCCGCCCCATTCCCGGCCGCCGCAGACTCACCGCCCCCCTCTACACCACCATCCCCCTCCCCAACCGCCACCAACGCCCCATCACTAGCCTCCGCATCAGCCCCCATCAACAGATCCCTATCCGAGCTCCGCACACTGCGGCGCTCCGCATCGCCCTGGTACGCAGAGGCGCCCTTCCCACTCCTAGTCGACGCCCGATCAAACCCGCCATCCTCATCCTCATCGTCCTCCTCCTCATCATTCCCGCCCCGCTGTTGCTGCTGCCCCTGCAGCTGCTGGTCCGGCAGGGCATTCTTCTCGAGCTCCTTCTGGGCCTCCTCCATGCGGCGGCGGACCTCGGCGGCGACGCGCATGCCGTCGGTGACAATGTTGTCGAGCACGCCGCGCAGGCCGCGGCCGGCGCCGCCCGCAGGCCCCGGCCCCGGCCCCGGCGCGCCGCCCTGTCCGGTGCCGAGCGCCGCGTTGACGGCGCGGCCGGCGCCCATGCCCAGGCTGGAGAAGGTGGTCAGGGACGAGGCGCTGGTGGGCGTGGTTGTTAGCCCTTCGATGATGTGGAAGGAGGCGGGGAAGGAGGTTTCGAAGAATTGTTCGAGGAGTTCGTCGGCGAGGACTACCATGCGGAAGGTGGGGAGGGTGATGTGTAGGGGGTTGGATGGGTCGAGTGCGATGTTGGCCTTTTCGGATTGGGCTTTTGAGACGCGGCGGCGGGTGTCGACGTCGCCGGGGGTTAGTTCCGTCGAGTTGAGCTGGAGCGTAGGTGGTGAGTTCCCAAACTTCTTAGCTGCTGCTTTGGGGCTGCCGGTTGGTGAGTCCATCGCTAAGAGATCGTCTTCATCATCCTCGTCCTCGTCCTCGTCGTCATCACCGATGGCGAATGCGTCGGGGTTTGCTAGCTCTTCGCCCGCCGGCTCGTTAATCTGTGTCGATTCAAGCTTTTCCTGGACTTCCCGCAGCGAACTATCTTGGTTCTTTGGGTGATCCGGGTCGGCGTACTCAAAGCATCTCCTTATGAACGCGCTGACGCTGCCGAGAAATCGCTCGCTCACCGGTTGAACGTCGCTCTGGGCACCATTCGTGCTCTCTCCGGCTAGCGTTAGGCTCGAATTCGACGGGCTCAACGTGCCCTCCAGCCCACGACGGGAAAGGAACAGCAAAGCTTCCGACATGCGCAATATGCCTTCCCGGTCCACCTTGCCATCGCCGTTATCATCGTGGAGTTCGAAGAAGTAATTGATGGCTCCCATAATGTCACGTTTCCCCTTGATGCGTGCGAGGCCGGACACAACCTTCTGTAGAGTGAGGGCCGAGGACGAGTCGGTATCCCACTTCTGGAACAACCTTTGGAGGAACTCATGTTCCGCCGGCTCTGGGCCAGCTCCCCACGGTGACAGCAGCGTATCGGCCCGTCTAAAGCTACCATAGAAGCCCTTATCCTTTTCCGCGAATGCGTCCCGTTGGGGTGTCGAGGGCGCATCTGAAATGGCCCATTTGGACATGCCCGCGAGGAATTCGCGGAATGCATCATAGTCCATCAGGCTGGTGCTCGGGCCCAAACCAACCCGCCCCTTCTCGACGCTCTGGTCGGCCTCGCTAGCCGCTTCGGCAATCCGTGACCGGCTGTTTTTGGATCGCCTTGCCTGCTCCTGCTTAATGATGTGGTCGCGCTGTTGCCTCTCGTACAAAACTGTGTAGAACCGATCATACAGTGCGCCGAGTTCATCGTTGCTGAGCAGTTTACTATCCGGCCCAAGATTCCTAATGGCTGTGCGCTTGGCGAAGTTCTCGATATTGCTCAGGACGGCATCCTTGTTCTTCAGGCGAAGTTCTGTGATGCTGCTGTGGGTAATGCCAGCAAACTCTTTAAACGCGACGACCATGAGCTCCTGGAATTTGGTAACGGCCCTCAGCTTCGGGTTCTCCGACTTCGGGTGCGCCGACTCGTCTAGGCGGGCAAAATAGGATTTGAGAACCGAGATGAAGGCGCCGTCGTCCGCTGCGTCTAGCAACTCCTCCCCGTTTATTCTGAGGATGGCCAAACCGACTTGGAATAATACTTTAGGGCCTTCGACGAAGAAGACATCCAGGACTCTGAATGCGAACACCAGGGGCATCGAGTTGATGTAGAGTGATAAGAACCAAGGGAGTGAAACGACGGACAGCTGGACATCGCTCTTAACGAGATGCTCCCACAGAATCGGCATCGTCTTCTCTACCAGGGATTCAAACACTTTTTGGTCGAGCAGTGTGCCGTACATAGTTGTCGAGTAGTACCCTGGTACTAACCGGTCACACAAGGCCGAAAGGAGGAAAAAGGCCTGGGCCTCTGACATGTAGATGAGGAGTGCGGCCACGACGATGTTCATAGCCTGGCAGTAACCGACATCGGCGTTCACCCAGCTGTAGGCAGTGAGGACCCGGCGGAGGCGGCCGATGCCCTCTTCACTCTGGAAGCCCGGATACTCGGGCAAGCTGCGGTTTAGATCTTTTTCAATCTCGTCGATCGCCAGCGACTCCTGGCCGGAAAACTTAGATAGGGTGTCGGCGTAGAGGGTCGGGCTTTCGAGCCTCAGGTAGATGGAACCCGACGTCAGCTCCCACATCTCGCCCCTCAGCCTGTTGGGCAAGCCGACTCGGATGAGTTTGTGAAACGTAGGCTGGCGGATCAAGGTCGTGTTCCGACCGTTGTCCCTCAGGTACTCGGCCCATAACCTCATCTTCGCCCTATCGCGCAGCTTCTTGGGATCGCCGGGGTATTTAAAGAGCATGCCCAGGCCAGCATCGGGCGGTGGCGCGTTCTTCTTGTCTTCGGGTCGGAGGAGGTATTCGGAGTAGCACTCGGCCGTGACCTTCTTCAGCTTGGCGACCATACCGACATTTGATCGTAAACCTTTCTTGAGTCCATCGCAGAATCGTTCGCAGGCTTGTCGAGTGCCGGCAAGTTGCAGCGTCACGCGCTGTTCCCTCAGCTCCTTCTTGTCTTTCTCCTTGGCGGCATCCTGGCTTATACCATTCCATGTTGATATTGAGAGGGCAAACTAAATCACATTCCGTCAGCCCAGTCTACACCGACCATCGGGAGCAGACCCTCGTACCTGGAAGTTTTGACTGTGTAACCGCTCAACCCTTCGGATAGAACAGAGGGGGAATGTGAAGCCATTTCCGCCAGGTCCCCCGCCGTGTGTTTGCCCTGTGAATATGGAAGAGGTCGTTGTGGTCGCTGACTGTAGGAAGCTAGACGGTGTGGTGGAGAAGGAGAGGAAGGCCTCGGAGAGATGGAGCTTGCCGGCATATTGGTGGCCCCGGTCTCGGTCTCGGTCGCCTTGTGTCGCATTCGCGGGTGGGATGGTGAGCTCGGCCGTGATCTCATACAGAGGGTGCTGAGATGACGGGAGCCGAAACTGGCTTTGGAACAGGGATGCTTTGGATGGATTTCGGTCGGATTCGGAGAGGTTCAAGCCCTGCACCGGGTCTAACAACTGCTGCGCCTTCTGTACGAAGCTCGAGAAGTTCAACATCCTGTGTCTGGTAGATCGCGGAAGCTCCTATCTCGGATTGCAGCCCCCGGGGGGTGTTGCAAGTCGAGGCTCGGCGAGGAACTAGTGTAGTCGGGTGGGTGATATTTTGAGGAAATGCGAGTTCGGTAGTTAGGATGACATTGCTCGGGAGCAGCGGTTAGGTGGTTCGGTGATCGGCGGGATGATGGATTGGTGATTCAATGTGGTATCTAGCGGCGTAGCGTTTTGAGGGGTGAGGGGTTGTTGTTGTTGGGTGTTTCGAAGTTGATGCCCGTCTCGTGTGTGCGGCTGACAGGATGGGCAACCAAATGCCGACCCAAGTTAGGTTAGGAACAGGACCTGGAATGCCTGGGCGAGTCGTGCTCACGAGGCAGCAGCACCCACCCGGCCACCGCCGGATGTGGAGCCCCTCTCGCCAGGGCTGGGCTGGCACATCCCCGGCAGCGGTTGCCCCGCTTCTCGCAGTTCGTTCGTCGCCTGCAGCCCACTGCCCGATTCAAACACACCTAGCCCTGCTGCCCCGTTCTTCAACTTCCAGATGAGTGACTTGCATCCGTCATCTTGCGCTCGATGCCGTGCAGCCGCGAACCGGACCCAGAATACGAAAGTAGTGTAGCCGTCATTCATCCTCAGCTGCAGAGTAGCCGCACGGCTTGAATTATTGCGATGGCAATTGAGCACCACGAGACCCAATTCAAAGTATTGAATCAGGAGGAGCACGAAACATTCCAGGCTCCGTTGTCCTGAAGCAGCAACACCTAGCGGCAGGCGCCGGTTTCGTCCCAACCACATTGGGATATCAAGGTACCTTTCCATACCCCTTCAACGGGGGGACAGAACGTTGCCTTTTATCTCTCTATCCTTGACTTGGTAACTTGCTGTCATCTGCCAGTTCTCTCTGTCTGCTAGTTTGCTCATCTCCGGCCCTGACCCAGGGGTCCGAGTTCCACACCATGGAAACCGGCCCGCGCCGTTTCGGGCAGATTGCTTCAATGACATCGCCGCCATGACACAATCACCCGGTTGGGCGGCATCTCGCATTTTCCTCCTCCCATGTTAATTGTTGGGCTTGTGTCTGAAATTGAAGTTTGCTTCGGTGCGTTTGACCCAAGCAAGCCGTACTACCTGCTTTAGCAGTTTAGGTCCCTACCAATGTAGCAGTCACCAGTATACACATTTCCAACAATCCCTCTTGGCGAATTTGCCTGTTTGTTGACGGCCTCACGGCTTCGGTCTTTCCAGGTTTGTTTTCCCCAGTTGGGAGGTTGGTTCCGGGATTTGGCGATATTTCAGGGTCCGCTTGTCCTGCAACGCCAACGTCATCCGCCGCTTCCTTTGCCAAGGTCCCAGCGACTGGCGAGTGCCCCAGCGCCGCTGATCGCCTTCCTCAAACCTGTCCCCTGTCCCCTACCCTACCCCACGTTCCAGGTTGTTAAACCCCGCGAGCCCCGAGCCGCAAGCTGAGTTCGAAGGAAGAAGGCAGTCCTCGGTCCATTCGTCCACTGCCTATTGTTCATTACCTGCCGTCACCTTGGCTTGTTCCTTGGCTTGTCCCTTCTTCGGCAACTTACCCGCTCCACTCGGCCTCGGTCCATGCAACCCCGGGAGGTTGGATTTCGATTTCGATCTCATGTTCAGCTGCGACCCCTCCTTCTAGCTCCCCCCATCCTCTTTATACCTACTACCTCCGTCACTTACCCACTCTCCCATCCCATCACGAGCGGGACACGGCAAGCCCCCCAAGCACATGAACAGGGCAACACCCTTCCATCTTGGTTGCCCCGCAATCAATCACCTGCCAGCAAACTAGACACCACGTGGGAGCACTACCACAGCGCATCGAGATCCTCGGACGGACCAGCTTCCAGGTACTGCATATAACCAGCGTATAACGAGGATCCTCCCGTGCGAACCTCGCTTACAGCAACGACACCACAACGTCTCGACACCCACCGACACCATGGCGGCTACGGTCGCGCACTCCCAGGCGCTTCCGCCGGGGCTTCATCCATTGCAGGCGGCCGCTATGAGGGCTGCCGGCAACGGGCAACAGCAGCAGCAGCAGCAATCGCAACAATCACAACAAAGGGATTTTAATGATGAGCCCTTCGATGTGACATCCAGGAAGCTGTCTGTGAGCGACCTCGTTCGCGTGAGGACATTGGGAACAGGTACTACCTACCCCCTTCTACCCAATACCCAGCCACTTACACCCGTATACAGGGACCTTTGCCCGCGTATGCCTCGTGCGGCCATCCCACGGCACCGAAACCGATCGCAGCAAGGTGTATGCCCTCAAGATACTCCGAAAGACCGAAGGTAGGTTTACTCGAGAAGTTTGGACGGCAAGGGAGGGAATGCTAACCAGCTATAGTAATCAAACTGAAGCAGATTGACCACGTGCGCCACGAGCGTCAGATCCTGGCCGACGTAAGAGGGCACCCCTTTATAACGAACTATGTGGCCTCCTTCTCGGATCACGATTTCCTCTACATCCTCCTTGACTACGTGCCTGGTGGCGAACTCTTCACCTACCTGCGCAAGTTCCGCCGTTTCGACGAAAACATGGCCCGCTTCTACGCCGCCGAGATCGTCCTAATCCTCGAGCACTTGCACGAGCATCAAGGGGGGATAGCCTATCGGGACATGAAGCCTGAAAACCTCCTACTAGACGGCGAGGGCCACATCAAGCTCGTCGACTTTGGTTTCGCCAAGCGGTTAGGAAATAACGAATCCGGCCACCCAGTCGAAACCTACACCCTTTGCGGCACACCCGAGTACCTCGCGCCGGAGGTGATCCATAACAAGGGTCATACCACCGCGGTCGACTGGTGGGCGCTGGGGATCCTCATCTACGAGTTCCTCACGGGCTACCCGCCGTTTTGGCACCAGAACCCTATTGAGATCTACAAACAGTACGGTCCCCCTTCCCACCCCGCCCCGCCAAACCTCAAACCTCCCTCCCAAACCTAACCATCCCCCCCCGCGCACAGAATCGTCGAGAAGCCCATCGTGTTCCCCCAAGAACCCGCCATCAGCGACCCCGCCAAGGACATCATCCGGCAGTTCTGCACCGTCGACCGGTCCCGCCGCCTCGGTAACATCTCGGGCGGCGCCGCCAAGGTGAAGGCCCACCCCTTCTTCGCCGGCGTCGACTGGGACGCCGTCTACCACAAGCGCCACCGCGGCCCCATCATCCCCCCGGTTAGGTACCCCGGCGATGCCCAGTGCTTCGACATCTACCCCGAGGAGGACGCCAACCGGGACGAGTACACCGAGGAGATGGTGGGGAAGTATGATGCGTACTTTAAGGATTTTTGAAGGGCGCGCGGGGAGTGTGCTGGGGTGGTGGGGGGTGCTCGTGGGGTTGGTGGTGGTGGTGAAGGCAAGATGCTAATTCGCGGTGGTTTGGGGTTTGGTTCCGTTGGTTCTTTTGGTTTTTAGTTGCGAATACCCGGTTTGATGGGGAGCATCTGCGGTGAAGGGGGTTACAGTTTCAACCGAGCCAGCGTTTGTTGTTGCCGCTGGCTGCTGATTATGAAGACGGTCCTGAGGGGGGAGAGAGAGAAAGAGAGAGAGAGAAGAGTTTCGCTTTCGTCTGTTTGACTTTTATTCTCGTGGCAAGCAACAGATACAGAGCGGGCGGGTTTTGGTGTACTTTGGCGCGGTTAAGCAGGCGTTTTCGGGGTCTGATGGGATGGATGGAGCATGCGTATTGTGGTCGCGACTTTGGGCGCCCGTATTGGGGGGATACGGGGTGATGCGGGTGTTGCCGTATTGTTATGAGTATTGTTATGAGTGTTTGGAGATGGCGGATAGGAGCTACCGAATAACCGGGACTACACATTACGGTACCTAAGAACCTAATAGCGAAACAACCGAGTTGCCATCTCCAGCTGCTATGCTTAATACCAACCAATATGTGATGATGTCTTTCGCTTTTCTATTTTTGATTGTCACCTCTTCCTCACTCTCACCTCTTGCTCGACCCCGTACTGCTTTAATCCCATTTCTCTCTTCCCCATTATCTCTCTTTTTTTTTTTTTGGGTTTCTCTCCCTTTATAATTTGTGGTAGATTTATTCCATACCATTCCTCCTCTCAGTGGATCACGCAAGGCACGCAGTCCCGCCCTAGAATCACAACACCCCACAACGTGCTCGTATTAACACTTCCAGCGTCTATAAACGATACCCGATCACGAAACAAACAGAAGCCGTACAATCCACGCCATTATCCCTAGGACCTTGCAGCCCTCTCCCGAAACGTATATATATACCCCAGCCCAACTCCCCATTTATCAACCAACCCAGAACGTACGCCCGTCCCGCGCTCACCAAACCCTCAACAACCACCAACTCCCGACCCCCAACACCAACAACGTCGCCAACAACACCGCGCCCTCACGCGTGCTCCACACAAACGCCGTCCAACCCACAACCACCTCCCTGCGCCGCGCCGCCGCCCGCCGTTCCCACGCGTGCACATCCACAGGCACAGGCATCCTGACCCTCGGATCCACCAGCCCCCCACCCCCATCCCCATCCCCATCCTCCCCCGACGACGCCTCGATTTCAGCTTCAGCTTCAGCCCCCGCCGTCGGCGGCCGCATCTCCGCCTCCCCCAGCACGGGCACCCGCGCACGGAAGTACACAGCGCGGTGATCGCTGCTCTGCATCAGCGGCAGCGCATCATACGCGCCCACCTCCACGCCCACTTTGCCCTTCCCCTTCCCCCTCCCCACCCCCTCACCCTCACCCTCATCAGAATTCGCACCCGAAACCCACGCCGGCACATCCAAATACAGCACGCGATCACACCACCCGGGCCAGCGATGCGGCGCGAACCGCCACGGCACCTCGGGGACGCCGTTCACGGCGTTCCCCGCGCGCACGGCGGCCTCGTTGGCGGCGCCGGCGGGGCCGTCGAGCAGGTCGAATTTGTAGGTGGGCCCGAAGGATACCGGGGCCTCGCTCAGGCCGTGCAGGGTGCGGTTGGCGAGGCGTTCGTGTGTGAGCTGGTCGCGCGGGAAGAAAGTGGTGTGGTGGTGGTCGGAGGACGGGTCGAAGGAGGGGAAGGTGGAGGAGGGGGGTGGGGTGGTCGAGGCGATGCGGTAGTTGAGGTCGCCCGCGACGAAGAGGTGGGAGGTGGGCTTGTAGACGGAGATGGATTGCAGGGCGGCGAGGGTCGCGGCGTCGGTGGTGGGGAGTTGCGGGTGGGCGAGGAGCGGGTGGGTGTCGTCTTCTTCTTCTTCTTCGGAAGAAGGGGTCTGGTCGGGCTCTTCTTCGCTCGGGTCGGGGCTGTCGCCGGTCGGGAGGAGGGGTGCGTTGCCGGCACGGTCCAGGGTTGGGGCGGATTGGTCGACGGGGAAGACGCCCGGAACGATGGCCCGCGGGTTGGCGAAGGTCAAGCCGGCGACGATGCTGCGCCAGTTGGCGTTGCGCTTCTTGAGATTCCATTCCATGGCCGCGAGGTGGGTGGCCACGAAGGTGAGTTCCGTCGTCTTGTCCGACGCCGCCTCGTCTGCCTGGCCGCTCCAGGTCACCCTCAACCCGACGGCACCCTTGTTCCCCATGTCCGCCGCGCCGAAGCCGCACTCTGCCTCCTCGATCTTCCGTATCGAGGTCGGGTCTCGCGCGTACATAAGGATAGCCGTCATCCCGACGTTCTTCGCGCGCACGAGGGTATATGGCGGTCTCCTCCGGCCGGGAGCGGCCGCTGAGAGGGAGGCGTGTTCATCGTCGCCGTCGGCTGTCGCGAGCACCTTCGCCGACGCGAGGTTGAGTGCCTCCCCGAAGCGTGCGTAGTAGGGGTTTAGGAAGTAAGAGCCAATGAAGGCGTAGGAGAGCGGGGCTACCTCCTGGAGCGAGCTATCGTGGAGGAAACGAGGTAAGCATGTGAAATACAGGTTACAACAGGATTGAACACCCCGGAGCTACGATCTGGAATAGCGCGCTGTCCTCTCCTCAATCGTGCTTCCTTGCCTGCCGCATCTCGTGATGGGCACGAGACCACCTCCTCCTGCAGGGATATTCACCAAACTTACAACACAACCAAGTCTGGTAGGTCCGCCGTGTTTTGTTCCGCGAGAGCGCCATGGAGATGTGCTGCGAAGACCGGCGGGTTGATGAAGGTTTTGGCGCAGTTAAAGGTGAGAATGAACAAATTGAGCGTTGACGGCGCCATGGCTGCAGCATCTGTGGAGGTATTGCGCGACTTCATCCCAAGAACCTCTCTGGTGTGGACATTAAACGGTGCAACGTGACGTGGTTGGGCCTCCGAAAACGGTGTTGGTCATGTACATCCAGGTTTGTCCCGAGCGTTTTCCGCAATGTACCGGCAGGGATGCTCAAGGTAGTGCGGGGGAGGGGATGGGAGGCGCCAAGGCAGATATGGGCAGACGGGAACCAACAGTGACGGAGAATGCTCAGGAACTCTTCTTTCCTTGTTAATTGAGTAACGAAATGGGTCCTACCATTCTTTATACGGGTTTGTTTCGCGCTGGTGGCCGAATCACCTGGCCCCGTCCAAGAGGGGTCGAGATGCGCCTTGAGCTGTACAGCCTCTCGACACCGACTTTTCCACCGATTATGGGAGGCTGAGCACGGCGCTATCCGGTCACTGTGCAGAAGCGATCACTCATGACGGGGGTCTCCACGATCAGGTCACGGTGGATGTGAGGCATAATAGCAAAACGAGACTGAAATTAATGAAACGAATGGCATGCGTTACTGGTGGCACCTCAAAATGGTCAACAGTGCGGGCTGATGCCTGGTACCCGGAACCAGACACAACTGCCGTCAGCAGTCGGCCTCCCCGCGTGATACCATGGTCGCCTTGAGAGGAGCGAGGGTTGTTGTCGTCGATCGCCGGTAAATGGGGTTTTAAAGAGGCCACCAAGTGGCCGGGAGAGGAGGTCGAGATTCCCAACGGGTAAACCTGCTCCGCTCCCGAACGTCCTTGCCGATGAGCCAACTCCATCAACCCGCCGTCTCAACCCATGCACGTGCAGCATCACCCATGACCAAAGCTCCCAGTGTGCTTTCGTCAGCCGATTCTCCAGCCAACGTTTCGAAACCTCAGCGTTAAGGCCGAGGTCTATTTTCGCGACCATGTCTGAGAGTCGAACCGATCATTGTCTCCGCCATGCCCAAACCAGGAATATTGCTTCGTCCCCTGTTACCTCCCCACAAGCGTGTCCCGATGCGATAAATGCAGAGTGCAAGGAAAAATGCAAGACCAAAAAGAAAACAAACGCAGGAGGGTATGAGCGGTGTGTGCTGTGAAATTATGCGATTGGCCGAGTTCCTACGACAAGGGACCCGAGAAGCGGCCGCTTTGAACGGTCGCCGTCGAATCAAAGTCCCGTCTCATCGCTGACCATTGCTCTCAATCTTGCGGCGCTTAAAACGCTGCCACAAACAACGGCTGCCCTCCCCCCCCCAAGCGACACCCCAAGAATATCAGAGTGCCGGGCGTGCCGTTCGGTAGATCCCGGTCCGGACAGCGAGTCAAGCGGCTGGCCGTGAAGCCAATTACCACCCGACGGGGCGCCGGACCAAAAGGTCATCCGAGAAAATAGAGGTCATGAACTGATGAGATGTCGAAGGAAAAATGGGGGAGAAAAAGCAGTCCCGATATGCTGGTGCTGAGGGCGTGTATCCGTTATCGATGCTGATCTGGTCCGGCAGAGCACAGCTGCTTCCGCGAAGGACCCAGATGCTCATGACGAGGCCCGCGAAAGGGCCCGCCCAGCCAGTCGACGAGAAACAAATTCATAGAGCCCGGGGGTAAGAGGCGACAATCCGATTTTTGTTCAGTGCTTCAGTCCATGGGCCGGTACTTGTTGGACGCATATCCCGAGCCAGCGCCCTGAGCTTTCGCAGCTGAGCGCAGCCTATTATCGCAAACTGATCGTCAGCATGTCATGTCAGCATTGTCCCTCCGGCCAGCGTTGATGAGCGCACACCAAACACGAAGGAAATATGATTCCTTACTAGGAATGCTTTGGGCTAGGCTTGGTAAGTCACTCACATCCTGTCGCTTCCGCCGACGGCACGGTTGGTATCCGGGGCCTCGCCGGTGATCTGCTTCCGAGTGCCGCGAGGCAGCGCCTGAGCATCCTTGCGGGCGGCGGCCTGGGCGTCCTTGGGGTCGCCCTGCGCAGCCTGGTTGGCAGTGTTGCCGGCGGCCTGCTGGATGGCCTGGGCGTTCTTCTGGTACTTGTAGACGGTCCAGTCGAAAACGTAATCGTACTGGAAGCCTTCACGAACGAACAGGTCGCGGAAGATCTTGCGGAGGTAGCTGTAGTCGGGCTTGTCGTCAAAGCGGAGGGACCGGGTGTAGTTGAGGTAAATGGCGAACTCGTTGGGGAACCCACGGCAAAGGACGTCGGTGGGGGTCGTCATCTTCTTCTCCATGATGCGGTCGTACTTCTGCTTCTTGGTGGCAGCCTTAAGGCCCTGCCACGGGAGCGAGCCGCGGCAGAAATAGAGCATCACGTAACCGAGCGACTCCATGTCGTCACGGCGAGACTGCTCGACACCGAGATGGGTATTGATCGAGGCATAGCGGGCCGTACCCGTCAGGTTCTTGTTCTCTCTGTACGGGATGTGGAAGTGCGTCTTCGGGTCGCGGTACTTCTTGGCCAGACCAAAGTCGATAACGTTCACTTGGTTACCCCGCTTGCCGATGCCCATGAGGAAGTTGTCAGGCTTGATATCGCGGTGGATGAACGACTTGGCGTGGATGTACTCGATGCGAGAAATCAACTGGTCGGCGAGCAGCAGGACCGTCTTCAATGAGAACTTGCGGTTGCAGAAGTTGAACAGGTCCTCCAAGCTGGGTCCAAGAAGGTCCAGAACCATGGCATTGTAGTCACACTCGGTGCCGAACCAGCGGACGAACGGGATGCCAACACCGCCGGCGAGCGACTTGTAGACACGAGCCTCATATTCAAGCTGCGGGTGCTTTGCCTTCACACTCTCGAGCTTGATGGCGATCTCCTCCCCCGAGATGATGTTAGTGCCCAGGTAAATGTCTCCGAAGGAGCCCGAACCGATCTTACGACCGATCCGGTACTTGTTCCCGACGCGGAGATCCTGTCTTCTGTTAGCAAAGCGATCCCAAACCAGATGGCCGTCACAAAAATTCACGAGGTCGGCTGCCACACCGCCTTTCGAGGCCCCCATCGCGGGGTGGGGGCCAAGAGGAGCGAGCGGCAGCTGAAACCAACGTAGTGCAAAGGCCAGCCAAATCACTCGTTATTCGGGGTTCGTACCATCGTCGTCATCTTGTTCTGCTCTGCCTCTGGGCGACTTCCTTTAATCGTTGGCTGGGTTGGGTCGCTAATTTGCGTAAGAATGGTGCGAAGCTGCAAGAGAGAGAACGAGTCAGCTTTATTGAGGTCGCTGGACGAAGTGAAACCAGCAAGCGGGGGATAATTCAACCCGGTTTGGTTAAATGCAAAACGACCGTCAAGTGTGTGGCCTGCCTCAGCTGACGGCGGCGAGAGGCGAGTAGCGATGACTTCAGGCTCGTCGCCTCTGCCAAGGGCTCCGCTCGGTCCTCGGGCTTGCGCCCTTTAATGGGGGATGCAAACCTCGACGATAGTTCCAAAAGAGGTTTGAGTGATTTAAAAAGATGGGTTAATCATGTTCTTACCTGGAAAATGCAGCTGTGCCGGTGTGATGCGAGGCAGAACGCGGAAGGCTGCCCAAATAATCAGTGAGGACGGAGAATGGGAGAAGGGAGAAGGGAAATTGGTGATCGAGGGGAGCCCGCATAGAAACTGACTTTGAGGGCTGTGAGGGAGTGCCCGTGCAGGGGCTGGCAGGCGCCTAGCCTTACTCCACAGTGCGCTTGTGCCAACCGAGCGCCGCATGTACAGTGCGAAATGGCAGACAGGCGTCAATCAAACCCTGGGTGCCCAACCAAGGTGGTGTTGGCCACTGGAGCTGCTTCCACTTCAGCCTCTCCATCCGAACAACCTAGCCGTGCCAGCGCACCATCTACCTGCAGGCCGGTTTTGCAATGTGGCCGGCCTTGCAAACAATTAGTTACGGTGTGTACACGCCACTAGAACAAGATCGGAATCTGCAGACGCACACATTCTGGCGGTCTCTGAGGGTTGTCACGAGGCAGGTTGCTTGGGCGCCGCTTGTTCACAAAGGCGTGTCGCTCTTGGCAGACACGCAACCGGAAGCGGGCATCGCCCGCTCACTCAGTCGGTCGCTCACAGGAAGCAACCTCCCGTTGACTCCTGTCGGCAAGTAGAGGCCAAAACCGCCCTGTTTTGATGAGCCAGTCTTTCCCACTGCGAGAGAAGCAAAAGGAGGGCGCTAATAAAAATACTCGCACCAACTTCACACACCGTCAACGGGATTCAGGGAGTTTAGTTGGTCGCCCGGGCGGGAAACAATCTTAGCAATCGACCCGACAGGCTGGACCTGTCGGTCTGTCAACCACTTTGGGCGTGAGAAGCTGCCGGTCCAGCAGGGCGGCGCTTAACTATTCATGCAGCGTCACGGCCCGGTCGGGCTAGGTGGTGAGGAGTCGAGACGGGCCGCCAAGAGTACGCACTGTGTAATACGGTGGCTGGACTCAATACCTCGGTCGGGAACGTACGCCGCACGGGCGTCATTCTGCCAGTCGCATAATCCGGAAGGAAAAATCATCATGCGAGGACACACTGAATCAAGACGGGCAAAAAGGGGCCAAAAGGGGGCCAAGGTGGCATGAAAGGGCGTGAGGTAGGCGCCAAAACCGGAATTCTAGATCCTTGATCCGTCGTTGTTACCGCGCCACCGCTTCAAAAGGGCGCAACGCCTCCGTTCGAAACCACCAATAGGCCGCGGCCCACACCCGACTGCATCCATCCATCCAGCTGACTCGGCATCTTGCGGTCTCCTGACGTTCACCGCAGCTTGACCTGCAGAAACCCATATATTTACCGATCTCAGCTTCGCGCCCTTTGACCTCGATCACCTTCCGATTTTGTTTCCACGAGCCAAGACCTCCCGGGTATGATTAACCCAAGGCGACCTTTGCCTCGCACACGAAACCACCGCACGCAATGACCGAATCCAATCGGCCACCTGATTTGTTCCTCGGTCAACAACACCCAATTCTCATGGGTTCCCATTGTTAGGTCGACGGGCAGCACGAAGATGGTGACCGGAATACATCTGGCCTCTTCGATGCCCGTGACGCTGGACTAAACCCCTTGCTTTTACTTGTCATGTTGCCATACTTGGTAGCATACGCATACATTGCGTCGAGGTCCGAGGGATCCGGACCAAGACGAGCTCGTGTGCCACAGGCGTCGCCCCCGCTGAGTCCATCACATCATTGGGCTACCGAGGTAGGCCGCGGACCACCGTCTCGGGCTTTGATCCGGCCAGTTAGTCGGGCGCGTCTTGCGCCCATCGGTGTGGCCGCCGACCGGGCTTCTGGGGTGGGGATCGACCTCGGATATGTAACTGTGGCCAAATATTCATTGAGGTCATATACTGGATCGGTAACCGTAGTCCGACTGACCGAAATGTCAACCCTCTTCGCTTGGCGTACGTTCTTCCGGGTCATCGGCCAAGGAATGTCCGATCTTCGATCCAACCGCCGCTGTCATGTTGCCGTTGTCCATGATCGTGTAACCCGCTTGGTAGGACATGCTGACGCGCAGTAACAGAACATGGCTGGGCATATCTTGGTCCATAGCCCCTCGGTTCCTCTGCTTACCCCCAGGTTGTCAATTGCACAGGCCGCCCCAAACTCACAGGACTCGTCCCGCAAGTTGCGTGGCCGCCGTCTCTTCCTTTCCTGTCTGGCGGTCTAGGGTTAGGTCAATCGCTTTCCGTCGCTGCGAAACTCCCTGCGTATTGATCAAACCGTCAACCACTCTCGGGGCTATACTCGGAAACTGCCGAAGAAGTAAAAAAGAAACAAGTTGATAACACTCCTTTTTGGTCAACTAAGCATCGGTACGAGGTGGGATTTAGTTTGAGTTGCCGGTAGTTGTCCTTGCCCTCTCGATAATTGACCTCCCTACCTAGGTAGGTACCTAACGAGGCAAAACACAAATCCCATCTCGGCTTCCAGGGGTTCACTACCCCACCAACACGCAATCGGAAGGCGGGGCAGAACGTACCTGACCAATGGACCCCTTTCCGCAAGTCCCCTGGTGTGCCTGGTTCCACCATGGTCCAGGATCTCTCGACTTTCCGTATCCTTCCCTCACCACTAGAAGTAATAAAACCCAGCAACGGCGCACAGCAGCGAGAACGGAAGGAAGATGTCGAGCACATACAGGTGGCTTTCTGCAGCCTCATGGAAGGCATGACAGACCAGGCCTGGGGGTGCACTCGCTTCCCGTTTGCGGGGCAAGCAGTCGCGGTTGGTGGCTATCGGACAAGGTGGAGCAACAGACCCTGAATCCCTTCCCATCAGGATCCGAGGTTCCGTCAACAGCGTAGGAGCCAGAGGCAAAAAAACAACATGGATAGTAAGGTCGGGCATTGTATGGATCCACCCTAGAAATACTTAACCACCTAGGTAGGTTCGCTGTCTCCATAGCCAGGTGTAAACTCCCACTACAATCTCACATCTCACCTGGGTCTTGGCTGTCGAGTTGTGGCGCGCTTCCGGAGGCTTTCCCCCAGCTCCGGGGTGGGGATTCGGGATATGGGCCGGGCGTAAATCGCCGGTGGTCTTGATGCCGAGGACCTGCGTGTGGTTGCGCGATGCGACCAAAGGTAGCGTCCACCAGGGTGGGATCTTCATCGACCCAGAGTAAGGAGGCAAGCTCGCAAGGAACTCGAGAGTGTGCCGTCTGCGCCTCAGCGATCAATCTCTCCATGGTTGAACTTCCATTCACCTCTCCACGACGGAAAGCACAGGCTTCGAACCATGGCCCCTCTTGAACGCAACCTGTAACCCATTTCGTGAGGCCACTGTCCTCGGCCTGGGTGTGTAATTACTTCGAAGGCAGCTCGGAGCAAGCATGGCAAAGGTTGTTGAGGCTGGGCGGCAGTTCACAATGTTGGTCCCTGCAGGATATCCCGCCAGGGGCAATCAAAAGAGCGCCCAGGCTCGCCAGGCTTGGCGACCACCGCCCAGCGTGGAGGTGGTCCAAAACGGGAATAGCGCAAGAATCTGGTCCGCTGAACACAGAAAGAGCATGGGGATGTTTGCTGGCCCCTGGGTTGCCGAGATGTCCATCTTATTAACTTCCATGCCCTGGTGACCACCAAGTCGGGTGCTCTCTCTTCACCTCTCTCCCCATCAGGTAGCTGAAAACACGCCTCGCCCCGACGACGAGATTTGTTTTTCTGAAAAACATCTTGCCATCGGCTACGCCCCTCACCAAAGCTGGGCACTCCCCGTCACGTATGCACACCGCTGCACCTCTCAGCGGCAACCTTCTGAAACTCCACCGATCCACAAGCACAACCCCGAGAGCACAGGGTCCTCCTGTCTCCAGCGGGTGAAAGTTGCCAGCCGCAGGGTATTGGATTCCAGCTTGTTGCACACGCGCAAACGAACTCCCGTGCTCCCCCCTCGCCAACCCATTTAGCGCTGTCGCCTCGGTGGAAACCGCAACACTTGACGCCGATCCCACGCTCCCTCTCCAGAGGAGCCATCCGTCCCCCAAACCCCCTAAAATCCCAACGTGTTGGGAGTCGCTCAACTAGGTAGTTCTCCCCCGAAACAACACCCACAGACGGGCCTGAGCGAGATCGTTTTCAATCCCGCTTGACCTATCGCAAAACACTACCCCACAGCCCATTTGACGGACAGCGCTTCGGGATCGAGGTTGAGGTCTCAACGCTGACAGTTCGTCTGCCAGCAGCACAGGCCAAAAACCAAGGCGACCTCGCTCTTAGTTACCGAAACCCAAACCCAAGCTCGGTTGAGACGCGCGGCCGTTCGTCCGATCTCGACCCCGCGTAGCTACACCGAGAATTTGATCGCTACCGTGCCTCGACTACATATTGACGGCACTTCGCTAGTCGCATCCCCTCGCGACCCCCCCATTTTCTCCGCTGGCTGCGAAGGAAGGAAAGTCGCGTTTTGAGACGGACCCACGACGGGAACGACCCGCTGTCTGAAGAAACACTCCTTATCCCCACTGGTATGCCGCCGGCCCCGGTCCAGGGAATTCAATCCAAGACATTTTGACACGGTCGCACAGGGCAGCGTCAACTCGAGTTGACACGCAAACGGCGGCTCGCGCCAACCCAACACCGGAATCGACAAACATCCATCATCGGATTCGCCATCGTTCGCCCATCATGGCAGGTTCGCAGCAAGGTGAGCACAGCGCATACGTTCATTCGTTCATTTACCCCCTTGGCGACTCCGGATGCAGACATCGAACCCTGTTGCGCTCCCTCAGTGGCGGCCAACGCAAGCATCGAAGGGGGAGATCCACGCAGCAGTGCCTGGTCGGTCGCATCCCGCTTCCCAGTTTTTACAAGCCCAAGGGGCCGCGTTGGCGCCTGGGCATGTCCATCGGTTCGCTCTGCGATTGAGCCTGTTGTGTCATGTTAAGGAGATTACCGTTTCATGTTCCTGTCACCATCGTCATTCGCATGCATGGTGCCGACGGCCGAACCTGTTCTGTCCCGTCCCCTGTTGACTTGATCGCTGACTTGTTTGGGGTTTCGCCCATTTAGACCAGCGATCCGCCGGGTTGTCATTGAACCTTCCTTCAAACAACCCATTTCGCAATCGCGCCGTCTCGCCCACGACCTCGCAAGGCCCGGCTTCTCCGTTCGACGACCCGCCCCCGCGCCCGCTCTCTCGCAACCCATTTCTCGACCCCGCCATCACAAGCAGGTCCAGCCTCTCCAACATCCGATCTGAGTCGGAAAGCATGTCGCTGGAAAAGAGGCCGTCCCTCACGGCCGAAGAGATTTTTGTACGTCGTTGCAGTTATTGGGCCCGGCCGCCCGCCGGTGGCTTGCAAACGGCCGCACTCGAAACGTAGTCTGACCATGGTTCGCGCAGGGTTCGTTGACGCTCGTGGATACATCCGACAAGCCTGCGCCGCCGCGGCCGGATGCCGCAAAGCCGTCGCCGCCGCCCGACCGTCGCGGCCCACCGCCCCCTTACCGCAGTGGTGCGCCGCCGCCGCCAGGCAGCCGGAGGGGCCCGCCACCGAACCATCGCCCGACCCGATCACAGGAAGAGGCGCTTCGCGCCCGGAGAATGCAAGAAAACGGTGGCCGTGGCGGCCAGCCGGATCCCTCGCGCTCCCCGCAACGCCGCCAGGAGAGGCGGCCTCGTCGGAACTCGGATTCGTCAATCCTCGACAATGATAAGATCATGACCGAGGAGGAGCGAAAGCAGCGCGACCAGAGGCGACGCGAGCGAGAGCGCGAGCGCCGTCATCGTGACAACAGGGAGAAGAAGAATGCTAAGCCCAGCCGCAGGGTCGATATTATCGACCAGCTGGATGTAACTGGGTCCGGAGGTAGGCGGTGCTGGCCCGTTTAGTCTAAGTCAATTTGCTAACCTCCATTCCAGTTTTCCATCACGACGGACCCTTCGACGCCCTCCACCCGCACCGAAACAGGCAGGGCAGTCGGCGTGCACCGATGCAAGCCTTCCCGAAGGATTCGCTGAACAACACGATTGGTGGTTCTGGACCTTTGAACGCCCGGCCGGACCACGCCATGTTCATGGGGCAACAAGACGACGAGGCATTCATGGAGTGGTCTCGGGGCAGCAAGGATAAGGCCTCGCACAAGGACACGCCAGTCTTCGATCCCCTCAGCCGCGGCAGCATCCTGCACGGCGACGAATCGCTTGGCCTCGGCACGTCGACCTTCTTGGAGGGGACACCGGCCGCACGGACTGCCATTCAGAAGCGCGAGGAGGAGCAGAAAGCCGAGTTCGGAAGCGACGGTCTCCAGCGCAAGAAATCGCTCGCTCACCGAATTCGTAACATGAACCGTGGCGGTCGTGAGTACCAGCCCTCTGGCCGAGGTGGCAATCCCGAGTTTGGCTACGGTTCCCGGCGGTCGCCCTCGCAGGGCGGACCGGCCTCTGCTTCGCTGTCGGAGCGCAACCCCTTCTTCAACGAGTACGGGTCCGGCAAGGGCGAGGACGAGTTTACCGTGCAGAAGATTGATAGCAATGGAAGCCGGCCTTCGCCTGCGAGCCCCGGCAGCGGGCCCAGCCTTGAGCGCAGGTCGACGACGGACGCTACGGGGGGTGATGACGCCCAGCCTAAGGCGAGCGGGATCCTGGGTCGCATGAAGAGTCTGAAGGGAAGACGCCAGCGCCCGGCTCCTGCCGCAGGTGAAGCGGAGCCCATCCCCACCCCTGGAACCGCGGTTTAGAAGAGCCGCAGGGCAATTCGAGCAAAGCTGGTGACTGGCTGGGGTTACAATCTGATACCGCCCCGGGCATAGCGACAGCCCCCACCGTCTCGCTTCTTCGACACCGAACTGTCCCCTGGTTGTGTGTCTTTTGGTTCTCTCTACGCAAAAACAAAAAAACTACCCTCGGCAGGCGCGGACTACCCGGCACGGGAGGTCTTCGGCCTGTGATCTCTCACACCTCACGATACAGGTTTTTCTACGGACCCATGCGATATCGGGACGCTCTGCGTCTTTGAAGAGCATGGTTTACACGGTTGGCTTTCGTTCCCTTCTTCGGTTTGCTCGGTCAATGGGGGGACGCGCGAAATCGGAGAGCAAAGAATGGTAGGGGAGTGAGTGTCTGGCCATATAATATTACGGGTCGGCTCTGGCTGGCTGGCAATTGGGGGGGAGGGCGCGATGCAGGCCACAGCGGTTAGGGGGGCTTGGTTTGTCCTGGGACCGGTTCCATGTACATAGCATAGCCCCTTTTCTTTTTCCTCGCGGTTTTCACGACATGGGGTTGTTTTGGGGGGGGAGGAGGGTCTTGGGGGGGCATGGCGAGTTTGTCTTGCTTGCGCAGCCTGTTCTGTGTCCTGGGGGTTGTTTTGACCCCGTTGTGAGCAAGCCGGCGGCGTCGCTTTCATTGGCAGGTTGAATCGAGTATTGTTGTAATGATTGACATCATGATTTCTACTCTTCCCTTCTGTTTGGTGATTTTACATAACTACACTTGTGTAGGTAGTTCAGGGGCTCGGGCGGGAGAGGGCGGGTGCTGATCGCTCGGGTTGGGCCCACCGCCATCCTGGGTTTGCTCAGGGGCATGAAACGACGAGTGAATGTGTCGATCCTGGGAAAGGGATTGGGGTGAGGAGGTGGGTTTTGTGCATGACGATGCTCCGCTGACGTTGTGTTTCATGGGCTAGAAGAAACAACAAAAGAACATGATGATGAGGTTTCCAAATACCCCGTGGCAGGGTTCTCACTTTGATGTTTGTGGGTGGAGAGAAAAGCTGCCAGATATGCATGTGAAGGCCATCTCCAGGAATCTAACCGCAACTTCAACAACGCAGTGACGGATTGCCTCAGGTATCGACCCAACCGATTCGTAAAAATAAGTCAGCGAAAGTCGATCTCGCCGCAAACACAACAATGGCCGAACCGTTAAAACAAGCCGAATTAGCCAGCGGTGGACAGCGATAACTAATTCTTCGTTGGATGAACGGAGGGAGTTGCCCACCATTGATCGTTCGACCAACCCCAACCCCAACCCATGCAACAACCTCCACTTCCCATTATCACCACCACCACCACCACCACTAACCACCATGAACGACCCCAAACCCGGCCCCACCGACACAGCACCACCACCACCAGAAACAAAAACACCACCACTCCCCATACCGCTGCCACAGCCCGCCTCCCTCCTCCTCGACGAGGCGATCGCACGAAAGGAAAGCCTCGCCGCCAGAGGCCGCCTACAGACCGGCTGCCACGAGCTCGACGAGCATGTCCTGCTGGGCGGGCTAGAGAGGGGGTCGGTGGTGGGGGTGAGCGCTGAGGAGGAGGGTGTTGGGTTGGCGGTACGTTTTATTTTTATTTTTTATTTCTTCTTTTCTTCTGTTTTAGGGGTTGGTTGGGTTACTGATCATGGTGTGGGGTTAGATCGGTCTGCAGACGGTGGCGGGCTTGTTGGTGGCCGTGCCGGCTGCGCGGGTGATGGTTGTGACGACGCTGCCGGTGGCGGGGTTGTTGCCCAAGTTGAGGGCGGCGCTTGTTGGGAGGTTAGCGCGAGAGGGGATGCAGCGGCTGCAGGATGGGGTGAAGGGGTGTCTGGGGAGGATCTCGATTGCGCGGGTGTTTGATATCGAGGGGTTGTGGGAGGTGTTGAGGGAGTTGGAGGAGGCGGTTGCTAAAGCGGACAACAGGCCGCAGGAACCTGTTCAACAGACCGAGGTGGTCAACAAACCGGGCGATGTCTTGCCGGAATCCGTCAACCATCAAGAGCCGCAGAGGACGGAAGTTCTGGACAGCGAGGATGAGGGTGGGCTCTCGTCCCCGGAATCACCACCACCACCAACCAGTCCGCCCGATAAAACGACCACCGCAGAGCAGACCACCCTTTCAACCCTCCCCGACATGATCCTCATAACCCACACCTCAACCCTCCTCAACACGCTCTTCACCGGCCGCGACAAAGAAACCGCTCACAACACAACACAGCTCCTAGCCACCCACCTCCACGCCCTCACCCGCTCCCCTTCGCACGGCGGGCCGCTAATCATGCTCCTCAACTCCACCACCTCCCCACACCACCCCAACAACAACAACGCCACCACCGCGCCGCCACCAGACAGCGACCGCCCACCCAAACAGCTCGACTCGACCCTCCGCTCCATCTTCAACCCTCCCACCGCGCCACAACGGGGCCATGGCTCTGCCTTTGCCACAACCAGGAAGAGCAAGCCCTCGTTTGGGCTGGTGTTTTCCCAGATGCTGGATCTACATCTCCTGTGCACCCGCGTTCCGAGAACGAGGGCCGACAGAGTCGCTCTGGCGGCAAATCCCGGAGCGGCAGGGCTAGAGGCGTCATATGTGTGGTTGGTGGAGGTGTTGCTGGATGAGCTTGGGGTGTATCAAAGGGATGCCGGCGGTGAATGGGATTGGTGGGAGAGGAGGAACAGGGAGCAGAGGTGGGGGGCGGTGGATATTGATGGGGAGGGCAAGGTTGTGGATGCACCTTTCTCGTGATGGGGTTTCAGTTTAAAGTGGTGAAGGTGAGTTTCCATGGTCGGTTTGGTAAGATGATGTCCTCCGTGTATTCAAGGCCAGTATTTTACATGACTTGCTAAACGAGTGTGCAGATAGGAGATATCCAAGTCCTCCGAGGTCAACACATATGGGTTACCTACCCCGAACAACTGCCCACCAGCAACCTACAAATCGCCCATGTTCTCCCGTCCACCAGACTCCTCCGCCTCCTCCAAGTACGGCTCCAGCCGATCCTTCAGCTCCTCGACGCTCATATTCTCCGCCTCCTCACCACCATGCCCATCATGATGCCTATGCGGCGGGATCAGCACCCGTCCGACAACCTGCAGCACACCATCATCCGCGACCCCATCCCTCACCACCACCTGCACAAACCCGTTCACCACAATCGACACAAACCCCTTCCACGTCTTGATATCCACACTAACCGGCTTCCCATGCAACAAACTCGGCAAATCCACATGCCAATACCCCCCTCCCACCCCCTCACCTTCACCTTCACCCTCCCCCTCCCCCTCCCCCTTCCCGTCACCGCCACCCCCACCACGATAATACCCATCCGAATAAACCGTCTCATTAACCACCACATGATACCTCACCAACGCCCTCAAAAACGGCCTCCCCCTCTCCGAAAACAGAAAAGCATTCACCCTCGGCCCCAACCTCTCCCAAGCACGATTCGTCGGCGCGAAGAACGTGCCCCCGCCACTCCGCGGCAGCGCCCCCTCCCCGCCCGTGCTCAATTCCTTATCCAGCCCCGTCGTCTGCAGCGCCAGCGCCAGCGTGCTGAATGGTGCGGGCAGCAGGCGGATGATGGTTGTTTGGCTGGGGGGTGGGAGGAGGATGGCGTCGAGGGCGTGGATGAGGCCGTTTTTGGCGGCGAAGTCGCCGGTGATGAGGCGGGCGTGGAAGTTGAGGTGGGTGAGGGGGATTAGGGGGGTGGTGGAGGTGCGGATTCGTTGGGGGTGGTTGTTGCTGCTGCTGCTGGTGGAGGTGTCGAGGGCCGGGGGGTGCAGTTCAGTGGGGAGGGTGTGGCTTGTGTGGATGCGGTGGAGGGGGTAGAGTCCTGGCGTGATGTGGTATTTGAGGAGCGCGAGGATGAATTCCTTGCAGGGTTTCTTGTGGTCGCCGTCGTTGTTGTTGTTTTTGTCGTCATCATCGTCCCCGCCGCAGTGGCCGTGGCCGTGGTGGGGGACGTGTTCGAAGGCGCGGTCGGTCGGGACGAAGAGGGTGTGGTTGTGCTTGGTGTCCTCGAGCAGCTGCTTGATCTCGTCGTACTTGTCGACCAGCTCGGCGAACTTGGTTGTGTGCTTGTTCTCCTTGATCAGCTCGTAGATGGTCTTGTCGGGATCGCCGCGGTGGCCGTGACGGCCGTGGCCGCCATGAGGGGGCCAGGGGCGGGGGTGGGGGTGGTCTTCCTCCTGCTCTTCAGAGTCGATCAGGGAGAGGAAGCTATCAAGGCTGCTGTGCTGGATGCTCTTTGTGATGCGGTCCTCGATCGGGGACATGAGGTTTCCCGCGTTGGGGAGCGCATCCCACCAGGCCTGAACCGCATTTTGCTCTGCAGTCTTGTCCTGATTTGTGGCTAGAGGTGTCTGTTGCTTCCTGACCACGCTGGGTGTGACCAGGGCGGCGGCAGTAGCCGCGAAGAGGAGTACGAATTGCTTCATCGTTGCTCCTCGGCAGTCCCGTATGCACTTACACGCGTGGCAGATCTGAATGGTGTAACAAAGTCAACAATGCGTCTCTCTTATTTGGGCACGGTTCCGAGACCATACTAGGAGGCACTACTATAAAATAGACAGCTGGGGAGCCTTTATGGCGGCGGCACCACTCGAATCGTATCTCGGGAACTCTGGGAGCAGAAAGCAGGCATTGATCAGTGACGCGCGGACTTGATCCGACCCGCCGTCGGCGTCATCATGGCCCGACGAGACAACTGATTGGTCGTCGACCCCGCGATTCCAGACTTCTCCAGCACGGCTTTGGGAAGCTGCTGGTACGACCAATACGGGACCGGGGCCCCGGTGTAGCAATCGTTCAGCGAGAGTACGTCATTGCCTTCACCTATTCAGAGATCGTCTCCTACAACCGGTCGAGCCGGTTTAAATCCCTTGACACCTGCACAAACAGCCCTTGGGTCCCAACTGCCCATGTTGGCATACAGTCCACTGTCGCAATCTTCCCCAACCCACGGGTTCCATTCCTTGATTTGCTCTGCGGTCGCTCCGACCTCTTCCGCGATGGCATCGCATGTGCGGGCTGAGCAAGAGAGTATTAGTGAACAAAAGTTTCCCGTCTATGGATCTTGGATGTAAGACACCTACTTCCAGCTCCGCGGTGGTCGATTTCAACCCAGCAGTTGCAGATCGAGACGGAATAGGGATTCGGCACCGTGACATGAGGAGAACAGCGACGGCCGCCTTGAGGGAGCCATTAGCTAACATCCGTGTGATGTACACATTCATCCTAGCGTTTGTGCTCACCGGTTGTGACCATATCGTCATCAACCCAGCTGGACCAGAGGCAGTACCGGTACTTCGGCAGCGTCCGAAACTTGCATCTGGCGCCCCTGCTAGGATATCTGTACCCTAAAAAGATCATTCGACCGTTTCGGATCTCGTACTCCGCTGTCGGGTAATTGCAGTTGGACTGCGGAATGTCCCTCTTGACGAGGTATCGGAGGAAGCCATCCTCGTCGGTGATGGTCGGGGCTGGGTCGAGGTCATTGCCAGTGTATTCCTGACAGTCCCTAAAGATGCCCCAGGACGAGGGTTTGTATGTCTTTTCGGTTGAGTGCCGTGCTGCGGCGGAGAAAGTCGAAAGACTCAATAACACCACAGCTAGGAAAGAGCTCGTGAACTGAACCATCCTGATCGTCGGCCGGCTCGGTGTCGTGCGTTTTGGACAATAAGAAACCAAGTCACCGACAAGGCAACCCGACGCGCCGGAAATGCAGTGGCATTTTATTGCCTCTACCGCTCACACGTTGGATTGCTGTTGGGGTCCGCTTTGCTGCTTGTGTATCTTCTGCGCCGCGGATGGCGCCACCTCAGCCAGTTAATCATCCCTGCCAAGGCTGTTGCCTCTTACACATGATCTCTGCATTAAAGGAGTCACAAGGGTATTAGAATCACACCGGTGTATGAGTGAGAAGTGGTGTCAGGGAACGTAAGAGTAAAAAGCTGAGCGGAAGGCCAGTGAGGAACTAAGTAAAACCGTGAAATGATGAGGTCGTTCCCGCCCCGAACGGGACAGATGAGTTGCCTCTGGTACCTAGTGGCAGATCATGTTGACGCAATCTTACAGGTCCGCGGATGTACAGAGGCCTACCGTGACCAACACCTCAAAAACGCGGGGTTTGCATTCCACAACGTCTTGGGCTCGCAAAGTCTCGCGAAAAGAAATCGGTCTAGCTAATTCCCTCCTGCTAGCAAATCGACAAGCTATTTGATTTATCTTTATCTCTTGTCACCCCAACAACATTCAAGGTCTGACTCTGCAACGTTATACGACTTGAGACGGGAGATAGCAGGCAGTTGGACATACACCCCTATGGTCCAGTGAGGAGGCCTGCGAGATTGGAGACGGAAAGGTGCTGGTTTCGTCTGTTCGCGATCACGAGGACAACTTGACAAGTAGTGAACCGGACCAGAGCAGGCATCTTTCTTCCCACAGGCTTTTTATCGCCTCCCTCGACCATCATCCCCCCACAATGACATATTGTGCAAATCTCGACAGCAGCCGGCGTCGTAACTGCGAGGCCCGCGGCTCGCTGGTCTGCAAAAACTGTCGTTTGGTCTTGGTATGTCCCCGATGATTCGAGCTTACCATAACGCACCAAGCCTCCTGAGTCCTGAGTCCTGACCTAGCTCAGTATTGCTCTTCAACATGCCAAAAGGCCCACTGGCCGGCGCACAGACTCAATTGCAAGTCTGCGCTGATGAAGGACTCTTGGAAACCCGTGTGGGTCGTACAGGGGCGCCAGCCTTCGTTTGTCGGACCTGGCGTCGACTCCAAGTTTGGAACTCCCAAATATCTCTGGGGGAACCTTCCTGCGATTGACATTGTCGGGCTCGCCAATCATGAGGGCGAAACTTTCTTAGGCCCTTTGAACCTCTTGTTCGCAGGTAAGGGCCAAGTTCGCCCTCCCCCCCCCCCCCCCCCTTTCCTCACCGCCTAGGTACTGACAGACGGAAGCATCTGGAGACCTCCGCAGTGTCATCACATCCCTGGCAAGCATCACAGCGGAGTATATGGGCATTGTTAATCTTCACATCAACGACCATGACTTTACCGTCACAGCCCGCAATGTCATTATGTTACTCTTTTTTTTCACTCTCGACGATGCAACTCTTGCTGCCGAGCATGCCATTCATGTTTTTTACTCGGCATTTCTAACGAAAGCATGCTTCGACGCGATGCAAAACAAGATCAAGCCTCTTATTCAAGACGTCTGCGCCAAGATTGTGGATAGGTCTGCCAACGCCGTCCTTGGAAAGACCTGGAAGTTTGGGGTTTCCAGCATCCGCCTTGTCCTAACCAAGGGCGATTGGCATAACTTGCTGTCTTTTTTTGACGTCCCTGCTGGCACAACAAAAGAAACTGCTCAGAAAGCCCGGAGTACTGTCGTAAGCGCTCCTGAGCGCATCGACTACGTCCATCGCCACCTCCTGAAACAGGAACCCGCTCATCGCGTTAGCATTATGCAGTTTCGTGAGGATGGCCTTCTACTTCCGCTTGGAGCCGCGAGGCCCGAATTCCAGATTCCGAATCCGTATGTCCCCTTCCTTTCTTTGTCCCTTATATGGGCAACATTTCTGACAAATTCGCAGGACGTTCTTCCAGACGCCTGAAGAGTGGCCCATGATGGACAACGCGGACCCAATGGCTGGATGGTGCCACAAGCAGATACAAGCTGGCTACACCGGGCTGGCAGTCAATGACATTTACGGCATGCTCTACTACCACCTTACCGATCTCTTCATCCGTTTCTACGGGAAGCTGCACAATACGCCTGTTTCTATCCTTCTGACCAAGGCCGATGCTAGAGAAATTGCCCCTTATGTTGGCGGCATGAAATTCGCCCGGATTGATGTATGGTCTATCCCCAATTCTCTACTTTCTGGGAAGAGTCCACTGACATGGGTATTTTCTCAACTAGTCTTCGAATATTGCTGACCGCTATTACCTCGGCCTCCAAGACACAGCGGCGTCTCTCGGTCCCCTCCTCCAATCTCCCACCGAGAATCCCCACGCAACATTGATCATGGCTTTCATGAATGCAGCGAAGGAGGCATATGTTCTGTCAGGCGCTGAGGAAAACAAGGCCCTGGCTGAACAAGACATGGACCGTCTCAAGATGTACCTGCCTCCGCCTTTGGCCATGTCACCCGCTGAGGTGGGGATGTATATCTTCACCTTAATGGCAGGTCGGGACCTGGTGTGGGACTTTGAACGCTTCTTTAACCTGTTCGTGTACCTTTGTGTGGATGCTTCTGAGAACAATTGACCGACCCGAAATAGGTACCTTGACGAGTTTGATCTTGGCCAGCTGGCTGCAGAAACAAGCCTGGAAATGAAGGAGCACAACACGATTGTCAAGCCCTGGCCGATGCGTCTGAGCACTGGACCGGTAACGCTCGAGAAGAGGAAAGAGTTCCGGGCTCTTCTTGCTTCTCCTCACACGGGAATGGAGCGGTACGTCGAGTGGCAGGCCAAGAGGGATGTAGTGGCGGAGGATGTGGACTAAAGGCACTTGTGGTTGTAGCTGCATGAGTAAGGTAACGTATGTGAAGGGAGGCGGTTGCATAGGGCAATCATATATTAACCTGTTCCTCATAGCTAGCAAACTCGAGCTTAAATATCCTCTCTGTGTAACTTATGCGAGAGATATGCATGTAGTTTTGACGCTGCCGCCCTTGGGGAACATGTTTCTCAATGTCTGGCAAATGAAAGGTTCTGGCAATTTCCAGAACCATGGATTTGTAACCATTGCCACAGACGCGCGATAGTTGCCACTTAGTTTGTTACCATTCGTAACTATACCTAAAGGAAGGCTCTCTGGTAGAGCTAGAGAGCCGAGGCCCACCCATAGCTCACCCTAGCTCAGGAGCGGCTCAGTGTGACGCACGAACATGGAAATTGCTGAGGGCAACTTTAGGGTAAAACATAGAGCTGTTGATTATTCCGCAACATCACTCCCTCTCCCCCTAGGGTAACTCAATATCCACCACCTAAGGCGGCCTAGCCGGCTGGCTAGTTATAGCCGTATTATCAAACAACGTACTTACACCCTGTTCCTGTATAGATGCTATGATACCTTGAATGCTGTCGGTATTAGCAAGGCACTCATAAGCTTGAAATGAGCAAACTAGGTACCTGGTAATAATGGTTAATTATCGAAATAGACTTCTTTCACAGACGGGAAATCATTCATCGAGTATACCCTCTTGCTCTCAACGGCTGTCAGCTTTCCAAGTGTACCGCCCACCACGCGACATATGACAGATCAGAAGGACGCAAAGTTACGGCTCCTTTCGGCGAATAACGAAGCTTCGAACCCAAGTTCAGGACCTTCGTGGCTATCCTGAACAGCCCCTCGATTCCTGGACAGGAAGCCTACCCGAGGGTATGGCGGTTGACCAGTCCTGCCTGGCTGCCACCGAGTCCTGCTACTCTGGCACTTATTCCGCAAGCGACGAGGCCTCCTTGCCCGCCGTCGACAAAATCCCTGTTGTCTTGTCTTATTTCGTCTTCGAACCACTCTGAGAAGCGGTAGCTCGACAGATTGCCTTGTGCTCTTTGAAATGAGCGACCTGGCACGTCCGCCCGCAATATGCAACGGCTTTGCACCTCCCGCACAACATCAACTGCGCAGGAGCCTTTTCGCAATTCGCGCATCGCGCCAGTGCTGACGGCGAACCCCTCACGTTGCCACTTCCGCTCTCCGCCGCCGATAGCAAATCCTCCGCTCTCTTTCTCGCCAATCTCAACACCCGCTGTTCGCCCAAGCTAACGTGCGCCGCAGCCCATGCGTTCCCTCCCGGAGAATAGACACCCTCCGCGAGTTGTTCTTCTAGCTTTTCCAGCTGCGTTCCGAAACTGTCTAGAAGATGACGGAACGATTCTACCAAAAACCGCAGGATTTCCACCTCGTTCGAATCGCTGATTTTCCCATCCGTAGCATCGATTTGCCGAAGCGCTATGGCAGCGAGATCTGATTCGTCCAATCGCTGAATACGGAGATATCGAAGGACACTTTTAGGTAGCGGATCGGTGAGAGTGAGGGGGATGGTACAGGTCGAATCGAGTCCAGCCGATACCCAGAGCTTATGCTTTTGCTCGAAAAATGGCGCAGAAGGGTGCGTTGCAAGAACGAGATCATAGCTGTCGTTAGGATTACCAGGCACGACGAAGCCATAGAGACGTAAAAGGCGACTATTCGGAACGGGTCCATAATAGATAAAAGTCTGGGAGAATCGTCCTAACGTAAACAACTTGGTAACTACCATCAGAGAAGAAGGTACATACCTGATCTCCGGCTTCGTAATCTTTCCCCGCAATGACAGAGAGATTCCCAGACGAGGGATCGTAGACATGACACGGCTTGACCTCGGACGAGTGGTTCAACATATCCGCGAAGGGCGCCAAGAGTCGAATCGGATTTCCATCGGGCAGAACAAAATCCATCGCACGACTCCACACGGTGCAGAGAGCCCACTTGTACTAAAAGAAAGGAAGAAGCGTTTAGCGGTTGGGTTGCAACATCTATCACACGTGTATAACACCTACATCTTCGATGGTGAATTTGTCGAGTGGAAAAAGATCTCGATGCCGTGCAAGCACTCGCACGACTAATGCCCTGTAATCCTCTTTGATCGATCGATCCAGCTGCTTCGTGATGGTGTACAGCGAAGTTCCGGCGCAAACCTCCAACTCGTCCTCCGCAAAGAAGATGCTTGAGGAGTAGCTCGTAGGTAACGACGCCACATGGTTTCGCAGGCCATCGTATCCCGACTCGCGAGATCTGACAAAGAGAACGTACGTAGCCAAGGTGTCTTCGACAGACAAGCGTGGCCGCGCAGAGCGCAGAGCTGGTCCAAGAAGGGGATCAGCGTATGCATGTTCGACCGTCCAGAGAATGCCACTTGGAATGGTGAGGATCTTCTCTCCTTCCTTGAAACCCCGCAGTGCTCTGACACCGCGCCCGGTAACCGGGAAGTCGGCAAGCTCGAGGTCGTCCAAGCCTACCGCTCCAGATAGTTTCAGCCAGCTTTCCATGGGGTCGGGGTCGAGGGAGAGTGGGCGTGCCAATTCGTCGCCACTGCCGGATGACATCTCGAGCCTTTTTTTCGCTCGGGATGGGCAAGTGGGGGTGCGTTCCAAGGTTGCCCCCCGCTCTCAACCGGAATAATCAACCGGGCCGAAAGAGAAGAGTGGGTCAGAATCTTTCGTTTGCTTCATGACCTGACTCAGTCAGTCAGTCAACCCCGTCCCAGATCAAGGGGCTTCCCGGCGCGGCACCAACCCACTAGCTGCACAATAAGCCGCCTTGGCACACAAATCACCATGTCAGCGGTGGTGGATATCGTTTCCACGGTGACCATCCTCATTAATTTGGGATTGGAAATCAAGAACCGACTAGACTCGCTCAACCACGCTGCCGAAGAGCTTCAAGTGCTGACCACCAACCTTAAACTTTTGTTGGAGGTGTTTCAGAGCCCCCTGAACGAGGACATCTTCAAGACCCATGTGTCACAGTTCACGAACATCCTGGATGTCCTGCAAAGCATCGAACGTTCGTGTAAAGAATGCGCGAAGTCCTTGGACATCGACCTTGCTGGAGCGACAATTGCGACTAAGACAGAGTCGCGTGGCAAGAAATTTGTCAAGCGACTATGGTCCCTCGGCAAGATTTCCGACCTTCTCGCAGAAATTCAACGCAATGCCGAACTACTACAACAGATATACAGCGGAGTGTTTGCTGTCATTCTCCAGGACATCAGGGTGAAACAGGGACAGACGAGTGGGAAGGAAACTGTTGAATCCGCTGTCGTACAAAAGTCAACTGTCGATGAAAACCTGCCCGATCTGGACCTCAGCACGGATTTTGCTAACATCGACCGGATGGTGGGAAGCCTCACGATGGAATGTGAATACCTTCGGCGGCAACTCCGGGAGGCTACTCTGTTTCCGGACACGTCGGCTGTTCAAATCTATCAAGCGCAGAACCCAGAAGCAGCATCATTTTGGAAGGATCGATTCCAAAAAGACGAACTCAACGCCTCGACTCTTCGCTACGAGGTAAGGACGCTCAAACTTATACCCCCCCCCAGCTTTCTTTTTTTGAATTTCAATATCGGCGCATCATACCGACATATCGCTCTCTCACAGACGTTATACGTTTCTTGGGCACGCTTCGTCCATGAGGTAGAAACGTCTTTTGTGCTCAAGAAGATACCGACTGGAATTTTCGAAACTGGAAACACCGACCTCGTTCACGAACATGGATCCCGCTATTGCATCGATCAAAGCGGCACACGTCGTCTTTCCACAATCCGGCCTCTCTGGCTCCCGGCTCTTCGGTCTGCTCTCGATCCACTACACAAGGGTTACGTCAAGCCTCACGACTATTTCAATCTCCTTCACGACTCCTCCTTGTCTGACACCCTGAGAAGGTTGGTCCTCGAAAACGCAGGCTACGGTACATTTGTCGAATGTGAAAGGGCATCCGGGGATCTTTCCTTGCCGGCTGCAATTGAGTCCCCATCTGATCACGTCGGCTGGACCTCTGCTCAAATCGTGGCTGTTCCAACACCTGGTGAGCTTGGAATCGTTACCGAACGAGAGGTTATGGAATCAAGCAGCGACTCCCTCTTCACTTGCTTCAACGATACTGCCCAAGACGTTCACGTTTACGTACGCTACCTTCAGACCGGTCAAATCGAGCGTAAAAGTCTCTCGAAGCGCGTTCGTCCGGTCGGGGGTATATCTCTCGGCGCTGCATTGTCTATCCGGCAAGAGCTGGAATCAGGTGATCATGCCTGGAGCGGTGACCTTCACATCACCGAGTTCAAGGCATGTTACGGGGGGCGATACATTATTACGGCGGGTGTGGGTTCGACTGCTATTGTGTTTTCCACGAGGCCGCTCAAGAATTCCTTTGACAAGATGCTACGCGACGACGACAACCCCTCAAGTTCTGCCATACCGGAATTTGAGTGTACGCTTTTGGGGCCGTCGAAGACATTCATCCGCCCACCGAAAGTTGGCGAGAAGGTTCAGGTACGTATTATTTCTGCCAGACCACCGTGCAGTCCATTTATTGAGATTCAATTTGTGATTTGGCCAGATCGAGTACGACGGACTTTGGTACGACTCGAGAGTCACGGTAGTGGACGGCGATGAGTTCGAGTATATCGATTGGGACAGTGCACCGAAGCAAGTCCCGGCCGATATTACAGAAGCTCAGGACGATAGTGAAGGGGACGAGAAAGATATCGGCAGCTCTTTCTTCCCCGATGACCAGTTGACGCGACTCGGAAAGGGCACGCGGCGGCTGTGGCGACCATGGCGGAAAAACATCCAAAAGTATGACGTTCGACCTTATCGTTGCTTCCATATCGGCGACTTTATTGAAGCGCCCGTCATGTACCCGGATTTCCGATACCATTACCATGTTACCGACAACTCGGAACTCTACCTTCCCGCCCGAATCGTTGACGCCCAAGGCGACCAGTATGTGGTCGAATTTAGTCCGGCGCTTTCGGTTCATAGGTGGTGGCCAGGGAGGATGCCCGAGGGTGAACAAATAGACCTAGTGCCAGAATCAGGCATTACGGCAGAAAACCCGTTCGACGACTTGAATCGCGTAACGGTAGGCATGGATCGCGTACGTCCTTTCTCTGCGGGACCACGACCGGCTCTGGGGGTTCAGTCAGCGAAGCCGTCTGGGTGGAGTTCATTTCAGGGCGTTCGTCTCTGCAATCTTGAGGATCTTCTAGAGCGGAGTCTGTGGGACAACGACCGCGATAGCCAGCGAACATGAACTACATGGGTTCGGGAGGTCTGAACGCGGCGCTGCTCCCGCGCCGGGCTGTGGGGGCACCTTGCTAGTGAGGGGGTTGCGGCGCTGCCGAACTCGGGGTCGGATATCATGGTCTTGTCTGAAATGGAGCGTTCATTATCCGTTGTCTGTTGGCCTCTTCCGCGTTTTGCACACATGGGTCGCACCCGCCAAGCGAGGTACGCTCAATTCAATCATTGCCACGAAAGTAAGGTATTTTACGCAATCCCCTCCGTCGCCCAGCTTCCCATCATAAACCAAGCAGCCGATTCTCTAACCGTCTGTGTCACGCCATCATGCCATCGTACCCATCGACTTGCCACTCCGTCTCTTCCGTTTCCATCGGGCCATCCAATGGAAACACCCCGGGCTCCTCTTCACCGGGTCTTCCGTGGGCAATGCGTTCTTTGCATGCTCAGACGCCACGCCGTCATCACTTGTTGCGGGCGGCCCACCGCCAGGACCATCTGCCACCCTCCTAGCAACTCCGTGATCGCCCACCATTCCTGCATCTTGGACCCCTGTTACAGGGCGGTATATATCCCCAGATGATTCTCTCGTCTGTTTAGAATCCCCACTAGCACCATTTGTTGCGGGGGGCCGGCGACCACGCGGGTCATCTAGGGCGAACCCAGCGAAGTGGCTATCGCCGACTATTACGGTAGTGCCGTTGCGCTCTAGGTTTTTAGTCTTGACCCACACTTCATGACGCTCGATCAGCAGCGGCGTCTTTGGTAGGTGGTGTTTCCCGACATCACCCGTGCGAGGCCACTTCGCCAACACCTCGACAACCTCCTTGTGTCCCGCCCGCTCGGCACACTGGAGCGGCGTCTTCCCCTTGGAATTCTGAACGCCGGGATCCGCACCCCGCTCCAGCAACAGCCGCACCGCCTCGACATTCCCCATCGCCGCCGCTTTGCACAGCGGCGTGTGCCGCTCGAAGAAAAAGTTCAGCTGGAAAGACCCGGCGTGGTCTTCGTACATGACGCCGTCCAGCGGCGCGCCCCTGTCCAGCAGCATGCCGAGGACGGTGACGACATCGGCGGTCTGTCGGTCCAGCGCGTGCTGCAGCACTTCGCCTTTTTTTACGTCGCCGCTGTGGTCCAGCAGCTCTTGGAGGAGGTCTGGCGCGGCCTTTTCCACGGCGAACGACAGGGGCGTGATGTCGATGTGGGCGGGCTTGTTGAGGTCGGCGCCACGTTCGAGGAGCCAGAAGACCATTTCTCTGTCGGCAACGGCATGGCTGGAGGAGGTTAGTTTCTTTCATATAAGCAGGGCATGTTGAACCGTTTCTCCGCCCGTCTCAAGGTAAGATAGCTAGCAAGGTCAGGCAGGTAGATTCGTCTTCTAGTTTTCCAGTTCACGAGGACAGCAAGGTACATCTGGGAACACATCAGAGAAAGAAATTCGACAACATGCCCTAGGGGAATGATCCGAAAGGTTCAAAGCGGTCCAGCGAAGTACCAGCCTAGCACGTACCTAAGCACCGAGGGCGTGGCGTGGCTGAGCGCCTTGTTGAGGTTCCAGCCCGAGTCCAGGAACGCGGTGAGACAGTTTTTAGCGCGGGCGGCGATGGCGGCCTGACCGTCAAGATAACCCACGTTCCTGCCGTGGTGTATTAGCTTGGATGCGGCGCCGGCATGGTCTCGCGCCAAGGCTTCCTTCATGATGCAAGACAGCTCTTTGGCGTGGGTCTGCGGCGCGGCAAGGAGCTCCTCGAAAGTAACCATGTCGTCGGCGGCAATCGCCACCTTCAGCTTTTCTATTACATGGTCCGGTGTTTTGAGACGAGGAGCCGCAAGCGGGAAGGCCATGACGAGGCTGGCGCCGACGATGGATCCAGGTTATGGACTGTCTGGTTGGATCGCGGGAAAGAACGTGGGGTTTGTTGGGGACGCGCTCCAACCGCTTCTCTGCAGCATGGGGCGGGATTGGCTTTAAATGCCGAAATTTCAGGTCTTGCCCGGGGCACACAGACCCCTGTCCAATGCGCGGGAAAACCCCATCCGCCAAGTGCAGCCTTCTCATGCCTATCAACTGCTCTATAACTACCTACCTAGGTAGACCTAGGTACCTTACCTAACCAGGCACCCACAGCATAGGTATGTATTCACCTTACAGGTTTCGAATGTTCTGATACGTGTAATAGGTTGTCCCTGTGCGGCGTCCCCGGTACGTCCATACCGTCCCCCCTCCCTGCAAGCTAACTTCACTCCAGCTTCCCTGCCCCGTCGGCACTGCGCGATTCTGGATGTAGAAAATAAACTCGTCGCTCCTGAAGGTGTGCTTTTTCACCTCAACATCCACCCTTACCCAGCTATCTGTCGGCGTCGTCGCGGGCCCCTGGGCCGCCCCGTGCATGCTCTGCACCCAGCTCGAGTCCAGCGTCGTCGTGGATTCCTGGGCTGTCCCCGTCGTCGTTGTAGATCCCTGGGCCGTCAAATTTGACCCCAGCGTTGTCGTGGATCCCTGGACGGTCCCATACATACTCGGCGCCCAGCTTGAGGCCGACGGTGTCGCAAATCCCTGACCCGTCGCGTAGGGAGAATTATCCTGGACTATCCCGTCGGTAGCATTGTTCTGGGTCATTCCGTACGCCGAAGTGCCCTGCGCACTGCTCAGGTCCTGCATCGTCGCCGTCCCTTGGGCGACGCTCTGTCCCGGCATCAACCCTTGTCCACTGTGGGCATCGCCGGAGAACTCGGCGACCAGTCGGTCTTGCACATAGACTTGGGGCGAGGGGCCGCGGTCTGAGACGACCACGACCGTCCCTTGGCCAGTGGCTGTCAGATCCACGGGCACGTCGTAGTGGTGGACCTCTGTCGCTAGTCCCATCTCGTTAAAGCGGCGAATCATGATCCTCATCTGGTCCTCCAAGCCCACCGAGCCGTTGTACAATGCACAAACTACATGCGTGCTGGCGACGGGGAAGAAGGCTTGGTAGTGGTTGTAGTACGTTTGGACACCGTCCATCATTCTCTCAGCGTTGGCGTCGCCGGCGTAGGGGTCATCGGTGACCCATGGCTGGGGTGGAATATGGGTGCAAATCGCACCGTGTTGTGAGACAATCATGGCGACGGAGCAGCCATTGAGGTTGCGAGTGCCGATCATGGATGTCTGCTGAAAGCTGACAAAGTCGGTTTCGCCCATAGCCACCACCACCGCGCTGCCGGCATCTTCGTAAATGTCCAGAAGGCCAGGTGGAGCGGCCATGATGGCAAATGTGATGGGAGAGAAGAAAGTTCAGTCGATGACAAGCGCGGTCGAATTCAAAACTAATGACGGATGCGATGTTGCAGACGGAATTCAGTAACGGGTGTGGGTTGAAGTTTCGAAAATTGAAGATTGAGGATGTTTCTTGCTGGGTGAGACCCCTTATAAAAGGGCGACTTGATCAGGCACCACGATACCCGAGTACCTGGTACCTGAAGTAGCCGCCGAGTCTCCCGGCATCCTGGGTGGCTTCTGAGCCAGACGCAGAGGGCGGTTTGGGTAGCCGCCGACCAAATGGCGACCACCCGCCGCCATGGCTGTCAGCGGCTACAACCCCACAACAGTCACATAGTACCAAGGGCCAATACAAAACAGGCCAGGAAACCAGTAATCAACTTAGCATAGAATGATTCGTGATGGCGACTCGGACTCGGTAGCTACCGACGCAGGGGCTGTATAAAACGCAGCATCGCTCACATTCTACCGCTAGTAGTGAATTGGAGCGGATGCCATTTGGGCGAAGAACCTGAGAACCTTGACATAGATCTTTGAAACCGGGCGTGTCAAAACTTTCCAGTTAGCCTCAACGAAAGCAAACAACAGACCCCCGACTCAATCCCTCATCAACAACCTCACATCCCGTCCCACTCGCAGACCAACCACCCCGAAACCCCTACACCAACTATTATTACCCCCATCCCACCATAACCCAATCCCTCTCTTAACAACACTCACAAACCTCCTCAGGACAATACCCATGATTGCACGCAAAACTGCATAAACCCACAACCGCCCCGCCGCCGACAACCAGCGGGCAGCCGTCACGCCCGTTGGTAAGCGGCGGGTTGCCGGGAAGTGCCCGAGGCCGCAGGCGAAGTTGCAGAGGCCCATGCAGCTCTCGGGCTCACCGTCGGTGTTGGGTGCCGGCGTTGCAGCGTTCTATGGTCATGATATGATATGGTTAGTGGGAGGCTAAAGGGAGGGGGGGGGCTTTTGGGGTCGAGAAAAGGGACTGGGAGGGCTGACATATTCCGGAGGTGGCAACTGCGAGGAGCATGGCGAGTACGGGGAGCATAGTGTTGGGCACAGCTAGAAGCATACGGCCGGAGTTGGGGAAGCTGCTGGTTTGGGCTGGCTGGGCGCCTGAGGTGCTGGTTGGATCGGTCTCTGTCGCGCCCTGTCCCGGCGTGGCGGTTGGTCCCGGTGCTGACTCCGCGAGGGTCGTGTTGGCTTCGGCATAGCATTGGGCGTTGATGAGCGTGTGGTTCAGATAGAGGGCGCCACCCAAGACCCCGAAGTTAGAGGCCTGGTACCACATAATGGGGCACTCCTCGGCGATGCGGATAATGCTGGCACTGTTGGCCACCCACCACGAGGACGCGTCCCGGGCGTACGCCGTGTACGCCAGGAGGAGCGAAGTCGGCATGGCCGTGGTGAAGCCGCACCATCGCGACTTATCGGGGAAGGCGCAAGGGTAGTCGTACGTCCCCGATGTCAGGCACGTCTCGATCAGACTGGAGCCAAAGGAGACGTGCGCATCCTGCAGCTCGCCGGTCGGCACTGGCATAGAGAGATAAGTCATCGGGTCCTCGGTTGCGCATCGCCACGGATCTGTTTTGGTAACGGTTGGGGATACCGTGGGAGCAACTATCGGATGCAGATCGGTATAGTCGATCGGTCCCTTCAGGCCGGGGGCGGTGGCCGCAAAGCTGGCGAGCGCCGCTGCGAGGACTGCCTTTCTCGTCATGTTGATAATAATGTTGGTGCTAGTATCCTGGCAGCAGAAGTAACGAAGCTAGACAAGTGAGGTCTGTGGGGACGCCGAGTCAACAATGAATTGAGCGGTTGAGTTAAGTGAGTGAACGAAACGACGCGGTAATGACAGACATCTTGCTTGTGGAAGGTTGAGCCCATCTGGGAGACATAACACAAATTTTGCCCCTGTCTCTGTACACAGTATGGACGAGTTCACAAACACCTTGGCAAATGCAAGAGCCTCGAGAAGCCAAGGCCGGGGCCTGGCCACAAGAAGAAATATCTCCAGCCCCTGGGACTACCAAGATAGTTCATGATACGGACCAGGCAAGCAAACTTTGCAAACCAACCGTGAAACGGAGCCGAAAAGCCTCGAAAATAGCCCCGTATTACTCGTCATGACGGCGGTCGGCGTAAGAAGGATAACGCTCCTGGAGAAGGTCCTGGACCTCCTTGAGGCAATCCTGTTTGCGATAGCGATGGAGGTTCGGCCACCCGTGTGCTTGATAAATGGCCTGGATCATAGGCATCCCTTCCATGGTACTGGCATAGTACACCTTGCGCGGGCTAATGGGAACAGAGTTCAGCTGCCGGAACTGGTCTTTGAGAAGTTCAAAAAAATCGGCGATGGCCCAGGCAACCGAATCCACACGCCAATCCATCTCGTCCTCCGGGGCGTCGTCATATGCGTCGCCTAGGATGGGTTCTCTGGAGGGATTTTGCCTGATGTCGCTGTGGCACTCGTACCAGTACACTATGCCGAGCCTAGTGTCGAGCAGAAATTCCTGGTTGCGGAGCCCGCCACTGGTGATGCTGACTACATGGGGTGATATGGAGTCGGGAAGCGAACTGTTGGTTGTCGCTCTCACGTCGTCGACGGATAGTTTACCGAGAGCGATTGAGTGGGCCATGCTCCGCCAGTCGGCGAACCGGCACATGGCAGCACCCTCAGTTTCGTCGTCAACGGACCAATGAATGTATGGAAGATGGCGGAGCAGCGAGATGACTTCGTCCGTTTTCCCCAATCCACTGAGGGCCTCTGTGTCGATTTCGGGCCAGCCCTCTTCGGGCGGTTCGGCGACGTCGCACTCTTTGAGGTACATCCGAGTGAGGAAGCGGTAGTATTCGCGAACAGCGGCAATGGTTGCTTCGCGCGAGTAACTGACCTCGTGGATATCAGGCATTGTGCCTTTTGTCGAAGAGTGGGGGTGTGACTGAACAAAAAGTCTTAGTCTGGCCAAAACTGGAACTGTTAAGTGAAGCCGATGAGAAAGAAGAGTCAAGGTCGCCGCAGGCTCGAAATAAATATCAAAACCAGGGGGACTCAACGCCCGGATAAGGGGTTTGAGTCCGGGACCGGCGTGGGCCACCTTGGAATTTTTGATTTGTGCTCGTCGTTGGATCTAGGCAGCAATAGAGGGGCAATATGCCGTTGACGCGGGTCCCGTTTACACAGTAGGAAAAGCACCCAGAGTCACGCGTAGGGCTCATTGAGAGACATGAGCGAGAGATGGAATGTACCTATGTCCGGGTGGGCCCGCTTTCCGCAACGGTCCGGCCCCGGGTTTGACCTCGTTCAACCGCACCTTTTATTTGTATGAACTCCATTACTACCGAGGTACCTCACAAACCAACCTCACCTGCACAAAACACAAATTTATGCCACCTACCTTTATCGTCGACGAATGGCTCGACTTAACCATAATAATGACTTGGCCAATTGCTCGCCCGCGATGATCTGCCTGCCGGCTGTCTCACCTGTTTTTAGGGCTTCCCTTTGATCAACACAGGAGGTGCTTGGTTGGGCCTTGGTTGGTAACCCTGCGGGAACAGAAGTTAGGAAATTGTCGGTAATTCTAGCTGAGGGCAGGGGGAAGGGGCGGTTGTAGCCCTGGTGTCTGTTGTCTCCGTGTTGGTGGTCGTGTTGGGGGTCGTGTTGGTGGCCGTGGTGTGGCAGGGAGTTGCTCTCCAATGCTCCACGCACGCGCCGACAAAAAGAGCAGACGCCAAGGCAATTGGGCCGTTCTTGGCCGTTGCACGGTTGTGTTGTGGCGTTGGGTGGGGAGACCCGGGCAGGCGGCCCCGAAATGCTTGGCGCAGGGAAGATCGCTGCTCTCTGGGATCCAAGTTTGTTATTTGTGGTTAGCGAGTTCGTCTCCTTTTTCATCCAAGTTCGATGCGGTCTTTTGTTCATGTGTTGATGGCTTCAATTGCTTTGTAGTTATGCCTAGCCGCACGTCCTTGCCAAATGGGACAACCAGCGCTTACTCTGATGAAGATCGATTCGGCACGGGTGCTCTTGAGGGCCCGTTCGGTTTGAGAACTGCATCATTCAAATCACCAACTGCATAACCTGGCACGGTCAGGATAGCGGGGTTGGCAGCAACTTCCAACTCTTTTGGAGGCAACCAATTCAGTGCTGTCACAACCTACCCCTGTCGCTCGCCAGCGCAACGCCGCGTGCCACACACCTGGCCTGCCACAACTCCCCACGAGCCATCCCATCACACCCACCCCAGAAGCGGCCTAGTTTCCGCCTCCTGCCAGTGAGGCTGATGGTTTGACGGCTGTAAATTACGGCCGTCCAGGGTGCGAGGGAACCCAGGATATTGCCTGAGGTGTCGAGGGCCACAGGCCGCGGGTTTCCCAGGCTGCACCTCCCTGCAGGGAACGAGGGAACCGGACTCGAAAGTCGGCCGAATCCACTCGTCCACTCAGGCCTCCTTCCCGCGGGTCCATCTTACTTCCATCTCACTCTTCGTCCCATCATCTCACCTTCCACCACTTCCAGCACTCCATCACCACCTCCAAATCGCCATGGACCCATCAGCCGTCATTCAATCCACCTTCTAGCATCGGCTAGAGGCAGCAGTGCCCTCGCTCATCGCCGCCATTTCATCTCCAACTCTCATCTTTTGTTGTCCGACACCGTCCCGGGAGCGATTGAGAAAGCACCAGCTCACACAGGCCGGAGTTGTGCTGGTCTTCGGGGCCTCCGTGGAGCGAATTACAGCAGCAGGGTGCTGGCACAGCCTCGTCCCGCGCCCGCACACCCGACCTCGAGCCGACCCATCACAGTGTGGCTGGGGCCCCTCCCCCTGTCCAAGCACCCCCGAACCGCGATTGATAGTTCTCGTTTTCTCAACCCTCCAGAAACTTGATTTCCTCAATTCTGCAAAGAGCGCTCTGCGAGCTCTCGATTCATGCACAAGCTGCAGCAGCGCGCCGCAGCAGCTCTGGCTGCGAGGCCGCTCGCTCGGTCCATGATTGTCCCAAGATCGAGCCCGCTATCCCCGGGCGCCATCGCTGGGGCTGTGGTCGGATCGGTCGTCGGCGCCCTCCTCATCGCATTTTGTGTCTTCCCCTTCGTCATCCGCGCAAGACGCCGACGACTTGCCCGCCATGCCGATCCCGGCTTGGCCGAGATGGGGCAGGGTCCCGGAGGCCCCATCTTCAATCCCCAAGATGTAGATGACAACTCCTACAAAAGGTACTCGGGATCCGGCCCCGAGACAGCCACCGCCCATGACGCCCCGCAACCCACGGACCCAGATCACAAACCTCAGCCGACCCTCCCCCAAGGCGTCAACGTCGAGCACGGCCTGCCCTCACCCGTCTCGTCGCCCACCTCGCCCACTGACCCGTCTACCCACGCCGACGGCCAGCCTGTCTCACCTCTGACGGCTGCCGCTCCCACTCAATCGCCCGCCGAGCCCTCGTCTAAAGGATCCAAGGCCACCGCCGACCGTGAGAGCACTCGCGAGTTCAGTGTTAGTGACTCGTATGGTCCACCAAGCCGCGAGCTCACTAGCATCACCACTGCTGGCATCACAGAAGAGCCCGAGTCCTTCGACCGCCCTTCTGGTTCCTCCGACCACAGTCACTTTCCTCACTTCAGAGAGTCTCTCCGTGGACTAATCCACGGCCGCCGCCGCTCTTCCCACCAGCGCCGGGACAGCAAGCGGTCTACTCAAGCTGGCACCGACGGAGCACGTTCGCCATCCGTCATCACCAGCGACCTTCTCCCGCAGCCCGAGCCCGAGCAAACAATATCCGGGTTTGAGATCGATATTGAGACCCCGGGCTTAGCTTGGGACTACTACCACGACCCGAACTTGGGCATTGAACTGTCCGACACCTACCCGCAATCAACGCCGGCCGCAGCCCCTACCAGCGTTGCCCCGCCTGCGCCTGTGCCAACTTCTGCTCCGGCTGGTTCCGTCTTTCCAAATAACCAGGCTCCTATCTCGCCCGAGAGCGATTCGACAGTCTCGCCTGGTACCTTCAGCAGGCAAAACACTTTCCTCCAGGGCAAGAGGTTTCCCGGACCGCTACAGCGCACCGACAGCTTACCCCCTCCGGCCATCGTGGCCGACCTTCCCAGTCCCCCACTCCAATATTCCTTTGCCGGCCCCAGCGGTAATCCGATGGAGATGATGAAGCCAACCAACCCTACCGAAAGTGCATGGATGCTAGAGCACGAGATGCGCATGATTCAGAACTCGCCGCCGCCGCCAGCACCCGAACCCGTCCCCTACATCTCAATGCCAGTGGAGGAGATGGCCGGCCAGATGTTCGACAACGACCTCAAAGCCCAGTACCAAGCGCAGTACCAGGTTGCTTATCAATCGCCGTACCAGTCGCCCCCACCCGCCATCTCGGAAAATGGGTTCGAGATTCAGGAGGAGTCAATGGGTTACTACAACACTAACACCTTGACGACTTCCGATTACTCGACGCCACCGCCCTCCACCGGGCCGTCGACCGAGAACACGCCAGACACGAGGTTAACGCCTTACACAGCCTCTCCCTCCCCGCCGGCCGAGATTGAGACTTCTATCAATGGCCACCTGATGCCGTCACCTGGGCTTTCGGCCGGCCTGTCGCCGACGCCAGGTCTCTCACCGTCGCCGGGCCCGTCTCCGGGTCTGTCGCCCATACCATCTCCGGGTAATTCTGCGGGGACGTCTCCAGGCCGCTCACCAGGCAGGTCCCCGGGGCGGTCCCCGGGTAGGTCTCCCGCCGGCCCCCCTTACGTCTGCGCTTGTGGCGTTGTCAAAAACTCACTCCATCAATTCAAGTATGTGAAACCCTTGACTTTTCCGCAGACCGAAACTAACAACCATTGCAGTCACCACCGACGCTATCATGAACGGCCGTGCACATGCGAGCACGAAGGGTGTGGGCGAAGCTTCGGCACGATAACGCATCTGAAACGGCACATCAACGACAAGCACACCAAAACCCGCAAGTTCTATTGCACCCAGCCCGGATGCGATTACTCGAGGCAGGGCACGAAATCCTTCCCCAGGAAGGATAACTGGAAGAGGCACATGTTGAAAAAGCACTCGATCGATCCGCAGAATATGACCGACGAAGATGACCTGGGCGATATCGGGATGGATTAGCCTTGGATGGTCAACAACGGCCGTGTGTTGGCACAAGGCGAAGGCGGCTTTGCTGCAGCTCGCCATTCATTCATTCATTTCGAAAGGTCTCGGCGTTGGAATCGGCGCATTGCCCGCACACCTCAACCCCAAGACGGGGCAAGATAGAGCGGGGCTCGGGCGGGTACCCATGGATACTGCTTGCCGGGGCATACGGGACGCCAGAGTGCAAGAAGGCGGTTCTAAAACAGGCTCAGGACTGAGTCTCGGGCGGGATTGTACAGCACGCCTGGTGGCTGCGGGAGGTTTTGGTCGCCGATGATAAAATAACGGCAGGGCGTTATTCGGAGGACACATTCATGGGCGGGAGTTTTGTGTATGGGTGTATATCTATGGTTATTTCTTCTGCCCTTTGGGATAGTTTTCGAGCCGAATCTGCTCTCATCTGCGCTTGCAGATCTTTGGGGAACGATCCTCAGCAATATAAGCTTGCGTCACCCCTCATTGAGCTTTGACCCTCGCTCGCCTGTTTTTGCAGTAGGTGGCCGTGAATTCTCTCCTAGTGAATCTTGTTTTGTTCAGATACCATCCACGCGACTTGGGTGAGAGGTTATCAGTCGGATACGGCTGGCTCCTCCCACACCACCTAAACCACGAACTGCCCTCAGGCCAGCCGCACAGAACGTGACCAATCGTAACCTCAACCCCCCCAACCAGCAGCAGAACCTCACCTCATCTCCCTCACCAACTTCTTCACCAACCGCCTCTGCCCCTCCAACCCCAACCCCCCACGATCCGTCTCCTGCAGCGCCCTCCCAACAAGCACCACCGTCCGCGCGCTGTCACTGCCCACCCACACCCGCCCGTTCCGCCCCACCGCCGTCTCAAACGCCAACCCCCCGCCCTCCTCCCCCGCCAACATCTCCAACACCCCGACCCCGCCTTCCTCCCGACTCCGCGCCATCAGCAACCGCCGTGCAAATCCCAAACTGATATCAAACGCGCACCCGCCGCCCGCGGTAGACGTGGCCGTGGGCGTGCCCAGCGGGCCGAGGCCGTCGGCCTTGCCGGTCGTGCTGCTCACGCACTCGAGCTCCGCGTCCATGTGCTTGTTGGCGAGGGCCACGCGCGCGTAGACGAGCTGGCCGGGTTGCAGGATGGGGCGGGTCTTTTTGGTGGCGCCTTCGAAGGCGAGGTGGGGGAGGGTGGCGGGGGCGGTGTGCGGGGAGAGGGTGCAGAGGTAGAAATCGGTTGTGGAGCGGAGGATTTGGGCGAGGATGAGGTCGTTGGGGGAGGGGATGTACTGTTTTCTTTGGGGTTAGTTTTTGGTTGGGGGGGGGGTTGGTTGGATTGGGGGGGTGGTGAAGGGGGAGTGGGTGATGGAGGGGGGTGGTAAGGGGGGGCTTACGCGGTTGGAGTTGTATTCTATCCACATGGAGTTTTTGATGGGGTTGGTTATGAGCTGGCCGGCTACCGTTGGAACGATGTCGGTCGGGGGGATGTGTCGGAGGCCGGGCCCTAGGCGGAGAGGGTTCTTGGGGTGCGATGGGATCAGCGAGGGGTCAATTGTCTCCCCCGGGAGGACTACGGGGTGGCCGGTCGCCATGGTGGGTGGTGGCTTTGTTTGGGTGGTATGTCGTGGGAGGTACGGTACTTCGTCAGGCGATGATGTTTTGGTGTAGATGGATCTGATTGTTCTAGATTTCCAGCCTTGTTTGCTCTGCAGATGGCAGTTTGGCAGCCTTGGTGGGGCTGCAGGGATGTGCGAAGCTCAACGGTAATAACAGTCGGTTACGACTGTTTGAAAGAACAAAGCCGCGAAAAAGCATGTGGAGGGTGTAATTTTGAATCATTTCACGCTCAAATACCGTCCGGGTTTTCGGTTTGGCCTCACACCAGAACTTTGGCGGGGCAGCTCCGCCCAATTGCAGGGATTTAAATTTTAGATCAACCAGGAATTTTTTGGAACCCCCACCATGAAGTTTTGGGGAGAGACGAAGTTACAGCCCTCCCTCATTCACCACCTTCACTCACCAACTCCGACTCCCTAAACATACCTACCTACCGCCAGAAATAATGAGTGACACTGGGGCTAAGGCTGGCCCGGAGCCCAGCGAGCGCACCGTCATCGGCATCACCTTTGGCAACTCCAACAGCTCCATCGCCTACTTGGTCGACGACAAGGCGGAGGTTATTGCAAACGAGGATGGAGGTGAGGAGATATTGATCAGGCGCCAGTCTGGTGATCACGCTTGGTTATCATCTATCATTACTAATTCGCTGCTCTCTTAGACCGCCAGATTCCCACCATCCTCTCGTACGTCGACGGCGAAGAGTACTATGGCCAGCAGGCCAAGAACTTCCTCGTCAGGAACTCCGAGAACACAGTCGCCTACTTCCGTGACTTCCTCGGGAAAGAGTTCAAGTCGATCGACCCGACCCACAACCACGCCTCTGCCCACCCCCAAGAATCCGGCGAGACTGTCTCGTTCACAGTCAAGGACAAGGCCGGCGAGGAGGAGGCTGCTTCGACCCTGTCCATCTCCGAGGTTGCCACCCGCTACCTCCGCCGCCTAGTGGGCTCTGCCTCCGAGTACCTCGGGAAAAAGGTCACGTCGGCCGTCATCACTGTCCCTACCAACTTCAACGACAAGCAAAAGGCTGCCCTGGTCGCTGCTGCCGCCGCCGCCGACCTCGAGGTCCTCCAGCTCATCAGCGAACCCATCGCTGCGGCTCTTGCCTACGATGCGCGCCCGGAGGCCAAGGTCCAGGACAAGGTTATTGTGGTTGCGGACCTGGGCGGCACGCGGTCGGACGTCGCCATCGTCGCAAGCCGCGGCGGCATGTACACCGTCCTCGCCACTGTCCACGACTACGAGTTTGCCGGTGTTGCCCTCGACAAGGTTCTCATGGACCACTTCGCCAAGGAGTTCCTGAAGAAGAACTCGGGCGCCAAAGACCCGCGCGAGAATGCCAGGAGTCTGGCCAAGCTGAGGCTCGAGTCCGAATCCACCAAGAGGGCGCTCAGCCTGGGCACCAACGCCAGCTTCAGCGTCGAGAGTCTGTCGGATGGCGTCGACTTCGCGAGCACCATCAACCGCCTGCGCTACGAGACCATCGCGAGGGCCGTGTTTGAGGGCATCAACCGGCTGGTGGAGTCGGCGGTCAAGAAGGCCGGCCTCGACGTGCTGGATGTAGACGAGGTGATCCTGTCCGGCGGCACCTCGCACACCCCGCGCATCGCTTCCAACCTCAGCAACATCTTCCCCCAGAGCACGAGGATATTGGCTCCCTCGACCGAGGTGACGGCTCTCAACCCCTCCGAGGCCGAGGCCCGTGGTGCCGCCCTCCAAGCCAGCCTGATCCAGGACTACGAGGCCGAAGACATCGAGCAGTCGACCCACGCTGCCGTCACCACGGTACCGCACGTCGCCAACGCCATCGGTGTCATCTCGGTGAACGAGGCTGGCGAGGAAGTGTTCGTCCCCATCGTGCCCCCCGAGACCGCCGTCCCGGCGCGGCGCACGGTGCACGTTTCCGCCCCCAACGGCGGCGACGTCCTGGTCAAGGTTGTCGAGGGCAACACGCATATCAAGGTGACCCAGCCCGAGCCCAAGACCAAGGAGAACGGCGATTCCAAGGCGGCCAAGGTCGAGGATGCCGATGACAGCGACGAGGAAGACAGCGACTTCTCGGAGGACGAGGAGGAGGAGGAGAAGCGGGAGAAGGTCTGGAAGATTGGGTCCACCCTCGCCGAGGCGGGCGTCAAGGGTGTCAAGAAGGGTGGCAAGGTGGAGGTCTCGATCACTGTGAACTCGGATCTGTCGGTTATCGTAACGGCGCGGGAGGTTGGCGGCAAGGGCGGCGTCCGCGGGACACTGACGAGCGCCTAGGCGGCATTCCTTAGGCAAGGTCACAACGGCAGCATGTCGTCACATAGACTACGATGAGTGCGCACTGCGGTCCCGCTTGGCCGGGGGCGCGTGGGCCATGACGGGCATTATTACGGCTGGTTAATTCGCCTTCTCTGATAGATACTCTACATACACGGCTGATTCCCGCAGTCATCCTTGGCCTTCCTACGCCCCCCGTCTTTTTACGTAGACATCATGGTCACATTTCCTCCCATACTCCCCGCCTAAATTCTTCCTTCACGGTGAGCTACATTCCGAATCAGTTTGAAATAAAATAAAAAAAGATCTAAGTTTATTTGTGTATTTTAAGAGGAAGAAGCCGGTCAGGGGAGGGGCGAAACAAGGTTATTCCGCCCTTACGCATCTCCCTACCCCCTCTTCACTCATCTTTGTCTGGGTTCAGGTCTCCCACTTGAAAGGTATAAAGGGGCACCTCACCACCTCTACGGTAACCGTATGTCGGATATTTCGAGCACTGGCGACAGTATCGCGAGATCTCACGCTCATGCCTCGTCTGCGGATTTGTATCGTTCAGCGTCGTCGGCACATGTACCATCCACCGGTCCATTTCATAGTCGTAGTTTTCTCTTGAGGGCCACCGCGATACATACTGATAACTCGCCTCCGGGTCCTGTAGGCTCCGCGGCATTCGATACGCGGGGATGTGGCACCCGCACCCGGGATGATACAGCTTGAGGCGGCATAGCGGGCACCTTATCGGCGGGTAGGACTCATTTGCCCAAAGCAGTCCCCGGATGTGGTTCTTCACAACGTCCTCCCAGCAGGGCCGGCAGACCATGTGCCCGCATTTGAGCATGGCGCCGGGCGCGAGGTCCGGCAGGTCCTTGCGGTCTTCGGCGTTGCGGGGTGTGTAGATGGGCACCGAGCGGAGAGAGAGCTGGGTGTGGGTGCAGATGGGGCACCGCGCGAAGGGCGGCTTTTGGCCGGAGAGGTGTTCATACATGCCATCCCTCAGCTGGTGGAAGAGCGGTGTCTCGTACCCTTCCTCACTACCCACCGGAACCTCACCATCCACCGGAACCCCACCACCAACCGAAACCCTACCCTTGGCCTCCTCCTTGCCTACCCCCTTCAGGTCGTCATCGCCATCACCACCCGCCACATCGAGCGGGCCCACCCTGTGGGGAATGAGGAAGGACAGCCGCGACCGCCGCGGCGGAAAGCGGTTTTTGAAGGACAGCCACCGCCGGGGCGAATACAGGTTTTGGTCGTTGTCACTGGTGGCGGTGGTGCTGTCCATCCTGCGCGTGTGGGTTGCGGGGGCTTGGACGGGGCGGACGGAGTCGGTTGGGCTGGGCGGAGCTGGTTACTGGCTGAGCTGGGTGGCGCTGGGTGGTGCTGGGCGAGCCGAGACAGAGCTGGTGAACGGGATGGGAGGGGGTGGGTGAGCTGGGAAGGGGTGGTGTAGGGTCGGTGGCTTTGTTTGTTTCCCTTGGTGGTTGGGATCGGTGGGATTAAGTTCAGTCGGCTTGGTGTGGGGGTGGTAATAGGTGAGTGGTGAGGAGGTGGCCTTGGGTTCGATCACGGTTGAGCGGAAGGTGTGTTCGAGAAAAAAGGGGTGGGCGTTGGTGTCTAGCTGGCTTGGTGGTAGCTAGTTAGTAGAAGGGAATCAAAAAAAGGCATTTTGTATGTGTGAGTATTATTATATATATGAGATGTGTAGACGTAACAGCATACTATAGAAGCAACAGTTGACTGTGCGTGACAATATGTATGTAGTACAACCAGGAGAGCATGCTCGTTCCTGTAAAAAGGTTATTGTTCTTTTTGTTCATCGAAAGGGAAAGTCAACAAAGAACATGAGCTCGTGCTTGGCTGCAGTCAGCCTCGGCATGGAGCCATTAACGCACCACATCGTGTAGCAGGATAAAGGAAGTTATAATAATGGAGAGGAGAGTAAGTGGAGAAAGGGTCTTTCTAGAGTAACGGGCCGGTTCACTCACGGTAAAGGGGAATCCAAGATAGGTTTGGTCAACAACTCTAATGATGTATGCCTAGCTTACTGCACAATGATGGCCTATCATCAAGAATCCGAGGAGCGAGACACAGTACAGTCAGAACACCTGCGCGGCCACTTTCGCGGGTTCGGGGCGAGGTGTGGAAAGTCCTTCTTCCACTTGCCGTCGCGGTGTTTCCTCTGGTATTTGAAGGAGGCTGCCGGGTCCTGTTCGTTAAGAGGCAAATGTACCGCCGTGATTTCGCACCTACAGCCAATATAGGACAGTTCGATATGGCAAATGGGGCAGTCCAGCCATGCAATGGAGTCAGTATCCTCCTCTTCCTCTCCGTCCACAGGAAAGTGACACTCCTCACAGTACCTTTTCCAGCAGGCCCTGCAGAACATATGGCCACATATCAGAACAACGCCAGGCTCGAGCCGCCGAATGTCCTCGCGATAGATTGGGTTGTAGATGGGTAGGCCAAGAATAGACAATTGAGTATCTAGGCAGAGGGAGCAGCGGACGAATGGGGGTTGCTTACCCTGGACCTTGCCTTTGATGGCCTCCTCGACTTGGGGGAAGGTGGCCGCCTCTTCGCGGTAGTTTATCCACTCGTTCTCCCCCAGCCAAACCAACTCTTCTCCCACCTCGTCATCGTCCATATCGCTACCCCAGTCGCTGCTCTCCGTGCTGTTCGCGTCGCTGTCCCAATTGATACTCCCCATGCTCGCGTCGCTACCCACGTCGCTGCTCCAGTCACTCTCCTCATATTCGTCGTCGTTCTCGTCGCTGTAGTCGCTGTCCATGTCCTCGGGAGGACCGACGAGCTTCTTCTCGACTCCCAGATCAGCCAACTCTTCTTCTTCCACCTCGCCGCCGCTCCCATCGCTGCTCTCGCTGCAGCTCTCCCAGCTGCACGAGTTGCTCCCGTCGTATTCTTCATGCTCGTAGTCGCTGTCCGCCTTGTCGGAAAGGCTGTCTCGATCCTTCCCCTCCACCCAGCCCAGCGCCAACCCCAACTTCTTCTCCCCGTCGGCGCCCTGCTCACCACCCACTCCACCGTCACCAACAACCTCTCCACCGAACCCCCCACAAAACCTCTTAGCCGCCTGCCCCGGCTCGCTAAGCCCGCACTGCTCCAACGCGTCCACCAGGTCATCCATCCTCCCCCTCTTCTTGCCAGCAGTAGCCACCCCCATCTCCTTGCCAGCAGCAGCAGCAGCAGCAGAAGCAGCAGCGACCGCCATCTCCCGATCAATATCCCTCTGCAACTTCCAAGCCGCAGGCACCAGCGTCATCCTCTTCTTCTTGCCAGGAGCAATCACCCTCGTCTTCTGGCCCACCACCACATCCGTCACTGAGTGGTTGGTTGCGGTGGTCTCCTTTTGCAAGGGGCGGCGGGGCAGGTCGACTTCGGTCGGGTGGTCGGCGTCGCTCATGTCCATGTTTTCGTCATCGCCGTCGGGGGTGGGGTAGTTGCGCGTAGGGTGGTTGGTCATGGTGGTGGGTTTGGTTGGGTGCTGTTTGGGGGGGTTGTGTGGTCTCTGGTGTGAGAGGAGTGTGGGGATGGGTTGGGGTTAGACTTGCTCACTCGATTGGGAATATGAGAGAGAGGTTTGACTGGTTAGTGAATCGGCTGCTGAATAAAGCGCTGCTTCGAGGTTGCTTGAGTCTGGTTTATGTATAAGGGGGTCAAGACGGTGAGAACATGAGGGTGGCGACAAGGTGTGGCTGTTCTATAAAGCGGCAAAGTCAGCAAAACTCGCTCAGGAGTGTTGTCTAGCAAATAGGCAGGGAACAAAAGATCTGGGGGTTCCTTGACGGGGTTAGATTGCGAATGGTTGGAAAAGTCGGACCGCATCGTAGGAGGCGTTAAGGGGGAACTAGCTCACAAGAGGAACCAAACACACAAGGCGATGATGGTGTCTCTCACAAGAATCCTCTATCGTCCATAGTTATCCGGCCACCAAAATAAACAAATAAATAAATAGTTACAATAAGAATGACACAAGCCCAAGATTACTCACAAACTCATCGTCTATGAACGCCTCGCTGGCTTCACCACCAGAAACGCCTCGCCGGCCGAACCAACCCAAACCCAAACCCAAACCCCACCACATTAAGCCGCTAATATCTCGCCCCCGGCACAGTCCAAGCAACCAAATCATCCCTTACCTCACCCTCCTCCACCTCCCTGGCACGCTTAAACCCGCCGCCCTCCCTCCCCCTGTCCCTCGGATCACTCCCCAGCGTCGTCGCAGTCGCCAGACTAACCAGACTCGAGCTGCGGCTGCGCAGGCCTCCGCCGTCGTGGGTGATCTTGCTGTCCTCGCGGCGGTGGTGGTGGTGGTTGTGGTGGTGGAAGGAGGGGAACGGCTCGCGCAGGGCGCCGTTGATGGCGATGCCGATGCCGCGGCTGGACTCGCGGTCGAGGGTCGCGGTCGCCGGCCAGGACGGTGGCGTTGCTCCGGTCGCTCGCGGCGCTCTGGTCGCGCAGGTGGCGGCGCAGGCGGGCCACGTCGCGCGGCCGCAGCGTGCCCATCATGTCGCCGCCGTTGTTGTTGTCGTCGTCGGAGCCGCTGTCTTCGCGCCTGAAGTTTCGTCTGCTGCTGGGCGGGCTGTCGTCTCTGCCCGACCCAACCCTGCTTTGGCCGCGGCTGGCAGTCGTCGCGTGGTGGTGGTGGTGGTGGTGTCGTGAGTGCCCGCGTGTGTGATGGTGTTTTGGGGATGTCTCGAAGCCCTCGCCGCCGCCGAAGATGTTTTCGATGCATTGGTCGGCCGGCAGCTCGCCGGGTTGGCTGGCCCAGCTGGCGGCTAGGGCGCGGCGGTACATGTCTTGAACCTCGAACATGTCGCGTGATTTCCCGGTGAACGAGGAGGGCGCGAGGCCCGGGGTGGTTGCGCCGACGTCGACGGGTTCGAATGTGTCTCCCGCGACGAAACCGGCGATGCCGCCGAAGACGGGGGCAGATTTGGGAGGTGGGGCAACATAATTGCGTTCGCCGTCGACCTGCACCATCAAAATGCTGATCTTGAGTGTCGAGTTGATCTTGCTGTCCTGCATGAGGTAGCGCCGCACCACGCCGTCCTGGACGTCTGTTGTCGGCCGTTCCTCTTCTTGGGAACCCCGGGGACTCGATTCTGTCACTGGGGAGACGCTGGTGCTCAGCGAGCTGCGTTTGCGGTGGTGGCTGGATTTCTGCACGGGCGACGCCAGTATCTCCTTGATAGCATTGGCGGTAGTTCCATCGCGCAATATCGCCTCGCTTTCCTCCACATACTCGCTGAGATTGAGGCGGACGGTACCGAGGGTGATCTTCTCATCCCGCCCGGCTACGCTGGCCAGCCCACCGGCACTGAACTCCTGGACTACCTCAAATTCGATGGCGCATTCGCCCAGGCTGTTGTTACGGTCGATACCAATGCGGACTGGGACGATCTTGGAGTAGTTGTAGTCGACCCTGTGGTTTGAAATTGGGCATTTCTGTGTCCGTCCGCGGTGCTCTCCATGAATGCTGTGCGGGAGATGCCATTTGATCATGGACACTCCCGAGACAAGTGGCACATTGTTGAGATCAGATATCTGTTTGAGTTAGCAAGACATGTTCCTCTCACTCGAGGGCTCTTTCTTGCACCCGCCTTAATATGAACATCAAACTTGGGCTGTAGGACGGATACGCCTGTTAGTTTTCAAGCCTCTCTCAAGGGTTACCCGGATTGGGAACAGTCCGACTGTATTCCGTACCTTTCGACCCTTGCTCACTATGGGGAAGAACTGCATATTAGCGCAGGGTCCCTCACAAGGGGGCTCGTGCTGCGATGAAGGTGACGCGGTTGCATTTACACAGAACGGCCAGACCCCAGAGTGACGTAAAACCGTCCAATGCAAAAGAAAGCCGGGTTTCGGTAATGCAAAAAAAGAGGAACCGGGGGTTTGGTGGTAAGAGGACCGAATGAATCGAGCTCGTCCGAAGAAGGCACAGCTGAGACAAACGGGCGGCGCAGAGTGCAGACAGCCTGAGAGTTGTGTAACAACGGAGCTTCGGGATGGGGGGCGCGGCGAGGGGGGTTGAGGACCTAAGAGATAAAGAAGGGGATAGTTCGGCAAAGCTTACTGAGGGAATCCATGTTTTAATGCCGCTTCAAAATGTTACTATCAATGCATGTGGCATGTGTGTGGCATGTGGCAGTCGATTCGGGGACAGGCTCATTCCTCCCTCGCCGACTAACCGGCAATTGGGACCGAATTCGGATGGGCCTGCCACTTCCCTTTTTCCAGTTCGTCAGTTCGTCAAGAATGTGGAGGGAGGGAACGAACCACGCGAGCTGACGTCGGCACGCCAAGGATTACTGACGCGCTTGAGGGTGCAGTGATGCACTGAATCGTCGGTAGCGTTGATGCCGGAGAGCGGGACACTACCACCGAGGGTAAACCAAGCGAGCGCGATCCGGGACGAAAGCTTGTCTTCTCCGCGCGGTGACTGCAAGTTCAATTCAGGGGATTGGATGCCAGATGTCTCCTGAAAATAGCGGTTAGGTGGACCCACCAAGATCCAGGGACTCGCCCCGAGGCACCCCCATACGGATGGGAGGGGGCCATCGAATTGCGGGGCTCGGGCATTTCCAGGTTCACAGAGAGCCTCCGCCGAGATCTGCGAGCGGCAAGGCAAGTGGGCTGAAGCTTATTCAATCCAGGGTGGATTTTGGGAGAAGAATGTTGAGGTCCTGTGGTTCATTGAACCTGCAGAGTAATGTTGTTTTGACGGCGAGGGGATATGGGTACTCCCCCAAGCTACGAATCCCCGGGCAGGCACACGGGGCAACACCTTCCTCCTCATGGGAACCTTGCAGCACACTCCGGAAGGCCCCCTTGAGATTCAAGAACCCCGAACCCCACCACCGCGTCTGATAAGCCGCTGCGAGGAATCCGATAAGAGCTCCAAAAATTAATTGGCATCGGTCCAGCGCCGATCTGTTATTGCTTTCTCATTCTCAGCAACCTCCAAGTCCAGAACCGACAGCCATTTCGCCCAACCCCGAGCCCCATGTTGGCCGTATGGACGGTAAACGATCTCTGCCCCTCGGAAAGAGGACGGAGCCGAGGAAACGGAAAGATGCCCCGGTGACCAAAGACCCCAAAACTCGACCCCAAGATGGACGACCAACGACGACGACGACAACGACGTCGCGCTCTACGAAACGCGTAAAATTCCAGGATGCCCGCAACATTCGCACCCAGCCGTCCGATGCTGCCCTCGAAGACGGCAAGCTCGACCTGCAGAAATTCCTCAATGCCCGCCAGTTCGAGATCAAGGCCCTCGAGAATAGCATGCGCAAATGCAAGGCCATCAATGCAACCCGCGTATTCCAGCAAGTGCCCCGCGCCATGCGGCGGAGGACCGCAAGCCACAATGCCAAAAGGGTTCCCAAGAGATTGCGCGAGCAGGCGAAGAGGGAGATGAGGGAGGACAACACGCCGACCGTCGAGGCCAGAAAGCGCCGCCCTCGTACAACCCGAGCCCGCATCCGCGCCGAGACCGCCAAAAAGCTCGGCATCCTAGCTGCGAGGAAAAGGAAGAAGCTACTGGAAAAAGCCACCGCCGAAGGAAACTCGGCTGCAGGAGGGGAGAAGCCAACCGTGCACACCAGGCTAGCGAGGCCGAAAATTCGACGCGACATGCTCAACGAGCCGCCCAAGGCCGAGTCCAAGTTCAGGAAAAGGCAAATGAACAAGACGTGGTTGCCGACACATCTCTGGCATGCGAAACGGGCAACTATGACGGAACCAAGCAAACCATTGTGGCGCTTCGCTGTCCCGCTCACCCCGACCGAGAAATGCTATCGCCCGACCCATCGTGCCTCAGGCCAAAAGGGGGTTGTGGTGTGGGATATGAGCTACATGAGCACCATTGGTCTATACGGGACGGCTGATGGTGCCGAACGCGTCTTGAAGGGCCTGGGGTTGACGCAAGAAAGCGCCTGGGGCGCCCGAGGACAAAAGTGGAGGGCCGGCGTGCGGAAATGGACTGGCATCCTCAGCAAACCGACCAAAGACTCGAGGCGAGATATCGGGCCTGCGACCATCGTCTGGAATCCCCAAGCACCCGCCCAGGGCGACGATGTTACGGACTCGAACCGCCCAAAGAAACCGCAGAGACAGCTATTCATTCGCACTCACCCGTCATGCTTCCTTGAGCTGTTCCAGGAACTCCTCAAGCTTGCGAAGATGCAAAACCCTCGGCTTCATATCGAAGATCTGCGCTTCGAGATCGGTAGTATCGAGCTCACTGGCCCTGCCTCTACCGAGGCACTGCTCGGCGTCCTTCAACCATACCGTGGCAAGTCAAACAACCAGGAGCCCCATGGTCAGGTTTTCCAGTCACTTGCCGGAGTTGCAAATCCCGCATCGCTCCCTAGGGATGCACTTCTGGCCTTCTCGGTGCAAGACCCTCGGCTGACGTATCCGCCAAAAAGAGTGAACATCCCAGATGGCCGTGCGGATGGGCCTCTTGTTGAAACGCTCACCAAATGGCCTGTCGAAGAGGGGTTGAAACCATTCGATATCTTCAGCCGGGATCGTCGATTCCAGGCCTCACAACTACCCTCTCAGAAGACCATCAACCGCCGGAGAGGGGCGAACCCGCCTGGGGAGACCCTCCAGGTGACTGCGGCCGACCCTCCAATTCCCATCATGCTGCTCGCCTCGAGACCATCTACGGATGGACAGGCTCAAGGCACATGGACGTTGTTGGCCCCATGGAAGTGTATCATGGCCCTTTGGGGTTCTCTTATGCACTGCCCTCTCTCGACGGGCGGCAACCCCCGACTTGGCGGTTTAAATGAGCAAAGACAAATCGCGTTTGAGCACGGTGCTCCGTGGTTCCCTGGCGACTTCCCAGCAACCGACGCCGGGCGTAATTGGGAACTGGAGCAGCGAGTCAAGCGAAAGCGGGATTGGGATCGCCGCCCGAAAGGCAAGAGGGTCGAGTGGAAGTCGCTCGACCTCGGTGCTAGCCGGAAAGGCGAGACCGGAGACGGTTTGGCTTGCGATTTCGAACATTTGTTTGCCTTCTCCCAAGCGACGAACTTGTCGATCCCGGATGCGACCGAGATGGACATTGATCCCCCGGAACGGTCGGGAGAGGCCGAGCCCGTAGAGGTCCCCGACCCTTCAGCAACAGCCTTGGGGCTGATTCGACGCCTGCCAAAGCCGGCTTTCATCTCGCTCCTCGGATTACCCAATCCAGCCAAGCCTCCTGCGAACACCATCGTCACAATTCATTTAACCTTCGTCGCAAGAGGCGTCGCAAACAACTGCGCCAGGATCTACCGGCTGCCCTCCCGGAAGCCAGCAAGGATTGCCGACCCATCTGACGAGGTCGAAGTTCTCGCGTCCGACCCGACCTCGACTAACTCACCAGGATCCCTCCCTCGAGACCTGAGGGATCAGTGGCTTCGGGGGCTGCCGAACCCAAAGAACAGGGGCTCCGATCGTAGATCCCGGTTGGTGGGCCCCCCACAGATGCCCCCCGGCATCGATATGGAGTCACGCAAAAAACTCTTAGCGCAATCACTCGTCGCGACAGAACTCCCCTACCCAAGACCGGCTGCCAATGAGCTCGACGTTGGCGGGCACCATCCCCTGTGCCCGGACACGGAGGATTTGCTTGGGTTTGTGACGACGGGCGCGTTCAGTCTGAGCGAGGGCAGGGGTACGGCAATCGGCTCCATCTCGGCAGCGAAGGCGCTCGAGTCGGTGGCGGAAGCGGGAACCAAGGAAGGGAAGCTCTGCATCGTCAGGAACGCGGGCGAGAATGTGGGCTGGTTGGCGAGGTGGGAACTTGTTTGACGGGGGTCCGACGACATCTGTCGCTTGTTGCTTCTTCCCCGGTGACAAACAACTCAAGCTTTGAACTAACTGAGCGAGGCGCTCGGTTGGCGTTCACTACGAAGTACAAAGTAACTCGATGACGAAAAAACCCGTTGGGTTGGGGCTGCAGGCCACCCACCGGCAACATCCAACGCAAACAGTCAATGAAGCAGCAGTTTGTCACCATTCCCGATTTCGTTCGGCTCCAGAAAGTTGGTGCCGGAAATGGAATGCCTGCGGTCCACAGACAACGTCAAAACGCCTTGCTCGTCAGGTCATCACTCGATTATCTTTCTCGGCGATATTCCCCGAGAGAGCGGTTGTGTGTAGGGCTCGGATGCTGCGAGTCAGATGCAGGGCTGATCCCTATCAAACTGACAGGAAGGAAGCCGTCTGTTTGTGATGAGAAGCAAGGGCTATCATAAAAAATGACGACTGCGTAACCTGACGGTGAGCGAGTGGACTTGTCTAAATTCCCTGGCGACGTTTGGCTGATGGTGTAAAAGGGCTTTCGGTTTGAGACAGATCCAAGCTGATACAACATCTGGTACATCCCAACGTACGGTCCGATCTGTAGTTTGGAGATCGTAATCCCGTCTCGGGCAATCAAAAAAGTGACAAATTCTGCCTTGTTCACCAACCCAACCCCAACCTAACTTGTCACATTGACATGGCAAAGCTCCAACCCACTGGGTCTCCTGCACCTCCGTCACCTGTGGGACAAGGATGTCCGCAAGCCAATCATGCGCCTCTGTTTTCTGCAGCCACTGTCGATCGCTTCCGAAGCTTGGATGCATCCACCCAGGTCACCGCACAGAGATTAGACGTCGGCATCATGATCGCTCCCGATCGCTCCAGATCCCGGGCGAGATAACTGACTGTGCCGTTCTCGGTCTCCAAACCCCAGAGCACGCACGCACGGTGGATGAATACTTGGTACTTTTGACTCCCACCCCTTGCTCGAGATCCCAGTGGGGATCGGGATCTAACTGGTCCGGGTCTCGGTTGCTCTGCCCTTGTATGTACATCTCTTGGGCTCGGGGGTTTCTGAGAAGCGGCAGGTTGGGGGCGCAACGGCAGGGCTGCAGGCCGAGGAAGTGGCGCTGGTGCAGCAAACAGCTCCCGGTTGGTGTGCTTTTACAAGTCGGCGGTCCGCATCATCGCGATGCCTTTCCGTTTCGTACACTTTTTCTTCCAAGGTCCGGCTGCTTCACTCACCTGGACGAAGACTCTTTCTCATACGGCTGCTACAACTGCTCGTTACGAACGTGTGGAATTACCCCAGCTCTCACGAGTAGCATTGTATGGAACGCCCAACTCAGTCCAGTCATATCAAGGCGAGCACCTCCGGCCTGAGCCTATCGCAACCGCAGCCACCCGACGACCCGCCCACCATCTCGACCGGTCAATATTCGTTCGATTGGAGGCTCTCCCTCGCTACGTTACACAGCACCGGTCCTGCATTGTGCCTGTGTGAGCGGACATCATCTTTCTTCTGAGACCCAAAATTCCGGCGTTTGGTCTCAACCAACTCTGACCTTCCTCCCTCTCCCGTCTCGGAGGTCCCGTCTCCTACGGAGGATAGCAACAGCTCACTCTTAGGTCCTGGTCGCGTCACTTGTGGAGCGCAGCAGGGCAGCTGCCGCCTTGGCGAGATCGGCCAAGACAGCCCTCACTGGGCCTGGTCAGACAAAACCCCCCCTCCCCTGCCCACTTCAGGACAGGCGAACCCGACCGAGCGATAACGATAAACTGCCGTCCTCGTCGGCCCCTCCGGTCGTATGCCTCACGACAGTGTCCGCGTTTGTGCCCCGGCGCCATCAAATCTCATCCCAGGTCATGTCTCCGACAGATTCACGCTGGACGGCCCGGGAGGAGTTGCTTCGACCGTCGATCGCCTTGCACTGGTTGGCGTGACATCCATGGCTCGACGCTCGATGCTGCTGACGAGCCCCCTCGACGGCCGAGCCGGACTGCCCGAACTGAAAGATGCCGAGTACGTCCGCGAGGTTTTGGGCCGATCCGATGGCGCCACCGAGTCGGATATCGAGCAGGAGTTGGTGTTAAGGGCAGCGGCCCTTCGGATTGAGCTGCCGACTTCACGACGGCCTAGCACACAAGACCACAGGATCGCCGCAGGTCGGTTTCTCGAGACGCCCCCACAACAACATAGCCGGGCTGGATCGGCAGGCTCGGACGGGACTACAAACACAGTCATGACGTCGCGGACAACAGATCAGACGACAGCGACACCCGCTCCACCAGCGGAGGCTTCGACGACGAGGAGGAGGAGGTCTAGCACGCTCAGCTTTTCTCAGTACGAAAAGTACATCAGCCAGGTCGATCCTGCGTTGATTCAATCCAAGCTCCCCAGGCCAACACGTGGTGAGAAGTCGGAACGGACAGGAGGGAAACCAGTGAGGTCGGGGACAAAGAAGGGGGTTAGGGGGTTCACCCGCAGTATTGCGGCTAGGCTGAAAAGGAGGAGGCCGAGCCCGAGCTTGCCCATGTAAGTGCCTAGGGGACCAGCGCTTACAAGAAGAAACATTTCTGACGCTACCAGGCCTTGTGTGTGCTGCCGCGAAGACTTCACGACCGACAGCAACATCTTGCACGCGCTCCCTTGCGGCCACTATTATTGCCGCGACTGTCTGACCGTCATCATAGATCAGTCGATCTCGGACGAGTCCAAAATGCCGCCGAGGTGTTGCACCCAGCCCATACCGAGCGCCATCATCAAGATGGTCCTCACACAAGAAAAGCAGCGCCTGTTTCTCAAGGCGGTAGTGCAGTACAACACCCCCTGGGAGGCGCGCACCTTCTGCCCCAACGCCGCCTGCGGCGAGTTCATCCCGCCCGCCGCCGAGGTCGACCCCAAACACCCTTTCGAGGCGCTCTGCCAGGCCTGCCGGACCCAGGTCTGCCTCCTGTGCAAGCGCAACGCCCACCAGCTGGGGCAGGACTGCCCCGAGGACCGCGACAGCGAGGCCGTGCTCAAGATGGGCGAGACGTCGGGCTGGCGCCGCTGCTACAAGTGCCGGTCGCTGGTCGAGCTGGCCCAGGGCTGCACCCACATCACTTGTCGGTGCAAGGCCCAGTTTTGTTACATCTGCGGCGCCGTCTGGGACCGGACTGTTGGGTGTCCCAACTTTTGCAACGGCGATGAGGAGTTGGAGCGCCGCCGCGTCGAAGAGGAGGCCCGCCTAGCGGAGCTCGAGGCTGAGAAGCTCGCGCGGGAAAAGGCCGCCGAGGCGGAGGAGAAGGCCAAGCAGGACGCGGAGAAGAGGACACAGGAGAGTGGCGAGTTCAAGGCGCTCAGGGAACGGCAGGAGGCCGAGATGGCCCGCTTCAACGAGTACGAGCAGAAGGTGAAGGACGCGCTGCAGAACCGGCAGTCGAGCATGAAGATCGCCCTGGGCGACAAGTTTGCGGACCTCATGCTCAAGATGCGCGAGCGCCACGCCAAGACGGAGCAGCACCTCGAGGACCGCCAGGTCCTGGCCGAGATCGAGCTGCAGGCCGGCTTGGAGGAGAAGGAGAAACGGGTGCAGATCAAGCTGCGGCACATGGAGGACTACTGCAACGGTAAGGCCGGCCTCGTCGCGCCCCCTGACGAGCAACCACCACCACCACCATCAGAATCACAACCAGAACCACAATCACAACCACAATCCGAATCACAACCACCACCCCAGGAACAACAAGAACAACCAGCCGACCCCCAACCCCAACCCCAAAACCCTCCCCCAACAACCACAACGACAACAACAATGCCCCACCGCCTTGTAACCCCCCGCGACCTAGAACAACTCCGCCAGCAATACACCCTCCGCGACAGCCTGACCCGCCGGCACCGTTCCCAGATCCACGGCCTGCGCGAGAAGCAGGCCCGGCGCATGGAGGAGCTGGTCGCGCGGCACGAGCGCGAGGTCGACTTGCTGGCCGCGCGCCGCGCGTCTGACCTCGTCGCCCTTGTTGTGCAGTCGGCGAATGATGAGGATGCCTTACTGCGGGTGTGTGCTGCGCGCAAGGGGAGGTTGGGGAGGCGGTGGCGGATGGAGGTGGAGGTTTTGAGGGCGGAGTTGGAGAGGAGGGATGGGGTAAGGTATGCCGAGGGGGGGGTGCCGGTTTGGGTGGGCGGGGAGGAGGATGATGGTGGGGATGGGATGCTGTTGGGTGATGGTGGTTGTTTGGGTGGGGAGGGATGGGGGGTGCATCATGATGCGCGGCTGTTGGGGGGTGATGCACGGTCGGTTGTCGTGTGATGTGGGTTGTGTGGGAAACGACTCTTTTTCTGTTTTTTGCCCTCTTTTCTCCTACTTCGTTGGGCCGTTTTGTTGGATGCTATGGCCGCTTCTCATCACGCTTTCCTATCTCTCGGGGGCTTCATATGTCGGCATATTCATCGCATGGGACGAGGGGTGTCAATACCAGGGCTGGGGCGGCAGGGGGCGGTGTGGGTGCTCGGGGCAGCACGGAGTTTGAAGGGGTTATTTTGTTTGTTGTGTTCGCAACAGTTCTCGCGGTCATGATCTCCACGATCTTGGCCATGGCCAGTTGGGCGGCCGGACACCACTCTTTCCCTATGTTGGCTGGGACAGAAAACAGAGACGAGTTTATCATGGGTAACTATGGATTTCAGCAGCATCACGTTTCTCCTAGTTATGGCTGTACCATTTTGCGAGGCAGACAAGCAGACAGACGGGGCAGGCCACCGTCATAGGCCAACTACACTAGATCAATCCTAGTTATCAGTCATACCCTCGTTCCCACTCCGCCATTACGTGCTCCGTATTGTATCCTCTTAGTAACAGTGAGCACAAGCCGACGTTGGATGGACGGCTGCCAAGCCGGTGGCTGTTGATGCACACCCGGGGCCCCTTGCACGCCGGTCCCACCGCTGCAGGTGATGTTCTCGACCGTCGTGCCGGGCCCGATGCGACGATACCCCTGGAATGGTGGTGGCAGCGTTCGGGTATCTCTTATCACAAGGTTGGGGGCGAGAGTGTCCCGAAAAACTAGGGGAACGGGGAGGGTGGATCAAGTTATGGGCGAAGGATCAAGTTATGAGTGAAAGCCAGAACGCCATTCTATTAACCTATGTGCCGAGAGAAACGGAGGAACCCGTAGTGAAGCTCGTGTGGTTCGCTGGAGGCATAGAAAAACAGTCTGCCTTCTGGGAGATGAAAGAATAGTAACGAGCAATCCGCCCCTGGCAACGCACTCGCCGTCCCAAGTAAAGACCCCCCAATCCTCCCATCTCGAAAATGATAGACCGTCCCATATTCCCCCTCCCACCCATCCCTCCTTAAAACCCAACCAACCCACCCCCCGACTTAAAAGATTGAATTAACAATATTACTCCCAATCGTCGCGCCCGCCCCAAAAATCGCCGCATTCCCCAACTTCTTCCCAAACTTCTTCCCATGCTCCCCCATCTTACCAACCCCCTCTCCCTCCTGCCCCTGCTGCTGCTGCTGCTGCTGCTGTCCATACGGCACCACCGGCTGACCCGGCGGCGGCGCGGCCGGATATCCCTGCACGGGCACCGGCGCCATGGGATACCCACCCCCACCACCACCCCCACCACCACCCGCGCCCGCATACTGCGGCTGCTGATACCCCTGCGGCTGCTGCTGCTGCTGCTGCACCGGCACCGGCGACACACCCCCCTTCTCACCCCCATCCCCCCCGGCTACCGCAACGACATAACTCCTGGGGAAAATCCCCTCCTGGCCCGTGCGCAGGTTGCGGCCCATCCACCAGTCGGCGTTCATGTACTCGTGCACGGCGATGCGGTCGTCGCGCTCGAAGGAGCAGTCGCGGGCGTCGCTGGCCGCGTAGCGGTAGAGGGCGCGCGCGTGGGTGAGGACGGGCTTTTCTGGCGCGGCGGGAGGGGCGGGCGGGTTGTTGCGTGCTGGGAGGGAGGGCGGGGAGGCGGTGGATTGGGCGTAGGACGGCGGGGCGGGATGGGGGTTGGTGTTGTTGTTGGGGTTGTTATTGCGGGCTGGTGGTGCGGGAGAGATGGATTGGGCGGGGGTGGGTAGGCCGCCCGTGGAGGAGGGCGCTGGGGTTGGGTTGTTGCTTCGGGCGGCGAGGGAGGCTTCGGCGGGGAGGAGCGCGTGGATGGAGTCGAAGGCGGTGTCGTCGATTACGCCTTTTTCGAGGAGGTTTTCGAGTTCCTGGAGGGGGTGTTAGCGGAAGAGCGTCGGGAGATACTGATACTGGGTCGAGGAAACGGGATGAACTTGCCGTCTTGATCAGACGGAGAGACCGGTTGGTCTCCATGACCCGCTGGCGAGCTTCCGACATGGTTCGTTGCGTTGTACAGTCGTCAAGAATTTTGTGTGGTTGTTGAATGGAAACTGGCCGTTACTTCAACCTATCGGTGAAATGCAATGGAACAAGGAAAGAAAAGGTTGTCGTAAATTGTTGAAAGCGGAAGGAATTCCACCATCGCTGGGACACGCAAGTGGCGCAGACTCAAGTCGGGTGGCCGCCGGCCCCGCCAGCCAAGCCGCCAAGTGCCGCAGCACAGGCGATCGGTCACCCGAGTTGCCGTTATCCGGCCGCTGTTGGTCCAGGGGCGTTTGGCGACTTGGCACCCTGGAGTCTTGGGCCTGGGCAGGGCCGTTTCATGGCAGGACTCGAACGACACTCCCAACGCCAAGTTGAGTCATTCCCACACAACACGGTATCAATACCTAACTCAAGCTACCTGCTGTTCCTAACACCATCACCGGCTGCCCGTTACACTCGCCTGGTCCACCAGGTGAGCCGGTTCCAAAGACCTAGAATACACATCAACCCTCTCTCTCCCCGTCCCTCGAGAAAATAAAAAGCACCAGAGAACGGAAGATGGGACCGGAAACCCGAAAATGACAGGGCCAGCGCAGAAAAATCGAATAAAGGGCAGATAGATTGCAAAGATTAAAGACGCCCCCTCTCCCTCTGGCCAGCTTGCCTGCTTGCATGTGATGTAAAGCCCGAGACAAACCTAAACATGACAACCCAGATTAGGTCCAACACTCCACACTCCTCTCCCCCAGAGCGGCCGCCCTTTGTCGTTCGCTTCGACTCGCGTCGGGGCCATGTCCCGTTCTCCTCGGTGACAGATGGGGGTCCGGTACGCCCTTGCCTTTCTCCCGTGTGCCCAGCACTCCGGGCACCGCCGCGCCGATCAGTCAGTCGCCCTCAAGTAATTTCCAACGGCAGCTTTCAAATCCCCGAGCCCAGGCGCGACGAACCCTGCGAGGTGCTCGGCGGCGAGGCCAGGCTGGGAGCACCGAGAGGCATCTCCGATTTGCGCTGGCTCTTCCAGAAATCAATGGCCACGACGACGTCCTCGCCGCGCTCATCCTCATACGCAAAGAGAATCTATTTTCCGTTAGAACCAATACTAGTAGCAACCAAACAGTAACAAAACTCACCTCGTGCGTGCTGCTATGCAGCATCCGAATATTCCGGTGCGGCACAATATGGACCGCCAGGTTCTCGATATGTCGGAGCTCAATAAAGTTGGGCTCAAACGCCAGGATCCAGGGGTAGGACAGGGCAAAGGCTTGCGGCGTGCCCTCCCAGTCGAGCCGCCAGTCGGGCTCCGCGCGCCAACCGTTACGGTTGACAAAGAACGAGAAGTCGGAGTAGTTGAGCAGGAACTCGCCGTTGAGACGCTCGATGTGGATGGGCTTGACGCCCTCCTTGCGGGAGACAAAGTCGAGCGAGGTGTCGGCCTGGTCGAGTAGGGACTGCGTCTCGAGCGTCTCGAGGGAGACCACCTCGAACCCGCGGGCGCAGGCGACGCAGAGCTTGGACTTGAGGAAGTGGACCGACGTGGACTCGGTCGGGATGTAGAACTCCTTGAAAGGCTTGAGCTCGTCTTGGCCGGCGTTGAACATCTTGCTGAGGCCCTTCTGCTTCTTCGTGCGGGACATGGCATCGTTGGGCTCGTAGACCTTGATGGTTGTCGAAAGCGCCGAGCTCTTGACGCAGCACACCAGGTGGCGACCGAGGCAGATACCTGTCTTGAAGAAGTTGCAGTGGCTCTGAATCTTCTTGGAACGCTTGGACGAGATGGGCTCGTTGGGGTCCAGGGCACCGAGCTGATACGACAGGAGCGAGCGGTTCGAGAGCACAAGTAGTAACGAGTACTCCTCGAGAACGTCGACCTGTGTCACGCTTGGCACGTCAATGACACGTTTAGGCGGCGAGTTGTCTTTGGACCTGCGATCCGACATGTAGATGCCGTTGTCGGTTCCGTAGATGAGTTTTCGACCGCCGTCTGGATTCGGGTTAGCAATGCACCGTGAGCCACTAGTTCAATGAACTTACCAAACGGCGCCACGCAGTTGACCTTGTTCGTGCCGGAGAAGAAGCCGGAAGTGATGACCGTCGTGTTAAGGAAGTCGGCACGGGCCCTGAGGCGCTGCTGGACACCATCGATGGCCTCGAGCAATTTCTGCCGGCCTAGCTGGTTCGACGCATACAGAGTCAACTCGTAGCCATTCTTCCCGAGATGCCGGAATGTGATGGGCCAGCCTTCGCCCTTCTTCGTCTCACCCCCGGTATTGCGCAAGGCAGGGAGGATGCTGGACGATGAGCGCTTCACACCGGATTGGGGTATCACTTCTTCCATCTCCTTGATGGATAGCAGTTCCAAGGGGATGGGCTACAAAACGTTAGCATCGCGTCGTACACGTCCAAGATTCTAGCGCACTCACCCTGCGATAAGCCTTCACTTCCTCCGTCTTCCCCACTTGCTTGATGCGCACAAGAAGCACGGCATGATCAAACAGGAACGCGGTGAGGTCCGGGTTCTCAGTGGGTGTCTTCTTGAACTGGCCCTTGAACACCAGCTCGCGGCCCTCGTCCGTAAGCTTCAAGTCCACCTTCTCGTTCGGGCGGAACCTGAGCTGCTCGTGAAGACGCCGCAGATTGAAGCGATTCTCAGCCTTGCCGGACTCCTCGTTGACCCGGCCTAGCAGATCTCGGATCATGGTCAAAACCTTGGGAAGGTCTTCCTTATCCGGGTTGTCGTCCTCCGTGTACTTGAGCACGTTATCGAGGAGCAGTGGGTAACGAGCCAATCTCGTCGTCGGCTTGGTCAAGTAACCGTTGAGCTCTAGCTTTCTGGACTCTCTGCGCCGCTCGACTTCATCGACAAATCTCGCAAACTCCTTGTTCAATGACCGCTCGTTCTCAAACTCGAATTTACCCTCGAGCTGCTTCGAACCATACAGAATGAAGGGCTCGAACTGCGGCACAAACTCCAGGAAGACGTCGCCCACGTTCTTCACGACAGGGCTCTTCTGCTGCCTCTCGGTCAAGGACCTCGCGAACTTGGAGCTCACGCCGTGAATACTTGGGGCGTCGATGATGTTGGTAAAGATGTTGCGAACGACCTTGTCCCTCCTCGGCGCCGGGATGGGCGAATGGCCGTTGATCTTTCCCCTCAGCGGGTAGATCCAGAAATCCCGGAGGTACTCGAGATCCTTGACGAAGTCTCTCTCTGTGTAGCAGATCTCCGAGATAATCTCCTGTCTCTTCTTCTCCCGGTCGCTGATGCTGTCGGCGATTTCCTTGGGCACGCTGTTGATCCAGAGTTTCTGCTCGTCGGTCTGATCCACATCGTCGTCGTTTACAGGCGTGCCCCCTTCGGCCTTAAGACCAGGGCCCATCTTGAGATTCAACCTTGACACCTGTTCCAGTCGTCGTGGGCAGGCGATGGAGTAGCAGAGTTGGTCCCGTGTGCAAGTCGGAGAATAACACTCGGAGAGCAAAACAAAGACACCGTTGACCGCGTCCTTCTCCTCAACCTCCTCCGTCATAGTCTCCCGGAACTGGTACATTTCATAGGTCGAGTCGCGCAATCGGTGTTCGTAGGTGACATCGTGGAAGAACTTCTGCGCATCAAGTGCACGACCAAGGAGCAAAGCCAAGTTTCTGTCTGTTGTCCTGATGATGTACGAGAGAACGTCAACGGCTTCGGCGCCGCTGAAAGCATTCTTGTATGTAAGCTCGTTCTTTGTGCGATCACCGGTGACGATCTTCTGGCGGAAGCATTCGGCGACACGGAAGAGAAGAGCGGGATAGACCATGGGCGGCCTGATTTTGGCGGTAGGAGGGCGTTCGCCGTTGATCGAGTTGCTCATTGACGTGCGTTGCACAAGGGTCTGCGCGTCGGTCCTGTCGCTGGGCGCTATCGAAGAGGGCGCTATTGTGGAGGCCATCGACATGGTCCTGTTGCTGTCGTTACCAGTCGACGAAACCATGCTCGTCGTCCTTGTCTGGGACCCGGGCGGTCCGTACCCAGCCGCATACCCAGGGTTTGGGGATGGATTGTTGCTCCCATACTCGGGATGCGGAGGGGAGGCGCCCGCTGGACGCCTATTAGGAATGACGCGGCCGCTCATGGTCTGGTGCGCGTCTCGGTCGTGCGACGGATACCCAGTCATGGTCATCGACCGATCTTCCATATGCCTCTCTGGGACAATCCGGCCATGGGCTGTTGTCCGAGCAGAGTGTTGAGCATATTGGGCATTCCGCATAGCGTTAGCTGGGGGCTGTTGCTGTTGCTGCTGTTGCTGCTGTTGCTGCGGCGGATACGGCTGAGGCGGAGACTGCTGGTACATTTGCGGTCTCGGGTAGCTGGCTAAAGATTGGGACCGGTATGGGTCAGCGTTCATGGCGGGCGGAGGTCTTCCATCCTGATAAAAACGCTGTGTGGGGGTGCGTTGCGTATTGTTGTCATAGTAGCCTTGAGCCGGCGGTGGTCCTCGTCGAGGGTCGAACCGAGGTGGCCCAGGCTGTCCCGGCTGTTGAGACGGCGGACTACCAGGATATGGCCGCCGCTGTTGCTGCTGCTGCATGTACTGAGGCGATGGGACCTGCTGGCCACCCGATGCTGCGCGCTGCTGGCCCTGATGATAACCGTATCCTTGACCGCCGTCGTTTGGGCGCGGTCGGGGAGGGGGGTATTGGTTGCGGTAGTCACCGCCTGGCGGCGGTCGCGGGGGTGGCGATCTGTGCATTTCGGACATGCCCGAGGTCGTCGAGGACATCGTATTGGTGCGCCCATCTTGACTGAACTGAGGCGGCGGCACTGACGAGGTCATGGTCTGCGAGCGGCCGGGGGGCGGAGCGGCGCCGAAGATGCTGGAAAAGGCAGCATCCCGCTGGTAGTCGTTATCGTACTGTTGCGGCCGTTGCTGCTGTTGCTGCTGCTGTTGCGGCTGCCTGGGCGGCGGCATCCGGTCGCGCTGATAGTCGGCCATGGCTGCTGTGACGACGGTTGTGTGTCAGCAACGAGACGGGTTTGCGTTTGGTGCTGAGCCTGCACCGGCAAAGCAGGAGACGTCGACGGTCAGATGTTCAGGGGAGGGCGTCAGGGGGGGGGGGTTGTGGAATTGAATTCGAGAGTAGAGTAGGGATGAACCTAACTTACTCGTTATCTCGAAGCCGATGGCTCACCAACGACCGCCCAACTGCAAATGGGCCGTGATCGTCCTCCAGATATACGTCCAACAATAAGTTAAAAGTCGAGGGGAAAAAATGGAGCGTGTCGGAGGCCGCAACGGGCGGTCCGTTGTCCCCTGTCGTTGTCGACGGTTGGGGTGATGGATGGAGCGGAGCGGAAGGAGGTTGCTCGAGGATGTTTCCGGTTGTGCCACGGGCAGCGGGTGACGTTATTGGCCTAACCCCCCTAACAACAATTTTTTGGCTCCTGGGCTCCTCGTGGAACAAGCCGCCGAAGGCCGACCCGACAACCGCGACGCGGCCAGTTACGCTTTTGAGAGAGGAGCTCCGACTACCTGCCTGGAGCGGGGTCTTGGTTGACAATGGGGATGTGGTACTTCAGATGCTGGGAATATGTTCGCTGTTCGGGGATGAAGATGATTGAGGAACGGTGTGCGGTTGTGAATATTGGCAACCAATCGACGTTATCGGACAGTCAAGTCGCGGCAGATTTCGACAAGTGCTTAATCTGCCACACTGGCGACCAAACGCAGGTTGCAATGCCCAAAAGGGTGTTTGCGATCCACTAAAGGCAGCTCCGCAACGGCTCGTCGGGCGTGGCGCAGCTTCGCTTCCCAGTGCTTCCCCCTGATTATCGTCTGCCAGGGAACGGTTGGAGACCTCAGATGCGAACTGGGATCGGATGGGAGAGTCGTCAGGGGCAGAATGACTTTCGTCGATCTTGAAATTGAAAGTCCCGAAGGTGCGGGAGAGTTGAAGTTGCCCCACGACCATATTTAAAGTATTGTACGCTACGTAAGTTGGGGGTCGTAAAGTAACACAAGACACCTTTGAGGCGTCTTGTAAGATGAACTATCATCAATGGAAGCTCACCGTTCTTTCGTCAATGCATGATAGTATGTCAACAATGAAATTGCACAGAGGAGAGTATCTCCAAATTAGGACACCGGCGGGATACCAAGATTTCTTCGGCACTGCAGCGCGGACAGCTTTGTACAAGTATTCCTTGGAAACGACCTTGTATGGAAACTTTGATGCAGGTGCCGAATCAAGCTCTGTGGCACAGCGCTTTGGTGCTGTCGCAGGGTTGCAGGGGCCCAAACCAAAAGGCAGCCGCTGACTCACGTGACTTTCTTGGCGCAGTTGTTGGTTGACGGCCTTGGCGGATACGCAACCTCCAAGCTGGGACGTGCGGCCCGGATTGAACTGTCGCGCAGCAACCTAAACCGCCGTCAACCGTTGGTTTCTCAGCGCCAAATCGGCTCGTATTATCTGCGCATCGTCACGATTGCGCTGTTATCTACCTATCCAATTCCGCCAACCCCCGAACATCGTACACAATGGCCGAGTCAGAGCTGAGCCCCAAGTTCGCGCCCTTCATTGGCATGGTAAGCGGGTGGTTGGCGCCGGCCGCGAGAGGATCCCCCTTCTACGCTCGTCGCGGCAGACAGAGGAAGCATCATTAGTACCAGATTGGCTAACTCGACTTCTCATGCAGGGCGGTATCGCCGCAGCCATGATCTTTGGCTGTACGAACGACCCCTCCGCTCCGAACCGCAGCCCCTCCGTCAATACCAACAGATAGCTGACCAGAGACCATCTTGCAGGCATGGGCGCGGCTTATGGCACCGCCAAATCCGGCATTGGCATTGCAGGCGTGGGAACGTTCCGTCCGGACCTGATCATGAAGGTGGGAAAGCTCTTCCACTGCGTTTCAAAAGGGCGCCCTCGCTGACTGGGTCTTCGCAGTGCCTCATCCCCGTCGTCATGTCCGGTATTCTCGCCGTGTACTCGCTCGTAATCTCCGTCCTCATCGCCCAAGACTTGCAACCGCCGAGCTTCGGGTCCAACTATAGCTTGTTTAAGTGGGTTTTTCGCGTATCCGCTCATGGCAGACGTGACAAGTTGCTAACGAGCAATACAGTGGATTCATGCATCTCGCATGCGGGCTGTCAGTCGGCCTCACCGCCCTCGCCGCCGGCTACTGCATCGGCGTCGTCGGCGACAAGGGCGTCAGGTCGTACATGCTGCAGTCCAGAGTCTTCGTCGGCATGGTCCTAATTCTCATTTTCGGCGAAGTGTTGGGGCTCTACGGGTAAGATTCAGAACTCGGGGCAAGCTAGCAGGACCACGTTGCTAACGTATTTGCAGCCTCATCGTTGCTCTCATCCTCAACACCAAGAGCAAGGGCTAAACAGAGCGGGTGTAGTTTTGGTTCACAAGGAGTTGTGTACAAAAGTTGTATACAAGTTGCGCGTCGACTGACGGGGTGTCATTAGTAGTAGCATTTGGCCCGGCGTTGACGGATGTATACTTGATTCATAGTAGGGTCATGAACGAGACAGGCACGGCAAAGAATTTGAAATTTCACATACATCCAGGATCTACAAGATCGTTCCGATTGCACTACGCCTGGCAAGTTGTCAACTGCCAGCCCTGTTGATCTGACCCGTGGATGGACCTTTGTAAGTGTTCGGGATATCCGTCATTCCCACTGACACAGGGGAACAATTTGAACCATGCACGGTGCAATATGTGGTAGCTATCATTCTCTGCCAAATCCGGCTCCGAACATGCCCATGCCAACAAGCCATGAAAACCGAGCGCAAAATAACAATCTGGCAAGGCCAGCATGCTAACCGGCCCAACACCCGGCACGATAAAAAAGCAGATACCCGCCCGCCCAATGCAAAACAATGCAGCCTCTGGGGGCAAGAAGGTCTGAAAGGAGAGAAAGAACTGAAGAAAAGACAACGCGGACTGCAGCAATTTGCAACCCTCAACGTCAAACCAGAAAACCCAAACGATAATCCCGACGCAAAAAGAGATGATGGGGATGATGGGGATGATGATGCTACACCAGACGTGTCCCGCCGCCAACCCTAGAAGCGCGTGCCGATACGGAACGGAAGCCGGGTGTTGGAGCGCCTGTCCAGATCGCGGCGGAAGCGCTTCCAGCTGTGCTCGCGCTCTTCCCGGTCCTTCATTTGCGCTATGATATAGGGGTCCATCAGCCACTGATTCCCACAACCACAAAACAGCCCGAACCGCGAGAGAGAGAGAGACGGGGAAAGAAAGAAAGAAAGGGTAAAAAAAGAAGAAAGACTCACCCAAAAACCAATCCCACCTCCGATCCTCCCTCAGCAGCACCTCATCCCCGCCACCCCGCAGATTCTCCCTCGCCATCCTCTCCTCCCTCGCCCTCGCCGCCGCCTCCTCGCCCACCAGATACGGATCCTCCAGCGGCCGCACCCTATTCCGCCGCTCCTCCTCCTCCTCGATCCGCTCCAGCATCACCCGCCGCATCAACCCATCCAAATTCGCCCCCGCCGCCGCACCACCCCCTACCGAACTACTCCCACTCCCACCACCACTCCCACTCCCACTCCCACTCCCACTACTGCCGCCGCTGCTGCTACCACTGCTGGCGCTGGCACTAGCCCGCCGCAGCGCCACGTTCTGGTAGATGCGGGCGGTCGGGTTGGCGTGGGCGCCGCCGCTGGCGGGAGACCAGGCCGGGGTGCGGAAGCGTGCGAGGGAGGGGATGTCGGATTGGGAGCGTGGGGGTCCGGTCGGGATGGGGGGGAGTCCGTACCGGCGTGGGGTGGTGGTGGAAGTTGAGGTGGTGGTGGAGGAAGAGGAAGAGGAGGTGGTGGTGGTGGATGGGGTGGGTCCGAGGTCGAGGAGCGAGGAGACGCTGGTGTTTCGGGGGGGTGCGGCTGCTGCTGGTGTTGCTGCTGATGTTGAGGCTGTTGCGGTGGAGCGGGCGGGTGGCGAGTAGGCTGGGAGGGGCTCCGGGTGCGGGTTGATAGAGTGGTAGGAGGGGGCGTCGGAGGCTAAAGGGGGGTGAGGAGTGTTAGTAGGCTGGTTTGAGGGTTGGTTTGGGGGTCAAGCAAGGGAGGTGGCAATTGAGTGAAGCTTGAGTATAGCTTGGTGAGAGCTTCACGCTACAGCGGACTCACTGTATGAAGGGGCTGCCGAGCGGATCGAGCGGATCGAGGCGGTCTCAAAGTCCTCCGGGCTGAAGGACTCGATGCCCGCGCGTGCAAAGCGCGGGACGTCGTCAAGCATGGAGGTGGCCATATGATCTCGGGTGATGGAACAAAGTATGGTTGGCCGGAGTTGATGGGAAAATCAAGAGAAGGGTTCAAGTCAAATAGTAGCAAGCACCAGAAATGCGTAATGACCAAAGTGCGGATGCGGGCCGAGACAATGACAATGACAATGACGGGAGGTCGGACGAAGCAAGCCACTGCTGCGGTCCAGGTCTGACAGACAACCTTGGATAGCTGGATATCAGACGAGTTCGTGGAAGCTAAGGTAGGTAGCTCAACTTGTACCCAGTGCCTGAGAATGGAAGTTGGCAACCACCTAGGCACAGTTGTCACTTGCTCTCGTGGTCAAATACTAAGAAAAGAAGCAACACGTGAGAACTGCAGGGGAGATCGGCGTATTTAGGGGGAGGTGCGACCAGCCGCAGGAATCCCGCGTTCTCGAAGGCATGCCGGGCACGCCAGAAGCATTTCCGGCTGCTGCAGGGCACACACGATAGGTACGGGACATTGACTGGCTACCCAGCCAGTGTGGTGTGTGCCAGGGTCCAGCGACTTGTCTCCAGCGTGTCGTAATAGAGGGGGGATACTTGGGGGTACTGGGGGGTACAGGCATGCGGGGTTCTTGTGTGGTTGGGCCTTGGCACCACCTCCCGGATCCCGTCCCTCCACGTCACTTCAGCTCGTCGGCCTGGCGGTCGGCCTGGCGGGAACCTCTGCTCTCCACGGAGCCGGTGGCTGAGCCTGCAGTGAGATGGATCTCCGGCAGGACCTGCATGACATACCCGCACCAGGCTGGCACAGCGTGGCATGCCCGCACGTTGATGCTGGGCCTCGGTTGAAACAATTCCCTCAACCCCGATCTCGACTCTTGAGTTGGCAGGTAGGGTTGGCAAGCGGAACCAACGGGGCTCTCGAATCCGGGAAGCTTTGGATCCAGACTCCCCAGACCATATCCACCACCTTGGCCAAGTTCCGGCCAAGGTCCCAGCTCTCAGTTCCCGGGTCGGGACGGGATGGGGATGCCGCGGGAACGGGCAAGACAGTGCTTGCTCCACCGCACCCACCGCACCCACCGCAGGGAGAACGATATCCATATCAACAGCGGGGTTATTGGTTACCGGGTTGGTGGCTTTACGACTGGGTATAGCTACCCCCCCTGCCCCGAGAATCTTCTTGTTACTTTACGCACATGGCCGCTGAAGTTCCCCCGTGGCCGGACTCAGAAAAGTCGTTGCTATCCATCCTTCTCTCCCGCTTTCGTCGCATTATGCTAGGTCAGCTCGGCTGTCCCGCTTGGCAAGACATTGATTACTACACGGATCCAGAGGTTACGTTGTGGGTTTCCGGTAACCACAATCGACGGTAACTTGGGTTCTTTGCTGATGCCCTCTATATCTGTGAAAGGTTATTAAGTTCTTTAATGTAATGAATGGATAGTATACAGGTGGTAGTTATTCCGGCAACTCGTCGGTTGGCTAGGTCAGCACCGCCAGTACCCCTTGTATCTAATTAGTTACTCAGTCGTTCGAACCGCCACATCTTGCCGCCGAGGGCTGGGGAAACAGTAACTCGGAGAGAGGGGCCTGGGTTTGGCGGAGCCCGAGACCTCACCGATGCGCCGCTTCCCCTCAATCATCTGCGGATTTGACAGACACCGTGGCACCCGCTCTGATGTTGAATCGGCGTGATACGGGGAATCGGATTGTCTTGCGTTGTACTTCAGCCAGCATTGCCGCCCGGCCCCGGTACAGGCCGGTCGCGACCCAGACAAAGAATCTCCATCTCCAACGTGTGAACCAGGACCATTCGGGCGGGGGAATGAAGTTGTGCATCGCCGCATGTTCAAAGTATGATGGATAGAATCCCGCCAGGTCCCAGTCCACCAGCCAAAGTTTGCCGGTTCCGTTCTCAAGCATGATGTTGCGGGGAGCAAGGTCGTGATGGGTGAAGACAAATTCCTTCTCATGGTCCGTCGGCTGAAGGCATGACTCCTTATGCTGTTCCGGTGACTTGCTCACTTCTCGGCGGAAAGAGATGAGGTTGTGCCAGAAGTTGACGATGGAGGAAATGGTAGTTGGTGAGGCGTACGGCGGGATCCCGTACACGTCGTTGTCGATCCAAAACGAGCGGCAAAGTCCCGTCCCCAGCGAGCCGGCTGTTGGCCTGGTTGTGGTCTGCATTCGGCGTACCATACCTCGGAGCTGAAAGGCAAGCCGCACCGTCGAAAGCAGCCCGATGCTAGGCCAGATGGCCATGAGTTCATGACCATGGATGCGCGTCTGGATAAACTCAAAACCCTTTCCTTGGTGAACGACCCTCTTGACGGCCGGGACGGAAACGCCGAGGGCTTTAGCCTGCAGCATTGCGCATCTAGTGTCTTCGACATCTTCCGAGTCGTAGTAGGCCTTGGAGAAATACGAGTCAGATATCTCGATCACGCGCGAGTTAACCCCCCGCGTCTCGCGGAGATGGGCAATTTGTTCGGCGAGGTCCACATCCGACAACTCTTCGATTGCTTCATTATCCAAGAGCATCGCTGAAAAAGGGGTGGGATAAATGCCGGGGCAATGAGTTGATCTGACATGATGTTGCGGGAATACCACGAATTCTGCTTGGGCAGTTCGCCCAACATCAAATTAGGTACTTAGGTACCACCTATTTACATGGGGCTCCTTCCCAAAACCCCCCGCATCCCATGGCTCCCTCAGGTTCTAACATAATCAGCCAATAGAGCCATGACGACTACATACCCAGAGTACTCTGTCCATGCAGATATCGAGGCCTTCTTCAAGAAAACATCAGCAACCCGCGCTGCATGCGGCGCCAAAGCAAGAGAGCTTGCCGGCGACGATGTCGCATCTGTTGACGTCCAAGGCGTATGCAGCTACTCCGTCTAGTTATGCCGGCCCTGAACTGGAATACGTCGTCCAGTTCCTCCTCGAGTCTCTAGCACTCAAGACCGAAGTTACTTCTCAAGTGAATGAGGTTTACGGGTCCCTTGCACCGAAGATGTCCTTCGAGGGTAAGGTAGGGGAAGGGGAGGGGGAGGGGGAGCCGTTCTACATCTACCTGATGACCCGTGTACGCGGAGTAACACATCTTGATTTCATCCTGGCACGCAACGTTCATGTTGGAGACACATGGTACAGTGGTTCGTTGGCGGCTCACCGGCCTCGTCGCCCTCGTTATGGTCATTTCGGGGGGCGCAGAGGTGGATTACTTGAATCGGAGCATCGAAATCAGCGGTCTGGAGGTTATCGAGGTCCCAGTTGTTGCTTTGTTGGAGCTGGCCAAGAGCCACATGGGCCACCGCCAACATGGTAATGATTCTCGCTGGTCGGAGCTTGGGTGGGAGAAGCAAAGAGACCACTGGATTTTTGGCCGGGCGAGGAATGATTGCGAGTTCGTCGACGGAATACGTCTGTATGTGCTTGGTGCGTACACATACTGGATAATCGCATATCTGTGTTTCATTGAGAGGCACTAACAGTTTAACGGGATCTGTACCTTGTGATCCAACCGCCAGGGTCTTGGACCCCTGCCCCTTGTGAACCTTGAGGACCTTGGTGAACCCGCCTCCCTCTTGAAGCGGCGAGTCATCCCTCGAGCGACGGTACCAACTGTCAGACAGCATACTGTGTAATCCTTCTTATTATTCTTTCAACCGACTGCGGTGAATGATTTAGCGGTTTTGATATACAATTCATATACATTAGCGTCGAGGACCAGACGAGATGGGGTTGAAGACGGTTACCATCGGTAGCGTTCTCGCCGCGCTCGTTCGGACGGCAGCGGCATCGCAGCCAGGTGCAGCAGAGCCGGTTCCTGCGCCGATGCGCGATCTGACCTGGGCCAAACTCAACTTCTTGCATACCACAGACACGCACGGCTGGCACGGTGGTCATCTGCAGGAACCGCAATATTCCGCCGACTGGGGGGATTATGTCTCGTTCGCCCAGCACATGCGAAAGAGAGCGGACGATGATGGAGTGGATCTGCTGTTGGTCGACACCGGCGACCGCGTCGAGGGCAACGGGTTGTACGATGCGTCCGACCCCAAGGGCAAATACTACTACGACATTTATCGGGAGCAAGATGTCGACATAATCTGCACCGGCAACCATGAGCTGTACATCGCGTCGACTGCCGACGGCGAGCACACCCACACCGTGCCCAATTTCAAGCAGAACTATATCGCCTCCAATCTCGATTACATAGACCCAAAGTCCGGCGAGAGGATGCCAATGGCACAGCGATACCGCAAGTTCCAGACCAAGAACCAGAAACTGGACGTCGTCGCTTTTGGCTTCCTTTTCGATTTCACCGGCAATGCCAACAACACAGTTGTCCAGCCAGTTCGGGAAACCGTCAGGGAAAAGTGGTTCCAGGACGCCATCCAAGAAGAGACCGATGTCTTCGTAGTGATCGGCCACGTCGGAGTGCAGATGCCCGAGTTCAAAACCATTTTCAGGGCGATCCGCAAGCAAAACCCGCTTACCCCGATTCTCTTCTTCGGTGGCCATGTCCATGTCCGCGATGCCGCCGCCTACGACGAGCGCTCATTCGCCATGGCGAGCGGGAGATACTTCGAGACGATCGGGTGGATGTCGGTCGACGGCGACCTGAAGCGATCAGCGCTCTCTGAAGAGACCGGCTTCTCCTTCCATCGCAGATACATCGACAACAACCTCCTTGGTCTGCAGTACCACACGGGCCTCGATGCCACCACCTTCCCCACCGAGCACGGCCGCAACGTGTCGGCCATGATCACCAAGGCCCGGGGTGAGCTCGACCTCGATTACGCCTTCGGCTGCGCCCCGAAGGCCCTGTGGCTGTCTCGGGCGCCTTACCCGGGAGACGACAGCATCTTCAGCTGGCTCGAGAAGGAGGTCCTCCCGGATGTGACGGTCAATCCTGACCGGGCAAACGTGCCGCGCCTGGCCATCCTTAACACGGGTGCTATCCGGTTCGACATCTTCAAGGGGGCTTTCACACGCGATACCACTTTCATCATCTCGCCGTTTCTCAGCGTCATGACGTATATTCCGGACGTCCCTTACCACATGGCCCGGGAGGTCATCACGCTGCTGAACAACGCCGGCAGGATTATGGAGTCGGCCGCAATGGACAACCGGTTCATGGCGACCCCGGAACAACTTGTGATCCACGAGTCCATCGTTCACGAGGAACCCGCATCCGATGTCAATGTGGATGCTTCCCAGCAAAAGCCGCTCGGCGAAAGCTCCGAGAGGAGACCTCGTCTGACCGAGGGATACACCACCAGGGACGCCATTAGCGACGATGGCGACGACACCGTTCATAAGCCTGTCAACTTCTACGTTGTGCCCAACTGCGTCCAGGCCGAGATTGCTTTCCCTGCCGAGGGCGAACCCGAGACCGTTGACCTCGTATTCTTGGATTTCATCACACCGTGGGTTCTGATGGCTTTAAGCCTCAACGGCGGCAAGTACAGCGAGGCAGACGTGCAGCTCTACATGGAGGGGACATTTACCGACATGATGGCTGGCTGGATTGAGAAGAACTGGCCGAAGCATTGTTAGATATGGTCGTTGTGTCTGTTGCTTGAGCGTCCTGCGGAGCATTTTCTTGGTGTATTTTAGCGTTGATCTCTGTGACACATTTGGAGCAGGCTTGTATTTTGGACATTGGCAAATCGGAGAGCTAGCGTGTTAATGGATAAGACGGTTTTTACAGTTATCACGAAGAAGGCATGAACAGGGTGACAAACAGGAACCCCCCCAGTGAAGCAACCAGCCAGACCCAGCCGTTATTATCCCCTATTACGCCCTCAACGCCAACCGACCATGAAAATGCTACGAACAAAAGCAGAACCTCCCACTATAACTGGTCGAGTAGCTTTCTCCGCCGCCGCTCGACCAACTCCTGCTGCACCTCATCCAACGTAGGCAACTCCCACACCGTCCCATCCCCTATATCCCCCGGCAGCGGCTCCCACCCAGGCGGCGTCTCCGCCGGCCCCGCCTTCGCAAGCCCCTCCACCGCCATCTTCTCCCTCACCCGCTCATACTCCAGCAACTCCTCATCCTCCTCACCCGGCGCATACCCATAATACGCCGCATTCACCTGCCTCCTCAAATCCACCCTCTCCTCCAGCGGCTTCTCATCCTCCTGCCTGGCCTTCGCCGCCGCCTCAAACAACTCCTTCACCCCCGGCAGCTCCCTCGCCCGTCCAAAATACCGATACCCCTTCCCCCCACCCTGAATCTCCCTCCCCGCCTCATCATACACCTTCCCCCCGGCCCGCATATAATTCGGCCCGCCCAGATTCCGTATCTGCACCTCCCACATGTGCTTCTCCCGCATCAATTTATTGATCTCGTCGTTGACGTCCCGGATCTGGTAGTCGGACAGCGCCGGGTCCTGGATCCGCGACACCTTGCGCGAGATCTCCTTCAGCACCTGCCCGCGCCACTTCTCGCACGCCGGGATGCTGTCTTGTTCCGTGATGGCGCGCGGGCGCCGGGAACGCCCCGCGTCGATGATGCCGAGGTCGGCGGCTTGCGCTTCGCGGAAGCGGAAGAGCATGGATTGCGCTTTTTCGGAGTTGCGCGCCTGGAGGGGGGGGTTAGTTGGGGTGGATGGGGTGGATTGGATTGGGGGGGGGGGGGGGGGGGGAACGCGGGCGGGGGCGTACCATTTTGGGTGGTTTGGTTGAGTTCGGTTGAGGATTGGTTGGTAAGGGGAGAGAGAGGGCGCGCGAGCGGGTTGAGGTTGGGTTGTTGCGCGGAGTTTTGACAAGTCGAATGTTGAAGTTCGGCCTGATCTGGAAATTCGCAGCCTTGTAACGAGCGGGTTGTGGCGCTGTGGCGCGAGCTCAGGTCCCAAGGCGCGTTGGCAAGAGCAGCCCCACAGGGTATTTCATCAGCGCGCCTCGGCGCGTTTCTTCTTCTCCTCACCATCACTTCCCACTTCAAGTAACGTCACCAGCAAAATAGGCGGCAGTCGACTCTGCTTTGTCAACAACATCGTTTTTGTCGACACACATTGTATTTGCGGAAAGATATCTGTGAGATTAACATGCAATATCACGACTTTGGTTTCCTTTTTCCCACTCTCTTTTACCACTCCGCTAGGCCGGCAGGGACTACACCAACCGACAGGTTACCGCCAGTGTAATGCCCGATATCAAGCGATATCCCGCCATAACCACCCTCAACCACTCCCCAATTTCACAAGCCTGCAGTGAGGAAAACCTCCAAACTCGACTCATCCAGTTCACAGAACGCGGGCGAGGCTGAGAACACCAAAGAATGGATATCTGAGCAGCAACTCTATATTATACCCCACGCAAACAACCACAGAACCAACCCCGAACAACCCCCCACCCCCCTCTCTCTCACCACTCTCCCTCCACCACCGCTCCCTCCATTCCTCCACCCATCCAACACTCCCTCCCCCAAACCAAGCGGTTCCCCCCACACCCCCCTCCCTCCCGCCATGACGACAAAAGCACACCGCAGAGGTGCGCCGGCGCCAGCGGCCCCTATTCTCTACCTATGTCCCCTTCCATTCCTCCCGGACGGACCGGCGTGGGTTCTCCCGCCGGCTCCCCGGCGATGGCGGCAGGGGAAAAGGCTAGGGACGGCGTTGCCGCGGCGTGACAGCGCTGCACTGATGATGGCCCATCAAAAAAAGTAGTTTTCAATCGGAGCGGCGAGCAGGGGTGGTATAGGCTTACTGCTTGGGGTGGGGGCGGGGAGTGTTGGGCGGGTGGGAGATGTTGGGGGGTTGTGTGTGTGTGTTTGGGGGGTGGTGGGTGAGAGGCTAGGGTGGGTTAGGTTGTTTTTCTTTTCGGTGTTCTTTCTATTTTTTATTGCGTCGAGACACAACAGCACGCCCGGTGATGACGGAAGGTCCAAAAAGCCAAATTTGCAGGCAGCAGACGGGATCTGGCCTACAAAAGTGGGCTTGCCTGTCGGTTGTCGTTGAGAACTTAGGAGAGCTAATCTGAGGGCCTTGTCGCTGTTGTGTTTTGTTGCATTATTTACCCCCTTCCCTCACTTCTCCGTTCAATCATTTCTTATTTTTGTTTCATTCCCTTTTCGTTAACGAGCGGTCGTGGTTATATAGAGTTAGTTATAGACAGACCGGAGGTTGGAAATAACACATCACTCAGCCGTCGAGACGGGTAACCCGTCAAGCATTCATGCCTTCAATCGTGCTCGAGCTACAGAACAAGTTCGTGGCCATCCGTGTATTCATAGCTTTTGGGAGAACCTAGATTTTACGCCTTGCATCCGGTACGGTGTATCTTGTATACAGGACAAAACAACAACAGAAAAAGCACAAGCAGATACCTCCATCTATACCCGCCCAACATACACTCTCCACTCCACACCTCACATTCCCAAGCCCCCTCACTGCGTCTTCTTCACACCCCCCTTGCCATCCACGGGCGCGCTGTACATCCACAGGGCGCAGAAGCCGACCCAGCCGGCAACGGTGACGCCGACACCAGCGATCCAGGGCCAGGCGCCCGTGATGACGAAGCTGCGCGGCCACTCGTCGTGGGCCATGTGGCGCACCGACACCGTGTTCTTCTCCTCGACGTTGGACAGCAGCGGCCGCTTGTGGTTGATCTTGAAGTTGAAGATGCCGTGCTGGTCCGGCAGCTTGAAGGTCGCGCTGTACGCGGCTGCCGAGTCCGAGCCGTGGGCGGCGTCTGCCTGTAGGGCGAGACGGTGGAAGGGGGAGAGCATCGAGAACTCGAGCTGGAGTGCGTCGTCGGTGGGCACGGTGAAGGGGGTCCAGGTCGTCCAGCTGTATTCGGAGAGGGAGATGGTGTATTTCTATGGGGAGGGGGTGGTTAGGTTTCTGGGGTGAAGAATGGGTTAGGGAGTGGGGGATGTAAACTTACGACATCGTTCTTGATGCGGTAGATGCCGGGGTTGGACTCGTTCGTCGCCCCCGCCTCGTCAAGGTGGTGCTCGATCCAGTTGACTCGCACCACGCCAATCTCATTGAACGTCCACCCGCTGACGCGCTTTGCAAACTCGCGGTTGAAGGTCTTGGTGGCCTTCTTGCCATCCGCCTGGCTGACCTCGGCGTCGAACCACTTGTCCTGCAGCATCTCGGCCGAGCCGACAAGCGTGAAGCGAGCCGAGTTGCGCGCCTGGAAGGCGGAGACGAGCGACAGCTGCTCGCCGGCCGCGAAGAGGTCGTCCACCACCTCGGTCTGCTCCTTGGGGTTGTAGCTGTAGGCGGTGCGCGGGGCGCGGATTATCGGGGTGAGGAGCTCGCTAGCGCCGAGGGCGGCGCCGACGCCCCGGGGGAAGGCGAGAACCGCGTCTTTGCCGATACCTTCGCCGAAGTAGTCCTTCACGTCTGGGCGGATGGGGCTAGGTCGCGGGAGGACGAGCACGTCGTGCTTGTCGGCTGCGCTCGTGGTGTCGTAGTTGAAGTGGTCGACGACCAAGCCGGTGCGGTCGGTGGGGAGCTGGATATCGAGCTCGGAGAGCAGGGAGACGAGCGAGCTGGGGGCGGAGACGCCGGAGCTGAGGGTCACGAGGACGTTGCCGTCGGCGTTCATGAAGTCGACGAGGATGTTGGGTGTCAGGTTGGGGCCGAGACCTTGGGATTGTCAGCTACGGGTGGCCATTGTACATCTGAGAGGCCATGACTGTTACCCTTTGACCGAGTCGGGAAGAGGATGACATGGTCATAACTCCGTTCGCCGAGGTGGAACAGAGCCAGGGACTCGCTCTTGGGGTTCTCGAAGGAGATCTGGAATCCTCTGCCTGCCTGTTGTCAGCCATTGTTTTTCCTCAATACCATTTGAATCTTGAGAGAAGTCCCATACTCTCTAGATCCCCGAGGAATTGGGAGTAGTTCTCCTTGTCGGCAACATCGTCCAGGATCACCAGCAACCTGTTGCCCGAGGTGCTGATGGCCGACACTGCGGCCGCAAACAGAAAGACGAAAAGCGAAAGGAACGACCGCATGGTGGGCAGAATGATCCCGCTCTTAGACAGCCACTAGTCGTGGGCGGGGAATTGGAATTGAGGGGCGCAAACTCGGGGTCGTCGAGTTTATGCCACGGAAACTGGAAGCTTGCCTCATCCCACGACAAATGGAAGCTCTCCAGCAACGGATTGGATTGCATTGATTCGGCATACGTAGCCTTGCCAAGCGTGTACGGGGGAAGACAGGGGTCTCAGCTAAACGACCCACTCAGCCTTCAACCGATCCCTGTCTTTGAGTGAGGACCAGTGGGCGCGAGAGAGCACCAAATTAACCGCAGTTTCGCCGCAATCGTGAACCTCGAATTCCCCGTCCCGCAACCAGCTCCCGCAACGAGAGACGACGACGACGACTTGCCGCACCGCTAGTGTGTTCGCTGCCGCCCAATTGACAGCACAAGGTACGACCACGCCCAAACCCGAGTCACCACAACCCCCGATACCCACCTACCCCTCAACCACACCACACCCCAACATCCTCACCAATTTATCCCACCCACTTTCACCCACCCACTCGCTAACCCCCCCAACCAGTCAACCCACGCCACCCCTCGATACCTCCCAAAAATGAACGGCGCGACCCCCCGCTTCTGGGGCGGCCCCCTCCGGTACTGCCGGTGGGCGGCGCGCGAGCGGCCGGGGCTCTTCTGGGCCGTCATCATCGGGGCGATGGGCCCGCTGACGCTGGCGACGGTGCCGCCGATCCGGCATCGCATCGGCGACCCGGATGCGCCGCCTATTCCGCTTACTTATCCGGGTACGTATCTCTTTTTCTTTTCTCTGTATTGTTGGTTTTGATTTGAAGGGGTGGGGGGGTTCTTGGGCTGCGGGTTGCGGTTTGCGGTTTGGTCTGGGCTGGGCTGGGCTGGCTTTGTTTAGGGGTGTTTGTTTTGTTTAGGGATGGAGTGCTAACGGTTGGGGATAGTTCCTGTTGGACCGAGGAAGACGTTGACGGGGTATGGCGACGAGACGGAATGAAAAGCCCGATTTATATCTGAGGGTGGACGGGAGTTCGCGAGGTTGGAGCCGTGTCGCGACCGGCAAGCAAGCTGCATGGAGTGTACACGGTCGAGCTCCGAGAGGGTTGCATCAACCGTACATAAGGCACTACGGAGTGGGACGGCATTAGAGAAAGGGTTAGGAGAGACGGTCAACTCGGGACGGACTCGGGAGCTGCCAAAATGGACGACGGCCAGTGCAAAGCAAGACGAATGCATCCAATTCTTGCCCCTAAATGCTGTAACGGAGCGCGCACTGTCCGACCAGAAAACAACCGAAGCCATGCTACCCACCCGACCAACAACCCAGACTCCTGATCATGTAAAAGTGTCTGCCATGGCTCTATATGCAACTTTTGCCCCTTTTTATTTGCTTCTTTTTCCCTCTCCCCATTCGCCCCTCTACTCTCTCTACCTCTACCGTTCACGCTGAACCAGGTTCCATTCCCACTGTCTCCAAGTTAGCCTCTCCTCAATACACCATCCAAGATGGAAGAGAAAAACTTACCACTCGCCCGTCATCATCGCCGGTGTACACCAGCCCCGCGAGCGGCGCCACGCACGTAATCGCCGCCTCAACATTCGCGCCCGTCTCACTCTTCAGGTTGACATGATCGAGCCGCCTCACAAACTCGAGCATCCACCGACCCGTCCTCGCCCCGACCGTCTTCCGCCAGACATTCACGACCCCGCGCTTATGCCCCGTAAAGACGAGCTGGTTCTCAACCCACTCATTCCCGGCCCCCTGCGCCGAGCCCTGGTAGAAGGCGCAGGCGTGGACAAAGTCCTCGACGGCGGGCTCGTGGGTGCCGGCGCAGACGTTCTGGTCGAGGACGAGCTCGCCGTTGAGGGTGTAGAGGAACAGGTGCTGGCCCGAGCCCAGCATGACGTCGCCCGTGACGTCGTTGATGCGGGCGCACTCGACAGGCCGCGCGAGCGGCAGCCGCCGGATGAACTCGAGCCGGTTGAGGTCCCAGAGGAAGGCCACGCCGTCCTGGGAGACGGTCAGGATCGTGCTGAACGCCTTGGACACCGCCATGTGCGTCACGGGCGTCTTGTGCCCGAAGAGGGAGGACCGCAGCTGCAGTTCTACCGTGGGTTTGCTCGGGGAGGACTGGACCATGTAGACGGATACGACGCAATCTTCGCCGGCTGTGATGAGCGTCTTGGAGTCGGCGAATATGAGGGTGGAGATTTGGCCAATGTGGAGGTTCTCAAAGAGACCAGCGGGCTATAGCTGTTAGCTACCTGGGTTGCACGAAACGTAAGGAAACCCATCTCACCTTTCTATTATCGCTAAGGAAGAACCGCACACTGTTGTCCGTGTAACCCCATTCCAAAAACTTGTCGTAGTGTGGCGGGAGATTGAGACGGAACGGCGATGCGCAGAGAAGGCGATCGAGCTTAGGCACGTAGATAAGCGAGGCAACTCGCTCGCGGCTCTCTGCAAATAGTTAGTATCCACGACGTCACCACCAACATAGCACAGCCATAAACATAAGACGTACCGAGCAGCGGATAAGACACCCTCGTCAGCGCCGCAATAGAAGTGTCCAGTCGCTTGATCGGACACCGGTCGAACTCTCTCGCCGGGTGGGGTTTCGTGAAGATCTGGTGCGGCGTCTGCCCAAAGTTGTGGATGATGCCCGTCGTGATGAGCCGCTCCTGGGGGTCCGTGATGTTATCGAGGTCTCTGGCGCCCTTGTACGACAGAGGATGGAAAACGTTCAGGCTCTCGACAGCAACCTCCCCACGCTGTTTGTACCCGAAGACGAGATCGATCCACTGATGCAGCCGCTGGCTGACGTAGGGACTCTCGAGAGCCTCCCGATTCTTCGCGATGAAGATCTTGGGGTCGCCCTTCGCCCACGGCGGCAGAACAACATTGTCGACCCGGCCGCCACCTCCTTGCCTGACGCCAAAGTTGTAGCCGTTGATATTGGTCAAGAAGTCCGGGAGGTAAAAGAACTCGGGGATCAGCTCGCGGACGTCCGAACCATTGTCTTTTGAGGAAGAAGTCCAGGCGTTTTCGATGGAAAAGAAGAGCCGGTCAGGGTGATCGAAGGTGCCTCCTTGTAGCAGGATGAACGACTGCACAAACGGCGGAAGGCGGATGAGGTACGACGAGACGATCATCGCGGACGAGTAGTGAGTCCCGTAGTGGAAGGGCGTCTCACCGATCTCAGCAAGACTCCTGTATCGCATCCCAAAGTCACCCGCCCGGTTTGGCGACTGCGCACCCATCGGCTTCGACAGATCCCTGAACGAAGCCGGATTGTCGAGATCGAGTTCTTCGCTGGTGTAGTCCGCGAGCACCCAAGGAAAGACAGGATATTGGGTCAGATCGTTGAATGTCCTGCCAGCCATGGTGTTTACCAGCATGAGGTAGTGGAAATTGGACATCTCACCCCTCTGCCACCGCCTCATCATCGGATTCCAAGCCGACGAGTTGAAAATGCTGCCAAACTTGGCTCCAAGCGTCTGCGGGGCATCCTCAGTGAATCGAAGGCTCTCAAGCCGCCAGAGGTCTTCAGGGTTGGGTAGCAAACTGGGGTTGTTGGTGTGCGGTGTCATGCCCGTCAGCCTAGAGTAAATCTCATCCCGCATAGTTGGGTTGATGGCAGTGAGCAGGTAACTGCGTCCATCGGTGAAGAATATCTCGATGGCCACATCGCGGAACAGGAACCGACGCTTTGATATGCTGAGAACGTCCTGCCACTTCCAGCTGCGCGACTCCTGGTCTATGCGACCCTGATTCTGACGCCTCTCGCTGGGGTTACCTCCGGTGATAATGATGGAGAACGGATCCCGCTCGTCCGGTGGGGCTTGCCAGACATTGACGATCTCTCCATCTGCGCTTTGGAAGAGGTTGTCCATAATGTAAAGCGCCTCCTTTCCGATGATCAGAATGCCCTCAGAGGCATCGAGACCAATGATCCGCGAGATGTTGAAGACGTTCTGGACAGCATCGCCCTGCTGGAGCCGCCGCATCACTTTCCTGTTCTTATCTTCAAAAGTGTCGTCACCCTCAGGCTCGTTCGGGTCATCTACTAGTTCAAAGTCATCCTCCGGCGTCACGCCCTGTTGGTCCGCAGCTTCGGACATAGGCTCGGGATCGGCAGAAATATCGGGCTCATCCATCTTGCCATCAGCTCCAGTCTCCGCGGGAGCGGGTGGGAGCGGTGTGGTTGGTCGCGTCGCAGCGCTGCTGGTGGGCATATTGGGTTTCGAGCTTCCTGCAGGGCCGTTGTTTTTCTTCGGCTGAAAGTCCTGCTGCTGTGGGTCGGGATACTGGGGGAGAAGACGGAGGCGCATTCGGTTCCTCCCTTCCGTTCTGTCCAACTTCCATTTGATGGTTTGGGGTTCGCTGAACACAGCCCCTGGACGGCACAGGTCGCGCTCCATCTTCGCAAAGGTTGATGCTAGGAAAGCATTGTCATCCTGCAAGTCCTGCAGGAGCCTCTGGTGCTTGAAATGCTCGGTAAAGTAAATGCTCTTCATCCACGCGCTGTTTGCCATCTCGTGGCGGAGCAAGATGTTATCTCGCTCCAGGGACTCGGTGTGCCAATGCCTCAGCTTGTCCTTCCGGCTCTTCACCCTGACCCTGGCCGTGTCTGCCGTCCGTTGGTTCTCCGACGCAACGAAGTCCTCCCAGGACTTTGACATGCCGCCAAAGAAGAGGACATCGAGCGATGGACGATATTGATCGACCCACTCGAGGAAGGACACGTCGTCCAGCTCGGTGAGTCTCTCAAAACCCCTGGCCAACGGCCGTTGATCCGGCGTCATGGTCTGCTGGAAAATTGCCGTCGATTCCTGGGGCTTCTGGACAAGCATGATCCGCCACAGAGTTGCGGCAATGCGACGGATGTGGTGCCGTGGGTCGACCAGTTTGTTGTAGAGTTGATACCACACGAGCTTCATGTAGTCGTCATCCATCGATAGACAGCCAAGTAGTACCGTTTGCCAATAAAGGAGTTGATCCATGGTCGAGAGCGCCTCGGAATCCTTAGTTTCCGGGTCGTCCATATCTGACAACCTGAGCAGTGTGAACTTTAGGAAAGACGACCGAATGGTCGCCACTGCAGTGCTGCACAAGCGGACGCTCTTCAGCGATGAGACATCGGGCCGCTGCAAGTACTCGAGCACGGTCCCCGTGAACTCGATCATGGTTTCAGCTCCGTTCATGAAGGACCCTTCAAACACAGCCTCAGCCGTGTGGAGATTCAAACGCGCCAGGTTCTGTAGGATTTTGGGTTCCGTGAGAGTTTTCTGGTCCAGCTGGATGGTGTTTTTCAACTGAGTGATGACGTTCCGCAGGATGTAGGTCTCGAAGTATGCCCGGTGCTCCTGGAACCCTGGCGGGACCTTAACAAGAAGGCCGAATCCTGGAAATTCTTTCTTGACCATAACTTGGTCCGTGAACACGCTGACGATGAGCTCCAAGACGCCTTCTAGTACGGCATTGCTGGTGTTCCTAGTGACAGGTCGCTTCTTCGGAGACACGACGTGATTCAGACGAGCAGGAGCAGGTACGGAGGGCGGGGACTGTGAGGTCACTAGAATGAAGGACGACGGCCGTCGCAAAGGGGTGCCTCGACCGGGGCTTGGGGACGGTGGCTGGGCATCAGCCGGTGCGGATCCGGCCGTCCTGACGATTGGAATCGCAGTGGATGAAGAGCCAGGGACCGGCCTGATGATAACATCACCGCCCTCGAAGTTAAGCGCGTCTTTGGAGTTGAGCTCTGTTTCAGCGGTGACCGGATCGGAACTGACGATGATCGGATACAGGGCTGCAAAGAGGTGCCGGACGTAGTCCGAGGATAAAGCGAATTCCCTAAAGTTGACCGAACGGGCGTGCATGTCCGCCAAGAACCGAACAACGGTTTGAAGGACTGCAGCGTTCGCCGCCACCCTCTCCTTGTCGGTCAACTGTGTTTCTGAGTTTATTGTTAGCAACCGGTAATTGGAAGAAAGGGGCTATCTTACTTCTCGGTTCGAGCGCCTGGCCTAGTTCCATGGACCGCGCCCTGGGTCTTGTCCGAAGAGTATCGAGATTGTCCCGGGAGCTTTTCGCTGCACTGAGGTCCGGGGCGGGCGAATCCGGGTCGTCCTGGTATCTTAGGACGTCGCGGAGGCCATGCTGTAGCATGGAGGTTATGACGGGTAATAAATCTGGAAACACGACCTGGCTGTTGCCGAAGATCTCCAACAGACTAAAGAAATCGAACGACTTGTCAAAGTCGATCTTCGCCACATCGTATCCGAAAAGGATGCTGAAAAGAATCGGCCAGAGCGTCGAGATATCCCACCATTGTTTCAAACGGTAAGCCATGATCCAGAACCCGCCGGTTTTGCTGGCAAACTTGGCCGTGTAGCCGGAGGGTTGCGTGACGAGTAGGCGAGCAAGGATTTTGCACCCTAGGACAACAATCTCCGGATCGTTTTCTGCGAGGAGATAGAGCAGCCACTGTCCGGACGTCAGCACGTATTCCCGTGTCTTGTTTTTCGGACCGGTTTTATATATCACCTTATTAGTGACAGTCTTGGCAAACTTTTGAATGTCGGCCAAGTTGGTCTTTTCACACAGGAGCCGGGTGTACATTTCCAAGATGCCGATGCCGAGCTCTTTCTTACCAAGCATCCTTGAGCCCGTCGTGGAGGATAGAGGGATGATTTCGGCGGTAGGTCGGCGCAAGACGCCGAGACCAGGGGTAGCAGAGCGACTGCTTGCAGACGCTGGCTTAGGAGTGCGAGGCAAGGAGCCAGGGGGGGTGTGGAAAGCATAGGTGATAAAAAGGGCAATGGAGCGGTGGACTTCGGCATTGTAATTGCATTTCACAAGGCTCTCGAATGAAGCCATGAAATGGGGCATGACGTGTTCCGAGATGGGTTCGGCTTTCAGCGCGTCGAGAAGCCTCTTGATGATCCCTGTACACAACGAATGAGCTTACCATACTTCATTGAAAGCGCCATGCAGAGCGGAACTTACGCATTCGGAGTAGTCGGCGGCTGTTGAACTGGTGGTGTTTGCTCTTGACTGCAAAGGTGACGAACTGTTTGTAATACAGTTCCTGAGCCAGGGGCGAAGATCTCCTCCAGGTGTCCGGGTCGATGAGCAGGACGCGGTAGGCGAGCGGGTTGATGATGAATGACTCGATCGGGTCGCCATGTTTATACCCGACAAAATGGAGCACCAGACTGAGAAGCTGGAAGCTGAGACGGTCCCTTGCCTCGTTAGTCAATGGGAGCCGCCAGGTCTGTGACTGGGTATCAGAGCCCGGTACGCCATATCCGAGTTTGGCACGAAGCAACATGCTGAGAATGGCATAACCCTTGTCTCTCTCCATAGCCTCGCTATTCCTCCAGCTGTTGGAAATGCAGTGAAACATGAGCTCAACGGATCGTAGCAATTCATCGGAGGAAGACGACCGCTCGACGAGCTTGAGGGCTACAGGGGTAAATCCTCCCAGTCGCCAGAGATTATCGTCAAAGTAGTACGGAGTGGCGACGACCGGGTCGCCCGTGAGAAGCGAGGTACCGTTCAGCTTAATCAGAGCATCATTGACACAAGGAACAGCTCCGTTGATGGCAACGGCCGCCCCGCTCTTCACGGTAGCATGGAACAAGCTGTTGGCCGAGTTCCTTGACAGTGAGCGAAAGAGCAGAGAGTCCATGAATTTCCCATCCGCGGGGAAGACGGCTCGTGGGAAATGGCTCAGCAACACTCTGTGCTCTGGTACGATGGTGCTCGCTTTATCCCTGATGGCTTTCAGGATGTCCGAATTGTCATCCTTGCCCGGATGGAACACCTCGTTACGGAGTCCAAGGGCGGCGGAAGCCTCATAAGTCTGAAAGGCACCAAGACAGTCTTGGAAGTTGCCCTGGTACCTCACCCCCAGGCGGTAATAGACAGCGAGCAGGTCGTCACTTAGAACGTCCTCGAACAAGTGCGCCGAGGCCAGCGACCATCTAGACTGCACAAGTCCAGGGCCGAGATGGGCGGCAAGGCCGCGCGGTGTGCCTAGAAACCCCTGGACAGGGTTTACCTTGCTGCTGCTTGAGGAAAAAGAAACGAAGCTTTCGGTACTTGCGTTGGAGGGTGGGGGCGGGCTCGGGTATGCGGCGCGGATCTGCTCAGCAAACTCTCCGTTGACGTAAAGGCTTGCCTTGCTCGCGACCATGGTCTTGGGCCTACGATGAACGAGGGCGATATGGTACCACTGGTGCTCCTGAAACGTAACCGACTTGAACCTCACACTGGGGCGCGAGGATGTGACTGACGTTTGGAGAATGAAGTTTTTGGTGTCTTTTTCAAGATAGGCGAGAAGGAAGCAAGTCTGAGTAGAGTCGAACACGCCGAAGAGCGTTGTGTGAGACTTTGGGTCGAACTTGTCAATCCGGATCCAGCCAGTGAAGGTGTATCCGGGAGCTGTCTGAGGAGGGAACGACCTCCCAAGGTTTGGGAGCTCGACGGATGAGTGACCATGCAAGGAGAGGTCGAACTGGATAAATGGAGGACCAGCGTACTTTTCTGTCATATCTAGACAGAATTCAGAAGTGGCTGGGTCCCGGTGGTTCAGCAAGAACTGCGCATCGGCAAGCTGATCGATGCCTAAGTGCATCAGGGACCTGCACAGGGGTAGTGCTTTCGTCCTCTCGGGCTCGGTGAGAACGCTATCCTGAGCAAAAAGCAGGCGTAGTAGTCTGGACAGCATGCCGGTCCCGTGCAAAGCACCGAGGTTGAAGAGGGAAACGGATGCCAGGGCCGAAAGCGCTGTGAGCACTATCATCGACGCAGGGCTCGCCGCGGCATCTTCGCCTCTTGGTATGGATTCCCAAAAGGCGAAAACACTCCGAATGATTTCGGCATTCTGAATAACGGTGTGCGGCCCAATGATCTCGCCCAACCTCTTCTCGATGGTCTCCAAGTTCTGCGCCACATGGGGTTCGATTGGTGAAGCACCTTCTGGTAGTTCTGTCGTCCCTTGAGGACTTCCATCTTGTGTTGCGGACGGGCTGTTGAAGTCCGTCCAAGATGCCACCGAGCGGCAGAGCTCATCCAGACGCTGGTCGTCGAGGGCGAAGGAGAGCAGCTTCCCGAACAGCTGGCAGTTAGCCCAAGTATCCGAATCCCCGCCTCCCACACCGATGCTGGCTATAATCTGCTCCAAGGCCTCCCACCCACCACCTTCCACCCTGTCCCGAAAGTATCGCCTGTTGCCGGGGTGGCCGCGGAAGGCGGTAGATAGTGTTGCCAGCACCACATGTAACAAGTCGAATATTGCCCTCCGCTCAGTCTCGCTTCGCTTGCTTGGATTATAGTAGCCGGAAAACGACCTTAGGACGTCGAGCAGCGTTTGGAAACCGCGAAGATGGCGGAAGTCGTCTTGTGGTGGGGAGGGTGGGGGCGCGGCGGCGAGGTGCTGGTGAATCTGCCGGATTTGGTCTGCCAATTCCTGAGTCTTTGGGTACAATCCTTCCGGTGAGGAAGTTGCTATCCCAGACAAGCGTTCAAGAAGTGCCTGGAGCACTTCGGTGGCTTTGGAGGTTTGGACTGTCGAGGCAGAGGTCGACGCTCGATAGCGGCGGGATCGTATGGGGAGCATTTTGACGGTTTCGGTTGCTCAGTTGTGCCAATTTGTCGATGTCCCGAGATCGAGACTGCGAGGAGGGTTTGTCGGATACCCAGAGCCCATCGAGGGTCCAGGTGCGCAAGTTCGAGACCCCGTCATGGACAGGACGGGAACGCGGCCTGACGCGGATTGGAGAATGTGCTTACGCCAGCATAGGTAGGTTCCCAAGGCACCTGCCAGCTCGATCTCTCGTTCGCTCGATTACCTAGGTAGAAAGCGGAATCTATGTCGAAATAAAATCACGGTAAGTTAGCGATGCGCGTTTCGTGCAAGAGCGCATAAATTAGGAAGTCGCCGTTTTGTGCGTTTCTGTTGTTGCAAACCTACTCCAACCGTCACAATCAACAGCTTCTGAGCTCCCTGCTTCGAGGTTGCAGGGATCGTTACCACTCAGCTGAGTGAACCGCTCAGAATGTAACGCGGCGGCCTGCGAGGGGCAGAGGAGATCTGGGGCGGGGGTTCCACTGAAGCCTCAGTGGCCCAGCTGCCCAGGAACCAGCCACAAAGCATACCATCCTGGATCGCTTTTACCAACTCGCGTTCTTCCGAGTGGCTTTATTCAGATGATGGAAGATCAAATTATTTCTTCGGTTTATCTAAAATACCTACTCATCATCTCCTTCTCCGGTCATAGGCTCTCGGGAATTGGTTTTCTTGTTGGCAAAGCACGGAGAACGCAGTCGTTTCATCCAGGTAGCAGGTCACTACCAGCTCCACCATACTCGTGTTGGATGGCTGGCGAATCCGACGAGGCGTTGTGGCTGGGGGAGTCACTCTCATGCTAGAGAGATGGCCTGACAAGTATCCCATCAGGCAGCCCAGAGATGAAAGACAGGGAAAAAAGAAAATCGAGAGGCTAAAAAAAAAGAGGATGAAAGGTGGGCTGCAAAACCGGGGCAACTTTGACATGAAAGACAAGAGAGCAGACAGTCCATCTATGCAAAGTGGACGGAAAGTACTTTCATATCTACACAGTCACTCGTCTGCTTATTCTGTACAAATCTGAACAACCAACCACGTGCCAACGTCAACGGGCATGGATGCAATGGAATGGAAGTTAACCTGTCCGAACGAGTGTCGAGAGCCTATCCGCAATCAGCAGCAGGCAGCGGGGCCCAGGCACTGATAGATAAGGCGAGACACCACAAGGATGGCGGGCCGTTGCTTGCATAACTGACCCACCCAGCTTGCGGTCAAGGGAAAGCTCCCGGCTGACACGACTGTCTCCTATCAGAATATTAGCAATCAAGCAGAGACGCATCAAAAGCGCTCATATTGTTGAACGAAAAAAAGAGACAGGGTCATGTCTCGAGTTCCTCGTTATTCCGAATCGCAAGCGCGACGACGAAACTCCAAAACTGCCCATCCGATGTTGGTCGTTGGTCGGCATGGGGTACTATGATGTAATGGCCGACAGCCGACATCGGTCATCGAGAGGCAGCGGCGCCGGGACAGTCTCCCGAGAGGGAGCGTCATGCACGGACTGGAGTTCACTCGAGGGAAACGCGGTCAAACAAACAACACCGGGAATGCAACACGCCTCGGTCCTCAACAAGAAGGCTCGCCTGCGAGTCAGACCCGAAGCCAATGGTGTCAGACGGTGGGCTCGTGACCATCTTCCCGGAGGGTGGAGATCCGCCCTTGCTCGACTCACTCGTGACAGGCGGCAAGGGCCGTCCGCGACACTTGACAGACAGGTCTGGCGAGAGACGTTTCACCACCATCCCAGAAGAGTTGCACTTTCGAATGCAAGTCTGAATGCCGGTGAGCAGAGCGTGGAAGTGCAGGTTGCCCATGCTTCCATGGATGCATGCGCCCTTGGAGCAGACCGACTCGAGCCAGCGTGAGCGCCTCCTGCGATGCGATGCAGCCCTTTGTTGTCATTCCGTTCGAGGCACCTTCCGAATTCCTCGCATCTGGCACTTTTCGAAGTCCTGAATATTCCTAGTGGTTCAATGGTTCAACATCCTGCAGAGAAGGCCGAGGCACCATGGGTGCACTCGGTACATCACGAATGGGACAAACAATGGATGTCCGGAGCTCAACAAGGCGTGGCCATTTGCTGCCTCGTTGTCCAAGAGGGTGCATCTCCAATCGAGCTTCCAAGGTTCCGCGAATCAGGATCAGTCCGGGGCCCCCAGCAACCAGGAGCCAACCATGCGTGGCGGTCAGCAAGCCGCAGATCCCGGAGCGGGAAGCCTGCTTTGCCTGTCGTGCCTGTGCCGTTGGATTCCGTGCCTCGCGCGAGTCGGAGTCTCAAGGGGGTGCACGATAATACTGTTGGTAGCATGTCATCGAACGAGTGCCGGTGTGGTGGATGAAGGGTACGTCCTTGTTCACTAAGGAAAGAGGCAAGCCTTTCCTCTTTTTTCCGTCTCTTTTCCGGATTGACCCGTTGCAAGTCGTAAACAGACGCAATGGTTCCCTCTGATGATGCCAGTATGCCGAAGCGGCGACCTTATCGTTTATCGTCTCGGCTAGGTGGGCCCCCAAGGTTCCGGGTGTTCCATTGGCCCCTCCGCACCGCGCTTGGGTGAAAGCGGGTCTCCAGCCCCCCAGGCCCCAGGCACTTGCTCCGCCTTCACGCCTATCCGTGTGACGCATGCATTCCCCCGGGGCATAAGACACCCGCATCCCCCGGGTCCCGTGCCTTGCTCTTTCGCCATCCTCATCCTCCTCCCCATCCTCTATCCTCTCCCATCTCCATCTGCCTCTCCTCGAATATCAAGAAGGTCATCTCGTCGCTTATTTCCATTCTCATTTTTTGTTGAAAGTCGCCGGTTTCTCGACTTCGTCCTTCTTTATTCAATTTCACAATGAGAGGTCTCGTCGCTCTCTCCGTCGCCGCCTGCGCTGCGGCGGCACCCACCGTCAGCTTCGATACCATCCACGGCGAAGCCGCCCCCATTCTTTCCTCATCAAACGCCGAGGTCGTCCCGAACTCGTACATCATCAAGTTCAAGAAGCATGTGGACGAGAGCTCAGCCTCGGCCCACCAGAGCTGGCTCCAGGAGGTGCATACCTTCCGCGAGACGGAGCGGGCTGATCTGAAGAAGCGCGGCCAGATGCCCCTGGCCGACGATGTCTTCCGTGGGCTGAAGCACACGTACAAGATCGGCAAGGGCTTCCTCGGCTATTCGGGCCATTTCGATGAGGAAGTCATCGAGCAGGTCAGGAGGCACCCCGACGTAAGTTGCACCATGTTCCCCCTGCGCATATCTGCTTCTTTGTGGCTCAAACGCTAATCCTATGCGCAACAGGTCGAGTACATCGAGCGTGACAGCATCGTCCGTACCATGAGCGTAACGCAGGACACGTGCGACGGCGAGCTTGAGAAGGCCGCTCCGTGGGGTCTGGCCCGTATCTCGCACCGGGATACCCTGGGCTTCTCGACCTTCAACAAGTACCTCTACGCTGCTGAGGGTGGTGAGGGCGTTGATGCCTACGTCATCGACACGGGCACCAACATTGAGCACGTCGACTTCGAGGGTCGCGCGAACTGGGGCAAGACGATCCCCTCTGGTGATGCCGACATTGACGGCAACGGCCACGGCACCCACTGCTCCGGCACCATCGCCGGCAAGAAGTACGGTGTTGCCAAGAAGGCGAGTGTCTACGCCGTCAAGGTGTTGCGCTCCAACGGCTCCGGCAGCATGTCCGACGTCGTTGCCGGCGTCGAGTGGGCTGCCAAGGAACATATCCAACGGACCAAGGAGGCCAAGGACGGCAAGCGCAAGGGCTTCAAGGGGTCCGTCGCCAACATGTCCCTCGGTGGCGGCAAGACCAAGACCCTCGATGACACGGTGAACGCCGCCGTCTCGGTCGGTATCCACTTCGCGGTTGCTGCCGGCAACGACAACGCCGATGCCTGCAACTACTCCCCCGCTGCTGCCGCCAAGGCCGTCACCGTTGGTGCTTCCGCTATTGACGACTCCCGTGCCTACTTCTCCAACTACGGCAAGTGCACTGACATCTTCGCCCCGGGCCTGAGCATCCTGTCCACCTGGATCGGCAGCAAGCATGCCACCAACACCATCTCGGGTACCTCGATGGCCTCGCCCCACATCGCCGGTCTGCTGGCCTACTACCTGTCGCTCCAGCCCGCCGGTGACTCGGACTACGCGCTTGCTACCATTACTCCCGAGAAGATGAAGAACAACCTTCTCAAGATCGCCACCCAGGATGCTCTGTCCGACATGCCCAAGGACACTCCCAACCTGCTCGCCTGGAACGGCGGTGGCTGCAACAACTACTCGGACATCATCAACGCCGGCGGCTACAAGGCGGACCGCAAGACCACGACCGACAAGATCGACCTTGGCACTTCGGTCTCGCAGCTCGAGAAGCTCATTGAGCACGACTTCGAGGTTGTCTCTGGCAAGGTTGTCAAGGGCGTCTCGTCGGTTGCCGACAAGGCTGAGGAGTTATCCAAGAAGATCCACGAGCTTGTCGACGAGGAGCTGAAGGAGTTCCTCGAGGAGATCACTGCTTAAGTTGGAGCCGTGGCGTCAGCGTTCTGAGCGTTATGAGCGTGCAGCCTCAGTTTCATGTTTGGTATGGGCCGGTTCTTGCTTTTCCAGTTTGGTTTTTTGGTATTTTGGGAGGAGCATACATGCACCCGGAGGAGTTTCTTGTACTGTACGGATAACATGGGATTGGGATGCACATTCGAGGGTAGCCGTATTCGCATTATGAATCACATAACTCTCATCAATTCACTGGATCCGTGGTGTGTTTGGCCGTGAAGTCGCCCCCAGCGGCACCCCCCCTCCCATCGTACGATACTAACAATATCTGGTGTGGTTCGAGTTCTCGCGCCTTCCACCCCAATGCTCCCCCATGAGATGTTCTATCTAGGTGCGCCTTCCCAAGGTATGTACCATGTCTCTCGATCACGGCTCAGGTTATCCATGATGGCTTCCTGGTGCTCGTCAACCCCCCCCCCCCCTCCCCCCCTCCTAGTTACTCCTTCCCCTTGCTTCGCTCTCTCATCCTTGGTCAGTGCCCAGTGACTCGCATCGTCGTCGCCCGTCGCGAATTCTGTGCCACTCCAACCCGGGCATCTCATTTCCCTCGGCATAGGGTTAGCTACACAGCTTTACTGTTGATTAGTCCCTTTCCCTTGACGACTGTTACCGAACTGCTGTCTCGGTGCAACTGCACCGTCACGCAGACACACCTCGTTCGACCGTTTCGATGCTGCGTCGGCGCAGCCTCAAGCCTAAGCCGGACCTCAAACGCCACAAGTCTACCTCGTCGGCGACACAAGGGGTCATTCTCGAGCACCTCGACCCCGTGCAGGCACACCGGGATGCTCATATTGCGGCCTAGGAGGCCTGTACGAGAGCCCAAAATCGGACCATGGCCGAAATACCACTGTTCCCCATGACCCCCCCAACCGTCTCCCCAACGCCCGCTGTCCGGGTCAACCGCTGCTAGCCAAGAGGGCCGTAGTCGGGATGATGCACAAGACCTCCGTCGTCGTCAGAGCGTTCGTTTTATGGGGCCATGCTCGACCCAGGCGGCTAGTCGAGGAGCACATGCCTCCCGCAACTCCAAGGACATGAATCGCGGCTCGGGAGACACAGGCGAGGGCCGTGAAATAAACAGTCAAGACACCAACGAGGATCGAAACGCAAAGGCGCCCAGTCCCCCCAGCAGAGCACCACCCCCGGTTCCCCTGCCTCATATCGCCGCAGGTTACCTGAATGCCCTCGCCTCCGCCGAAGAGTACTATACCCCCCAAGACGACATAGCTTCTGCCCCGTCCTCGTACCGCCGTCTTCATAGGTCCAGGTCCATGTTCACCGATTCTCCGGGCAGCAAGTCTCTCAGGTCCAAAGCACCTCCTGCATCGGCATCCCGCAGATTCTTCCGCTCAGACCCCAGCGACGTCAAGCCCTCGCACGATGGGACCCCGGCTCTGAGAACTCCCAAGTCAATGAGCTTCCTGAGCAGCCGGCGGTCTCAATCTAGATTTAGCTCAAGCCGGGATAGGACTTCGTTGGACCCAACCCCCTCTAGCTTATCTGGCGTCCCGGAAAATGCATCGTCGATTACCGAGCAAAGCACGCCACGTCTCAGGCACAGGTCCTCCATATTCTTTGGTTCCTTAAGCCACCAATCCGGCTCAAAAATGCACAAGACTCTCCGCGGCAGCAGCTTCACGGAAGATCAAGGAGAAACAAGTTCTAACCCTCATAGCTACACGGAACAGTCAAATACACTAAGGCTGAAGGCCCGGAGAGTTTCTCGGTCACTCAGGATCAAGCTAAAGGGCTTGTTTTCTGGTGCCAAATCTGAAGACGGGGCAGGCCTAATTCCCTGCCAACACATCGAGGCCCAACGAACTCATGTAACACCCATACGTACTTCGGATACCGACGCCAAATCAACTATGGATGAAGATGACGGACTCATCCATAGTACTCCAGCAAGGGTGTCCACCCTCCGAGTGGTGCCATCGGGGCTTGCTCATTCCAGCAAAGCAAGCATGGAGAGCCTGAAGAGCGAGCGGGATCGCAAGGTATCAGAGGGCTCGTCACTGACGAGCTGGGCGCACTCCGGGCCGAGCACACTCACGAGCCAGGAGCAGCAACAATGGAGGGAATGGGAGAAGCAGCGCCTCTCCGTTATTAGGGAGAATGGCGCACATGCCCCATCACCCTCCATCCGGAGACGCGTACTCGGTTCGGGGATGTTCCAACCCCCTGCCCACGCTGCCGAAAGTCCCGTTGCTGCCGGTCCGATGGTGGATAGCCAACGGATTTATTCGGCCCTCGTAAAGCGCATGAAGACCACAGACAGTCAGACCGCACAAAATGCCGGGTTAGAACGTCCGGCTTCGGCTGGCGAGGATGCCGAGGAACATTCGAATGAGACACCAGACACGATTAAGCCTGTCATCCCAGACCGCAAGTACCCGGCAGCGTCCCGCGACATACATACGCCAACACGATGTTCAAAGAGAGCGAGCTTGTCTCGCAAGTCCGGCTCATGGGATCAAGAAGTCGAGAGACCGGCATCCGCCGCCACCGAGGTCGCAAGTATCCACAAGGGGCTACAAGGAGAGCCGGAAGTGGACAGCAATGACATATTTACTCAGGGGAACGCTCGTCCAGACTGGCACTCGAGTGTTGCTGGTAGTCCGGCATCACATCTCTTCAGGAAGGGAAGCCCTTACCGCCGCGCGCTTAGAAGGTCGATGCAGGAGGAGCAAAATGCCTGGGCCCAGCAGTGTTCGGTCTTTGATCAGGACTCGGACACAGGGACCCAGGTTCACCACGGGAGTGACGGTGGCAACGTCCCCGAGACCGACTCCGATTCGGCCAAGGACCTTGCTTACTCCGAGAGTGTCTACTCCTCGGATGAGGGTGACCGCGGCTCAAAGGGAGGAAGTGGGAACAGCGCCGCAAATACACCAGCCATGTATTGCCCTGGGGCGCATCGCGAGACTTCAGCAGCTAGCTCAGTCGACTGGAAGACCTGGCTGTCAGCCAACGTGGACAAACTCGAGCCCACCCCATCCCCAACTAGGCCATCATCTCATGCAGAATACGCCCTACCAACCATGTCCCAGAAGTTCCACGCCATCACCGCCAACCGCTTCCCATCTCTCCGCGGCCACGTCCGTGAACAGGCCCAAATCGATGACGACGACGACACAGACGCCGTCTCCGATTCCACCCCGACCCAGAAACCCGCCCGGGAAATCACATCATCATCATCACCATCCCCATTCACAACACTCACAACAGCCCCAACCTCAACAGCAACGCCCCTCGGCCAAGTCCCCGTCCAACCCAATATCATCACCAACCGCTCCCCACTGCGCCACGCCATCTCAGTCAGCAAGCATCTCACCCCGCCTACATTCAGCATCTACCACAGCCACGGCCACGGCTCGGAACCGGGCAACAACAACAACAACACCACCAACACCAATCGATTCCGAATCGAGAACGAGAGCCCCACCCGCGCCCCGCCGCCGCCGCCGATACCGCCTAGGAGCAAGATGCGGCCGGAGCCGCTGCGGATTGTGCGGGGGAGTCTCGGGTCTCAGGGTCAGGGCCAGGGCCATATTTAGGGTTATGGTCAGGACGCGTTGGGCAACAAGTTTCTGGCGAGTCCCACTGCGTCGGTGCTGTCGAGTCCCGGGTTGAGCGAGGCTGTGCAGAGGCAGTTTGGCGGGCTGGGCTTCACGGGTGGGATTGGTGTGAGGGGTGGTGGTGATGGTGGTGGTGGTGGTGGTGTTTCTGGGTCGGGGTTAGGGGCTGGGTCGGCGTCAGGGTCTGGGTCTGGAGGGCATCAGGCTGTGGGGGGTGCTGGTCGGAGGAGGGGAATTGCGGAGGTTTTGGGGGGTGGGGAGCGGGGAGATGAAAGGGCTGCTTTTGTGTGATGGTTGGTGGGTGATGTGAGGAGTTGGGAGTGAGAGTGAGCGTGAGAGAAGGTGTTGGTGTGGGATGGGCTCCGAGCTGGGATGGTGGTGATTCCGAAGGCTGGCATAGTATTGGAGTGCTGGCGTGATACTGGATTGAGGGTGGGAGCTGCTACCGGGGGTTTGAATGCATTTTGCTGGAGTGAGGAGACATTGGGTTACGTTAGATATGACTAGAGCCTGGGATATGGCGAAGTAGTTAATGGTAACCGGATGCTTGGTTTATCCCAACTCCTGTATCGTTTATGTCTATGCGAGTGAGTGAGTCGATGTGTGCGTTTAAAAACGGACTACTTGCGTGCTCACTCTCCCTCGCCAGTTTAGATAGTGGTAGCAGTGTTGCAGCGCTTTTCTATCTATCTACAACCAAATATAATCCTCGGTGGCTCTCTCTCGAAGCGTGGGGGGGAAGAAAAATGATAAGAATAACTAAACATTAGACGCAAAGAGAAACGGTCTACGGCGGCTCTACTCGGAACTAGGAACGACAGCACCCTACATCTACAGGTCCCCGTCCTCCACGCGGCACAGACGGTCGTCCACCTGCTCCCAGCGCTCGTTGCCGACGCAGGGAGTGCACCAGAATACGTCATCGGGGTCGACGGCCCGCTTGATCGAGGCGCTGTTTCGGGGCAGGTTAGTTAGCAAAGGTCACGGCGATTGGGAACAGGGGATGCGTACAGTCGCTGGTAGTTCGAACCCCAGAATTCCTTTTGCCAGTTCGGTTCGCGGTAATCCGCCTATGGGTGGGTGGGTGTGTTAGTATGGTTTGGTCTGAGCAAGGGGGGGTAGGGCACTGCAGACATACCTCGTTCACGTACGCGCCCATGTTGGGCGCCAGCTCCCTCAGCGCCGCCACACGCTTCTGAATCCGCGCCTCCGCGGCCGTAGCGGCGGCAGGGTCAAGTGGATCGAACGAGACGCCAAAGGTCGCGTGGATGTAGGCCTTCCGCCATGCCGGCAGCACCGCGTTTCCGCTGCAGCCCCTCGGCTTCGCATTGTGCACGCCCTTCCCAGAGATCAAATAAGCCGTCGAAACCTCGCCGTCGGTGAAGCGCTCGAATGCCTCCGAGAGACCGGTCAGGTCCTTGGTCAGTGCTTCCCGGTCAAGCAGCCTCGAGCCGAGAACGCTGTTTTCGCCGGCCGGGGTAGTATCGTAGTTTTCCGAGTACCAACCGAGGAAGGACGGGAACGATTTGGGCTGGTAATAGCTAGTCATGAACAAGTCTGGCCAGGTGGCTTTGACGTGCGCAAATATGGGGTCCCATAGCTCGCGCAGCTCCTCGGGTGAGGAGTCCTGTAGCACGCCGCTGAAGACGAGGCCGCCTATGGTGGTGTTGCCGCCGTCGAAAGGGTTGGCAAACTGGCGGAATATGTAGGAGTAGCCCGACAGCCCTTGGTCGCCTAGCGACGGGAGCTGGCTGAGGACGTAGGCAACCATATCGAAGATGGGGCGAGTGTCGTTGATCTGCGGGGTGGCGATGATAGCGGTTGCGGACTCGAGCTTGGGGGTTGGGAAAGTTTTCATTGTAACGGAGGTCATGACGCCGAAGGTCGAGCCGCCGCCCTTGTCAAGGTTAAAGGGTCAGCTATGGGTGGGTTCCGAGAGAGTGGGATGGACGTCACTTACACCGCGCATGGCCCAGAAGAGGTCTTGGTTCTGGCACTCGTTTGCGGTTACGAACTTGCCATTCGGCATCACTACTTCCATTTCGAGAACCTGGTCTGCGGCGAGGCCATTACTCGGTGCTAGCAGACCGTGGCCAGCACCCGTGACATAGCCGCCCACCGAAACTGTTTTCCCGCCACCTCCCACGGCCGTTTGGTTCAGGAGGTCGAGGGCGCTGTACAGATCCCACATCTGAGTACCGGCACCGACGGTGACGGCGGTGCTCTTGATGGTGGTTTTACAACCCTTTGGGCGGAATGAATCATGGGTCTTGATGTCTTTCATATGATGCGTCCAGATGGAGAGCGAGTTGGGAGCCACTGAGCGGCCGATGTAGTCATGACCAGAGCTCTTGATGACGAGCCTGACGTTGTGTTGTTTAGCTATGTAAATAACCAAGATTAGTGCCGGCAGCGGAATAGGGGTTGTAAGCCCGTGTTGTCTCACCAAACTGGACGCCGAGCTGAACGTGGCGTGGCTCTGTAGCATTTACAACGAAGACAGGATATCCTTGACCGCTGCATGGACTACCCTCGAATGGAAGGCATGTGTCGTTGGTCCAATTATTCCAGTCGACTGAGATGGGGTCGGCTTGGTGGAACTCGTAGGTTGACCATCCTTTGCGGACGGCTTCGCACTCTGTGACGTTGTAGGATCCTTGTCCGGGATGGCAGACAGCTCCTGGAGGAGTTGGTTGCAGCAGTCTTCCGGCAAGGGACTCATTGAGGCGGTCCCAGTCTCGGGTCGGCGGCCAGGACGGTGTTCCGGGGACAGCTTTGCAGGAAGGAGTGCCGTCTTCGTGTCTCGATTCGAGAGAGGGGGTTAGTCCAGCGGTCACAGCGAGAACCGAGGAGGCAAGCTGGAGAGCAGAGACGAGACGACCACACGTTGGAAACATGGTGAGGAAGGAGAAAGGGAAGGAAGGGAAAAGAGAGAAGAGGAGTTTAAGTGGCCAAGTACGACCTGGAACCTGGTAATCAAACTGTGAAGAGGCGGGGTGAGGAAGGCACGATGCTTGAAGGATCTACTGATTGTCTCCTCTTTTCCTTCCTCCCCCAGACGACGCCAGTCTCGTTATATATTTCCATGATACCTGGTAGGTGGTTACGCACATCGAGAAGGCTCCATGGCTGGGATTGCAACGCTATGGCATGCCCACGACGCGAGGATCGACCGTATTGATCGCAAACGCATCCCGTTGGACAGTTTAAGCAAGCTGCGGACCCACATCCCTCAGCCCAGGGACTCTCAGCAACGCGTCTGTCATCCGGTGGATCTCGACGCCGGCCCCGCCAGGAACAGAGCCATCCACTTGACTTGCCGCATTCAGTTGCTACCAGCGATCTCATAGGGCGCGGCCAACTCGCCTTGGTCGTCCCTTTCCGACGGATACGGTAGGCGTCTTGGCGGACCGAGTTTGACATCTTTTCATTGTCGTCGATGCGGGGATTGAATGAAGATGTTGCGTGTCCGAGGAGGCGTGTGCGTCTTCCACAGCCCTGCCCGTCTTTACGAATTACGGCAATTAGGGAAGCCGCCCGGCGAGCTCCGCTCATTTTGACCGTGTGTCGTCTCTGTTCTGCCTTGTCGTCGTCATCGCATCTGTCCAACCGGCGAGTTGGGTCGGAAAAGCACGCAGGATGGTTTGATTGGGCGATTCAACTCTATGTGGAGTCGTACCGGTGGATTTCGAGGCATCTCCGGACCCGCGGTGCCGTGCATCTGAACTCGGGGACAAGCGGGGAACCGGGAGACCCGGGGGAGCGCTCAGACCTCCTGGTGTTGAAGCTGCTTGCATGAATAAACCATCGGGCTGGAATGACAAACGAAACAGGGCCGCGCAGTTGGCCTCTGCTCTCACAAACCGCATTATCAAGCTGAAGTTGACGCCGCAAGCAGTTGGTCGCAGAGTCTCACACGCCGCCGCATGTGCAACTGCGCAACTCAGCGACGGTTTCGGCCCCCCACATTCGTTAGTTACAGTTTATTGGCGTTTACCCATTTTTTCGAAATTGACACATCATCGTCACAATGGTCACCAGGCGGAGTCAGCAGTCCTGGCCTCGACTTACGTATACTACCGAAATACACCCCTTCGTAGCAGCAGACCAGACAACATGCATGGAGATCCTACCCGGAGATTGCAAGTGTAGAATTTGGTGATACCGTCTTGGTTATACAATAATCACCGGCTTCTCTTCTTTCTTTTTCCCCCCTCTTTTTCGTTTATTTTTGTGTGGTGTATGTACATGGAAGTATGAGGATTCAAGGTTCTCGCCTGGTAAATGTCCATACCAAAGCGTAAGTATTGCACGGTATCAGATGTTCCTGGTATTTATCGCACTCGGCGGGTCTCTCTCCTGAAGCCACATGCCAAGCCTGCCACAAGCCATTAATTACGCACATCCCCCCTCCCCCTGTCAGCCTAGGCCAAAGGCCAATGCCAGGTCTCACGCCGCAATTTCTCCCAGGACATTTTTTGTTGGCACCGAACCACCTTCTTCACAAAGGGGCACCCATGACACCGAACCCTTCGCGTTGGGACGCAGAATCCAGGGGATAACTACGAACTGTCACATTTGCAGCCTTGTAATCCCGTGGTTCCCGAAACGTGCATCCCCTAGACGAAGCCTCGGCACACGACCCGACGACGCTACCTTACCTACCTACCTACGTAATTGAGCACATCTACCTCGACCACCATGAACGCCATTCAGCAAAAGTGTCGTCCCAAGCACCAGGTCCTTGTCCTGAAATGCTATCCGCGGACTGCCAAGGGTGCCGTCGATGTCAAGCCAAACTCCAGCGAACTCAGCTACCTACTGTTCTACGCCCAGTCCCGACGGTCCAAGATTCAGAAAGTTGGCAGCTTCCTCGAGAAGAAGACGGCTAGCGATGTCTGGCGCCAGCGGATAGGGTATGCAACTCCTGGGATCTGAGATGGCCACCGTAGAACAAACCCCGGCTAACTTTGCGACTCGTTAGGAACGTGCAGGTCACACTGCAGATACTCACGGCCCTGATCGAAAAGACGCCCAAGGACCTCCCGCTCTTCGCATCATGTGTTCTCCAGATACTCGAACAGATTCTCAAGTCCCGCGACATCACCATGGTGGAGTCGTCCATTCCGACCTTTGAAGCCTTCTGTACCCACCATGACCCGACCTCCCTCCTGGCCGACCAGGCCTACTTGCGCCAGTACCTGTACGTTGTCCAGCAGTACGCTTCTCTCGCCTCGACGCGCGCCTTCGCCGGGAAACTTGAGCCTAGCAAGCCCATTGCCCTTCGCTGGAGAAACACGGGTCTGAAGGCCATCAAGAGCGTTGCCTCGTCCGAGACCCTCTCCTCCGTCACGACTCAGCAGTACGATTTGGCTGTTCCCATGATATTGGAAAACCTATGGACAGATAACGAAGATTTCCTGGACGTCTTGCACCAGCGGGCCGAGATGGGAGAGAAACTCGGCGGTACGCTATTGCGGAGACGGACTAGCGTTGCGACGGTGCAGACGGCCGAGAGCGAGTCCAACACGAACCCCATCGCGCTCGCCGACACTGCCGTGGACATGGACAAGCTGGCGGAGGAGGACACCGGGGTGTTGGCGATGGAATGCCTGAGACAACTCTTTGTTGCTACAAACCGGTCGCAGGTCCATGCTGCCACCGTTGCGCTCCTCAAATTTATCCAGGAGCGCGTGAGCCAGCAGGAGGAGGTCGTCAAAACAGATTCGGACGGAAGGGACAGCGGCTGGGCTGTCAAGATGTTCCTCCTGGCCGCCCGATGGGCTCCCGTCGCCGACCGCTTCACCATCCTCGTCACAGCGATGGATTCGCTCGCCGAGCAACCCCTGACGGACGATTCGCTGCAGCAACACGTCGTTCTAGCAGCCATGATTGGTGCGCTCCTGCGATCCGATATCAACCTGATCGGTCTCAGCGTGATGGATGTCCTGGTCCAGCTCATTGCCCACATTCGGAAGCTGGTGCAAATGCCGGGGGACCCGAACAGCATGAGGAGTGAGCCGCATCTCCCTGGGGAACCCGATCCCCGCGCGCAATCCGGCCTTCAGTACACCGACAAGGCGGAGCAGGCTGTGGCTGAACGCAAAAATGTTTTGTATCGGCTGCAGGAATGCATCGGCGACCTGGCCACGCACGTCTACTATGCCGACCAGATTTCCGACATGATTTCTACCATCCTGCAAAAGCTGAGGCCCTCGCGGTCGAACAGTACCTCTGGTTCGCCCCACGGAGAGAAGACCGACACCCCTAAATCATCTGTGAATGCTCTTGGCGACGAGCATCACGCCGATTCTTTATTCGCCCTTACCGTGGCCAAAATTGCCGCGCTGAGAGCCATCAAGTCGGTTCTCCTTGTGGCCAACCCGCGTACCAAGATGAGCGGGAACCTCGGCCTGTCAAGAAGCCACGTCCCAATCCAGATCTGGGATGGTACCCAGTGGCTGCTGAAGGACCAAGACGGTCTCGTCCGGAAGGCCTATGCAGACGCCGTGATGACATGGTTGGACCGCGAGACAACGAGCGCCGATTCGAAAGCCAGAGACGAGACGGCTCGGCCCATGCTCAAGACCCGGGAGCTGCAGGGCGCCGCGCTTGCGAAGCGGGCCGTATCTAGTGCCTCGGCCCGCGAGAAGCCCGTCAAGACTCCCCGGTCACACTTTTTGCAGCTCCTCCACCTGGCTATCTACGACAACGCCATCCAGTATATCGACTATGAGACCGATATCTTGCTTCTCCACGTTTTGCTAGCGAAGCTCGTGGATAAACTTGGCGTGAACGCCGTTCGGTACGGCTTGCCTATGATCTTCAGGCTGCAGGAGGACATCCAGGATGCCGAGACCCCGGTCCACAAAGTCCAGTTGGGCAGTTTGGTGCACGGATACTTTTGGATGCTCACGGAGAAGTTCGATTTTGATGGGACTGTTATAGGGCGGGCAGTTCACAATGAGATCGTCCGGCGCCGCAGCAAGAACTTCTGGGTCGAGGGCGTCAGCCTACCGGTTCCCCTTCTTGACTTGGTGGGGACGCCTGGGACGGTCCAGCGTCAGCCGAGACTGCCCTCCGACGAAATCGAGTCGGAGGCCCTTCTCCCCTTCGATGAGCGACTGGGGCTTGTGGAGTGTGTGTGCACGGCGTATCAACAGCAGACCATCTCGCCGCCGCAAAGCCCGGCAGCTAGTCCCGGCCGCAGCTTCTCGCACCCGATCCTGGGCACGACGACGAGCGCCATCCCGAGCATCGAAACGGAGCATGAGGTGCCTGATCATATCCGTGAGCAGATGCTTAGCGAATGGAGCCGCGAGGCCGTCCTTGCAGCCGTGCAAACGGCCAGCAAATCCGCATCCCTCAATGGGTCTCGGTCGGGAACGACCGGGACCAACCGCCTGAACGCGAACGGCGGATTGGCAGCGAACGGACACAGCCTCAGGCCGGACAGGTCGTCACCGCACGGCAGCGGAACGAACCTCCGCCCGTCAACTTCGCCAATGGGCGACGCAATGCGCAAATCAAGCCTCCGCAGCGGACACTCGCCAACGCCCGCCAGCAACGACGACGCCAAGGAACAAGTCACCTCAGTCGAGCAGCTCAAGCTCGTCCTATCAGGCCACCTCCAGCCGCCGCCGACCATGCACGGCCCCACCTTCCAACACGACGACTCCAGCAGCGACAGCCTCGTCAGCTACGACATGACCCCGAGCGAGCTGTCCTTCAACCCGGCCACCCTCCCCGGCGCCATCGCCGACCAGCACCAGTCCCCCGACCACACCCAGCAGCAGCGGCCCGTCTCGCGCGACCGCAAGGGCTCGCTCTCGGCTGGCGGCCCGCTCAACTCCCACCCCACCCCAGACGACGACGGCAACGACGTCGGCAGCACCGACGGCGGCGATGACGCCGTCCCGCCCGTCCCGCCCATCCCCATGAGCCTGATCCCCGGCGGCGCCGCGCGCGCGCCGTCACACTCAAACAGTGCGCAGGCGCAGGCGCAGGACCGCGGCGCCCAGGCCACGGTGCCGCGGCCGTCGACGTCGAAGCGCAGCGTCAAGAGCAGGGGTGGTGGACTTGGTAGTGGTCTTGGGGGTGGCATTGGAGGTGGAGGTGGAGGCGGCGAGCACCGCGCGCTGTCGAGCTCGTGGGCGTCGTCGGTGCAGGATGACGAGAAGCTGCCGGTTATGGATCTGAATGCGTTGCTGAAGGGGATTGATGCGCATGTCGGGGAGGAGGGGGGGCAGGAGGGGTTCGGGGGGGTTACGAGGCCGCCTTATTAGTTTAGCTAGCTGAGTTGTTAGGTGGTAGTGGGGTTTACCGTGACAGATATCTTGGGTGTGGGTGTGATGTGGGTGTTTATTCTTGGGCTATGATTTAGACGGATTTGTTGGGCATGCCTGGCCCAGTAACCGCGGGTTTTAGGGGGAGTTGGTGTATGTTTTGGCGAGGCGAATGGGATATTCATAGCATTTGTATTGTATTTGGTGGTTTGGGGGATAGAATGATACATATCTGGAGATTCTGTTAAGGAGTAGTTTCGCGAGCATGCCTTTGCTATCCTTTATTTAGTGGATGGGACTTTTGAAGATTGTTTTCTGCTCTTGTAGCAGGGTTCTGTTGTTCAAGGAGAGGAATTGGGTTGGGATCTTGATGTTGGTGACAGCAAGACCGAGTATCACTGGCAATGGCATAGTTCGTGGAGAAGATAGATGTTTTGTAGAGTGGGATATCAAAGCGAAGAGACTAAGGCATTGGCACTGTGTCTGGTAACAATCTCTCATCAAGCAATACAATAATACCAAACGTCAAACACAGCGAAGTGACTTCCAGGGGTCCAGATCTCCAGTTCGAGCACACTCAAGTGATGTCATCTTTCACTGCCCTCCAATCGGTGAATTTCCAGCCAAGCTCCCCCTTGCTAGCGCCATTCTCCAAACAGAACCCCTGCTCACGGCAAGAGCCGAGCCGAGTCTTTTTGCAGAGTTAGAAAATGTTTCTCTTGTCAGAAGTACCGCGACCGTGATTAATACCCAGCGATCCTTTCAGCGCATGTACCCAATTCCACGGTGTGCATACCCGATACCCAACTCCTTACCCCCGGTATCCCCACTACCGTCCCAAGGGTTCAACATGGCGCCCGCAACACGATTATGCCTCCTCCCGCTGCGCCCCGTCGCATTAGCAGCTCGGGGCAGCAGCACACGATTCACCACCGCCGCCGCCGCCCGTTCAATACACGCCAACCCGGCTCAACCAGCCAAGGTGGTTCCGGTATACGGGACGGGCCCGCCGCCAGAGCCACCTCAACCAAGCGCGGAATTTGCGGACGAGGTGCGGAACGAGCGGCTGGCGAGGCGGAAGCGCCAGGCCGAGATGCTACGGCAGGCGGGCGACATCAAGGCCATGCGCAAGGAGCACCAGCAGCAACAACAGCACCAGCAGGACCATGGGGTTGGGGCAACTAAGCCTGCTGGTGTGCTGAAGCGACGGTTCTGGAAGGATGTGCATGTGAAGGAGGTTGACGGTACATCCCCCCTTCTCCGTTGCCTCCCCTCCCTTCTCCCTCCATCTCCCTCCCGCTTCCTCCCCGCCCTTTCCCACTACTCTACCCCCTTAAACATCCAACTAACCACCCCCCTCCAAAAGGCTCCCTCGAAATCCACCTCGACGCCCGCCCGCTCCGCCACCCAACCACCAAGACCATCATCCGCCTCCCCCCCACCAAACCCCACCTCGCCCACGCGATCGCCCTGGAATGGGACAACCTCACCTCCGCACAACAGGCCACCAAACAGCACCTCATCCCCCTCACATCCCTAACCTGCCGCGCCCTCGACATCGCCGCCTCCGACCTCCCCCCCACAGACACAACCCTCCGCACCGAAATAACAACCTCCCTCCTCCGCTACCTCGACACCGACTCCCTGCTCTGCCTCGCCCCCCCGCCCACCAACCCGGCCGGCGAACCCGACGGCCCCACCCTCCGCGAAAAACAGGACCAAGCCTACCAATCCACCGTCTCCTTCCTGACGACCCACGTCTGGCCGGGGCAGCAAATCGTCCCCGTCCTCGACGGCGCGTCCCTCCTCCCGCGGTCCCAAGCGCCCGGCACGCGCGAGGTGGTGCAGGGGTGGATCATGTCGCTGTCGCCCTTCGAGCTGGCGGGCCTGGAGCGGGCGACGCTGGCGGGCAAGAGCCTGGTGGCGGCGGCGCGGCTGGTGGTGGAGTGGAGCGAGGAGGGGGGGCAGGCGCAGGCGAGCGCGGCGGCGGCGGTGAAGGCGGCCGCCGCCGAGGGCCGCGAGCGGTTCGGCGTGGAGGAGGCCGCGAGGGCGGTCAGTCTGGAGGTGGAGTGGCAGACGACGAAATGGGGGGAGGTCGAGGACACGCATGACGTGGAGAAGGAGGACCTGAGGCGCCAGCTGGGGAGTGCCGTGCTGCTTGTTTCCGGGACGGGGACGGCGTCTTCCAAGAGCGGCTGAGTCGACCTACCTACCTACTTGTGGGTGTTGAAGTAGATGTGGGTGACTGTAATATAACCATGTAACTGCGACTTGTGTGCGCGCCTAGCATGTCTGCATATCGCGTAAAAAGATCCAGGTGTATTCCCGAGCAGATCAGTGTCTTGTTGGGCCATTCCCTTCCGCCATTAGATCTCCCTCCCTTAGATCCTCCTCAGCCCATCATTCACTCAAACCAAGCTCAAACAGCCACTTAGTTTACGGTCACTTGAGGCACGCGCAGATGTATGTAAGTAAGGCTGATATTTGTAAGCTATACCTTGAATAAACAGGGGCATGGGTATATGTATGATAAAGTGTAGGAAATAATGAAAGTGAAGCCGAAGAAAGGGAGTGCAGCCCCCGAGTTGGGCACCCTAAAGAAAATCCTCGACCAGCCAGTTTTGGCAACCCATGGAAATGTATCCGCGTGGCTTTGTAAACCCTGTCCAGATTCGGCGTCTCTTGAACCAGATTCCACCTTTACATGGGGAAGAAAAGAAATCGGGAGCTCGAGCTCCAAAAGATTGGTGTAGTCCTCGTCGTGTTGAGGATATATTCAAGTGAAAGTACTGCTGAATGAAATGTGGCTGGCGTAATGTAGTTTCCAGAACCACTCATATGGAGTGGGGGCGACCTTAAAAGCCGTCATAGGCGAAGGCTTCGGCATGCTTGGGCATGGCGCCCTTCACAGCAACATCGTCACGGTCTTGCTGGGTGGTCATGCGCTCCGGGTCCATGTAGCGAGCCGTGAGTGAGAAGCGGCGTGTGCCATGGGGGATGACGGTGTGCTAATCTTGTCAGAAATGTATCCTCGGGGATCCAGTGCCGATCACTAACCTCGTAGACCTTTTGGATCTCTGTGCCAACCATGACCATCATGTCACCGTGCTTCATGGGCACCTCAAGGACCGCTTGGTAAGAGTCCTTCCCCCGATCCCGGCGAGCGGGGACGAGAAACCCAGTCTTACCCTTGGGTCGAAAGCGCATCGTGGAGGGCGAGCCCAGCGAGAGAGCCGCCACGACAGGTCCAAGCTCGTGTTCACCATCATCGTGGTACTGTAGTTGGGCATGTTAGCATGAATACAGAGCAGACAGGGAAACACGCACGTTAATCTTGTCATCCTCCATGTATCCGAGTGCGAGCAGCTCATTGAAGTCCCCATCGGTAGGTACAATGGCGTGCTTGCCAATGGTATTCTGATCCAAAGCACATATGAAGGCATTGGACTTGTCGACAGAGACCTGCTTTGCCCAGATCAGGCGTTGGAGAGCACGGAGGATGACGTCGGGTGCCTCATCCAAGCCCTTTGACTGGACGGTCACGCCAAACTTGTACTTGGCACCCTGTTATTGTCAGTACGCGGGAGTGAATATTCTGGTGTGAAAGGGCGCTTACAAAGTTCTGCTGGAAGTGGCGGGTGTATCCCTCAAGCTTGTCTGCACACGTTGTCATGTTATTAGTGACCATCTCTTAATTCTCCGAAGCCACTTACGGCCAACCACAGCAGCTGCGTTTCGGCGAAGACCGATATCAGTGAGTTCCAGAGTCTGGAAGAGGTCATCCGGGCCATTGGGCTTGGTGAGGATTTCTGGCTTGGCCGAAAAGATGCTGAACGATCCAAGGATTTTGCCATCGCTGTTCGGCAGATAGTACTGGCGAACATCATAGCCGCCCAGAGTAAGAGTCTGGGAAAGTGGGAGACAATCACGATTGTATATGGTGGCGATAGGATCATCCACGAAACCAGGCTTGTTTTCCTTGTTGTCGTTCACTCCGTATGAGTTCCGTATCCTCCGCATTTTCTCGTCAAACCTGGCATTCTCCAGCTGGAGAAGATCGCCCGGGTACGGGAGCATGGGGGCGTCGCGAGTGTATTCACACTCCTTGTTTGCGCATACCCAACGGTTCCAGTAGACCCGGCGGTTGCAGCAGCCGCAGTCTGGGCACACAAAGCCGCGGCGAAGGGATTTCTCCGTGCCATGAAGGCCGGTTGAGTCAGTGATGGGAGGAACAACCGAGGGGATCTCGCCGACAAAAGGAGTACGCTCATCGAGGAACGTTTGGGTGTAGGCTAGGCCCTTGATGTCGACTCCGGCACCAGTCGGGAACACAAAGTAGTGCTCACACCCGTAGTTAAGGCAGAACCAGCCAGCAGTGAACATCTCCTTGCTCGGAGTGTCACATTTGGCGCAGGTGATAACCGGTGCCTTTAGGCTTGTGTCGACAAGGGCATCGGTTTGCACGGCCTTCTCGCTTTTGGGAGCCCACCAGGAACGCTCAGCCAGATCGGCTTTCTCAAAGCGCATACGCCAGACAGTGACAGGCTTGTCGCTCCCCTCAGTGATCTGCTTCTCCTTCCAAACATCGGTGATATGGAAGTACCCCAGGACAGCATAGGGGTGAGGAGAGCAGCATGGATAGAAAGGGTGGCCCTCGCCTGCGAGTGTTGTTAACATTGTAATCTAATAAGGTCGTGACTTATGAGGCCTACCAGCAATAACTGCAACCAAGGACTTGTTGCCATGCGCATTCGGGATCGCCTTGGTGTTGGGGGCTGCGTCGTCGCCATCCTTCGCGCGAATCATGGTACCGGTCTTAGGATTCTTGACTCGGCCACCGCCCCTGTGATTCTTGGTGAGCAAAGACTGAAACATTCCAAGGAAGACGAGGCGAGCCTGTTGCCCCCGGGAGAAAATCTTGACTTACACTGAGGAGATGATGACCTGTGTGCCAAACACATCCAATTCGTCAGCCTCCTGGTCGATGAGGAATCCCTGACAAACCAGATTTGCCGAATGAAGGCTGGACTTGAATGCTTTGAAGTAGGGCAGCGCCTCGCAAAGGCTGCCACGGGCGTCGGCCCAAACCAGGGGCTTACCCGACGGAGGAGGACCGTCGGCGGTCGCATTGGCGATCTTGACCTTCCGAGCACGCACTCGCTTCTTAATAGGTCCGGCCATCGATGCCATGATCGTCTGCATGGGTTGGTTGTGGTTGTCCTCCACATAGGGAGTGTCGAGTGCGGATTGCAAGGTATCCGACTGTGAGGACTGTGGTGACCCTGCTTCATCGACTTTGGGCGCAGCGCTCAGGCGAGCACGCTTGGTGGGCTCATCATCTTCGTTTGCACCCAGGTCCTCTATGTTCCGCTTCATTGCTGTTTCGGCACACAGGGAAGCCGGCCGGGGCGAAGTCCTTGGAGCGGCCATGATGGGAGGCCCAGCAGAGTCGTTGGGGCCGTTGGTGATAGACGACTGCCGTGCGGTGCCCGTCTCGGTGACCGAGTCCATGTTTGCGAGTTTTGTTGACGATGAACCAGATTTCTATGGTGTTGGCTGCTCAGTTATTAGCAAGACGAATCTATAAGTGAGCTTGGAGAGATGAAAGTATGGTGAGCAAAATGAAGTACTAAGCGATAGTGGGTAGGGAAAAAGAGATAGCGACAAGCAGGGACAGGTGATTTCGTTCTTTGGGTCGAGGAAGTGAAATGATGTCAGTGGGACGATTTGTGGGGAGAATAAGATAATCAGAGGAAATGGGCAGACAATTATTGCCGCCGACGGATTGGACTGGCAAGAGGGGATGGTCTGAGGAAGAGAATGGGAAGGGGTGGCGGAGGGTTTAGAGCAGGAAATTGGGAAGGAGGAAAGAGGATGGGGGTGGAGGTAGGAATAACTCGCTCCCTTGTTTGGAAGGTCAAATCCTGGGCCCTTCCAAATCCAGTCCCGCTCTTGCCTGTTCATGTGCTATCTGAACTTAGGGCTGGGCCAGGCTCTCTCTTTGTGAGAAGAGTGGCACAAAAGGGAGTGTTATAGGACTGAGTTTGCAGTATTGTACAGCAGGGCAGGGAAAGGAACAATTACGGTAAGGCGGCGGAGGGTGTCGGTGTGTGAACAGGAGAAAGGTGGAAGAGAAAGAGAGCTGGGGATCGAGAGTCTCGCTGCGGTGGAAGAATTTATATCTCTTGGGATCCTAGCCTCTTCAGCCTGGCGATAACGTGCCTCAATTTCTGCAGGAGGGCTGGCGATATCGAATGGGGCGGAGAGTAAAATGGTGGGATTGTCAGTGGAAGAAAGTGGAGGGAAAGAGGTAGTACGGGAGTATTAGCAAACTCAAGACGAGGAATAATTTGCAACCCAACACATCCGAGGTACCCTCCCTGTCGGAGGGGATGGCGATCGGGGAGTGCTGTAAAAAAACAGATCATTAGCCATAGAAAGAAATACTGTCTGGTGAGAACTTACGCGAGAGCTACGGCTCATTCGGCTGCCCGGAGGGGCAGGGCACTCGGCACTGCTTTCGCTGTCCGACAGCAGAGGAATCGGCGAGCGCTATAACAAGGTGGAAACATTAGCAAGAGAAGCACCCGACAAATTACCCACAACGAGTAACTTACCATGGGTCTACCCGAGGGGGGGGGGTAGCAGAGGTACCGGTATTGCCGGTACGCCGAGTACGGGGAGTCTGAGGGGCCGCGTTCAACTAAAGTATTCGAGTGTTAGTATTGCATATTCCCCGGGCAGCAATAGTATAGCAGAACTGACATCGATACCCGAAATTCCCATACTGCCAATAGTATCTTGGCTGCCGGACTCAACACTGCGAGGCAGGTCCTCCTCGCCGGCTCCCTATACAATAGTTAACGGCATTGATCGTTAATTGAACAAAGTAGAGTAGAGTGAGAAACTTACCTCTTCCTAATTGTTGGTAGTGTGAACACCGACCTTGCGCCCTTTTACGGGGCGATCTTTCCATGAACCTTGGTTTTTTTTTGGACGGCCGATCGTCGCCGACGCCTCTGTTCGATATAGATCTGGTGAGGACTATGTTGAGCGCTGCTAATCCTTCTTTTCTTTTTGAGCAGCAGCCGGAAAGTTGTAATTGTGGTTGTGGTTGTGGGTTGACCCTTTTTATTGTGGGTGGTGATTATGGGTGTCAAGGAAGGGAAGGTATGATGGTGATAACGGTCATTGAAGACTGCACGGCCCACCAAGGGGATCGTTAGGTACTACAGTACTGCCATGTAGCGGACTGAGGCAATACAGGTATGGTGTGTTCATAACAACGTGTGGTTGGTCATGACAACGATATCAGACGACGCTAAATACTTAGCGGAAAGAAAGTTCTGCTTATTGTGACCTGCATATTAAAGATGGACAATTTTGAATTATCCAAGTTCACCGAGAATGCTTGACAGCTTCTGTGGTAGCTTTTATCTTCACACAAGACGAGAGAGAACAGAGAACGGCACCTCTATTACCAAACCAGACCTGATTGCCTTGGTTTACAGAGGAGTCATAGAAGCGATACCAAACTAACCTACCTCTCACCATGTGATATGAGTTGGACTGCTAGTTTTCCCCAGTTGGACATCGCTGATCAAGAGGCGATAGTTCATCGTTGCTACTTGTAGGAGACTCTGTGTGTGCTCTTGTGTGACAAGGAGGCGTTGCTATGTACTATGGTGAGTTGCTTGGCAGCGATAATAGGGGTAGCAACAGGAGTCACATTGATGTCTTGGTCATGTTTACAGGTTTCAGGGGCTGTTCAGCAGCCGAGCAACCATGTTTAGTCGCTCCACCAATTCTCCCTATCTCTCTCTCTCTCTCTCTCTTTCTGGGACCAACGGAACTCTAGTGGCACATTCGCTCTGACTCGCGCATTGCCGAAATACACTCGGTACCTCGCACCAACAGCAAGGAGCCGAGGTGGAAGGCCGCTGTGCTTGGGTACTCCACTGTTGTCTCAATTGACGGAAGCGGACCAAAGGTTTCATGTGTGCCGAGGGATTGGGATTTGCGGGGTACAGCGGTACAGCCTTGGCAGCATGGTGGAAGAGACATGTGGGCACATGGAGAAGTGGGGAAGATGAGACCCAAGGTGCCAAGGCAAACAGGGAGCGGCTTCACAGTCGGCTGTGGTCGAGAGACGGGACAATTTAATTAAGACGACGAAGTTTGCTCGCACAATAACAGCGATTCACCACTTTAAACTAGCTTTGGATTCTACAAAAATCTCAAGGATGGAATCAGGCCAAAAAACAGCTTTGTTCCTAGAGCTCCAATATTTGTATTTGTAAGCTCATTGTTCGGATTTGTGTAGTTTCCAGTTTGAGAGTTACACATGTGCGAGGATTGCTTGTAGCACTCGGTCAATGATTTGCAAGCAGGGGCAGTCATTGGGGTTGGATTGGAATTGGGGGCTGGCTGGATTGGAGCCAGCATGACCAAATGCCAAAGAGGGCAACGACTTTCATAGCCTCGTCCTCAACCTTTCGCTCACCCTCGCCTTCTGTCGCTTTCTTCAGCATCACCGTCGATAAAGTGAGGTTACCGAATTACTACCCGCAGTCGGTCTCTCACAGCCCGGCTAATTCGGTCCTCTTCTCTATCCCTATCCTCCTCCCAGACTCCAAAAACCGCAGTATCCGGTCGCGTGAGAGAACGGGGGATCACCACCGAAAGAAAGGAGGGAAATTGAACACATCGAGAACAGCGGAAACATGGTATTCTATCCTCCACCATGGGTCCCAAAGCTCCCGTTTGGTACGTCGACTTGAATTTACTGCAATAAAGGAACTTCGTATATATTAATACAGGGTAGACCCTCCCGACTCGGTCACCATCGGGGAATTCATGAAAAGCGAAATCTATGGCCGGTGTCCCATCTCCAAAAGCCGAAACCCCTTCACCTGCGGCCTCACTGGGAGAACATACACTGTTACCGAGTCGCACCAGCGCGCCGATCTCATTGCGAAAGCATTGTCCAAGATCATGGGCTGGGAGCCGAATGCCGACTCTCCCTGGGACAAGGTGGTTGCCGTATTCTCTTTCAATACCGTAAGTAACGGCCCCCCTGCGACATCTGAGCTAGCCAGTGATATCAATCTCACCCATTCCATAGATCGACTACCTTTCAGTGCTGAATGCTGTGCACCGCTTGTCCGGTATCGCCACGCCCGCCAATGTCGCATACTCGGCAGAGGAGCTGGAACACCAGCTCAGGTCTTCGGGAGCCAAGGCGCTCTTCACATGCGTGCCCGTGTTAGAGACAGCGCTCAAGGCTGCCAAAGCAGTGGGGATACCAGAGGACAAGATCTTCATCATGGACCTCCCCCACCACTCTCAGAAACCCCCGTTCAAAACGGTCGACGACTTCGTGGAGATGGGCCGCTCCGTTCCAGAGTTGGAGCCTCTGAGATGGGTTAAAGGTCAGGGCGCGCGCCAGACGGCATTCCTCTGCTACTCTAGCGGCACCTCCGGTTTGCCTGTGAGTTTGCCGTTCGTCATTCATACCCAGTACGGCCGTTGGCTGACAAACAAAAGAAAGCTGTCATGATCTCGCACCAAAATGTCATCGCCAACACGATGCAATACTGCATCTTCGAAGATGTAGCGAGAAGGCAGCTGGGTATCGAGACCCAGGTGGAACTCGGCCTGCTCCCCTTCAGCCATATCTACGGCCTTGTGGTGGTTGCTCACTCGGCGACATGGCGTGGTGACGAAGTCATCGTGTTGCCCAAGTTTGACCTTACCGATTATCTCCAGGCCATTGAGCGGTTCAAGATCAACCATATTCTTATCGTAAGTCTACCATGCACTTCTGAGTAGATTGCCGTCAACTAAACTGTTCAGGTTCCCCCCATCGTCGTTCGCATGTTGAGCAGCAGAGACATTCTCAAAAAGTACGACCTCAGCAGCATCAGGTTGATCTTCACAGGGGCGGCGCCACTGGGGAAGGAGACGTCTGATGAACTCCTCCGTCTCTATCCCAATTGGCGCATCGGTCAGGGCTACGGTACGTCACCAGTTTAACCCATCCCACGGACGCGGCCTAACTGTGAGAAGGCTTGACCGAGTCCTCAACCGTGGTGTGCTCGACGAGCGAGCACGACATCTGCGCCGGGACCTCCGGCTCCCTGATGCCCGGGACACGAGCCAAGATCGTCGACCCCAACGGCAAGGAGATCAACGACTACGGCAAGCCCGGCGAGCTGGTCGTGCAGTCGCCGTCCGTCACGCTGGGCTACCTGAACAACGAGAAGGCCACAGCTGAGGCCTTCATCTGGGACGAAGATGGGCGGTGGCTGAAGACGGGCGACGAGGTCATCGTGACCAAGGCCGACAGCGGATACGAGCACATCACCATCGTAGACCGCCTCAAGGAGCTGATCAAGGTCAAGGTGCGCATCATACCATACCACACCCCCCATCCCACCCCAACAAACCACCCCGACAAACTAACACAATCACACAGGGCCACCAAGTCGCCCCCGCCGAACTCGAAGCGCACCTCCTCACGCACCCGGCAGTGGACGACTGCGCCGTGATCTCGGTGCCCGACGCGCGGGACGGCGAGGCGCCCAAGGCGTTCGTGGTGACGCCCGCGGCGATGGCGTCGCGCAGCGGCGCCGAGATGGCGGCCGAGATCAGCAAGCACGTGCAGGACCACAAGGCGCACTACAAGTGGCTCAAGGGCGGCATCGAGTTCATCGACGCCATCCCCAAGAGCCCGAGCGGCAAGATCCTGCGCCGGTTGTTGAGGGACAAGGAGAGGGAGGCGAGGCGGGGGAAGGGGGCGAAGTTGTGATTTGGTTGTGGGGGGATTGGGGGAGGGGGGATAGAGGATGTTGGGGGTGTAGGGGGGGGGGGGTTGGTTGGGCGTTGCAGCGCATTTCTTCAACGTTGTGTTGCTGCCGTTGTCGCGATTTAGATCGTTGCTTTTTCGAATGAATATCAATACACGAAGATTTAGAGAGTCGGAGTGGTAGTTGGGCAACGCAAACAAACCCATGAAGATTGCCAAATAACTTTTAGAAACTCGTCCACCCCGTATCATACCTACGAACCCATATCCCCAAACCCAAACCATTTCCACCACCAACCCATACAGATTCACGGCCCCAAACCCAACACCCTCCCCTCCATCACCCCCCTAGCACACCGACCGATGAATCCCCTTCCCCTTCCCCGCCTCCCCTCCACCCCCCTCCTTCCCCCCCTCCCCCTTCAACACCGGCCCCGCCTGCCGCTCATGCAACACGGACAAATCCACCTCATCCTTCTCCATCAACCTCTCCGTCACCTGCACGATATCCGTCACCAGCCGGTCCAGCAAATCAAAGCTCATATTGACGCGGACGACGACGCGCAGGATCTCGGTCGCGTCCTCGCCGGGGGGCAGCGCGTAGTTGGGGATGATCCACTGCCGCGCGCGCAGCAGCAGCGAGACGGTCTCCTGCTTGATGTGCGGGTACTCGCGCCGGAACTCGTCCGTCTGGCGGAAGGACACGACGGGCAGGCCGGCCGCGTACGCCGCTGATGTTTCGTCCGCGTCCGCGTCCGCGTCCGCGTCCGGGTTGGTTGGGTTGCTGGTGGGGGGGACACGGCGCTGGTGGATTTCACTAACACAGGTGTACCAGCCTGTGGCTTCGAGGCTCTGCGAGAGGATGCGCGCGTTGGCCAGGCAGTTCTCCATGACCTCGCGGTAGCCCGAGAAGCCGAGGTGGATGAGGTTGTAGTACTGCACGATGACCTGCGCGCCGGGCCGGGAGAAGTTGAGCGTGTAGGACTCTTCGGTGCCGCCGAGGTAGTGCAGCTCGAAGATGAGGTCTTTGGAGAGGTAAGATTGGTCGCGCCAGATGATCCAGCCGACGCCGGCGGTTACGAGGCCGTATTTGTGGCCTGGGTTTGTTAGTGAGGGTGCGGGTTGAAGGGGGGGGTGAGGAGTTACCTGAAGCGTTGATCGAGACAACGCGAGGCAGCTCAAAGTTCCTACGGTCAATGTATCAGCGTACAGATGCAGGCAGCTTTAGGGATAGACTACCCACCACTTCCACCCTCCCGTTCCGGCGTGCGTAAAAGGCACCACAAACCCACCACTGGCAGCGTCGACATGGATCGGGATATCCACCCCCGTCTTCTCCTGATACTCGTCCAGTATCTTGCTTATCGTCTCCACGGGCTCGAAATGTCCCGTATAGGTGCTCCCCAGGATGACAAACACCCCGATCGTGTTCTCATCCACATTCTCCCTCACCAAATCCGGATCCAAGCAGAACTTGCTCTTTTCCGACACGGGCAGCACCCTCGCCTCGACCTCAAAGTACCGCGCAAACTTTAGCAGCGCCACCTGCGCGTTAGCACCCATAATAATATTCGGCTTCGACGTATCCAAACCCTTCTCCCTACGGCGCTCCTGCCAGCGACGCTTCATTGCCAAGCCACCGAGATGAATCGCCTCGGACGACCCCACGGTCGGGGAGCCGACGGCCTTCTCGCCCTTCTGGACGGCCCACAGGTGGGCGAGGATGGAGACGCAGCGGTTGGAGATGGCCAGCATGGCCGGGTACTCGTCGTTGTCGGCCAGGTTCTTGCCCATGTTCTCGACCATGAGCCGCTGCGCGTTGTCCTCGAGGTACGTGTCGACGAAGCTGGCCAGGTTCAGGTTCGGCCGCCCGTCCAGGTCCAGCTCGTCCTTGAGCATCTCGTACACCGTGTCCCCCGGCGCGCCGTCTGGTGGGATCTGGTACTTGGGGATGTCCCGCTGGCTGGTGTAGGGCGTCGAGAAGGGCGTTAGGTGCGCCGTCTGGCCGGTGGTGGATCCCGCGCTCTCGGAGGGTATGCGCAGGTCTTGCAGGTGGCGGATGATGTCTTCGGGGTCGACCTGTGTTTGTTAGGGGTCTGAAACCGTGGGTATGCTTTTTCTTGGATGGCGGCTTACATGCCGTGAGAGCGACATGGTGGGCAACTCAATGAGGTAGTTGGTGACGGCGGAAGGACTAGTGGTTGATTGAGATCTCGTGATGTCGAGCTCAACGAGATATAAGGGAAACTGTAGTCAATGAAAGGCTAACCCGGAATCTCATGGGAGGAGTCGGGGTCGGAGACCGAATGCGGGTTCACCACACGCCATAATGATGACATCACCACCAGGGAACAAACGGGCAGTCACTGAGCGGGATGGGCGAGATCTCCAGGTACTTACAGCAACATCCGGAAGTGATGTGTGCCTAGAAGGGAGGCATTGCAGTGGGAAGGTGAGAGCGACACAAACTGATCGGTTGGCACTTGGTCATCAACCATCAACTCATTAGATCTATTTAGTTGGAGCGAGGTATGTTACGGCTCTAGTCGTCCTGGTTTACTGACTTCTCCGAGGAGGTAGCGAGCGATGATAATTCGAAATGTTGACAATAAAACTTGGGTTTGGTATTCCCTTCCGCGCATATATGATTCGAAATGGAAGGATGGGAATTCACGAGCCTAGTAAGTTGGTGCAGGTCATGCTCTGAGCTCCTTCCACGATGCCTACCCACCTGCCACAGTTGGCTCGACACAAGGGTTAGGGTTTGAAACACAGCCGCTGGCAAAGTGGGGCTCTGCCTTTTGCACATGTGCACAGACCCCTTCCGCTTGGCTATAAATTCTCTGCGGCCCTCCCAAATCTTCCTCCTCTTCTCTTTTCCTTTCCCATCCAAGTGCAGGGGTTTTACGTGTATCAGTGAGGATTCGTCCGAGATCACGTTTTTGCTAGTTGAAAACTACATACCTGACCGCTCCTGTTGGGTTTCGACCTGACAGGGAATTTTTGGAACCCTTCCTCTTCGCAGGAGTTCATCATTTCCTTCATTTCCATCGGCCCATGCGGGTCGAGGCGAGGAAGGTTTTTGTCGGCTGCGGCTGCATCATGATTGAACGGCGAGTTCATCAAACTCATTAATTCCTTGTTTCTCGTCTTAAGATAAATCGGGTATTTTACGGATTGTTGACTCGCGAATAACATCACGCAGTATCCAAAACAACCACTTCGGCCTCGGCATCACCCACGCTCTCCACAACCAGCTTGTCTCCCGCATTGACGCCGTCAACAAACGCGCCGTCTCCCTCCACAAGCACCCCCTCCTCCCTGCCATCCAGCCTAATCTTCGCCTTCCCACCCTTCGTCATGGGCAAGTGCACATAGACCTTCCTCTTCGTCGCGCCCGTCGCATTAGCACCAACAACCCACTCGAACCTGCCCCCCGGCGCAATAATGCCCGCCGCCATGACAAAATCGGCATGGATGGCGATAGTCCCTGGGATCGTCGGCTCGGCGGCCTTCTCCTGCGCGGGCGTCGCGTCGGGCCCGCCCCGGAGCGGGCTCAGCAGGCTGACGAAGCCCTTGCGCTTGTCGTCGTCGCCGTACCGGCCCGACGCGTACCGCGGCGCCAGCCCGCGCTTCCAGGGCGTCGCCCAGATCTGCAGGAAGTGCACGGGCTCCCGCCCGTAGTTGTACTCGGCGTGCGTGACGCCTGTCCCGGCGGTGGTGAATTGGATGTCGCCGCGCCGTACCCGGCAGAATAGCTCTGACTCGGATTCTTCGGCTGTGGTGGTGGTGGTGGTGGTGGTGGTGCCCTTCTTTTGGTGCGTCGAGTCCGTGTGTGTCAGCTCCCCCGAGAGGATGTAGCTGAAGATCTCAAAGTCGCGGTGCGGGTGGGTCGGGAAGCCCGAGTTGGCCTTGACCCGGTCCTCGTTCAGCACCCGCAGGGCCCCGAACTGCGCGAAGTTGGGGTTGTACCAATTGGCGAAGCTGAAGGAGTGGTAGGTGTCCAGCCAGCCGTGGTTGGCGTGCCCGCGGGCAGCCGAGAGGTGGGGGGTGATTTTGGCGTGGCGGAGTGTGTTGGTCATGGCGGTCTTGACGGTGTTCATAGGAGATGGCTCTTTGGTGATGTTGAGCTTATGAGAGTTGTTTTATAGAATGTGATGGTGTAGTGATTGAGGTGTGGAAGGTTTTTAGTGTTCTAGAAATTCGGTTTTTGGAGAAGATCCGAAGATGGCCTGCCTTTTATACTGCGGATGATGGGAGGTGTTAGTTGGTAACATGGTGATTTGCTGAGCATTGCAAACAGATTATCCACATATATCATGGCGAAGGCCGAGACTCTTGGATGCCCTCATCAGTGACTGATGGTAAAAGTGGAGACTTTGCTTGCCCAGGCGCTGACGGATGATTACCTCACGCTTTGGTTGGCTTTTCGAGATGAATCAGCAGAATTTTCCCCACAACTTCAACTCTTGTTCTTTTCATCACCATAACCAGCTCGACGTTGGTGTTCATCGGCATAATCCTCGATCTAAAGCTGGCCTTCTTCCTCGATCCAGTATTTAGCCTGACTCAATGTTCAAGTCGCCCATCCTGGTTGGCATTCCATTGGCGGCGAACAGCCAAAAACACAGCTACGCTCTGGTTGTTGGTGGTTCCCTTGTTCTGCGCCTAGTTCTTTGTTTGCCGAACGGAGGCTTGGGCTTGTACTACCAAATCCTTGAACAGCCTTGTCCGAACGACACACCACAACGCCATTGTCACTACGTTCTATTGTCCGTGCATGTCCCTTATATAACGAGTCCTATTTATTTTGCCGTTGATCGGCAGCATGCCTCGATCTTCTGCTTGGCTGAGAATTCCTAGTTGTTTTCCTATCTCTCTATATATATACCCCACATATATATACCGGCCTCCTTCCCTTGTTAGAAGGTCAGCCAAAACACCAAAAGAATCTGCCCCACACGCCAGCTTCCACACATTCCATTCATCATGTGCTACATACCCAAAAACGTCTATACGGTATGCGCCCACACCAGGGTGGGGGAGCTCGTCGCGTGCGCTCGTCAAAAGGTCAGGAATGCGCGGCTAGAAGACGGTAATTGGTGTACCAACTTCCAGTTGACCTTCCGGTCCTGCCGTCCGGTTGAGCTGGCGAAGCTGAAGTATTGGTTTTGTCCAGAATGCCGCGAGCACTACAAGGGGTACGACACAAACGGTGCAGAGGCCATTCTCAACTACTGGGCCTACAAGGCTCTCTCCGGCTTTACCTACAGCGTCTCTCCTGGGGCAATCCCCGCCGATGTGGTATTCAACGGAACCGTGCCTGCCCTTGCCCGGTCCACAAGAGTCCGGTGCGAGCTGATCGCCCTTGATAAGGCGTGGCCTAATAATAGCCCGTTCGAAACGAAGGTCGAGTGGTTGCAGAGACTTGAACGGGCGCGAACAGTGACGTTGGAACTGGCTAGGAGTTGGTCCGGCACGCAGCCTTGCGTACAGGGCAGCGAGATCAGTATCCAACCGCGAGTGCCATCGCCCATGACTGCCTACCCGTTTTCCTATGTGCATGACCATGCACTCAACACCATCACGGAAGCAAGCGACTCCCTGAAATCCGCCGCAAACCCGCCTTCGTGGCGTGAAACCATTGATCGGGAAACACCACAAGTCCACCTCAACACGCTCGCGAGGTTGTGCGGGATGACCCCCCTGGAGTCCCTGCCACCCCGGTCAGAACAAGCACAGCGTTCGATCTCAGCGAGCCCAACACTGTTCGAAGTTCCGTTGGACCTTACCGAACCTTGGGGCCCATTGCCCGTTGACCAGGAGATGGTGGGCGAAGAATCCCACCACGCTTCTGTAGCGCTCGCTCGGCCGCTGAGCCGTCAGTTGACTGAGCAATTTAACCAGCAGCAGCACAACATCCAGTCTGAATCCTTCAACGACGGATCTGGGGAAGCTTCTAGGAGAAGCAATGGCAACGTGCCTGGAACCAAGTTTGGTTATTGGGATCATGAGGCGTGGGTGGACGACCCAACTGATGCTGCCTCGGTTGAGCCAACCCAAGAATCCCTAGGGAACGAAGCTGAACGGTCTCCTCAGGCCGACGATGAATGGGTCGATGATCGGACTAACAGTTTCTCAGCTGAGCCAGTCCAAAACTCACCTTACAGAGATCCCGCAGAACGTCTCGAGACCGATGTCATCTCCAGCCATGAGGCGTTTGCCAACGTCACCCTTGACGGGGCCAACGTAAGAGACGCGGCGCAGGAGTATTCGGAGCCCAACACGACCAGCCGTTTCTCCGTTTCAGAATTCGACGCAGACGAAGCAGGCGAGCGAGCCAGCATTGCCTCGGTCAGTTCGGTTGCCGAGGATGAGGTTCCTGCACTGGACGACAGCGACACCGCCTCCCCGGTATCCGAGTCGGGAGCAGAGCAAGAGTACAGGCTTCCGGAACAGCGTAAGTCTATTATTGATGCCCTCAGCAGTTGCTCAACACCGGAGATCGTCTCCCCCGAACCAAACCGTATCCCCTCACCACCTAGGTTCGTTCGCGAGGATAATTATCCCGCGACTGAGTCATTGAATTCGGACGCCTACTGGAACGATTTTGGAAATGGGTTATCTCGTGAGGCCAGCATGTCGCCCGGTATGGTGGGTTCACCGAGTATGATGGGTCTTTCGCCACAGAGTGTCTCGGTCATGTAAGTCACATAAGATAGCGAGAAAGGAAAAATAGGTAAGGCCTGTAATAAACATGCCAAACCTTGAAGACTCATTTTTTTAGTAATTTAATTTAAAGTATAACCGTCTATATTATACCCAAGCAAGTTGAGCTTTTGTGATTCATTGTGATGTTCACCGTTTTGCTTCCCCAGACCATCTTGACCTATCGAGGGTTAGGGTGGTTGGTGACGTTCTGCGGCGTGACTCTTATCGGTCAGCTCCCCCAGCACCGATAAAAATGCCCCGCCATCAACCAAGCGCGCCTCCAAGCCAAGAGTCGAGGTCTCTTTCGCCTTCATTCACCGACGGAACCACTTCTCACCCTCGACACACACTCGATCGCGAGCTCCCATGGACAAGGCACAGGATGGGCTGCTAAGGCGGCCCCTCTATCTCTTCGACCTGCCACCAGAAATCCTCAATTCGCTCGCTCTCAAACCAGACGCGGGGTTGCCTGCTCTTGCCGGAGATGCGCCCACTACTTCGGCTTCCTCAGGGGACCTGACCCCAAGTCCCGCCAGCGCCGAAAATATCCTCGGATCACAGGCCTGCTCCCTATGCGGCATGTCTTTCGCCACCGTCGAGGAGCAGAAGGAACATCTCAAAACCGACCTCCATTACTACAACCTCAAACAAAAGTTGAACGGCCTCAAACCTGTTTCCGAAGCCGAGTTCGAAAAGCTTGTCGAGGAGAACGATATGAGCATCTCGGGATCGGACACGTCGGATAACGAGGATGAGGAGGACGAGCCGTCGCGCAAGGAGTCGACTCTCTCGGCCCTGCTCAAGAAACAAGCATCGCTGGCGGATAAGCGCAACGCGGACGATGGGGACACCGAGGCGGAACCGAAGAAGAAGAGGGGGTCGGGTAAACCGCCATTGCTGTGGTTCGAGTCACCACAGCTCCCAGACCGCACTTATTTCGGGATATACAGGAGCTTGTTCACTGCAAAGGAGTTGGACAAGGAAGATGCGATTGTCGAAGCCATCAAACAACGACAATTACCTCCGATATCCATGCCCAAAGCCGCCAAGGATGGGAATACCATCCCCCCAGCCTACAATGGCAGGCACATATTCCTCTGCATGATGGGAGGCGGTCACTTCGCCGCCATGGTAGTGTGCCTGGCTCCGAGGAAGACCAAGCACGGCTCGGCTGGGCCACTCAACAGGGAGGCTGTCGTTTTGGCGCACAAGACCTTCCATCGGTACACGACTCGACGCAAACAGGGTGGTTCACAGTCAGCCAACGACAACGCTAAGGGGGCCGCTCACTCAGCCGGTGCCTCGATACGCCGATACAACGAACAAGCCCTCGTTGACGACATCCGAGAGCTCATCAGTGACTGGAAAGCGTTAATCGACACCTCCGACCTGCTCTTTATCCGAGCGACCGGGGCGACAAACCGGCGGACTTTGTTCGGGCCTTACGACGACCAGGTCATGCGCTCCAACGACCCCCGTATCAGGGGCTTCCCCTTTTCCACGCGAAGAGCGACACAAAACGAACTCATGCGCGCCTTCATCGAACTCACCCGCCTCAAGGTCAAAGAGATCCAGCCCGAAGAGGTTTCCGCGCCAACCGAAGCGGGCAAACCCTCCAAACCCAAGACCGACTCCAAACCAACCCCCCCAAAACTCACCGAAGAAGAAGAAACCGCCATCTTCCACACGACCCAAATCCAAGCCCTCATCCGCCGCTCCAAACTCCCCGCCCTCCTCTCCTACCTCACCACCAACAACCTCCCTCCCACCTTCACCTTCCAACCCGCCGACACCCAACAGAACCACCACGCCCCGACCGCCCTCCACCTCGCCGCCGCCCAAAACTCGGGCCCGCTCGTCGCCGGCCTCCTGACCCGCGCCAACGCCGACCCCTCCAGAACCAGCAGCGAGGGCAAGACGCCCTTCGACCTCGCCGGCGACCGCGCCACCCGCGACGCCTTCCGCGTCGCCCGCGCCGAGCTCGGCGAGGATGCCTGGGACTGGGACGCCGCGCGCGTGCCGGCGCCGCTGGCGCGGGAGGAGGCGGAGAAGAGGGCGGAGAGGGAGCGCAAGGCGGCGGAGAAAGAGGAGGAGGTGAGGCGCGCGGCGGAGGAGGAGAGGTTGAAGGTGGAGGGGCCGAGGGTGGATGGTAATGGTTCTGGTAATGGTTCTGGTGGTGGGGGTGGGAGGAGGGGCGGGAAGAAGGGGGGGCTTGTGTTGGGGGCGGGACCGCCCAAGACGGCGGAGGAGAGGAGGGCGGAGGAGGCGAGGGGGTTGACGGGGGAACAGAGGATGAGGTTGGAACGGGAGCGGAGGGCGAGGGCGGCGGAGGAGAGGATTAGGCGGTTGCAGGGCGGTGGGTGAGTGGTGAGGGAGGGTTGGTACATAGTTACCTGGGTGAATGAACTTTGTTGATCGAGGTATCCGTGGTGAGCCTTTCTAGACGCTTGGGGCCCAGTGACACCAGGCCGACCAACTTTCCTGCCTGCCTTGCCCTGGCACCAGTTATCCGCCGTTGCTAAGGCCCTCCTCCGAATACAGCATCAAGATGATCAAGTCCACTTCAAGGCTGCGGTGATCCGACTGGTTGCCTTGGTGCTTTCTTTACGAAAGTAGAAGAAAAGTCCGAAACGAAACAAACAACAAGGCCGCCAACGCGACCCAGTACTAAAGAACCCCGTACGTTTCTGACTGCCAGGCCCAGTGGCGCTAGCACACCGTTTCGGGTGCCATGTCAAGGCCGGGGCCGGTTGTGGGGCCTCGTTTCGTTCCCGGATCCGGGGATCATGGCCCTTACCGAAGGCCGACCCGGCGGCGCGCCGATCGGCCCCACTAGCGGCCCTAAACGGCCGGCCGTCAGCACTTAAAAATGTGGAACTTTTCTTGGTGGTTGGAGTGGCTGCTGTGCCTCGTAAGGGGAATATTGAAAAAGGTGGTGTGTTGTTAGTGGTTGCTATGGTTAGATGTTCCGTGGCCGCCCACGATCCATGGTACGATATCAGATTATGTTGCACAAGACCGCGGTGTTGGCCCGAAATAAACTCACAAACGAGGGCGGCCTAGATGTTGCCTGTGGGAGGTCGGCGGGATAGTGAATAAAGTTGGGCAAGATCTGCAGATCTGATGTTTCCGAGGCCGTTGTGCCTGAAGGACCGGGCCCGGGCAGTCGATTTCTTTTTACATGCCGCTGCTGTTGCAGATGGATTGCCTACCCTGATCTCTCATTTCATATACACCGGTACTTTGTAAATGGCTGCTGACGTGGTGTTTGTGGCGTTCACTTCAATCATCTTTGCCGCGCCGTGCCGCTCAGGGAATGCTTTCCCTGGCCCTGCTCATGGTACATAGAACCCGAAGGCGTCCACGTTCGGGAGCTCTCGGACTATTCTCCCCGAATCACCCGAAGCAAGGACTTGTTGCGAGTTTGTGTTGGGACATAGCGCTCGGACTGAACGAAGCCAGCCTACCTAGCGTGTTGGCCATTCCTCGCGCTGTGGCCTGCGATGGTCCCAACTGCCGGTGTGATGCCCAGAGTGTTCGGGTCGGATTCGGGTTCTTGTTTTGGTTTGTTCCCGGTGGTAAAGGAGATTTGGTGCCACCGCGGAACAGACGGCTCTGACAATGAGTCCCAAAAAAGAGGGAAGATCTTCCCGAGGACGACCAAGTGACCATGTTCCCCTGTGCCCTGGTCTCTCGGCCAGTGGGCTCGTCGGTTCCCCAACAAGACCGCATTGCCGGGACTCGGAGATAACCTCTCTCAAAGGCTAACATAGCCACAAAGATGGCGTATGGGAGAAAGGAGAAGCTGTGGCTGTGGGGTCCGGAGCTCCGGCAATGTGGGCCAATTTTGTCGCATCATCACGACACGAGCTCGATGAATCCGACTAACGACAGACCGAAACCAAGTGTGAGGAAGTTGTTCGCCGTTGGGGTTGCATCACTCGTCGAACAAGGAAACGTGCTGCCCCTGAGTTTGGCTGCTCTGGGTGTTGCATTGCTGCCAAGCGAGGTGGTCTGTGAGGTAGCTTTCCGGTGCCCGGGTGCCCCCGGCGTGCCCTGGTGTGCAAACTATCGGGACGCTATGTGCTTGCACAAAGTCGCGAATGGGGCGAAAATGGGTCCATCGGGGAATTAACGGCCAATCTGTGCCGAGTACCGTTATTGATAACTATTTTGTACTTGTAGTTTTGCGAAAGCGCTGAGATTTGAGACCTGCTGTTGATGACAGCTGCTTTGTCCGGCGCTACCAAGTGCGTTTGTTGACGATCGCGGCTGATGTTGAGAATGTGGAAACTAGGCGCCAGAGACGGCGGTTGTCGTCAAAGAAGGCTGAAAAGATGCTCCGCTGATCGATGCGGGTTTCCGATCTGATAGGCAGCGATTCACCCGCTTCGTGGGCGGCAGATTCATCCCGTCCGAATTCTCCGGCGAGCAGGATGGAACCCGGGATTGGAGCTAAAATTGGCACCATGTGGGCCCTTTTTTGTCTCTCAGAGCAAGCACCTGAGACACGCACAAAGTCTGCCAGAGGTTAAGCGCTGTCATCTGTCAGTCGACCGCGCGTAGACAGATTTGTCGACAATTTTGAATGATGAGGTTCATCTTGTTGCGCTGGTATTAGAATCGCAGGGTTAAGAATCTTTGAGCCAAGGCTGAGGTTGCAGTTGCTTGAGAAAACGCACAGGCCTGCTCATTGGCATCCAAGTTTGCTGTTATCGTTGTATTGGTTGGTCAGATCGGTGGTGCTCTGTCCAGATGAGTTGATTGACTCCGAATTCAAGTTGTAAAAAAGCAACGGAATCCACTTGCAAACCTGCAAGTCAGGCCAGTCAACTGCCGGACGAGGGCAGTCACGACCCATGGCGAGAGAATGGCCCGATGTGGGGCCCATCTGGAACACAGCGCCAAGAGTCTCGCGCTTTCGGCGCCCACGTACCTGAAACATGAAACCCTCTGGCGCCCAGGCTAACAAAGACTTACTTTTTGAAACACGGCACTCGATCGAGTGGGCTGCCGATGGCCACAACCTGGAACCCGGAAACAACAGACGACTCGTCAGAAGCACCGAGAAACCGGAGGGTTTTTCAGCTGGCATCTTTCGGAAAAGCAGGCAAACAAAACAGTCACACGCATATTGCCGCTGTTCAAACCCAGCAGCACTGAATTAACTAAGCCCCAAACAGCCAGCAAACAGCAAAATAGCACAGCAGGAAAGCAGGAAAGCAGTCGAAAGCAGCAAGAATTCAACATGGCTTGGATCCACCGACCAGGGCAGTTTCCTGGATCCAGAAGCTCGGCCCGTGGTTACGGTTCCTTTTGGGAACCGCTTCCATCGCTAGCTTGTGGGGAACCCTCGAGCAATCGCAAGCAATAGTGCAAGGATGCCAACCTCAACAGTGCAAGCAAAGTGCAAGCAGTTGGTTTCTTGGCACGACCTGAGTGCCCATCGGCAACCACGCGAAACCCAGGAACAAGCGTTCCGGGTCACATTCTCGGCAACAGTTGCGCTCGGAGGACAAAGCTCAGGCGAACGCTCCTGTAGTGCTTGTACCTGCAGTAGCGTCGTCGGCGTGGCTGAGCAAGCCATCACCTGTTTCAAGGCGATACCATTCGATCGCCTCAGGGGTCGAGAGTCTGGATCGTGCAGGCTCTGGATGATGTGCTGTTCTTGCTCACAGTCCGGTTCCTCCGGACTATTCTTTACGGTTATGTGGAGATTAACGTTATTCGACATGGCGCATTTGACAGGTGCGTGTCCCAATCAAGGGCCGGATTACGTAGGACCTGATTTCAAGCTTAATTGACCCTTTCACCAGTCAACGCGGCCTCCCTGAAAAGGGTAACCTGAAGAGCCATCTCCCGTCGGTTTTGGCGTTGGGATGTGTACTATGTAACCGATTGGCCGTGTGTGTTGGGTCGGGCTCGAACCGCCCCCTGGGCCAGATCTCGAGCACACCCCTGTTTGGCACCCCCTTGTTCACCGACCCCTGTCGGCCAACCATGCGAGCCCAGGTTGCTGCCGCTGGCCAGAGCCGCGCGCCACCCCAGCAGCTCAGCACCCTTGGATACAACGTCGACGGCGCGGTGGGACCTTGATGAATCTCTCCCCGTCCAGGTGGTATTGCCGCGAGGGAGTTGTGCAACCGCGCCCATCCGCAGAAAGGGATCTCGACAACCACTCCCCCAGCGTCCCCTTCCTGATGCTGCGAGACATGCTACCCTGCAATGTCGAGCTTTGCCGTTCCGGGTAGGGCCGTCGATTACCGACTTCTCTCATTGGTCCCTGGCCCCCTTCGAGCGAGAGAGAGACAAAGAGCTGTGCCTGGGGAAGCCAAAGTCAACTTAGTCAACATCGACACATCCTGGGCTCCCTGAACACTCCGTGGACCCTCCCTGGCCACCACGGACACCATGGACACCCCTGGTCTCCGGTTGTGGCCCTGTTCTTTGTTCCGCTCTCACCCTGTGGAGTGGCCTGCAAGGGGTTGAGTGACTTCCAGCTCTCGTTGCTGTTGCCTCCGTGTATATAGCAGCGACTGCCAACCCTCTTCTCACTCTTGTTTCCGATCCCATCACCAAGTCCGGTGTCCTCCTTTCTTCCAGTCTCAGTGTGACCAACAGAGGCAAAGCCATTCGCTTCTTTGCCTTTTCTCTTTCTTGACACTTCAAGTTCATTGTTCATACTCTCGCTGGCAAGACCATCTCCCAACCGAACCATTTTTATTTGAAGGCGCCAGTTCCGCCAATACAGCTCCGACACCCACCCAGTCTATCGTTTCCTGTTAGCATCCATTCAGAACAACGGCAACAGATTCACTATGAAGACTTTCGTTCCTGTTTTGGCCCTCGCCGCTGGCGTGTCGGCGACTGTAAGTTCCATCCGTATCTTCAGCTCCATGTCCCGATCAACATGACTTACACCCCGTTCCGCAGTTCCACGGGGCCCCTCCCTTTTCATTCCCGGGCAACACCGACAACAAGTGTACCGATAAGCAGAAGCCTGGCTTCAGCTGGGACGACCTGGATTTTGGTGACTTCTTCGACTACAAGGACTTCAACTTCCGCGGCTGGAAGTGCGAGGATGACGGCGAGAAGAGGAGCCGGTTTGCTCCCCGCACCTTCGGGAAGGCCATTAGTGGTACTTGCTCTTCGGACAAGCAGAAGTCGCCGTCCTTCGGTTGTGGTGCCGCCGTGGACAGGTTCTCGCTAGGTTCCATCCACGTCAAGCCCGAGTTCGACTGCGATCTCGAGTTCCACTATGACATGCCCGATGGATCGAGCTGCAAGCACCGCAGCCCCTGCAAGTCTTCTGGTACCACCGTCGTCAACCGCCAGTGCGGCGGTGCCAAGAACGTCACCATCGTCTACCCCCCGCAGCCCAAGCTGCCGAAGCCCAGCTGCAGCATCAGGGTGCCCACCATCTCCTTCGACTGCGACTCTGCTTCCAGCACCAAGCCTCCCAAGACCAAGACGACCAAGACCGCCGAAACTGCCACTCCGCCTGCCGAGGCCACCACTACCTCCGAGGTCGAGCAGCCGTCAACCACCCCGCCTGCTGGCACCCCCCCTGCCGAGTCTAACACCCCTCCCGCGGAGTCCAACACTCCCCCCGCCGAGACCAACACTCCTCCCGCGGAGACCAACACTCCTCCTGCCGAGACCGACACCCCCCCTGCCGAGTCCAACACTCCTCCTGCGGAGACCAACACTCCTCCTGCTGAGACCGACACCCCGCCTGCCGAGTCCAACACCCCTCCTGCTGAGTCCAACACTCCTCCTGCGGAGACCAGCCCCGTCCCCGAGGTCAGCGCCACTAGCACAGTTGCGCCTGGCCAGCAGACCAGCGATGTCATCGTTCCTCCCCCGGTGACCAAGACCATCACGACCAGCTACGACAGCACGTCGACCGTCTTCACCACCAGCATTCAGACCATCACCTCGTGCGAGCCTACCGTCCCCGACTGCCCGGCCAACTCGGTTGTCACCACCGTCGTCACTGTCGCTGTCTCGACCACCATCTGCCCTGTCACCGAGACTCTGACCACCATCGAGGGCCCTGCCTCCAGCGCCCAGCCGAGCGAGGGACCCAGCGATGGACCTAGCGACGGACCTAGCGACGGACCTAGCGATGGGCCTAGCCAGGGACCTAGCGATGGGCCTAGCGAGGGACCCGGTGCCGAGCCCACTTCTCCTCCCGACGTTGCGACCACGTCCGCTCCTGTTGTCGACGGCACCACCAGCGCTGTCAGCTCGGTCTTGCCCGTTGAGACCCTCCCGTGCCCCAACGTCGTCCCGTCCTGCCTGAACACCTTCCTGTTCAACACGGGCTGCTCCGACAACACCGACACCGCCTGCTACTGCCCGGATGCCACTTTCGTCAAGAACATCTACGACTGCCTGTACGCCCACGGTGAGACCGACTCCATCATCGCCGAGGCCGTCGCCTACTTCCAGGGCATCTGCGGCAAGTGGGTCAACGAGAACCCTGCCATCGCCACCGACGCCACCGTCACCACCTACATCACCGTGACCGCCCAGCCCACCGTCGCGCCCGTCTACACCACCGTCATCGTTGACGTGACCACCGTCGTGCCCTGCACCGACGATGCCGGCGAGGTCATCCCGAGCTCCAGCACCACCGTCATCGTCAGCACCAGCATGACCGTGCCGCAGGTCGACTTCACTACCGGCTCCACCGGCGGCGTCGACATGATCCCCATCACCGCCATCCCGGCCATCACCACCCCTCCCGCCGGCGGCCCCGACGGCCCCGGTGCCGTCATCACCGCCAACGGCACCGCCATCACCGTGCCCACCGGCACCGGCTCGCTCGTCCCCACCGGCACCAACACCGTCGTCATCGGCGCCGGTGGCCGCGTCAGCGCCAGCTTCGGCCTCGCCGCCGCTGTTGCCTTTGCCGCTGCCATTGCCCTTTAAGGGTCTTCTTGGCTACCACACCAGCCCCTGGCATAAACCGGGCAAATAACAATCTAATTCTCACGCTCCTTACGAAAGCAATACGACATACCATTGTATCAAACTCTCATCGGCATTTTCACCCTCAGCGGTCACTCAGCCTTGGGGCGGCTCTTGTGTTTTTTGTTTCCTTATACAGTCATCGATCCATGCACACAAGCACCTGTGTTTTTTCCTTACATCAGCGCGTGTTTTTTTGGTTCTTGAGAGAAAAACAGGAGGTGTTGTAGGCAGGCAGTCGGGTATAGACATGCAAGGAAGAAAGAGGAGGAACGGGAAGAAACCTGTGTGGTTTGTACATTATTGGACTGGATACAGCTGGCTGGCAGACTGTACATAATTGTTAATACCCCGAGCCGGATCCCAATGGCTAGACTGCTTTGATCGTTTCAGCTTGTGTGTCTTTGGTGTTTTGTGATGTGATATGCTTCGTGGAAGGGGGGATCGGAATGTGCCCCTAGAAGCCGTCCAAAGTTGAGCCCTCTGACTTGGTCAAGAAACAAGTCAACATGCATTCCTTATATCAAAAGGAGTAATCGGGAATCTATTTCTTCTATTGGTAATGGATCTTTCTCCCGCTGCAGGGTTATCCGAACGTTGCTGTCAGGTCGTTCGTCCTTCGACACGAGGTCGTGAAAGTCATGAGGTCTTTTACGCAGAGCAAACAAAAGCTGTACTGGTACGCCAACTGGCCAACTGTCATCGAGAAGTAGCCCGGTTTGAAGAGTGAGACGCTCGATAGAGGTAGGCACCTCCACCCGAACTCGCCTCCAAACCGAGATAGCTTCGCCGATTCCCATCACTACCATGTCGTCAGCTCATCACCACAATCATCAGCAGACCAGCAAGGACACCACTCGGGAGGGGCTCGAGGCCCAGATACTCAGCCGCCACACACCGGAATTCCATAAGCACCAAAACCATGCACATAAAAACATCCACTAGCATCCACGTCAGCACCCACGCCCACCACTCCAAGCCCAGATACAGACAGACGCCCACGAGGCCCATCAACAAAACCACCGTAGTCAGCCACAGCAGCCCCTCGCACAGCGCCGGCCGCCCATACGTAGGCCCCGTCGGCAAAGCCAACACCGTCAGCGCAAGCAGCACGACGAGCAAGCCCAGCATCGCCCACGCCAGCGCAGCGAAACCAACCGACCGACACCAAACAGCACCACCCATCGCCAGAGCCACAACCACCGCCCACAGCCAAGACCGCGACAATACGCCCCAACCCCGGCGCGCGTCATGCCAAACCCACGCCCCAACCCCAGCATCCACAAACCCATCCCACAACGCCATCCCCTTCTCAATGGACCCCTCCCTCCCCACCGCCACCGCAGCCTCCTCCAGAAACAAACCAGCATACCCATCCAACCTCGCCCGCCACGGCGCCGTCAGCACAGCACCACTACCCACTGGTCCCACTCCCGCGATGGGAGGGCTAATACTCTCCCAAGGCACAACACCCCCCCTACAAAACCGCACCCAGCGCGCTACGATACGATAGGCCGTCTCGGAATCTACGGCAAAGAACTCCCGGTGGCGGCGGCTACAGTCGGGGCAGCGGAAGGCGTAGCGGGCTGGGCGGAGCTCGGCGTGGGCGAGCTTTTCGACGTGGTGGGCGTGGTGGGAGGGGAGGGCGTGGTTGTTGTTGTTGTTGTTGAGGCGGTTGCTGGGTTGGTTGTTGTTGTCGTTGTGGGAGGGGGGAGGGGAGGAGGTGGTGGTGGAGGTGAAAAGGGGGGAGGGTAGGGCTGCTGCTTCGATCTGTAGGCTTGGGCACGACCGTTGCATGGCGGTGAGGCGGGTGTCGACGGCTTTGGAGGTGTAGCCGATCTTGACTAGGGGGGTGTTGTTGTGGGTGGCGGTGAGGATGTAGATGAAGCCCTGGGTGGTGGGTGTTGTTAGGGGTAGGTTGGCGGCGTGGCGGAGGAGATTGTCGATGGTGAAGCTGGTGTTGGTGTATTCGGGGGGTTCTGCGGTCAATGGGGTATTGGTTTGGGTTGGGGAGGGGAATACAGGTGTGCTGTCTACAGCTGTTGGAGCTTCGTTGTTGAAAGATGTTGAGTTTAAATCGTCAGGGTCGAGGGTTGAAGCACTACCAGACCATAAACCTTGTCGCTGGATACCATGGCGGGCAAGATCCCACAAGCCAGAAAGCACAGCAACAAGATATTCTGTCCTGGGAGGACCTAAAGGGTCCGGACTATTGTGTGATGCCATAATTTTGGGTAAATAAACCTATAGTTATATATATATGCGTGATGATGGTGAGCGAAAGGGTGGTGTAGCTGAGAGCTTTACGGTTGTAAGAGGTCGACAATGACAATGGGATGAGCGGACAGCGCGACGAGGTAGTTATAGAAGGTAATCCATCCCCGTACGAGTTGTACGCGCTCAGACTTCTGAGTTTGTATGCAGCCCGAACCAACTGGTCTTGGCGGGGGCTTCGGCGGGTGGTGTGCCTTGTCCCCCAGCTGGGCAGCCTTACCTGAGTTTGGAGGCAGGCGGATGAGGGAACATCAGGCACGCAATTCTGCGCACGCTTTAGGGCCAGTGGGCATAATCGTCGCCGACAGACAGTTTCCCAGAGGAGTTATGGAGTGTCGGGTTGAGGGCGACGAGGGCGAGGCAGAAGGGACAAACCAGGGTCTTGTAGCGTTAGGACCATAGCTGCCGTTGTCACGATAATCGAGTTTTGGGTTAGATTGTTAATCGTTGACTGAGAGAGGCGCGGTTCGAGATCGGCCGTTTTGGCGTTGCGTAGTGTGGCGCTGCTAAAGCGACCTGACGCTTCAGTGGTTGCGTTTGGTGCGCGCAGCAAATGGCTGCATGTCTCCCGGTTGAATTGCTGCCTAGGTAGCGATATCTAGAGTCGCGGGCAGGGGCCGCTGTCTGTGAGTTCCATACCGAGACAGTACCGAGGGAGATGTGACATCTTCTCACTCAGTCTTTCACCTGTCTCCGGCGCTTTCACGGGTCTCCTTGATCTCCACACATATTATAATGTCCGAGAAGAGTGGATGACTTACCTCCTTGCACGTACACTCGCTGCTCGCTCCCAAGCGTGGCTCGCGGGACGAGAGCCCAACTCCACCTCTACTTACCGACATGGATGGCCATCATAGACCCCGACGTTTGAGTTGAAGCCCGGAGACCCACCCTCAGGATGAGGCTCGCTGTTCGGCATCCGTCTTGACGTCAGGTCAAAAAAGGGTTGAAATTTTCCCCTTCTCCATTGTTTCTTACGTACAAGCAATATCCTCGTCGGTAATTTCCAACCGCACTTGGGGCACATGACGTCCCTTTTAGGGTATGTTTGCAGGCCGGCAGCAGGCCGGCGATGTTGAGTTATATATCGACCATGACGGTGCGAACACCTCCTCGGCATCGCATTCCGGGTTGGGAGTACGACCCAGGTCGTCCATGACAGCATCATGGCCGTTTTAGTCGCCTCACACAGTTGGTTCGACACTGGTGAAAAATCGCGCGACACAGCCAGCGGGAAATATCGGGAGGTTCCAAAGTCGGGTCGGAATGGCACCCGTTCTCACCTCCGCCATTGCCTGGTCATGCTCGCCATGTGAGGCGATCCCGGTTGACAAAGTCGACCCCCACTCGGCCTTGCCCCGTTTGAGAACGGGTTGGTGTCCCGAGGGATCTTCTAGAAGCGGGAGGGCAATGCCAAGACCCTGCAGCTCGACGATGGGAGTTCCCACAGTAAGGAATGTGGATGCTGAGGCTGGGAAGCCGAACAGGGGAAACGACCGAAGCGAGCCCTCGGCGAACCGGTGATGCTGACCGAGGCCTCTGTATTCACTCTGGTACGCTTTCCACGTCCATGTTGAACAAGCACAACCCGAGCTGCTGCTGAGTCATTCGGCTTTCTGAGCAGCCTCGGGACGCTGTTGAAGGATGGGCGTGTGCAAGGAAGAGCACTGCAATGGTCCATGTCCGTAATGTGGCAAGTTAGCTCATCCTACTTTACACAGTAGCATGACATCGTCAATGGCCAGCTGTTCTTGATACCACCGACATGGCTCGGTTCGAAGGTCGCGGTCGGCGGTGAGGGACTTATTGACATGGGCACGATCCTGTGTGGCAGCCCAGTCGCCTGATGGTCTGGATACCTGCTGACGGGAGTGAGAACAAGGCACACCTCTACAAGAGCAATAGTTATTCAAATCCGAAACATCTCCGTCGGTGTCTCGTGCCTCGATGAATTGGTGCTGCGGGAAAGGGATGATGCAAATAAAGTAGGGCTCGGCGATGCGACTCGGAGGGTCGGACCTTAATTTGCAGCAATTGACGCGCTGCAGGATGCTGGGGTTCGGGCGGAAATGCAAAAAACTGGCCACTAATGCCACTTTGTGTCAGAGATTCCTCTTCTGGATACGCGACCCGTCCCCGGGCCACGCCTTCCTTTGGTGATGTTCTTTTTTGGTGGTTCTTGCCCGTGAATAAATGGCGTGCCCGCATCTGGCTCGCGCTCACACGAGACTTGCAACGTGGACGCACGGACCCATTTGCATTGAGTGTGTGGGGCAGGTCTTCGATCTCCCGTCGTGACTTGCAACTCTTTTTTTTTTCCAAATCAACCCTGCCAGTTCCATCTTTGTTTTTGAAGTAATCGGGGTTCGGCAAAGGCCAGCCACAGAACCCGACGAAATCCCGATTTCATCTCTTCCGCGGAACCTGCCACCATCAACATGGAATTCCCACGAGCTTGACTGCTTGACCGTGAGGTAAAGCGCGGGGGGGGGGGGGGAATCATACCACCACGCATCGTCATTAACAAGGGCGCGCTGCATGGTCATCGTGTCGGATCGGAATCCCTCCCAATTGGGTAACTCAACGATGACTCCAGCACGCCTTAATTCGCTCTTGCGTTGAGCGGGCAGCGGAATCAGAATGGGAATTCTTCGGCGAGCTGGGGGTCTCTGGGTGTCTGGACAAAAGCAACGCCGGAGTGAACAAGCTTACTCAGGCCGTCGGTCGGCATTTAGCTTTTTTGGAAGCCCGATGTACTGTCAAGTACCCCGCCGTACCGTTTCTCCGATCCCTGTCCTCCCTGGGCAGACCTGTCGCCTGCTCTCAACCGGCGACAATTGCGCGGCTCGGACGATTGAGTGCGCCGGGCCGATCCCGCCGCGTTGTTCTCAAGGTCCCGTCGTCGAGTTGTCTCGCAATTACAGTTCCGGCCATCGTTGTGAGTTCCGAAGAATATGCAGGTAACTTCCAACGTCTTTCTTTCTTCTCGCTTCGGCCCCGTTTCCTGCTTCGTTTCATCAATTCCCAGTTTCGTGGCGTCGTGGCATGGAGATCGGAGCGAAAAGAGCGGATCCAGATGTCCAGCGCCGAGCAAGGATCGGCCCCCAGCAGTTTGCCCAAGTGGGTGTTCGAGGGTCAAATGGCGACTCGAGCAAGTCATAAACTTGATCATCAGGATGTCAGTTACCAGGATGGGCTCCGCAACAATGGACTTCGAGAAAAATCCCAAGCCGGGAGTTTGTACAAGCCGGGACTTAACTCCACTGCCTTTGTACTTCGTGGCGGCATCGAAACCTCCCGCTCGAATCCAGGGCGCGCTCTCGGACATAACCAACAGGCCGACCGTTGATACCACCCAACACAACGCACGGCGCAGATGCCCCAACCCCGAGCCATTAATTCCATCCATGACAATGCATTAGCACTGCCGAGGAGGGCCAGGGCCAGCAGGCACAAGACACACTGCATACTTGTGCCCTCGCCTAATCGTCCCTTTGCTGCACCCACTCCTTCTCAAACCCATAACGTTGCCCCTGGTCGTCTCGTCGACGCTTCTCTTGGCCGCCCCAGTATTATTAATCGCCCAGACACACCCCTCCGGTTGATTATGCTCTCATTCTTGTTCATGAAAACGGAGTGCCCTTGAATATTCCTGAACCCTGTCCCGTCTGTCTTACTTATACATATGTGCCCTGGGCCCCTCCATGCGCGAGCTTGTTCTCACTTACACCTGGAGCTTCCACCTGTTCACCCCTCCCCCCCTTCCCCCCTTCCTACACAAGCACTGTGAAGAGGGATTGAGACTCAAGACTTCATCTACCTCCTCCTTCCCTGTCCTCTTCCGCAATGGACAGCTTACCTACACCACCCAACGAGGAACACGCTAGGCCTCAGGGGCTAAAGCGGCCTCATGCAGCATCCAAGTCTCTCAAGACAGCACATCGGACCCTGAAGCGGACCAGCACCCACAGCCATCCTCCCTCGCCGGCGCGCGAAAGTCACTCACAGCACGGCGATGGAAGGCATAAAAGGGTATGGAAGGCTTGCGAAAGGTGTCGCATGAAGAAGACGAAGGTAGACAATTATCTTTCTTAACACCCATTATCAAGCGATGTTTGCTTACTAACATGTGACATAGTGTGACGGAGAGTTTCCGTGCAAGAGGTGTAAGGACGATGGGTTGATATGCACGGCCGGGACTCGAAAGAAGACCGAGTACAAACAGCTACCGCCCGGGTACGCCGAGGTGTTGGAAAACACACAGTTCGTCCTGATCGCCACAGTCCAGAAGCTCTACTCGATGGTACGGAACGGAGAACCATGGGAGCTCGGGGAGCCGGAACTAAACGACCGCGGCCAACCCGTGATTCACAACGTCGCCGCCAAGCTCGGCTGCTTGCGGCCGAACAGCGACCTGGACCTCCCGATCCATTCGATATTCCCCGAGGACGAGGCAGGGATGGCCGAGTTGGCTCGGCAATTGCAGGACCACGCGGCGACATCGACAACAGCAGGTACTACATCGCAGGGCAGCAGCGGTAGCAGTAGGCAAGAGGCGGAATCGAATGGAATCTACAACCGGACCGACCGAGCCAGCTCGTCTGCCGCGTCAGACGTCGAGCACTCGGACCTCGACCAAGAACCCGACTACCGAAAGGCCGCGTTTGGCGCCGCCAGCGCGGTCAGCATGTCCCCTGCCAGCCTCGGCTATCCCGACTTTGACATATCCCCACCACCAGCAGGGCCGTCCGACGGGTTTCCGCCTAGCCAACACTCGCCCACCCTTCCCGCACACCCCAACAACTTCCAATGGATGAACCGGCCGGCTTCGATGGATTTCACGACCCAGCAGTTATGGATGGCAAGCCAGGGTTTTATGAGCACCGAGATGATGTCTTCTGGGGTTCTTGGCTCCAACTATGCGACCAAGCCCGCCGGTTTCTCGTCTTCATGTCGGAATCCCGAGGTCATGATGGGGATGGGCGATCCCATGATCTTCTCCGGGTACGAAGAAGACAAGCTACGGCCACTTTTTCCGAATTCGAACATCTAACTAGGGTTTTGGGCTTCTGTTTACGGGGTGGGAGTTTAACGGGCTGAATGGGCTACTTGAAACGGGCTTCTTTGAGGGTTCCGGCGGGGCGTTATGGCACAGGCGTACGGCAGAGGAGAAGGGGTTCAACCATGGGCATTGGCAGCGGCTGGTTTGCGCCCTGTGGGACGGGCTGTACAAATACGGGAATGATTTGGATCGGTTGGCGAGCACTTGCGCCTCGATGTGAGAGACCAAGCAAGCACGAGAAACGGTGGACATATCATCCAACATGCGCCGCCAAGCAGCTGCTGTTGTTACCTCAACGGTTAATGTCAAATGATAAAGAAGGCCAAGATCGCATCTCTCGCTTTCGGCGTTTCCCATGGCTCAGCCCCCTTGTGTGCCAACGCGTCAAATATAAGATGCCACCCCCTCACCACTCACCACCCTGACCTCCCCCCTTTTGAAACTCAGCCCAACATGATACGTAACCCAACCGACTTTGAGACGATTATGGTCCCTTTTCATTATGATACACAAAAGTCACAGCCCCACCGCAAACCGACGGTGAGCTCCTCCTGGGGGGGCATGGGGGACTCGACCCATCGTGCTGCAACCTGCCGAAAAGTGCCCGAACCCACGGGGCTGGGTTAGGTTGCGGGACCCCGATGGTTGGTTGGCTGGTTTCCGCGCTGTGAATTCCTGTGAACGGCACGGCCGTTGTTCCTGATCCGCACACGGGTGGCCCCTGGAGCGCTTGTTCTTACCTAGTTCGAAAGGGGAAAAAACTAAAAGAAGGTTTGTAATCATGTGTGATCGATAATCCAAAGTCATGATTGAATAATCAGTTCCACTGAATTTTCCTTTTTTTTGCCCGACTGGATGGGGATTGGGAAGATGATTGCAAGACATTCTGGCCGGGCGGCCTCACATCATCCAGAGTGAGATGAAAGTTTGAGCTCGACGCGCATTCGAGTTCGCATCGGTTTGTGAGGATGGCAAGCCTGCACTTTCCCTTTTGGGAAGCCAATCATCAACCAAAAGCTGTCGTCATGCTCTGGCAAAGCCACAACCTGTAATTTCGGATCCGATCAATACGCGGGACAGAAAACGCGGGGTTCATCTTCCCGTCCCGTCCTTTGCTGCAGACGGTTGACATACCTGAGTCTTGGCTATTGTTGACGTTTACGGGTTCGATCCGCGCAATCTCAAAGGCACAGCAATAGAGTTGACCACCGACCTTATTCTAGCTAAGACATGGCCTGCAGGTGTTATTCGAGGGCATATTCAATCCGATCTGCCACCAATTGACCCCCCGCGGCACGATCTTGGGCCGCCTAGGGGGTCGGATTCCGTTTCCTGAAATCGATGCGAAGGAAGGAAGGAGGTTCTCGTTTGCGATCGGGGTCGAGAACGCTCCGGCTCCGCGTATGCCCGGGTCGGGTTCATGATTGCATCCGTTACCCAACCCCACATCAAACCCGCCAAGAAGCTTGAGTCTTGACCACACAAACAATAATGATGCCACAACGCTCACTAACCGCTGGCTCGTCTCACGCAGGAGCCCAGCAAGCAGCGTGCCAGAACGGACAGAATCCAAGCACATTGCGCCTCTCCCCAAACGGATAGTTACGCTCCCCAAATTCCATCTCTGCTGGGCGCTGACGGTGCATACTGTGTAATGAATCACTCTGATGAGTGCCCAGCGATCCTACCCTTGGCGTCACAGCGCCGCATCCCACCAAAACGGTCGCCGCCCGTCTCGTGAGGCCAATGGGCGTATCAGATTGGACTGCCAATGAGAGATACGCAGGCCGAGCCCCTTGGCCAGGCACGCCAACACGCCGCTGGACAAATCCCAAGCTGCCGTCAAGCTTGGGGTCCAAGCAACCCTGACATGGTCCTGCCGCCGCCGTTCAGATGCTGCCCGAAGGAGAAGCCGGAGTACAAAATAACCTTCCTGTGCAACGTCAGTTTAGGATCTGGCCAACGGAGCCTTGGCTAACTCCGGCGATTTAACTCCGTATCATGATGAATCATCGCCGAAAGAGTCCCATTCTTTTTGAAGAAATCAGAAACAGGGGCACAAACATGACCCGGGGTATCGCCGAAGTCTGATGAACAATCCAATCTTTACAAAGTAAACGCTGCCTAACGCCGAATCAGATTACTCGTCCAGTATCCTCCTTGCGGACATCAATCTCCACGGCGCAAAAAAAAAGAGAAAACCTTTGTCTTGACCGACAGGGTTGCTTGGTCTTGTCAAACCCACCTCGACGCCGTTGAGACTCTTGGCTGGAACCGAACCAAGACAAAAGAAAAGACAGAAAAGTAAAAAAACAAAAAAACACACAAATCAAGATCGCAAGAGCCCGGTGGAGCCCCGCTCTCCCATGGTCCACGGGGCGGAGATCGGTCCGCGGAGAGCCAAGAAAACGTGTCCGCCGCGCCGAGTTGCTGCCAAGCTCCCGCCAAGCCGGTGTGGGCTCGGCCGCGGCGAGCTCCTTCAGGAAAACGACGCGGGCTCCACTGCTCCGTTCCCGTCTGTTGAATCGTTCACACAAAACCAGAATTAATTGAGTTAAGCGAAAGCGAGAACGCGAGCGGATTGGCGACTCTCGTCCCAGTTCACGAGTTTGTAAAGCCAAAGTCGTTACACGAAAACACTTCCCGTCCCGTCATGGGCGTATTTTCATGGTCGGTCTCACTCAGCCACCACTGTGATGAGATGAGCTGAGAAAGCGCATTGGGGAAGGAGCATCTCACATCTCAGCAAAGCACCACCTCTGCCACAACCCCCTGGATAACGAACGAGCGCGCGGGATGGCCAGTTACTGCCCGATTGGGAAAACGGCGGGATGACGGCGTTGAAGCGAACCAGGTCGTGGGTCGGTACATGGAGTGACATGGCCAGGCGAGCCAGGGGGGAATCCACGGGTGGTGGTGTGGTTGCGGAGCTCCCCACCCCGATCCCAGCGCCCTGTTGTCGTGCCTGCCCTGCGCCGACGGGAATATCGCGGGACTGCAGGGAATCAGCGCTACGAAACCCACGGCCCGCAAGCGAGCTGAAGCCCGAAGGCCCGGTTCAGCGACCGAAGAGTAGGGCATTCCCCCCAAAAAGGGCAAAAAAACGGCAACCAAATGTTAACCTGACCGCTTCAGCTCGTTCATCTGTAGTTATGTAACTCCTCTACCCTACACAGTAGGGAGTTCCTGAGTTAACCACCCCCACTACATATAACTACCTACCTAGGTAGGTAGGCAGGCACCCTATGGGCAAAACAGGTACACCAAAACCACACAGAGCCATCTTGATGCAGTATTTCTCGGCCAAATCAGACCCGAATTTGATAGAATAAAGTGCAATACAATCTTTGACTGTTGCTATTTCTACTACCCCAATATCACTCATTTATCTAGTCTAATGGTGTGTACACAGCTTGTTAGGGAGTGATGCGTTCGTGAACGGGACTTGGGGGCGGGCCCATCTTGAGTCGGTTTTTGGTGTATCGGTCTTTTTGGCCAGAGGGTGCTCGGTACATACCTGAACTCGCCCTGAACGGACAACTGGACGGCAGCAGCTGCTGCAATGTAATGCAAGATGCAGCCGACTTGACCTCGCAGCTTCCCCATTCAACCTCCCCCCCAAAACCAAAATTTGTCAGCATGCCTTTCTACAAGCAACAATATCCCAACTCGGAAAGGGTCGCACAGCACCCATCGGCCCCCAATTCCCCCATCACCAAACCAAAACCCACCCGATCTGTTCTCGCCTGGGGGAGGGAGGCAGAGTCCATCGGCCGAATATCTCGGCCGGCGCGCGCCCCGCAGATCGGACGGGCGGGGTGGAGCGGGGGCGGGGGAGGGGGAACAGAGGCCCGACCGGGCCCCGAAGCCCGAGACAGGAAGTTACCTAAGGTAGTGAACAACAAACAGCATCCGGTGTTGGGAGACAAGACAATGCTTTGTTGATCCCCGTCCCGCGTCTCCATCGCCAGTTCAATCGGGGAATCGGGGACGGGATGGAATGGGGATGGGATGAATGCCGGCCCGCCCCCGTGCCAAACAATTGTTACGGTGCAGTGCATGTATGTACTGGACAAGCTTCAACCATGCCGAATTCCTCCACCCAGCGATGATCCATCTCCCGTCTTGCATGTGTGTGCCGACACGGATGGGAATTCAGAACAAAAGGGCCGGTCCGAAGAAACAATGTGCCCAATTTGGGTCCGAGATTTCGGATACTTTTTTCTGTTTTGGGCGTGTGCATGTGTGTGTAACCGGCGATTTTTACCTCCCTCCATACATAGCATCCTGCAGGGGGCGGCCTTGCCTTTGCCGGCCGGGTGCGTATTTCGGATAGCAAGCCGGGCGGGAGCAGATGGGCGTTTGATAGGGCGAGGGCGAGCGGGCGGATCGCGTTCCGCCGTGGCAGCGCATCGTTTCATTTCGATGCATACGCGTTTCTTGTGTGTAACTATCGGCGGTGGTATCGTGGATGCGTTTACGCAGGAGGCCCTGCTCACTAAGCGGGGAGGCAAGGCACTTCTGTGACACGGCGGGTTGGCAATACGCCCAAAATACCTACTATGTATGTCCATAGACGGAAGAGTGCCTCTGAAAGGGACGGTTGATAACGGACAGCAAAGAGCAATTGCCGCGAACCCGCTCCGTCCGTGATGTCATGGTTGTGCTCCCCAGATAGCCTAGCCAAACGGACTATAGTCTGGTCTGCGTCCGTCCCAAGTAACACTAGAGGAGGACGAGACAACAAACAGCCAAGTCGAACCGAACCGCAACAGAAGAAATCCAAAACCTGCCATTGACATCGTATCGTTTCCGTCATCAACTGGATATCAACCATACACATATATCATATCCGACATGTCCCATCACCGAGAAGAACGAGTTCATCCTCCCACCCCCTCCCAAATCTTGACCCCTATCAACCACCACCCGAGAGAAGTGAACCAATCTTTCCACTAACCCACCAAGTACCCAACAACCCAAACCTCGCCACCACAACCCAAACCTCACCACAACAACTCAAACTAGAACGTCCACCCCAAAAAAGAACCCCCCCCCCCCCCCTTAACCCCAGCCAGATAACCCCCCCCTTAAGAAGAAGAAGAAAACTACCGATGAATATCCACCCTCTCCACCCTCCGCACATCATCCGGCATGCGCGCCACACAAAGCTGGACACAAAACTCCCCCCACTCCCCCTTTGTCGCATCCCTCACCGCGTCCTGGAGGTCGCGGCCGTACTGGTCGCGGAAGGCGCGCTTGACGGCGGCCATGTGGGCGGCGTCCCAGTGGTAGCGCACGAGGCGGGAGATGAGCAGCTCGCGGCGCAGCTCGTCGCGCCGCGACGCCGTCAGCGCGTGGTGCAGCAGCATCGCGTCGCGCACCGGCTTGTTGATGACGCCGTTGAGGATGTGCGCGAGGACCTCGCCCTGGTTGGGAGTGTGTGTGAGTATGTGATTGTATTGGGTATGGGGGGGAAGTTAAGAAAAGACAGAAGGAGGGGAGAGGGGGATAGAGGATTACTTACCACTAGGTTTCCGCTCTTCTTCAGCGCGTCCTTGGCAAAGTTGGCGCCGTGGTACTTGTTCTTGTACTCCCGTAGCACCTCCCGCAGGTGGGCGTCGCTGCGCTGGGTGGCGACGGTGATCATGAGGGTCTCGCCGCCCTTCTCGCTGCGGACGGCGTGGTGCAGCTGGCGCACGTCGTCGTCGACCAGGTCGTAGTCGATCCGCAGCGGGTTCCCGTAGACGTCCTCCTCCTCCATGCGCTGCTCGTCCAGCACCATCAGCACCGCCTTCTTGAACTTGTCCTCCTTCAGCTCCGTGCGCATGCACTTGGTCAGGCTGTTGCCGTACTTCTTGTCGTTGAACCCCTCCTTGATGCGCCGGATCTCGTCGTTGGTGCGCCCCGTCAGCGACTCGATCAGCAGCTCGCGCCGCGTCTTGTCGCCGTGGTACCAGAAGTTGGCCCAGTACGCCTCCGACTCCCACCGGCCCAGCGCCGTCGCGTAGCACGCCTTCATCAGGTTGGAGTCCTCGTCCTTGAGCCGCGCCCGGATGTGCTTGGCGATGTTGACGCCCTTGCGCTCCGAGCCCGTCTTGACCAGCCGCTTGTACTCGGCCCGCAGGTCCATCATCTGCTCGTGCGTGAGCCCGGGCAGGATCTCGATGAGGGGCTCCGTCTCCGGCGCCCGCCGCTCGCCCTTGAGCGCCTTGGCGAGCCGCGCCGCGTCGTCCGCCGGGTCCGCGAACCGGGCGCGGCGGGCACGCCGCCTCTCGGCCGCGCGTTCGTCTTCCGATCCGATGGGGGAGAGCGCGTCCAGGATTTGGGGGTTGCCGCCGGCCATGAGCATCGGAGAGGGCATGGGGGACATGGATTGCCACGTCCCGTGGTAGGCTTCCAGGAGCGGGGATGCCGGCGCGGCCGAGACGGAGAGGGAGGCGGAGTGGTGAGGGGTATTGACTGACAGGCTCGACATGCGCGCCGTCGGGGGTTGGGGCGACTGGCCGCGCTTTATGGCCGGCTTGAGCGATGGGCCTGGGCTCGGAGAACGGCCGGGACGCCCACCGGGGCCGATAACGTCCAGGTGCGTAGCGCTATACCGCGGCTCCTCGGTTGGCTTGTCATACTTCCACGGTTCCGGCTGGGAATACACGTAGCTTTCTGGACGGGGAGATGACGGGGCGTAGCTGTCCGGCCGGGGAGATGGTGGTGCGTGGCTGTCCGGTCGGGGAGAGGATGGGGCGTCGTACCTGGAGGGACCGGGGAGCTTGCCGTAGGCCAGGTCCTCCTCCAGGTGCGCCTTCTTCTCCTGCTTGCGGCGTTCCTTGCGCTCCTTGCTCGATTCTCGCTCCCTGCCGCTGAAGGAGCCGCGTGATTGGCGCGGCGAAGGCGGCTCGACCGTCTTGATGTTGGCGGCGTACCTGGCGGGGAGGTAGAGCTCGGGCCGCTGGAGGGCCGAGTCGCGATTCGAGTCGCTACGCTTCCGGTTCCTCTCGCGGTCTGAACCGCTGTCTCGGTCACGTCGTCGGTCAGAATCGTAGCGGTATTCGACCTCGCGCCGCGCCTGGGCGTAGGGGTCCTCGCGGTCATCGACGGGCTGCCCGCGTGGTGCGCTGTACCCCGCATCGGGTTCGGCAGCCGTCGGCCATTTTGACAAGCGCTCATACTCGTATGCAGTGGATGCGGGGTCCGGCAGGCCGACGGATGAGCTCGGATACGGCACGTCGACAACATTGGGCGAGGCGCGGACCCGGCTCCTGTCGCGGTCCTCATCTTCCCCGCGCCGTCCGGGCGAACGTGAACGACCGCGCCGGCCTCCGTCGTCGACCTGTAGCGACATGTCGGAGTAATTTGTGTTGGTTTTTGTAATTGTAATTGTAATTGGTAGCGGGAGCGATGCTGATCGCGATGTCTGGTGTTTTGTTTTGTCTCGGCCAATTGCGGGGTGAAGCTTCACGCAAACTCGGGAGCACACCGAGATTCTGCAAGATACCTATTTAGTAAGAGGGGCGCTTGCGGCACACACTCAAAAGCGGGGGACAGCAGGTTCTGTGAGATGAAGGCTCTCTCTCAAGCAGGGAACTCGACGTCTTTAAAGCTTGTTGAGCATGCCTTGGAAATGAACAACTACCACACACTGGCAGTATGTACGGTGTAGAAAGCTCGCCTACTCGCCCTTGTGCGTGATTGGGGCTGAGAAGCTGGAGCTGCATGAGGCGCTGTTCCCATGCGGTGCCATGAAACGCGAAGTGGAAGGTGGAACCCAAGCAATCTGACATTTCCGGCTGCTGCCTATCAGAGGCCGAGATGAGGTTGCATGCTTGGGGGAGAAGGCTGGCGGCGCCTGCCGACAACTGTCTCGTGCTCCTGCTTGCTCTTGCAAGAACGGGTTTAACGGTCGACGCCGCGAGGCTGGCCCATCGGCTTGGTCCGGGGAACCAACCCCAACCAGTGCCTTCCTGCTGTGTCCCGCTGTGTCCCGCTCATCAGCCACACTCTCTCTTCCCGTTCCCACGCTTCCTCCCGCCGCCAGCATCGCGAAAGCCGAGACCGCCGGGCTGAGCTCCCCACTTGGCATCCCGATATGGGATGGACTCTGCTTGGCGCACTTACCGCCCCGCCGTGTCCCCATAAATTCCCGGTCCCGTGTCCGGGAAGGCGGAGCCGATGAGAGTGTTCAGTCAGCCTTCTTCTACATTGTTTACAGGAGCCACGGCCTTCTTCACTGCTGCGGTGGCGAACGGGTTGGACATCCCCGAGCTTGGGTTGGACTGTGTCACCACTATGATGTCTATCTTGCAAACATTCCGTGCCAGGGATGGTCGGACAAGGCCGTCGCCTCGTCTTGAAGTGGCCGCCCGTGTTGGTCATGCCCCGGTTTGTCAGTTTTTCTAGAGAAGTCTGCAAGACTATCAGAAGAAGGGAATAAAAGGAAATCCGATGGATCACATCATCAGGTCGCCGGCCTATCCCAAGTGTACGGGAGCTTCCGTCATCGGGCTCGTATTCGAGAGCCCCGTGGGAACCCGTTCGTCTCATCATCCACTATCTTGGCATCAGAAGCTCCACAGGTAGCGGGAAGCGAGCCTCTGTATTCTCCCAAGTTGACTAATTTATTAGTTCATAGAAAGTTGAGTCGTGTCCAACTACTGATGCGCTGATAGCCGTGATAGAGTAGCGAGTGAGGCTGCACTCGCCACTGTCACCATCCACTCAAGCGACTGATCATCTCTTGAGCTCTCATTTCGGACGAAGCCCTAAGGAATGCCACGTATTGCTGCATGCAGATTTCCACCCACCCCCAGTCATAACCAAGGAAGCTCTCTGACCAGGAATCCAACCCCAATGAATTCCAAGTGGAGAGATGGTCGCCTCATCTGGGCTCGCCGGGTGGGACAAGACGGAGTTGATCCGTCAAGGCTTGTGTGATGTTGGTTCGATGCCCGCACTATTTGCCATTTCACACAGAGTGCTTCTCATCCAGTGAATTATCTCGGTCGTCTGCGTCCGCTCGGACCGAGGCTGGCGCCCGGCCGGTAGTTTCATCGAGTCGAATAGCGCCTTGCCTATAGATTTCGAGTCAGTTGTTGGTTAGTGGCAATGGTTTGGCGGCCGGGACCGAGTCGATGGGCGGAAACTCACCCGTTAAAAGCACCCCCCCACGCTTCTACAACGACAACCACGACCATGAATGCCGCAGCCAAGTAGACGATGATCATGTTGTTACGATCGTGGGAAGGCCGGCCTTGGTGGCACGGCATGCCAGGCTGGGGCGGGCCAGCAGCATCCACTTGGTAGGGCAAACGGATCAGATCGTTCTCGGCATCTCTTTGTTTCTCTCCGTTGGGTATTCTGTGTCTCGAAAGCGGATAGACAAGGCTAAGCTGAGGGATCTTTGGCCGAGGTAGTATTAAAGGGTTCTGTCCATCTGTCGCTGTGTCTTTGCCCTGATTGCCGTTTTGGTTGTCATCGATCAGCCAGGCCTTGGACGGTGTCGCACCATTATGCTCCCTGCCCGAGACCAAGACCTCGTCTCTTTTTTCTATCCAATGCCTGGGAATCGGGGCGCACACGGCTAACTGTGCTGCGCTGAGCGCGAGGCAAATCGTCATCGGCTTCATCGTAGTAGTAGTTGCTCGCCTATGCAGGGCCGGTAGTGGTAGTGGGGATGGGGAATTAGGTGGTAGAATATGCGGGGGGCAAAGACGAAAGGGAGGGAACCGCAAACGGAAGTGAAGTTGGGCAATGGACACGGCGGGGTGTGCCGCGGAGATGTTTTGACAACGCTGTCGCAGGAGAGTCAAACGCCAAACGGATAACTGCACCGCAACAGCCCCCAGACCAGGCCAGGAGGTTCGTTAAATGCTGCTGATTGGGCGTATCTAAGAGCTGCACGTCAAAGGGTTGGTAGCACACGTAATGGTGGAAACGAGGGAACGAGGCGTTGGTGGATAGGGATTTTATTTTTATATGTAGCCTGAGTAGGCACCTTGTCTCGTGCCTGACTTAAAAGACCGGCCAGCCCGATTAAGCGTAAACGGCAAGTCGTGCCTGGTTGCTTGGTACGCTACACAGTAAACCCGCCGGCTCTGGGTTCAGTCGCGCGATAAACCCAGAGTGCGTCGGCTGGTCTAGAACACGGGGCGCAGCTTCCCCACTCCCTAGGTTGCTTCACCTTCCTCGAACGGTGGGCTCCGGCACCAAATGCCAGTTGTTGGATACGAGTTGAAGCAACGCGTACACACTACACGACACCGGGCATCTTTTTGTCACGGATGGCTCGACTTGGGTACGTGGGATGCCAATCCCCAGCGTTACCCTGCCTCTCTCCCAAGAAAAAAGGTGTAGTGTGACGAATGGGGATATCTCGCCGGTGCTCTCCACAGAAGATGCGTCACGCCGGGCACGGCTGGGCATTTGTCCACGCAACATGGTTTTCTTTTCGCTGAGGGATTAATTCGATCGTCGTTACGATTGTTGGTGATCTGACCGGAGAGGCACCGAGCTAAAACCTGGGCGCACTTGCTCACCTCGGAGCTGTCTCCGGTGCGGCCTCCCAATACCTCCGATGTGAAGCTCCCGTCGGCTGGTTCCGCATTGGGTCGCGATTTGAGACAGAGCTCCCTGGCCCCTGGCATGTGGCGGAGCAGAATCCCACGGGACTCCACAGCGCTAAGAGATGGCTCGAGCTTTCGTCAAAGCTTGTTCTTGCCAGGAATGCACGTCAGGGGCCAGCTGCGAGCCACACTCATCACAAATTGTCGTCCGTCTCTCGAAGGTAGACGGCTCTATCCGTGCGCCATTCAAACATTTCCCATACCTGGTACTCCGGTATGCAGATGGACCATCCGTTGTGATCCATGGCCCCTCCTTCGGGTCTCCATCAATCGGCCATCCCCGCAGATTTCGAGGCGCCATTTCCGCCGCTGGTCCGATCTTCTACCGTGCCTGCCGGCCCCAAACTGCACCGCTCCGACCCGTCGCATCTGTCCCCCGAAGACGCCTACGCCTCTTTCTCCCCTCCACGCCGCCTCGGAGGGTTCGATAGTGGAGGAAATGGATCTGGTACAGATTCACGGCCCGGGCGCACTAGGCATAAGGACACCGCTCGGAGTCGGAGCAGGAGGCGCAAGCGCTTCCAAAAGCTGCTCTGGGTGAAGCAGTCATGTATGCATTGTCCCCATTTCCCCTTGCGAGGATGCGATTGCTCATACTATCATTGTCATTATTAAATAGACCCCGACAACTACACCGACCAAGCGACCTTCCTCGAGAACCTCCAGCGCAACCCTCGTGTTCGGCCCTACGACTTTTGGCCCCTAGTCGCCGACTCAACCGTCATCGTCCAGCACGTCTGCTCCGTCATTATCTTCGTCGTATGCTTCGTTGGTATCTTCCAAGAACGGGTTAGCCCCGTATCCGTGGTCGGATGGAGCAGCTTTGCGACATTCCTCGGCTGGCTGTTGTGGGATTGGTGGGTTACAAAAGAGTCGCCGGGCGGGTCTGGGGATGAGGACGAGGACGCCAGGGCGCGGATGATACGAGACAGGCGAGCGTCCAAGGAATTTCGCCCGCCTCGGCGGCAGGACTCATCGGGACTCGAACAACCAGTGCTCAACGCCAGTACCGTTAGCATTTCGAGCGTATCAAACTTCCCCTCTGCCGCGAGCTCGACCTCGAACCTCCTCCAAGACCACTCCCACACGCAGCGATCCTCGCACCCACTAGGCAGCAACACCCACAACAGCGGCCTCCTCGTTCCAGCCCACGCCCACTCCCGCTCCGCCAGCTCCATCAACTCCATCGCGTCGCAAGCGAGCGCCGCGAACAGCCCCACCACGACCACCACAACCACGCGCCTCGGCCCGGACGGGGCGGACCACGGCGGCGAACCAACCCCATCCCCGATCGCCCGCAATGGGCGCGCCTACGTCCGGCTCAGCACGATCAAATCCGCCATCCTCATCTACTTCACGCTGCTCGGCCTCTCCCCAATCCTCAAGTCCCTCACGCGCTCAACCTCCTCCGACAGCATCTGGGCCATGTCCTTCTGGCTGCTCGCCCTCAACGTCTTCTTCTTCGACTACTCGGGCGGCGGGCGAGCCGGCAGCGCGCCCACCACCACCTCCACCACCTCCACCACCTCCACCACCACAACAACAGGCACGCACAGCAGCAGCAAGCAGATGCCCGTGGCGTCGCTGTCGACCAACGCGGCGCTGATGGCGTCGACGGTGCTGGCCAGCCGGCTGCCGAGCACGGGCCAGGTGTTCAGCCTGACGCTGTTCAGCATCGAGGTCTTCGGCCTCTTCCCCGTCTTCCGCCAGTACGCGCGCCGCCGCTCCTGGCGCTACCACGTCGTGCTGACCGTCCTGCTCGTGCTGGGCGCCGGCGCCGGCGTGGGTATGATTCTTGGTGACGAGCGCGGCTGGCCGTGGAAGAAGGGTTTGCTGGGCATGGTGGTGGGGTGTCTGATTGCGGCGCTGGCGATGGGCGGGTGTAGTTGGTGGCTGATTGGGCTGCAGAAGTATAAGAATGAGATTTATGGGCCGTGGGATCCGGCGAGGCCGATTATTATCAGTCGGAGGCATTGGGATGATGATTAGGGGTGGTAGTTTATTTATTTTTTCTAATTTGATGATCTTGCTCGAAACTTTGTTCCTTGGTGACTACTTGGGAACCTGTTCCTCAGCGCTATCAACTCTGTTACCTATGGCGCCCAGGTGTTTTACGACCAAGGCTTCCTTCTCACCTAGTACAGTGATGGTTAATACAACTAGGTATGTCCCCTTCGTCCTATAAATGTGTATGGGAAACGTCACGGTCGATTAAACGCTATTAAGCTTACCTTGCTATCTAGCAAACAGCAAAGCGAAAAGGAAGGAGAAATAAGGAAAGAAGAAAAAACGGGTTTCAACCAAAAGAACCTACTTGCATTCCTCCACCCCATTTGTTCCGTGTGTTTATCTTCTGCGGGCGCTTCGCAAATGGGGAGTGACGGAGCCAACTTTGGCCTCGTTTGTATTCGGTAAAATGTCTTTCGGCACGCATCAACCACGGCTATGGCCGCTGCTCGAGACCAAGTCGAGCCGGCCTCACTTGAGGCTCGCGATCCCCCAGTCCCCACAGTTTGCCAGCGTCGAAAGGGAACTCAGCACGCGTGGGTATCAGTTTATCACAGGGCGCGCGCTCCTAGAGCACTTGATGCCATGGGAGCGACTGCCGCTGGGCTTGCACCACGCTGTGTGGTCATCACGGTCCCCACTGGTTGCGTCACCCTTTAGTGCATTTTTTTCATGCCATCGGACCTTCCATGTAGTCTCGATGGTCATGATAAGCCCCCGGTATCCCGCATGAGCCCCCGGATGCCTTCACTGTGATATGTTAGAGCGTACCTCGTCGGTAGCTTGTTGCTGGTATCGGTCAGTTGTTTTGTTTCTCTCCTCTCTCGCTTGGGAGAGAGAGGCGGATCGGGGGGAGAAGGAAATGACGGCAACCCGCTCGTCACCGCGGCCTCTCGCACCGCGAAAGGAAGGCAGGAACGGTCCATCAAGCTCCCCGCCTGCCTTCGTCAGTAAGAAACGCAAACAAGATTGACCTATTTGAGGAGAAGTTCCATTGGAGATGTCTCCTCAAGTTGATGACGAGAACGCGCATCGCTGTCGCTGAGGGAATGCTCTCCTCCCGCCATGCGAATGCCGTAGAAAGTAGAAAATGACGCCAGGTGCGTCACTGGTTGACGGGTCCCTTTTATACCCAGGGGCTCGGACCTCGCCACGTCTGACACCTGATAACTGACGTCTTCGGACGTGATCGTTACGGTATGCCCAGTACCTTAGAACATTCCGTTGTTCGAGACCCAACAGGTTGCTGAGATCATCTTCAGGTGAAAAGCCGGGCTCTGCTGCCTCCATTTACTGACCACATAGGAATTTCCCAATTTTCCTCCGCTTTCACTGTCCTAATCGCCGTGTCCGCACATTAACGATATCGTCAACGAAAGCATCATCTGCCGCCCAGATCAGACGACACGGGCTGCACATTCTGTTCGGGCAGCGACACTACGGCGACGTCTATTTACTAGAGAACTGAGTATGCCCCGAAAGGAGAGTTGGGTAGTGCCCAACCATCCCCCCTCTTGAGCACCGTTACCACACACTCCCTAGCTGCAGCTGCTATATTTACATCGATTCCGTTCGCTGACATCACGACCGGACATTTCCTCACACTACGAAGACTTATATCTCGCAGTCAGCGACCGGTGCCTTGCAGCAAACATATTCGGATATTGGACTATGAAGCGCGCATAGGGTCTTTCCTTTGAAATAGAAAGAACTCGCAGACTTGTCTTGGGAGGCGTCCTCAGTCTCGTCCTTCCTTGCTAGTCATTCACTACTCTCCTCGACAGCCACCGCGAGTTTCGGCGCCTTTTCAGCACAACTAGCGCGCGTACAGGACAATGTTTGTATCGAGTTCAACACCAAAAACCAGAATAAGTTGCACCTTGTCTGAGGATACAGTAGGGGAGACTTGGTGATGTCGGACTTCCCGATTAGGAAAGTTGCGCTGAAACGGAACTCGCTTGGATAAGTCCTCTCCGGGACGCAACTCATCACCAAACAGCGTCAGTGGTTTAGTGGTAAAATCCATCGTTGCCATCGATGGGCCCCGCGTTCGATTCGCGGCTGACGCAATTATCTTTTCCTTTTATCCTTCCTGCGAAGGACCGCAGCATTTTTGGCCTCATCAAAAGAAGAAGGACGGGAGTCACGAGGTTCAATGAGTAGCAAAGTTGATGGTCCGTGATGAATGAGAGGTCATGGTCTACCCCAAGTCAAATATCATGTTGGCCATTCGGCCACTCGCATACCAAAACGCCACGCCCAAGTAACAAACATCATCAACAGACTAGATAGGTTGATGAAGAAAACGTGGAATCACCATATCAGAAAGCCCAGCGCCCTGCTCTCGAGCACCCAACTGAACAGACAAGATAGCCCATGGCATAATCAGGGCCAAAGATATGAAAGAAATACGACAGGCCAAAACTCAAAGCCGCTCCGTCCACGCTGCCGTCCACGCTGACCAGCCACCATTTGCTTCAACTGAATTTCCAAGCAAAAATCTCCTTCCGTCCAATCCAGCTCTCCGAATCCCGGAAATCAACGAAGAGTACCACCAGTACCACCATCACCAAACCTGAATAGACCGCTCTGCCGACCGACCCATCCTTATCATCGTCATCATCAATAACAACAACATAAACATCATCACCCATCCCAGCCCCCCCCCCCCATATTTTACCATCACCCCCTATCATCACTTTCATGCCCCCAACTTACTCCGCATGCCCATCATTCAGCAACATCTCCAGCACAATCTGCCCGCCCGGCACCTCAGGATGACTCATGCAAATCTTGACGGTCCCCTTCGAATCCTGCTCGGGCGGCTGCAGGCCGGCCTGGGCACCCGAACCAGTCGGCCCGCGGAAGCCGTAGTCGAGGCAGCGGACGTCGCGGCCGGCGATGATCTGGCGGAGGCGGCCGTTCTCGGCGTTGCGGACCTCGACGTAGTCGTCGTTGAAGAGGAGCAGGTACTGGCCGAACATGGTGGCGGCTTTCGCCTTGCGCTGCTTGCCCGAGTACTCCATGATGAGGGTGCGGCTGATCTCGCCGTGCTTGTCGACGTAGACGGCGCAGTCGCCGTAGGTGAGCAGGAACTCCTGGTCGTTGAGCTTGAACATGCCGAGCGGGTGCGGCTCCTTGATGCGCGACGCGATGTTGGCGATGGCCGGCTGGCTGAGGTCGCGCGGGATCGACTGCGTGACCTTCTTGTCCAGCGTGAGCAGTTCGAACCCCTTGGACGTCGCCACGGCGATGTAGTTCTGGAAGAGGTTCAGCGAGAAGCACTCGGTCGGGATGTAGAAGGCGTCGTAGTCCCGGAAGGATTCGGTCGCCCCAGCGCCGGCCCGGCGGCTGCTAAACAGGCGGGACCGCTTCTCTGTCGCCTTCTGGAACACCGGCTCGAGCACCTTGAAGGTATTGTGCATGCCCTCCTTCCGCTTGTAGAACAAGAGCATCCGGTCCTTCATACGGGCCGTAGCGAAAAATGCAACGTCCTTGGCGAGGCGCTGTGGCGCCCGGCGCGGATTGTCGTGGGATGGCGCAGCGAAGTTGGACACCGGCGCAATCACGTCGAGGGGGTACGAGATGAGCGATCGGTCTGCGATGAGGAGGCAGACCGAAAACTCCTCCAGGACAGCAATCTGCGTAACCTTGCTGATCTGGACAGACCTGACCCACCCCCGAGCGTTCGATACTTCGGATATGTAGACGCCATAGTCAGTTCCGATGGCCATAAGCGACTTTCCGAACGACGTGAAAGCGCAGGCGCAGTTCACCGTCGCACGCGAGACCGGCGGCGGGCCCCTCCCTGGGCCGTACACCCCTTCCATCTCTCGGATCGCTCTGTCCAAGGGCGTGCCCCTGATAGACACACTGGGCTGCCTTCCTAGCAGTGACGCCGAATCGTATGCGAAGGCACAATCTGAAATGACGCGCAAGCGGAACGGCTCGGCATTTTGGGCATGGAGCGCTCTGGCGTGCCTGGTCTTAGCTTCGATGATGGCCGAACACCAAGTGGCGCGTTCTTGGGCTGACGATGCATAGAGCGTGTAGATCTCATGACCGAGATGCTTGATCCTGAACGGATAGATAATCTTTCCGTCGTCCGCACCCGCAGACGTCAGCCGGGATACTGTGTTGAGTGACGCTATAGAAGAGCCGGTTGCCGTGTGCTCAAGTCCGGGCCGCTCAGTCCCATTGGAGGCCACTTTGTTGAGTTGCGTCCCCGAGCCAGTTGCCGCCGTGGTTCTCGTCAGGGGAGCTGTCAAGCTCTTCTGTTTCGCGACGGGATCGTCATTCAAACTCTCGAGAAAGAGCAGTGGCATGGGAATCGGCTAGATCCAAAGTCAGTATCATTGAATAACCAATTGGTGTGATGGCGACGTACCTCCTTAGAAACATCGTATTTCTTATCGCTCCTCCCGTCCTTCGAGGGGACGGCCTTGGATAAAATGAAGTAGTGGTCAAAAAGCAAGGCATGGGTGTCGACCCAGCGGACACCTTTCGAGCCCTGTCGCTGGAGGTCGCCCTGCTTGAGCAGCTCTCGGCCGAGGTGGTCGAGGTTCAGGACGGACTGGAAGCCGGGCCGCAAGACCAGCATAGATTGCAGCTCGAGCAACTCAACCTTCCTCGTCATCTCGGCCACCTTCTCGTCGCATTCATGCGTGACCTTTTTGATTTCATCCAGAGCCCTCTCGAGGTTGGTTTTCTCCTCGCTCTCCCCTAGCATGTTCTTCTTTACCGTCTCGAGGAGGAGGCCGTATCTCTGGAGCCTGGTGATGGGCGCCTTCACGAAAGTGGTCCACTCCAGACGTTTGGACCGTTTGTGATCGCGGACAACATCGAGGAACTGGCGGAAGAGTAGGTTCCTCGAAGCCTCTTTCCTAACAAGATACGAGGCATACGGGAACGATGAGCAGTACTCGACATAGATCGGCCTCGCTTTCCGAATCCACTCTCTGAACAGGTCGCTGAACCCAACGATCCAAGGGCCTTGCTCTTGTTGGCGGTATTTCAGCTGAGCGAGCAGGTGCTCTTTGTTGATTTGCTGGACAGCATCCACCCTGCCGAATACCGCGTCGAGGAATTTGTCCATCCGATTCGCTGCGATGATGGGAGGCTGCCAGGCTCGGAGCCAGTCGCGGTACAACAGCCGGAGCACATCAAGTTGGCCCATGTAGTCCTCCTCGCCTGTGACGATCTCGTGTAGCACGTTCTGCCGTTCGACCTCCTTCTTGTGCTTGGATACGATGTCATCCTTGGTCACACCGTGGAAGGTAGCCCAGTCCAGAACCACGACGTCCTCCTCGGACATCATGTTGTCCAGGTTCACCTTCTTGAGCGTCCTGCCACAGTGGTGCGAGTAGCATCTCACCGGGATGCCATCGTCATGCAGCCGGGGCGCCATCCCCTCGTCCTCGTGCAACTTGGGCGCAAAGCACCCAGAGCCGGTAAGCTGCCACAACACACCAGAAAGCTGCCCTGTCCCGAACTTAACCCATTCTTCCTCGGGGATTAAGATGCCGGCTGAGAACATGGAATCAACCACCGTGGCACTCAGCAGCTCGGCGTCGGCGACGTTCATCGTCGGCACTTTGGCGCAGAAGAGTTTGAGAACGCCTTCCTCTATCGTCTTCCTCTTCAGGTCTGGCTCGCCCTCCGCCATCTCACGAACCCAAGAGGTAATGCCACTTAGAGCCCATGGCTCCGCACAGCGCTTGATGTCGGCAGCTGTGAGCTTCGAAGGCACAAACTTCTTCCTCCTGCCGGTGGGCAATGTGATCGTATCATAAGCGGCCATCGACGACGGTGTCCCTGCTTCGTAGCCCTCGTATGGCGTCATCGCCCCCTGCTGGTAAGCTTGCGCTTGCGGCTGGGACATGTGTTTCGCTCGCCTGCGCTCCTCGGCAGCGTCGGTCCTGGACCGGGCCGGTGCTTGTATTGGGGGGGTATTGCTATGACTTGATAGCGATATTGACCTCTCCACTTGTTGTTGCTGGCTGACGCTCAGCTCATGGCGGGTCTCCGGAGTATCGGGAGGGTATGGGAGTCTCGAGTCTGCGCTTAGGGAGTGATTGTGCTGATAGTTAGACCTGACCGAGGGCTGGGGCGACAGATGCGAGTTGCCGTCTGGGGTCTGAGGAGGGAGGGCAGGCAACGGGCGGTTTGAAAGGCCAGGGTGCCAGAACATTTGGTCATAGGGGTAATCCTCTTTGGAAGGAGAATCACTCCCGCTCTGCCGCGAATGGAGCGACACTCGCTCATCGCCGTCATCAAAGCTAAGACGATGGGTTTGGGGCGGGAGGAGACCACCGGTGCCACCATAATCGACCGACACATCCGAAAATGGGGGATACTCGGCGCCTTGTCCTTGAGGCGTTGGCAGCGGACGAGGGCCGTCCTGACTCTGGGCGGTTGTGGGCGGAGAGCCGAGCTCGTTACCGTAATGCAGGTTTCCAGCATATCCGCCTCCGTACATACCAAGGTCCATTGTTCCGCCGTAATCACTGTCCGTGCTCGGCTGCTCCTCCGGCGGCGGCGGAAGTGGCAATGGGGCCTGGGCTTGTTGCTGGAGTTGTTGCTGGGGTGGCTGTTGGGGCGGTGGTGGCGGTGGTAGCTGCTGTGGTTGCTGTGGCTGCTGGGCTGGTTGCTGAGATTGCTGCGGCGGCGCGGCGAGAGGTTCCATGTACGCCGGGAAAGTTATTCCGCCAAATCTTCGGTCGTCCATATCATCTTGCATCGCTAGCAGACCGGCCGCACCCTCCGGGTCGCTTTCCTCAGAATCCCAAGTGTAGGCGGTGTTAGTCGAAGCCGCGGTGTTATTCATGGCAGAAGAGGCATTCGAAGGGTACCGGTTCACGCCGGTGTCGGAGGTAGTTCTCGATGAGGTAGAGTTGTACCGCTGGGCCTTGTCCAGAACATCATCCGACACGGTGCCGTTGGTGGGCTGGGGGCGTTGGCTCTGTGGGGACACTCCCAAATCCGACACGATATCCTGCATCAAGCTGTCCTGCGTGACTTGGAAATCAGCTTCGCCGCCACCATTGACCCTCCAGTCTGGCTCTTCCGGCAAGTCATCCATCGGGCGATTGGGAAGCGGCGCATTCGTCGGGTGATGCCTGGCGTTCTCAGGAGAAACCTGAGGACGGCTTGGAGGGGATGATGGTACCGGTGACGGCTGCGAACTAGATCGAGACACCCGGTTGGAGAAGGAATTCGGGTCAGGCGAGTAGTTGGGGCCGACAGGAATATGTGAGTGCGCAGGATAGGGCACTTGCGAGCTCGGCGCGGCCGTGACACCATTGCCGGCATATGACGATCCCGAGTACTGTTGAGCAGTATAGCCTGTGGAATACGACGGTTCGTACCCTGCCGCGACGGCAAGCGGCGCTGCAGCCGGCGCATATTGTGGGCTATGCAATGCTGGCTCGTAGCGTTGCGGAGCCGAAGGCGTTGTCGCCGAGGAAGGTTGCGACCCGCCATAGGTTGAGGACGGAGGAGGGACGTAGGCTGTGGATACATGAGGAACGGGGGGTGTGTTGTAGTTGCCGTAGCCGTAATTGTTGTACCCAGCAACAGTGGAATGCCTTTGGGGGAGTGCCGCGTTGGTGCTGGCATATGCGGCCGGGTTGTACGCCTGCGGCGTGTAGTTTGTTGGAGGGGTGGCATATGTCGGGCTCGTCGACGGCGTGTGCCTTACATTCTGGGCGGGGTGGTATGGGAGCGAGGCCGACTGTGAACGAGCAAAGGCCTGGGGGTTGTATGTCGAATGCGAAGGGGGCGGCGGCGGGACCTGAACCTGGTATTGACGTTGATAGCTCGCTGCTGCAGCATTCTGAGGGATGTAGCTTGCTCGGTTCGCAGCTGAGTGGCTCTCGGCGGTAGGGCTGGTTATGAACAGCTCCTCGTCACCCCTTCCTGTACCTCCCGCCGTATAAATCTGGTGGGGTCGGGCAGCAGGCTGGTCGAAGAAGTTAGCGTCGTCGCCGCTGTTGAAACTCGGGCGTCGCGCGGGATATCCGGCGGGCTCCTGCGGGGGAGGGGCGACGGGATATTGCGCTGGCGGCACATGGCCGTATCGACGCGACTCATCGCTGCGAAATGACATATCGCGCTGGCTAGGTGGGGGTTGCAGAGAACCGTGCTCTGCAGGGGGAGAAGAGGCGCTTCTCGAGGGTAGCGACAGGGCGCGCGGGGTGTAGTTGTCGATCGATCGTGGGTAGCTTGAAGTCGCTGCGCCGGGGAGGGGGGGGTCGCGTGGAACCAAGACGGCTCAAAGATTAATCGCCCGCCTCATGCGCAACCCTTCACCGAGACAATGAAAACAATGAACACGTTGTGCGCTTGCTCCCAAGACCCTTCAATAACATGGGGCCGGTTTTCGCCGTTGAGGTGGAAGCGAGGATGGATGGGTGTGTTCGCCGTTGCAGGGTCGAGTGGAGCACGAATGGACCCGAGCAACGCCTTGTTTCAGACCCTGTGAAGGCCTGAATGAGGATGTCTCTTTGACGGACTTTTCCGGCAAAATTAGTCGGTGTGTATTTTATCTTATCACGCACCCGGGCTGTTCACGCCAAAGGCGCGACGCTATAATTTGAGGCAAATGGCGTCGTCGTGGTAATCGTCGGGGTTCCTGTTGGTTTTGGCGCAATTTCTAAACCTTGATAGCGGCCGAGCAGGTGGGAAAGCCCAACCTCAAGTGGCGGCCAAGCCACACCTTGGCTGGGGCAAGGCGAACTGGGGCCCCGCGCGCTAGGACCACCCTGACCAAACAGCAGCACTGAGGGAGAAACAGCCAAGGCGCCAACTGGACAGGGCGACCGACAAAGAAAGCACGGCAGCACAGCAGCAGGGTGTCTGCACCTCGTCAAATGTTTGAAGGAGGTGGGACTCGCTTCCAAATGACACGAAACAAATATACTTGTAAAGAAATTTCCCAGGTTTGGGTAGATTTCTTTTTTTTCCTTCCGAAGCCGTCAGGCTAAAGTCATCTCATTGTTGGGCCTTTCTTGACGAACCACTGGTCCTTGAAGATGGTTGTTGGCGACCCGAAGTCCTCGGACCATGGCAACCTGCAGTTGGCCTCTGCGTCCAATACTGCATCAGCTGTATAACAAACCTCCGCAATTGTCAACGCCGCCTAGGAGGTCATTGCTCACAACCGACTTAATAGTAAGGTTAATGTAATGCATCGTTGTTTATCAAAGGAGTTTAACTCTGATGATTGTGCGGCGATGACGAGAAGTCACAACGAGTCTTTGAGTGAAGCTGGAAAACGGTATCCACGACAGACCAAGGGGCAGTCCTTATCTCCACGGTATACCGAGCCAGCTTTCGAAACAGAAATCCTTGTCGAATTTCATCGCCCTTCGCCTACCGAATACGCCTACCGACATACGCAGGAGTTCTACACCGGCGGCGTCCTACAAAGGATCGATATGCCGTATTCGAGGAGTGGGTCCGGTCAGCAAGAGAGACATCCCAGGACAAGAAGCAAACACGAAACCGTTCGGACGGTGTTGATAGCTTACACAGTAGACCCACCTACCAAAGGTACACAGTATGGAAGTTGTGCATGCCGGCGAAACATGACGGTTTTCGCTTTTTCTCTTTCTGTTCCTGATGGCACGCCCTTCATCATGACGGCATGGGATGGTGATGACGGCATATCCAGTGCGGGGTTGAGCTCGGCGGTTCGAATCTTTCGCTCACAGTCCGGAGTTCCTGCCCCACCTCGAGTTAACAGCGAGCGGCCCTCGGAGCCCGAGCCGGCAGGGGACGAGGAGCTTTATCAGCAGCTCTTCCCAAACATTTCCGCTCCGCTCAGTCAAATACCTCGCTCGTCTTCTCAACGATTCTTCGTACTACGTCAACCAAGTTATACCCGTTCAAACTCAACTTCAACTCACAAACTACCGCCAAAATGGTCAAGGCTGGTAAGTTAAGCTTCTCAAATTACCCTGCCGTCCAGGCACACCCCACAACTCGGGAGAACGCAGCTGGGATGGGGATGGGAGGGGTCCAGGGTTCAATCAGCTTCAACTTGCAACCTTGATGGGCACTTTATCATCACATGGACACACCAACGAGGCCGCAGAGGCATTGGTACCCTGCATTGGATAATGCAGTGACAATTGAGCACCGGGATACTGGGTCGGGCCAATGCTAACACGCGTTCGTTTAGTCGCTGTCGTCCGTGGTGACTCGAAGGTCTCCGGCTCGGTCGTCTTCGAGCAGGAGTCTGAATCCGCCCCTACTACCGTCACTTGGGACATCACCGGCCATGACGCCAATGCCAAGCGTGGCATGCACATTCACACCTTTGGTGACAACACCAACGGCTGCACCTCCGCTGGCCCCCACTGTACGTACCCCCTAGCAGTCCCTCAACTATTCAATACTTCCCTTGGACCTGGAACAATCTAACGCAGAGCCTCCCCGTAGTCAACCCTCACGGCAAGACCCACGGCGCCCCGGTCGACGATAACCGTCACGTTGGTGACCTCGGCAACATCGAGACGGACGGTCAGGGCAACTCCAAGGGCTCCGTGAGCGACAAGCACATCAAGATCATTGGCCCCGAGAGCGTCATTGGCGTATGTCCCAACCAGAGTAGTATGCGGGGAATAAGTACTGACAATGAATAACTAGCGCACTGTCGTTGTCCACGCCGGCACTGATGACCTTGGCAAGGGTGGTAACGAGGAGTCTCTCAAGACCGGCAACGCCGGCCCGCGCCCTGCCTGCGGTAAGATACTCCTGATCTTCGCTTGTGTAAGGGACCAAAAGCTAACCAAGTCTTTCAGGTGTCATCGGCATCTCGCAGTAAACGACTCTATATCAGCTTTCGTCGGGGAGTTTAAGGAGCAATTCGTAGGAAGAGGGCCTGAGTTTGCTAAAAAAGGATACAGCATGCTAGAACCCGTCAGAGGCTCGTGCCGCTTGTGACCTTTTCCAAACTATCCCGAACGAAACTACATAGCAAAAAAGAGAGTAACACACTTCCTAAATGGAAGCTTTAAAATATTTCGATTTGACGCCGTGGTGCTGTATGATTCCGGGACTAAATTGGAGAGTTGATGACGGAATATGCGGGGTAGCTGTGTTGGACAAGCGAGCCCACAGTGCGACAAAGTAAATGCATCTCGTGGCAGATGGCGGACAGCTCAGCATCGGGTGTACGCAAGTAGTCAGAAATCTGAGACTTGAAATGTCAAATAGTGTTATTCACTTCCTGCACAATATGGACATGCCTTTCACGAAACGAAGGGTGGTTTGAGCTCGCCTCACACGGTGTTTGGGCATCGTTCTGCGAGTTTCCAGATGGAATGCGGGGCTTGCCGACCCTTGCCGAGTCCCGGCCGTAACCTCTTTCTGTATCAGACTGTATCAGGGATCTTATTGGAATCCAAGTTTAGGAGGCTATAAGTGTTGATTTTAACAGATTTCATGACCGCAACACGTGCCGCCTTGCCCATGGTCCTATGTTGACGCCTTGAGATGGAAGTGTTGGGAAATTCATGGTGAACGCAGGACGGACCTCATGTGGGGCAAGACTCACAGTGCATGGAGGTTCTGGCCTGCCGATGCCTGGTGGGGGAAGCCGCCCCTCGTGGCCCCTGGACGTCCACTGTTTCCTCCGGGGTGAGCTCTTCCCCACAGTCCCTTGCGAACCAATCCAAATTCATCTTGAAAGCTGTCAAAAAGGCCAATTGCTCGCCTGATGTCCTCCTGTACGAGATCGATCTGGGCTCCTGGTTCTTTTTAGTAGCTTCACCATCTCCCTACATCCTCCCTTTTGTCACCATCTCCTACATTTATCAGGTACGTATGATGTTCTCCTTGGTCTTTCTACTGCGGGCTTGGTTCTTGAGGAGCTTCACGGAACCTTAAATCAGCCTAACGTCCTAAGAAACCTTGCCGATCGTGGCATGTGATGGTGTGTGTACGAGATACCACTCTCTACGCTTCTGGCTCTGCCCTTTTTGGTTTGGGATATTCAGGCCCTCTTCCACCGTACAAGCCACGTCTCCGCTACGTGCGGAACCAAGGCAACAACGGCATGGAGCTGAGCTAACCGGCTGTTATAGAGGCGGTCCCAGGACGCCACATCTTTCTTCCTCATTCTAAATCACCGCCTATTGTCACCATGTCATTCCTTGCCAACGTCAAGTCGGTGCTCAGCGGAGACACCCTTGTTCTTACGAGTCCTAACAACCCGGCGGCTGAGCGAACACTCTCGCTTGCCTATGTTTCCGCCCCTCGTCTGAGCAAGGACGGCGATGAGCCGTACGCTTTCCAGTCGCGCGAGTTCTTGAGGGCACTGACCGTCGGAAAACAAGTCAAGTTCAGCGTTTCGTGTAAGTGATGCTCTTATAAAAGTTGTTTGCTCTCGCGACATCGTGTTGTACGGCGCAAGCTCATCGAATGTTTGCTGTTTCATCTAGACATTTAATGCTTACGCACTCTCCAGACACCATTCCTAACTCCGGTCGGGAATATGGAACCGCTCTTCTCCAGGATGGGACCGAGCTTCCGGAGGCAGCAGTCACCGCTGGTTGGCTCAAGGTTAGAGAAGATGCTGGCCGGAAAGAGGAGTCCGACGACATCCTCGCCAAGATCGATAACCTTCGGAACCTCGAAACAGCAGCAAAGGACGAATCCAAGGGACTGCATGCTGGTTCCGGCGGCTTCATCGAGGTTCAGAATGACCTAGGTGGCCCGGACTTTATGAAGCAGTGGAAGGGCAAGACAGTAGATGGCATTGTCGAGCGCGTTATCAGCGGCGACCGGCTGCTCATCCGTTTACTCCTTGAGGAGAAGAAGCACTGGCAGGTCATGACGCTCATGGCTGGTATCCGCACTCCCTCGACCGAGCGTGTCAACCAGTCGAACGGGCAGACACAACCCGCAGAGGAGTTTGGTAACGAGGCCCGCAGCTTTGTCGAGCAGCGCCTTCTCCAGCGCCCGGTCCAGATCAAGATCGTGGGCGCCAGTCCCCAAGGTCAGCTCGTCGGTGCCGTTATTCACCCTCGCGGGAATATTGCCGAGTTCCTTCTGAAGGAGGGTCTTGCTAGGTGCAACGACTTCCACTCCACCATGCTCGGCGGTGACATGGCTGCCCTCCGTGCCGCCGAGAAGGATGCTCAAGCTGCCCGCCGTCGTCTGCACAAGGGCTTCGTCGCCAAGTCTACCGACAGCAAGGAGCACGATGCGACCGTCACCAAAATCATTGGCGCCGATACAATCATCATCCGGAACAAGGCCGGCGTCGAGAAGAGGCTCAACTTGAGCAGTGTCCGTGGCCCCCGTGCCGGAGAATCGTCCGAGGCGCCCTTTAGGGACGAAGCGAAGGAGTTCCTGCGGAAGAAGCTGATCGGCAAGCACGTCCGCATCTCAGTCGATGGCACCAAGCCCGCCAGCGACGATTTCGAGGCCCGTGAGGTCGCTACGATTACCCAAAATGGCAAGAACATCGGGTTGCAACTCGTCCAGGAAGGCTACTGCTCGGTTATCAGGCACCGGAAGGACGACACCGATAGGGCATCCAACTACGACGAGTTGCTGGCAGCTCAGGAGACCGCCAAGGAAGAGAAGAAGGGGATGTGGTCTGGCAAGGCGCCTAAGGTCAAGCAATACGTCGACATGTCGGAGAGCGTCCAGAAGGCGAAGATGCAGCTGTCTACGCTTTCCAGGCAACGGAAGGTCCCGGGTATCGTTGATTTCTGCAAGTCCGGGTCTCGCTTCACCATCCTGGTACCGCGCGAGGGTGCCAAGCTCACATTAGTCCTCGCCGGTATTCGTGCTCCTCGCTCCGGCCGGACTCCCCAGGATAAGGGTGAACCTTTTGGTCAGGAGGCCCTAGACCTAGCCAACAAGCGCTGCAACCAGAGGGACTGCGAGATCGATGTGCACGATATCGACAAGGTCGGCGGTTTCATCGGCGACCTCTTTGTGAACCGGGAGAGCTTTGCCAAGATTCTCGTCGAAGAGGGTCTGGCCTCTGTTCACAAGTACTCGGCTGAGAAGTCCGGTAACGCTCTTGAGCTTTTTGCCGCGCAAGACCGTGCAAAGGAGGCGAGAAAGGGGTTGTGGCAGGATTGGGACCCGTCCCAGGACGCCGAACAGGAGGCAGAGGCCGCCGCTGGCGAACCCGCGGCAGATGCCTCGGTCACGATCGAGAAGAAGCCGGAGGATTACCGGGATGTCATCGTCACCAACATCGATGCGAACGGCAGGATCAAAGTCCAGGAGATCGGCAAGGGCACAGACGCGCTCGAGTCCTTAATGGACCAGTTCAGGCAGTTCCACATCAACCCCACGAACAGCGCCGTCATCAAGGACGCGCCGAAGGCCGGGGATTACGTAGCTGCGCAGTTTACGGAGGACGGCGAGTGGTACAGAGCCCGCATCCGCGCCAACGACCGCGCCGCCAAGGTAGCCGAGGTCGTGTACATCGACTACGGCAACTCGGAGAAGCAGCCGTGGTCGAAGCTCCGGCCGCTCAACCAGGCCCAGTTCACGGTCCAGAAGCTGAAGCCCCAGGCCATGGACACCCAGCTGTCGTTCGCGCAGCTCCCGGCGTCCCCCGACTACCTCAGCGACGCCATCAACTACCTCTACGAGCTCACCGAGGGCAAGCGGCTGGTGGCCTGCTTCGACTACGTCGACAACAAGGAGGGCCTGACCTACGTGACCCTGTTCGACCGCAAGCCCGAGGGCTCTAGCACCGAGTCGATCAACCGCCAGATCGTCCTGGACGGCCACGCCCTGGCCGCGCGGAAGCTGAAGGCGTGGGAGCGCAGCAAGGTCTTTGAGCCGGTCCTCAAGAGCCTGCGCGAGGCCGAGGCCGAGGCTAAGGAGGGGCGCCGCGGTATCTGGGAGTACGGCGATATCACTGAGGACTAAGTCATAGGGGTAGGCTGTCTGTGGCTGAGGAGCATATCTCGCATCGCGAAAAGAGCGTGGGAGGATCGAAAACCGGAATCGGAAAAAGGCGCGTGGGTTGGCTGGGCTGCACACTAACGTAGTTATTTACACATCCCATGATTAGGGACGCTTTGAGTACCACTGGCAGAATAAAAATCACCGGTCTGCGGTCTGGGTCCCATGATCTATCTCTCTTCATCAGCTTTATCAAGCACCACCTTCTGGTACGTAATGCCTGACAAAGGCCTCAGGTCCGTTCTCCGCGGCGCGGAGTCCCTGGTGGGCACGCTCTCTCCCGGCTATTTGGGGGTGGTGGACCCGGGCCCATTGCCCAATCATGCCGTGGCATGCGGCACGCTTCGCCGTAGCAGGCTGGTTGGCGCGCTCGGCTGAGTAAGAGCTGGAGCTGGGAGAGAGGTTTTGAGACCCGGGATCGGCGGAGTTGTCGGAGGTGGATCGGACAGTGCGGGGGGTGTCGGCTTTGACTTGGACGGTGTCACGGTGGGGGGCACTTGCGAACGTCTGTGTACCTTAGGGATGCACGAACAGTTCAGGACTTGCCTTTGTTGCCTCAGTCACCAGTCGGGCAACAATTGGACGACCCAGTGACATGCCATCCTGGACCAACCGTTTCATCAGGGTTTAAAAAATGTTGGGCCCGCTGCCGGCGGCGGGGAACGGGCGGCGAGGAATGGAGGGGCAAACTCGAGGGAACAAATGGGGGGAGGAACCTATGACGAGCCTGCCCCACGTCTCAGGAAGGCGAGAAGAGATATTATCCGACCAGTCCCCAACATCCCACTCCTCTAGCAACCTACAACAACAAACTTGCAACCTTGAAAATTTCCCTTTGGGCGTTGCGTTTTGATACCTATCCCAAAAGCTTCAAACCTTTATACCCCGTTGCCTTTCAGTTAATTCACTTTGCCCATCATGGCCAACTCTCTCGAGCAGCTCAAGGCCACTGGCACGGTAAGTTCAGTTACAGTTACCCCACCAAACCCCTCGTTGGGGAGAAAGCTCTTGATTCCCGAGCAACGATCGGCGAGGCTACCCTCGTGGTTTGCGCCATGAATCATCGGTCGTTTTGTTCGCGGTTATGAGAACATCTTTGCTGACTGCGTTGCTTGATCATAGGTTGTTGTCAGTGACTCTGGTAAGTCCACTTCTTGGATCAGCCGTTGTTGAAAACCCCTCGCTAACTTGACGTGTTTAGGTGACTTCGTCTGTTAGTGACCCCCAACGCTTAGCGCCACCGTGTTCCTCTGCGAGTCTTTCATCGACGAAAATATACTCACAATCTCACAGCCATCGGCAAGTACAAGCCGCAGGACGCCACCACCAACCCCTCCCTCATCCTCGCCGCGACGAAGAAGGCAGAGTACGCCGCGCTCCTCGACGCTGCGGTTGCCCAGGCCAAGTCCGAGGGTGGCTCCGTCACCGAGCAGGTCGACTCTGCTCTTGACAACCTCCTCGTCCAGTTCGGCAAGAAGATCCTCGAGATCATCCCCGGCAAGGTCTCCACCGAGGTCGATGCCGCTTTCTCTTTCAGCACAAAGGCGTCCGTCGACAAGGCGCTCCACATCATCAAGGTCTGATTCCTACATCCAATCGCCGACAAAAAACATCGGCTGACCCCCTAGACAGCTCTACGAGAAGGAGGGCATCAGCAAGGACCGTGTCCTGATCAAGATCGCCTCGACATGGGAGGGTATCAAGGCCGCCGAGATCCTGCAGCGGGACCACGGCATCAACTGCAACCTGACCCTCATGTTCTCCCTTCCCCAGGCCATCGCCGCCGCTGAGGCCGGTGCCTTCCTCATCTCCCCCTTCGTCGGCCGTATTCTCGACTGGTTCAAGGCTGCCAACAAGAAGGAGTACGCCAAGGAGGAGGACCCGGGTGTCGCCAGCGTCAAGAGCATCTTCAACTACTACAAGAAGTACGGCTACAAGACCATCGTCATGGGCGCCTCCTTCCGTAACACCGGCGAGATCACTGAGCTCGCTGGCTGCGACTACCTGACCATCTCCGTAAGTTTTGCTCTTAAGGCTTACCAGTATCAGAGCTTGACAATGCTAATCTCGGCAACAGCCCAACCTGCTCGAGGAGCTCATGAACTCCACCGCCGCCGTCCCCAAGAAGCTCGACGCGTCCGGCGCCAGCTCGCTCGATATCGAGAAGAAGACTTACATCAACGAGGAGGCCAACTTCCGCTTCGACTTCAACGAGGACCAGATGGCCGTCGAGAAGCTCCGTGAGGGCATCAGCAAGTTCGCGGCCGACGCCGTCACCCTCAAGGGCATCATCAAGGCTAAGCTCCAGTAAACGGCTAATGGAAGAGGGAGGAGATGGTAATGGACGTTATGACAACTCTAGACTGAGCCGGACTGTTTGCCGCGCACACACAAAATGGGTTATCGTTTAGCAAGAATGACGCGTCGCTTGGACTGGTTATTGAGCATGCGAGCAAGCCAGCACTGCTATAGTTACAGGATGCAAATAAATCAAGTTTGCCAATCAACACCAATGGTCTACACTGGCCTTTTGAGACTCGTAAGCGGGGTTGTAAGATATTATCATTATTTCCTGCCAATGTTTTGATACATGCAGATTTGTGTCATATCCATGCCACGAGGCAACTCGCCAAACTCGATCCAAAACGCCGTTCTACGCGCAGAACGCTTGCTCTGGTGAAATGTATGCAACGCAACCGCTTGAACGCTCATATGCAACACACCGGCTTCTCACCCCAGAACGAAGGCAGCCCGGCAGCCCGATGCCACCCAAGCAACAGTCCGGCCGACGGCATGCTGTGTAACCACCACCCTGCCGCACTCAATTCCGAGTCCACTCAGTCAGCGGGCCGCAGACAGGTACCGTCCACCGTACCAGACCAGATCAAACAGGAACGAGGTTAGACCAGGCGCACACGCCAGTTCAGACCAGCCCAGACCAGTTCAGACCGAACCAGCCCAGATCAGTTCAGACCAGACGGAAACCAACCCTCACCCCGCAATAACCCGCTGACTGCATCCCTCCCCATCCCCCTCCCTATAGGTCCCCTTCCCATTGCTCCATCTGTCCCTCTCCCTCAACCCCCCCAGCACCAACCACCGCCCCCGGATCCGCACAATCCACCTGCTCGATCCGGTGCCTCACCGCGCCCTGCCCCGCTCTTACCCCCGACCCGGCCACCGCCTCGATCACCAGCGCCGTCAGCTGTCGGCCGTGGCCGCAGCCGGAGTCGAGGCCGTAGGCGTAGCGGTGGCCCTTGTTCTTTTTCTTTTGCTTTTTGTGTTTTTTGTTCGTTTGAGTTTCGGACTTATTTTTGTTCTTGTGTTTGGGTGGGGAGGGGGAGTAAGGGGATATGTCGGCTTCGGGGTCGGTTTGGAGACCGGCTTTGGCGTCGTGCCCGTATATGACGAGGGTGGTGTGTGGGGAGGAGGGGTGGAGGTGGTTTTGGTAGCGGTTCCTGGGTGGGGGTGGGTGTTAGCGGTGGGTTGGGTTGGTTGGGGTTGGTGGCTAGAAGGGGGGGGGGGAGGGGGCTTACCAGGCGTGGCTCCAGGGCTCGCCGTCGTGGGTGTCGACGGGCACTGCGACGGTGTCTGGGGGGAGGGTGGGGTCGTCCATTGCTGTGGTTAGGTGGTCTGGTTGTTCTTCGTTGTCGTCGGCGGGGACTTGTTGGCTTTGGCTGTGGTGTTTTCCCTTGTTTTTCCCCTTGCCCTTGCGAGGGTACTTGAAACTCCGCATGTTCATCACGGCCCACGGGTCCTGCTCCTCCAGATGTACGCCGGGGACTAGGCCGCCGTGGACGACGGCCAGGGTGCTGGCGTTCCAAGGGGGAGAGGCCGCGTCGGGGAGGTGCCCGATCCGGAGGATAATGGGGAGCGACCCGAGCCAGGCGAGCTGAGCGCGGGTGAGGGACCGGGCGACGCGGTGGGCGTGGTTCCTCATCACCCGGACGTCTGTTCCGACTTCGCCATCTGCGTCCTCGACTTCACTAACATCAACATCGTCCGACCCTGGATTGTCGTTGGCCGACCAGCGGTGGAGCTCCCTGGCGGCGGCCAGCACCCTATCATCCTGGTTGCCCCTCACCGCGCTCGCTCCGAGGGCCATAGCTAGCTTGAGGACGCCTTTGCTGTCGGGCCCCTTGGTGACCATGTCGCCGGCGAGGACGAGGTGGTCGCCATGCTTGTGGTCGAAGCCTATCTTCTTCAGAAGGGCCTTGAGGGCGCCGAGCTGGCCGTGCACGTCACCGACGACGACCAGTCTCTTTCCATTGACCCTATCCTCACCTTCCCCCAGCGCCCTGACTGATGATGGGGGCCTATAAGATGGGATGTGCTCTTGGGGAAGGTCTTTGACGAGAAGTGGCGGGTCGTCTTTGAACGGCGGGTGTTTGTTGGTTCCGTATTCCATGGTGAGAGTCTCGAGTTTTTCTTTCGCAAGCTCAATCGACTCCTCGAGGAGCAAGCCGACTTCCGATGAACCATCATGGTGGGGTCCCGGCGACGTCATCCCGTATTCGCCCGCATTGCCGCCAAACGGGCGAAAGCCGGTGAGGTGTGGTAGGGCCGGCAGGTGGGTTGTGAAGAGGCATAGTGCCAGCAATGCAAGCCCTCCTACGACCAAGAATAGCGGTGATCGATTCTGGTCCCGGCGATAACCAGGAAGGAACCGCGCAATTGATTGCCGGCCCATCGAGATTTGGTGCAAAACCAGGTTACGTAGTTACAGCTAAATACGGTACCTGTGGTGGGTGGCAACGGGGCTCGAGCCGAGGTGTTGTGTAACAAGTCCCTTTTACGTGTCCTCGTCACGTCTCGGTCGTTGGCTTCATCAAGGACGCAGTCACGCATTTATGATTGTCGAAATTCTCGGGTAGGGGCGTCAGGTTTCCATGGCAAAGGAAAATCTTGAGGCCCAAAGCGCAGCAAGCGCTCGAGCTTTGAGACAATCGAACTCCAGACTGCAAATACATTGGGTGAGTGAGTCGGTGGTTTTTGCCTACCTGGGGTAACGAGAAAATTCCTAGTCCGTTTTAGTCGACTTCCGTTCGGGTCGTCGGCAACTTTCGTTCAGCTGCTGCAGGGACCGAGTGGACATGGCATCGCTCGGGCCATTTACCGACCGCCCAGTCAAGATAAATTCTTGGCGCGATCGACGTTTCGCTTTGTTGTCGTGAGGTTTGACGCGAAAAAGAAAGGAAAACCACCTTGAATGCGCCTTGCTGTCGCTGATCTTCTAAACGATGTCGTGAAGATCGTTTAAACTTTTCTCAGCTCTGATTCTAATATTCTTCAACTCCCCATGGAAAACATCACCTCAAGTAAAAAAAGAGTGTACAGAAATGACCCTCTTACGCCCATCGCCCTTTTGCCCAGTCCGTGGTTTTCTACAAATTCGTGACACGCACTAAAAATGGCCATCATTGGCCCTGTGGTTTTCTACCACTCACGCTTACTTCTTCCTTGACGCCGACTTCCTCGACGCCTGCTTCCTTGGCGACGAACCAGTCTTCTGGCCTATCAGAATGATCATTCCCTGTGTTGGTTCCAAGTCAGTTGCGTCTTCCAGAACCCGGGCAAATCCTCAACCTACATCGCCTCATCCTCGCGACCCTGGTCGTAATTAGCGCTCTCGCAGGGGCCCAAGTCATTTCGATTGGCTGTCCCGCCTCCGGCCTCTTGAACTTCACCTCGATGACGGTGAACGGCGGCTGCTCGGCCTCGCCTGCCGCTTTCCGTGCATCTACAGCGGCCGCCCACGCGGCCGTCGTGTAAGCGATGAACTCTCGTCGGCCCACCGCACAAGTGTTGAGATACTCGAGCTCGGTCTGGTCGTCAAAGACTCCCTTGGCGACAATTCGCCCGAGGAAATTCCAAAAAGGGACCGGAAGGTTCCAGTCGTACTGGTAGCCGATAGAATGGAAGATTTGCGTCTGTCGGGAATACGTGATCCTGGAAGTGCCTGGTTAGCCTCGGATTTCGTATTCCTTAAAGATATGTCATGGTTGACTTGCTCGATCACAACATGGGTAATGCCGTCTCGGTTGAAGTTATTGAAGCGCGCTTCTGTTAGCGCGCGGACCTCTGGGACCGGGGTATCGATAATGTCCCCGTTTGTGATGATGAGCAGGGACGGGTCGACCTCGACGTGGGGCCGAGTGACGGGTGTGATGGGAATGCTGAAGGGATCCATGCTGATCGAATTTAGAGTCTCTTTGGAAAACCGGAGTTCGCCCGGCTGCCTCCTAGGTGGTGATGAGCGCGTATGCGACAGTACATAATACGCTGCAGGTTCGGGCTTTTCTTGGGAGACCTGCTGCAACGGTTTGACAGGGGGGCCGGGGGCCGGGGGCCACCCGGCTACAGTTAAGCGCTCTATCTGCGAGCACCCTCTCTCTTCACGCAGCAGACAACAGACGTCTAGGGAGCGTTGAGCGTTTAGACATCCATCTCGAAGCAGGCCCCCCGCTTGGTCGAATGTGAAACCGCGATGGGAGAATCCCTGTGTCGATCTCCGCCTCCTCCACGTTGTGCCGCGCGCTAAGCATCCGCCGAGGGCGCCCTGACACCCGCGTCCGGGGCCACGACCCGACCGCGGTTGAGAGCGCCTAACCACGACTAACAGCCAATAACAACCGAGAGACACGTTAACCGCCAGCCTTGTCTCCAGGAGCCATTCGCTTGACGGGCGTCTGCCCGGGGGCTGACAGTGGAGGGGACCATGTAGATATGGTTGGGTAGACAGACATTTAACTACCGGCAACAGCCAGCCGTTATGAAGACTAAGTTCCGAAGTGTATCCCCTTTCATGCCAGATTCATGCTCAACCCCTCGTGCTCCCCGGTATCTTTTTGACACGAGGTATCTTGCCTTATCATGGACCCCCTCAGCATTATCGCCGGTACCGTCGGACTCCTCGGGGCAGCGGCGACGGTGATCAAGTTCCTTGACACGCTCAAATCCACCATCCGGGACGCCCCGAAGTCGGTCGTTTGGGCACTGGCCGAAGTCAACGACGTGCGTTCAACGGTTGCAAGGCTACATGCCTATTTCGAACATCTTGATTCGATCCCCAAAGATACCCGAGCTTTGGTGACGGTCCAGGACGCAGCTGTTACCGTGTCCGAGCTGGTCGGGTTGTTCGACAATCTCGTCAATATGCTCAAGCCGTTTGGGTTGTCAGACCCGGCGTTGATGAAGAGGTGGGATAAAGTCAAGTGGGCTCGGGCGCAGGACGATATCGCGAAGCCCATCATGAAAATGCAAGTTCATAAGGGTTCTATTACTCTTATCCTGAATATCTTTCAGTGGTGAGTCACTATTATTCGCATATAATCGGATGGAAGCTTTCTAATTATCCTTGCAGCGAGTCTGATATCATAGCTGTGCAATCTCGTTTAACCCTTGAGTCTCGAATCAACACGGCTATTGAGGGCAACCTCGACATCCAGAAGCGTCTGGAACGCATGGAACGGATGTTCGAGGCCTGTCTTAACGACGCGCCTTCCCCGAAAATGCCTGGGCATGACCGTACACACTCAGATACAACCTCTGCTCGAAGACCTTCAACTGTGGCGGTTAAGGTGTCGAGTCCCACGCAAGACGCCAGCCGCATACCTGTGATCAAGCGCCAATTCGAAGAGACGTTGGCCGAAACCGGTGTTTATCGACGTACCCAGCAGCGTCCCTTGGACGAGTTTTCGATTCACTCCAGCGATACTAGTAATCGTTCCGTCACGCAGACCATCATGACCAGTTACAGCCTAGCCGATAACGCTTCCGTTCTTTCTCATTATCCTATCATTAATCGGAGCGAGCTCCGCCATCCCGAGTTCTATGCGGGCGTTGAAACTGGAATTGAACGGAATCGAGAAAGTCGTTTTCTCAGCGCCTTGGCTCATCGCGGGCGAAGATCGTCGGACACACGCCGCTCCCCGCAGATGTCTGTTCCCCAGCAAAAAGTCCGGACGGCTCCAAACTGCGGGCCAGAGGTCATGGGGGCTTGGTCGGCTTTGACAAGGCGGATTTGGCGACCCACTGAGTTTCGCTTCGAGACGCAGTTCGAAGTTCCTGTCATCTTCGTCTGCCCTCCCAGCAACAAAGAGGGCCCAATCAAGAACAAACCCATCAATTTCGTGTGCGGCACGCAGAGAAGCCTGGAAGCGACTAGGGTACTGCTTCCGAGGGATGAAGAGAAGATGGAATCAATGCGGGCGGACCGGGTGCACGCAGCCGACAACGAGAAGGCATCCTGGGTTACTTTACTCTCGCAGCTCCAGTCGATGGAAACAGAGAGCCAGGAGTGGCAGTTGAAGCACTCTCGCACCGGTCCGCGGATGGCGACCCCCAGTACCGAATTCTACAACCACACTCTCGCCGTCGCGATCCAGACCCAAACGCAGAGCTGGGACGCTATGCCACCCAGCGTCAAGAAGCCCTGTGCAACGACGACCTTTTCCCACCTCCTCGAGATCGCGGCCATGATGGGTATGCACTGGAAGGAATTTAATCAGTCGGAAAAGCGGTACCGGGCTGAGGGCAACGGATGTATGCTCAGAGGCACCCACATTCCGGAACTCGGCCTCATGTTCACGTTCCAGGTCTACGGTAGAGTCGAGTTCCTGGGGAATAGGGTGATCCCGGTTGGCGAAGTCAGGGAACTGTGCTGCGGTTTTGTCCCAACCTTGTTCCAGGAGACCAACAAGCATCAGCGCCGGATCGATTCTCCCATCAGGGACCTCAGGGACCTCAACTTTCTCCAGCTTAGTAGCAGAGACAGGATCGCCGAGACAATGGTGATGGTTGGCTGTAATACGAATACAGCCAACTACTTTTGCTCCCATGAGACAAAACATAGCCATCTCTTCCCAGGTATGTATATCTACCAACTCCGTAGTAAGATGTCGTTGCTAACTCTGTATAGTCCCGTTTGAGCTCATGGGAATGTTGGGCAAGACGCTGCACATACGGAACAGTGCCTTCCGTATGTTGCCAAACCCTACGCCATACCAGTGGAGTACGAACTCCTTTGAACTACCCCAGCTGGTGAAGGAGTACTGGAAGAATATTACGGCTTCGGACCTGGACCTCCCCCGAGTACCGCACGTCAAGAAGCTCGGAGAGGACACCTCTCTCCTACTTGAAGCGCTGTACCGGGATGCAAAGTCCAGGACGCCCGCCTACTCCATACCGCTACTCAACACCGTGCACGATATTCTGGACAGATGCGATAACTTCCTCAGGGGGAGCGACTCGGATCTTGTCCGGATAGTGGTCGGGGAGCACTTCCAAGCAGTTCTCAAGATGGTCAACGAAGAAAGGCGGATGTCCAACGGGGATGGCCGAAGGGGCGGGAGGCGGCGAGCGGAGCATTTCAGCGAACTCACGGCCGCCAGCCCAGAGCTGCGCGAGGAGGTATTCATGGACCTCTACTTCTACAAGGTCTTCGGCCAGGTTAGGGAGCGCGCCGTGACATGGTGTGAACAGCGGCGAACGGCACCGCGGGCGGGCTCGGGGAGCCCCCGGGAGCCCCCTGCTGCGAGCGTCTCGGCCATCTGGTGTACGCTTGTGCTGCGGATGATGTGCTGGCTGCTGCTCCACGATTTCCACAGGAAGGACGTCCAGATACCGAAGAGCGAGCTGCTGGGCAGTCGGATTCCGGTGTATATCTCTTGAGCCCCGGCGGCTTTCTCGGCCTGCAGTCGTTTCCTATCTCTTGTTGAATCGGGTCTTAGGGGATCAGGGGATGCGAGTTGTCACGTTATTTTAGGAGCTGTTGAGTGACAGCAAATTTTGGTGGGAGATTGTTTTGGGATTTCAGGCGCAGATGGATGGCGTATTAGTTTGGTTAAGTTGCGAGGCGGCATCGGTTCATCTTAGTTCGGTAATGTTATTTTAGCCAGAAACAAGATTGTCGGCTCATCGTTGTTGCTCCCGATTCTCGGTGTTGGGGAAGCCCATACTTCATAGATGGTTGCTCTTGGTTTCCGCCTGCCTCCTACCGGGCTCGGAGAAGGAACCGGAAAGGACCGGGGCTCGACGATTTGGTATGGAGGTATGTAGGTGTATACCCTGGTGTGATCACCGGTGGACTCTCACCACAGTATAACTCTTCAAGTAGGGCATGGACTCAAAGCTGCCTTCCTAAAACCCCAAATGCCTCCTATGCCCCCACCTCCAATGACGCCCTTCGAAAGGTGGCACATTATCGTACAGTGCATTAGATGGCGCGAATTCTCGCTCGTCATGACTTTGATGACTTGTCCGCCGCGGCGGCCGCAGCGGCAGCTCTGTATTTCTCGTTCTCGGCCTCCCTCCAGTCCTGCGGCTCTTTCTCGTTGCCATCCGTCTCGCCGCGGGTGCCCGCAAATGCCGACTTGCCGGCGTACAGCTGGTATCCCTCGCCCGTCTTATCGGTCTGCTCGAGCTTTCGGAAGGCGACGGGCTGGTTCCCGCGGAAGCGCTTGCGCATGTCGACCATGCCGCGGCGGCACTCGCCGAAGCCCTTCTTGAGCTGCTGGCACTTGAGAGGGAGGGTGCTGAGGAGGGGCTCGCGCATGCACTCAGCGGCCGAGTGCCGCTGCACCATCACGCATTCGGATTCTTGCAGGCATTCCGCCAGCGCGGCTCCTTGAATTCATGTTAGCATGCGCAATGCTGGTAGAGGGGATGGCGGACAACCGCGCACGTATATCTTTACATGAGCTCGGCATTTTGGCTGTGGTGGACTGTTGCGCTGCGGTCGGCGACGTAATCGACGATTCCGACTTTCAAACGACCTTGAGCCGAAGGTCTGGAACGAACCAAATTGCCTGCAAGCCTGGGGCGCAAAGTGGCTTGAGCTTCGGGAGGATCCCGATTCGATCGCGGAAATGGTAATGTTACCTGACGGTAATTACATATTTTCAAGGCCCCGTCGCGCCAACTCCTTTCCCAAGCATTGGATCGCAACAAGCCACAAATGAACGAACAGAGGAAAGTCTGAGAGGGAAACCGCCAATCGGCGCGGGAGGCGCGACCTGCTCGCCATGGGATTTTCTGTTTCCGGAAAAGGGTAAGCACGCCCGTCGCAACAGGGGGTCATGAGGCGGGCACAGCAAGACCAACAGAATTCGCATGTGACGGATGATGTCACAAGGGTCAGTTTCACCCTGGGAGGCAATTCCCCCCACAACCGAACATCGCGCGTTGACATGGGGTGCGTTCCAGACCGAGACCTGTGCCATCCCAATTATCTCCCATGCACAAACATGAACATTTTGCGAATTTTGTAGCTTTCGAGCCTAGATCTCGGTTTCTAATTCACCTTACCCAATTTTACCATAAACACACAAAACAGAGGGCTTATGACGGGGCAGCATCCCTCGGGAGCTTCCTGCCAAGAATCCCAAGATGCCTGTCCCCTTTCTGGGGCGTCTTAACATGTGAGACACTGCAGAGCGCATCCGCCAGATACCTGCATGTTCGTGGTCCGGCGCGGTGCTGATCGAGTCTTGACCGTAAACAGCACCGAGTACGTCGCCCTCGTCGGATCGTTCCTCCTCGTTGGCCTCGAAGCCTTCGTCCGCATCTTCACCCTCGCCCTACGTGAGCATCCGCCCCCCGCGCAATTGTCCCACCGCTCCGCCGTTCCACGAATTGGACTCGTTCATCTAACACCCCATCATAGCATCATCGCTCCTCGAGCTGTGCTACGGCGTATCCCGGCGCTTGTTCAATAGGCTAGCCAGTCCGGCGCAGAAGAGGGCCGAGCGGAGGAGGAAATGTCTGTGTTGCGCCTGGGTTGCGATAAGCGTGGAATGCTGGCTGACTGACTGACTGAACTAGCCATCTCGACCTCGATCCGAAACGCCTCCGACTTCGTCGACCTCTGCGCCGCGTTCGGGTACACCGCCGAGGAACACGTCGTGCAGACGAAAGATGGGTACCTGCTCGGGTTGCATCGGCTAGCGTGGAGAAAGGGGGAGGAGGATGTCCGAGTCAACCGCGGCCCGAATAGCATTAAGAAGCGGGTGGTCTACCTGCACCACGGCCTGCTGATGAACAGCGAGGTGTGGGTGTGCCTGACCGATGAGCAGCGGGCCCTGCCGTTTACCCTAGTTGAGAAGGGGTTCGATGTCTGGGTAAGTTCACATATCAGGGGTTGAGAACGACGGGGGACACAACGCTGACAATGGCAGTTTGGGAATAACCGCGGCAACAAGTACTCCAAGAAGTCGATCCACTCGTCGCCCACTTCGCTCAAGTTCTGGAACTTCTCCATTGACGAGTTCGCGTTCCACGACATCCCAGACAGCATCGGCTACATTCTCGAGACCACCGGTCAGCAGTCGCTGTCCTACATCGGTTTCTCTCAGGGCACCGCACAGGCCTTCGCCAGCCTGGCGGTCCACCCGAAGCTCAACGACCAAGTTAACGTCTTTATCGCCCTCGCACCCGCCATGTCGCCGGCGGGTCTCTCCAACGGCATCGTCGACGCCCTCGTCAAAGCCTCTCCGCAGGTCCTCTACCTCCTCTTCGGCCGCCGCTCTATCCTCAGCTCGGCAACTATGTGGGAGTCCATCCTGTACCCGCCGCTATTCACCAAGGTCATCGACCTGGGCCTGTCGTTCCTCTTCGCGTGGCGCACCCAAAATATCAGCACGTCGCAGAAGCTCGCGGCGTACCCGCACCTGTACTCGTTCACCAGCACCAAGTCGGTGGTGCACTGGTTCCAGATCATCCGCACCAAGTCGTTCCAGATGTACGACGACGACGTGCACCCGCCGCTGGGGCTCGCGCCGAGCGCGAGCCGGTACACCAAGGTGGCCAAGTACCCGACGCGCAACATCAAGACGCCCATCGTGCTGGTCTACGGCGGCAGCGACTCGCTCGTCGACATACGCGCCATGCTGCGCGAGCTGCCCGCCCAGACCCTCGCCAACGAGATCCCCCACTACGAGCACCTCGACTTCCTCTGGGCCCGCGACGTCCACGACCTCGTCTTCCCCCACGTCTTCGACGCCCTCGAGAGCTTCACCGGCCCGGAGCACTCCCGCGAGGAGTACGCCCGCTACCGCATCAAGCGCGAGAGCTCCAGCCTGCTCGGCGTGCCTCTCGCCGCCGCCGCCGCGAAGAAGACGGCAGCGCAGCACCTGGCCCGCGCCAGCGACGTGGTCGACAGCGACGTCAGCACGGCAGTCGGCGGGGGCAGCAACCATGGCGACGAGGAGGAGGAGGATGAGAGCAGCGAGGTGGGCGGTCTCGCACAAGAGGAGGAGACGGAGCCGTCCCGGAGGCGGCCACTGCGCATCCACACCCAGTCTCAACCGCAGCCTCAGCCGCAGCCTCACGCTGTTGCGCCCAGCGAAACGCACATCCCCTCGCCGACCGGCGGCCCGCCGGGCATTTCCCGCCCCCGCGGGAGCAGTATCACGGGAAAGCGCGGGGAGGTGGACAATGTGGCCGCCGCGCCGCCCACCCCGGAATCACCCATCCCGGCGCCGGCACCGGTCGGTCGCACACAAGTTCCGCGGGTTCCAAAGCTTGGGGATGCGGACGCCGAGGTGGTGGCGCCCGCGCCCCGCCCGCGTTCGCCTCGTCCTTGTGAGAAGAAGAAGAAGAGTGAGGTGGAGGAGGTCACTGGGGTTGGGAAGGGGGATGGTGGTGGCCTGGCAGCTCGTACGTGATTGCGGCTGGCTTTGGTTTTTGGCTTTTTGGCTTTTTGGCTTTTTGGCTTTTGGCTTTTGGCTTTATTATCGTTATGGGTGTTGGGGTGGTACTAATCTTTGGGATGGTACTAATCATCTGGGTGGTGACAGGCAAACCCGCTGGGAGTGTGACTAGCCGGGTGAGTGAGAGTGGAGGCTCGAAGAGTGGTAAGTCTGAGACGGGGCTGGGGCTGGGGCTGGGCCCAAGAAGAAGAAGGTTCCGGTCGAGGGGCGGAAACGCCCACCTTCGAGGAGGGAGTGAGATGTCGGGCGGGAGATAGATGGCGCGTGTTAGAGCTGGCTGGCTGTATACGATTGGTGTAGGAGTAGTTTGTACTTTCGCTGGTTGCATGCATTGGGTCGCATGGGTGGTGTGTGCCGGGTGAGGAACCGCTAGATTGGGCATAAACAGAATCTGGAGAGGCTCGTTATCGTTACATCATGTTAGTCTTTTCGAGATTAAACACTTTGCCTTTGCCTCTCTTCGCAGTGCGTGTGTGGTATGGCTCTTAGTTTTCCGCCACCACTTTGCATGGTGTGATCCCCAACGACCCAAGTATATGCTGGCCAGTTACAAGATACTATAAAACAGCATATGATCTTTCAATGATTTTTTCTTCTGGACTCTCACGTTTGCCCTGGCGCCACCGACGTTACCGGGTGCGGTACCCGGGCTGGGGTCAAGGGGGGATGCTAGTATCGGAAGTTAAACCCCGATAGTTGCTTACATCTCAACTCGAGAAATTGTTCGACCTTGGCAACGCATCCGATTTACACGGAACGGAGCATCATAACGGAACTTACAAAACAGTGCTAGGGTCGATCTCAAGGGCGCCGGCGTATGACATGAGGTCTCATTTTGCAGACAGGAAAATATGAAGTCATAAAGGATCACACCAAACTAGTCCACAACAGCCACCAACTACCCGTTTCACTCATTCTCAACTCTCAACTCTCACCTCACCTCACTTACACCTCACTCACACCACACCATGGCCTCAACACCAATATCCACAACCGCCAAGGCGGCCGCAAAGAACGCCGTCACCTTCACAGCAGGCCGCGCCGCCTTTCAGCCGCGCCAGACCTACGAAGTGTCGTCCAACATCCCGCGCTCCTTCTTCCTCGGCCACCACCACGCCGGCCTCGCCCGCATGCGCCAGACCCTCTCCACCGTCGGCCTAATCATCGAATGCCGCGACTTCCGCGTGCCCATCACCTCCTGGAACCCCCTCCTCGAACAATCCCTCGCGGGCTCCTCCCCCGCCGAGCGCGCCCGCATCATCGTCTACACCCACCGCGACCTGGGCCCCGACAGCCGCCCGGACCCATCCACCCCCTCCCTCTCGGAGACCGCCGCCCACAACCTGCGCACCTTCCACCTGCAGCACAACCACGCCACCGAAGTCCTCTTCACCAGCACCGGCCCCACCCCCTCCTCCTCCTCCTCCCCCCCCTTCCGCAAATCCCCCACCACCAAAACCCCCACCGCCGCCCTCCTCGCCGCCATCACGCGCGTCGCCCGCGACCGCGACTCCCTCACCGGCCTGCGCGCCCTCGTCGTCGGCATGCCCAACGCAGGCAAATCCACCCTCCTCAACGCCCTCCGCCGGCGCAGCATCAAATCCAGCGCCAACAACCCCTCCTCGGCGGTGCGCGCCAGCGGGGCCAAGGTGGCGCGCACGGGGTCCAACCCGGGCGTGACGCGCAAGCTGAGCTCGCCGGTGCGGATCGTGCCCGCCGAGGGGCAGGATGCCTCGCTGGCCGGGGTCGGGGAGGGGGTGTTTGTGGTGGATACCCCGGGGGTGTTTATCCCGTATGTGTCGGACCCGGAGAAGATGCTCAAGCTGGCGCTGGTGGGGTGCGTGCGGGACGGGATCCTGCCGCGGGAGACGCTGGCGGATTATTTGTTGTACAGGTTGAATTTGGGTTTGGGGGAGGGGGATAGTGGTGGTGGTGGTTGGGGAGGGTATGTGGAGAGGTTGGGGATGGCGGGGCCGACGAACGATGTGACTGAGTTTTTGGAGGCGGTCGCGAGGCGCGTGGGGAAGTTGGCCAAGGGAGGGGGGGCCAACTATGACACGGCGGCGGAGTGGGCGGTGCAGGAGTGGAGGGGTGGTGGGTTTGGAAAGGTGCTGTTGGACGATGTTACCCCTGAGACGTTGGCGACTGCTATGGAGGAGGCCAAGGAGACTGCGCTGAGTATGAACCAGGCGAGGAAGAAGGAGAAGGAGGCGAGGAAGGCGAGGAACGAGGCGAAGCGGGCGGGGATAGCGGGCGGTGGTGGTGGAGGAGAGGGGTCGGCGTGAAATGGGAGGGGGGAAGGGCATGTATATTATGGGTTGTAAAATAGTGTGGTGTGGCGTACGAAGTGGAAAGGCTAAGTAAGTAAACAAGGGTAGATTTGGGTTGAAGTGATAAACACAATAGACTCCAAAGCAACTTTAGCAACGCCATACAAAAGATATGCGGCAAGCCGTCATCCAATACCCAATATCATTGGACAGTATCAAGTACCTAACTATAAATACAGTTGTCGAACAAAACAAATCAACAGAGAGCCGTCGGTCCTTGTATCCCGACCTGAGCGCCTCCCACAAGGGGTATTAGCCGACCACCGAGCCGTGAGAACCACCGTCCCGTACATTAGCCCCACCCAATTCCTATCCCTATTGACGAAGCCATAGCTGAGCTGAGCTACCTAAATCGAGATGCTGCCCGCTGTAAGAACGAGCCGAAGCAAGTTGCGTATGAGAAGAAACCCTTCCCAACCTAGACGCCTGTCCTATGCTATAAAAAAAGACAAAAAAAACCATAAACGCCGTCAAATGCAACGAAAGGACGCCAATACCCCCTTTATACACCACCACGACAAACACCCTCGGCGTTGCCTTACACAGCGTACTGTTGTTGCCACTTGACAAGCCGCCGAGTCAGGGTGTCCATCATCTCCACGCAGCCAAGCTCCTTGAACTCCTTCCCCGGACCAGCGTTTCCGGGTTCCCCGAGCACCAGCATCGGGGTTTGGTTGGTTCCGTGGGTCCCGTTGGTTCCGTTGTCTGCTTTCTCCGGAGCCGCCGCCGAGCTGCCGTTGGTGTCGCTTCCAGCCCCGGGTGGTGACCCTGTGGGTGACTCGCCCGCCAGCTCTATTTGCGTCTGGGAGATGAAATTCAACAGCGCCGTTGCTCTCCTCTTCATGTCGTGCATGGTTATTTTGCTGTTCATCCCGCCCTTGGACTTGGTCGTTGCCTTGCCGCCGTTCTCTCCGCCTGTTTTTCCGCCCCCAGGCGCTCCGTGGTCGTCCTTTTGGATGTCGCGTGATTGCGACCGTGCGGGTGACTCGTCGTCGTGAACGTCGCGGTCGCGAGTGTACTGGTTGCGGCCCTTTTTCTTGTGTGATCTCTTCTTGTCAGCCTTGGCATGGACCGTAATTGTGGGTGGCGTATCTGGTGCCGGGTTCGAAGTTGTTGGTGGGTCGACGGCCGTCGGTGGCCGGGCGATTTCTGGGACCGAGAGAACCGCCCCGTTCGAGGCCCCCGAGGCCTGTGTTGCCTTCTGCGTTGCTGCCCGAGTCGCTAGAGGCATTTCCTCGGAAGGATCCGAGTCTGTATCCGTGTGAGTGTCGGTAACTTTAGGCGAGCTTGGGAGGTGGCATACCATCAGCTCGTCGACGGTCGGCTCTGCCCTTCCGCTTGTTCGCGGTTTCGACCCGCTGCCGCTCTTTCTCCTCCTTTTCCGATATCTTCTCAACTCGAAGGCTTCGCACCGCTGCCGCACCTCTCGCTTTCGATTTTGGTACCCCATTCCGGCCGGCGGCGCCGGGCTCGTCCGAGTCTTCGGCGTTGTCGGACAACGGTGACGCGGATCGCGAGCTTGTTTTCTGCCGTTTTGTGTTCTCCGATTTCCTACAATCATGTCAGCGATATATGACAGGTTAAGGTGGATGTTGGGCATACTCTTGGCTGTCGCTGCGTCCACGTTTCGGTCGTCTGTTCCCACCCTCGGCCGGATCGGGATGCGTTTCCTCTTTGCTAGCCTCAATTGCCCTCCTCAGAGCCTCCGCTTCGTCATATCCAGCTTCTCTGCTATTTAGCGTAGATCGCCTTTTTGAGGCGTGGTTTGCGGACGACCCACGTCCGTTCCGAGTCTCTTTCTCTTTGGTGGGCGAGCGAGCCGTGTCTTTGCTATTCAGAGACGCCGCTCGAGACGTGGCTCTGCCATTTCGCTTAAGGGGAAGATAATGGGAATAAACGCTGCTGAGGGTCATGTTGTTAGCATGTTAACTCGGTCTGCACGGTCCTGGGTGGAACTTACCCATTGCTTGCCGTCCAAAGTTTGTGTAAATCATCGCGACACTTTTCGCAAAAATATTCGTCGGGACTCGATTCTTCTGTCATGATCCCGACACAGCCGCCGTGTTGCCAAACTTTGCAAACATCGCACTGCACAAACAACCCCGCGGTGTCGTCTGTAACGTCGGCCGAGAAGAATGGATCGAGGCCGAAGGCATGTTTGAAGCCATGCTTGGAGTCTTCGTCCAACGGCGGCGGGCCTTGGTATTCCTCGTTCCCGCAGACGCAGCGCACGGCCTCGTCCTCTTCCTGGAGATCACCGTCGCCGTCCGCCATGTCGGCAGTCTCGGTTTTGACTCCGGCTCTCTCTCTCTCCTCAACTTGTCCTCGAGTGCGGCGTCGGGACCCGAATGGGTCCTCGGCTGTGATTGTGTCTTCGGGCGGTTCGGATGACAGCGATCCCGTTGAGGTGGATTTCTGCGGCGAGCCGCCCTTGTTGAAATACCTGGAACTGCGCTCAGGACGCCCCGAGAGGCTCGAGGCTGTGGACGAGATCTGGGACTGCGACTGGGTTGTGCGCGCCCTTGAAGACCGTCGAGGGTCCGTTGCTGCCATTGTTTATCCTAGATTCCACAATGACGGCGAATCGGCTCGGTATGAAAAGAAGCGATCGGAGGACGCGGCGAACCTGCGCGATCGGCTTGTGTAACGGCGGGGCCTCGAATGGCGAGCGATCGGGATCGTATTTCTAGGTGGGTATGGTAGGCGGGGTTATTGATATCGCGAATTCCGAACTTCGTCTGGAAAAGTGATCTAATCTTGTTGTGGTTTGTCGGGTTTGGGACCCTGAGTCTGGCCTCGGGACAACGACTGAGCTGACCCGCGTGTTGGGTGAGATGGCGCGCAAGGAAGGCGCTTCGCACCAATGGCTGAACAATGTCTTTTCTCGGTGTATTTGCTCGATGGAGGCGGGTGTCTCGACGTTCGGATTTGTGCGCCGGCGAGAGTTGGGTGGTGGAGGTCCGAGACGAGTTGGCTCGGAAACGTGACAGTGAGAGCGGTTGACAGGGCACGACGCGGTAGTGGCGCCAATGAGGTCGGTGGTGTACGAGAGTGTTGCTAGAGAGTCAATCGTAGTGGAAATGGTAAGATGACTGGGTGTTTAAATGCTCGCGACGGGAGGAGACCGGTTCTGACGCTGCACCAAAGGGGTGACGGGAGGAAGGAGGGCGTTGAGCAGGCTGCCCCGAACGAGCGCCGTGGCGTTAAAGCTTGGACTCTTGGATAAAATCCACAGCGTATCTTCGCAAAATAAAACTCGTGTTCATGACTGAAGCCGGTGTAGAAATAATATTCGTCACGAATGGTCGGGAACTCGTGGGAAGTGGTGGGATGGTGGAGGAGGAGTGGACGGGCAGAACAGAGGGCGACGAGCGGGAGCGCTTTGCCTGGATCCAGTCCCACACGCTCTTTTCCCGAGTGCTCAGTTAGCTCGCAGCAATTTTTGGCAGACTGCGCCGGGGGGCGGCTCGTGCGGGGCTTGTGGGCCCGCGAGCTCCATGCTGAGCCGGCTTTCCAGCACAGTGTGAATTCCTGTAATTAACAAAGACCGCATTCTGTGCCATTCAAACAATGTGAGCATGACATCACGCTCGACCGGGGCTAGATAAATGGCCTTTGAAAAAGTAGGTTCGAAAGAACGAGGCGAACAATAGGCATGATTGCTTCGAAAAGGCTACGGAGCCCCAAATTCCGGGTTCTTCGGCCCTGAATAGGGTTGTGTTCTCGGAGTTGGAGAGAATTTGGAAGAGTTCACGGAGCTGAGCGAACACTCGGCGCGCAGAGGGCTTTGCACAGTGAAGGGCTCCCTTCCAACCCGGAGGTCCCCAACCCCTCAGGGGCATCCGGAAAAACCTCGGACCAAGAGCGCGGCCCGCGCTGAACGAGGGGTTGGTCAGGGCCATGATGGGCGGATTATGTAACCGGTCTTTCGGTGCGTCCACTGGCAGCGGGCAGCGCTGAACACACTGTTCCTCCACCACAGAAACTGTTGTCACAGTCACAGCCCTTCATTCGACTCTGAGCATCCGACTTGCCTTGAGTTGATCGCAGGGCGCCCGATCTGCTTTGAAGTCCTCTTGTCGTACAATTCAACCTAGGGTTTTTGCGAAACCTCATTTCGAGCGAAAAGGTGGGTGCTTCTCCGCTGACTGACCCGAACCGGGCCCTCCACTGCATCCCAGCCCGCGGACACCCAGCTTGGTGGCCGATCCGGCCACCTCACCGCACCGGCAGGCCGGGAGTGTATTTTCCGGATGCGATGATCTCACATTTTACTCGGCCTGACCGCGTCTCTTGCAGACCTCGTTTTCATACTCTCCGGTTCGAAAGGGAAGGCTAACGGCGTTATCGGAAGCCAGAAAGGGAACAAGGCATCGACTCCAGGCTTGGGGAGTGATTCGACCACTTCAACTTGCCCGATTAAGCCCGTTTGGCAACCGATCGGGTATTTGCTGGCTGAAGCGCGGAAGGTTGCACGTTTACACCCGGCCCAGCGCAGGAGCGACCCCGGAATAGTTTGTGGGAGGAGGGGCCCCGCTGCAATCCCGAGTCGCCAAACCGTTTGCTGCCTTGATGATTTTGGGTACTATGCAGTCTCGATGGGTATGTAAACATATACTTGCACCTTCCCCTCCGCCCATCCACCAACAACCAGTCCTCCCCTCTCGCAACCATCGACTCGGTGTGCCTGCCCTCTTGTTACCCCCACAACATAAAGCCCCTCTTCCCATCCGGAGCAATGGGCGAAGATACCTGCCCGCCCGTCAGGGCACTTCTGTCGGACGCTGCTTATGTGGGACTTGCCTGCCCCCTTGGCTGCGACTAGATCTCTGCCGTTGTTCAACATCTTACTCTCTTCGGCTTCTGTCGTTTGGGGCGTCACTTGTAAACTAATACATTGTCATCCAGCACCCCAAATAGTACACGATCAGGCTTTCAAGATGGCTTCCAAACCGATATCCTCGCTTTTCCCCGACCGACCTATACGACCCTTACCGAAGCGGCGGCTTAAAGAGCGGCTAACTCCCGAGGCAGCCGACTCGATCCAGTACCCTCCCGCGCCGCGGAGCTCAACATCATTGTTTTCGTATCCATACTCGCTCTTAGAGGAACCTTCTGAATCTGGCTCGGCACCCTCCCGCGAGGTGGCGTCTCGTCATGAGCAACGCAAGCCGCAAGGAAATGAGGTGGAGGGCGACCGAAAAACGGAGGATGGCACACCTACCCAAGGTGCAGTGAGCCGAGCAGCTCTACAGCATGCCAACCTCGCCACACGTCCAAAGCTAGAGAATGGCCGTTATGGAGACTCGCTTGCGCTCCCCTCGGCGGCGTCTTCGGCGGACGGCTACGATCTTTTCGAGAACACTAACAATAAGAAAAGGAAGATCCCGACGGCGGGGGATTCTGCACCGGGTGGGGCACATGCGATTAGTGATTCTTCCACCGGAACGGGCTCGCTTACATCTAGTGCCCAATTCGCAGACGGCGAGGGCGAGGCGTTGACCCCGTCAACTACCCATTATGGCTCCGGTTTCGAGTCAAACATTCACAATGTCCCCGGCCCGGGTAGGGGACGATATGGTCGTCCTCGAAGCGGTAAAAACCCATTACGACCCCTCTATGATTCGACTAATAGCTGGGCCGGGAGGACCACCAAGCCACGTTCAGGTCACTGGGTCGGCGGAAGCAGTATGTGGGCTTGACCCTGAGCACGAAGGTACATGGCTGACAGTTACCAAAGGCGAGAGCACTGGCATCATATCGAATGCCATCGCCAAGGCGGAAAAGCTTCCACCGCACCATGGTCAGGAGAATATCAGCCTTCTGCATCAGCCCTCGTCCGCTAAGCGCAGCCCGGCGTCGACTCAGTTCACATTCACATGCGACTCACAGGTCCCTGGGTCATTGGCTTGGCCAGGTTCTGACCGTCGGATGGCCATGCCCCAGCACGCTGCGGTGAACCAAGGGAAAGAGAATTGGCCTCGTGGCCCCCAACCGGCGCAGGGCGGGCATGCCGTGTCGGGAATGCCGCATGTCGCGGACGCGGGCACCAAAGAGGCGTCGTCAAGAGGTACTCATCATACAGCACCGCCTCAGAAGACGTCCCGCCGAAGCGCTACGAAGGAGTACCTGGCGGCGGCCAAGGCGCGCCGTCGGGAGACACAACTCTACAACAAGCGTCACCCTCCGAAACCCGAAGAGATGTGGGTCTGCCATTTCTGCGAATATGAGTGGATTTTTGGTCACCCGCCCGAGGCTTTGGTTCGGTCGTACGAGATCAAGGAACGGAAACAGCGGCAGTTGGAAGAACAGCGGAGAGCTCAGTGGGAGCGGATGAAGAAGGGGAAGCACAAGGGGAAGAAGAACAGCAAGCTTCCGGCTAAGAACGGCAACGCTGTGCAAGATGTGCATCACCACGCGGACAACCGCGCTGCAGGTGATCATCATTACGACCACGGCGATCAAGGGGAGGAGTACTACGACGACGAGTATTACGAGGACGAAGAATACGACGCCGAAGAAGAGGTGGCCATTGAGCATGGCCCAGGAAGCGTTGGACGGCATGCCGATGTTCCAGGTCATTTTGGTGACAGTTTCGCGGTCCATGACGGAGGGGGGACGTAGCCGAGGTCTGCTCCCGGGCATCCGTTTCTGCCCTGGTGTATGGGCCCCGCATCTCGTTGACCGTGTGTTAGCTCGGGTGTGGGCACCCAGGGTTACGGGCAGGAGGAGCATTCGCAGAGAGGGCCTCTGGCCCACGTTCTGGCAGACCTTCTGGCAATATCATCTGCTGTAATACCAGCTCAAGGATAGTTGTCAACAGCCCGTCAGGCACTGGGATGGCATGCTGAAGGAATGGAGCCCGGGAGCTTAGCTTGGGCTGGTCTCTAAACGACGTTGCGCCATGATGGGACCGACCCTAGATAATGGTTGTTTTTCGACCTCAGGTTGTCAAAAAATCCAGCGTACCGTTTTTGAGGCCGCCACCGCACACACAACTCCCCTCCAAAAAGCGAAATAGTGTCGTTAGTCAGCTAAGACTAGAGGACCTTGATAAAGTCCCCCGGTCGGTTCTTTTTACTGCCCTGGCTGGTGTATGTTGAGCCACGCTGCTGTAGAGAATATCATGAACAATTCTAGCGTCCTGTGTCCGACCCGCAGACAATTGCAGTTGTGTGTAATATTACAGTCCGTGGTTAGTTAGCGTAGACTCTGTGGAAGTGGAGGTTCCGTTCTGGACCCAGGCACGCAGCCAGACGGAGAGACCCGGTGGTTAGCGTGAGGCCGTTGCGTCATCTTCAGCTGCCGTCCAATCCGTATCCCGCTGACACCATGCGGCGTTGATGAAGTTACCTTAACATCGGAGCACAAACGGTCTCGAGTTTTGGTTTCCAGTTAGGACAGAAGACATGCCGTGGTAACACCTCCTTAACATGGATGTCATTCACAGACCCTGAAGGAAGTAATACATGGGTACCTCGGTCGTCATCAAGAAAAGTCGCGAAAAACACGTTTACAATTACAAGTACGCGAGTTCGAAGTTGGAAGAGAACGCGGTTGGCCCCTTGAGATGAACACGCGGCAGCGAGGGAGATGGAGACTGGGGGCCAAGCGAATTCCTGCTTCATGCATCACCTGAAGCAAGATGGAGGTCTGCTGAAATACGAATACAGCGAGTGACCTTGCATCTTCCATCAGCGAGGGGGCCGAAGAAAGCGGTTGAAGCATGCCCCTGCAAGACGGTACGGTACATACATGCATGCAGGGATTCCTGTAAAACTGGAACAGCCCGATTTGAGCGACTCCACCAAGTTCCCCTGATGAAAGCCCCACCCGGACGACTGCCGTGCACGACCCGGTTTATGGACAAAAGAGCCGGGGGAGCTTGGCTGTGCCGTGTCAAGCGTCCCCCGATCCTTTCGCCCAACACTTTGTCTGTCTTCGGAGAATTTTCCATCTCACAAAAAGACATCTCGCGTTCGGCTGACTGTTTTTCCATTCCCCTTAAAAAGGAGGCACCCTAATTTTCATTCCCATTCCCATGAGGGCGCCAACGAGGTCGCCACTTTACGCCCGGGCCGGCCGATAATATCTGCAAGGATGTTTGGCTCCCGAAGGCACCGCCCGCCGAATCCGGTATGTCGTCATTGCACTTTTGCGCGTTCCTTTGAGGTCGCTTTCTCGTACCGTGGAGGGGATTGAGCCCATGAGCTTGGTCCAGCGTGGAGTTCGAGTCTTGATTCTGTTGAGCTTTTGTTATCTGGGCTACCTATCCATCATTGCCCGTCACCTTGCTGTCGCGCAACTTGGAAGAGGATGCTAACCTGTCATGCCACGTTTTGAACAGCCCCTGACAGCAGCGACCGCGAATCCCAATGCAGCAACCGCTGCCGCAGCAGTCTTCAAACGCCATGAGCCCAATACCTCTTTGCCGGCTGCCGCCGCCGCCGCCGCCCTCCGCGCACGACCAACAACACCGACCCGAGTAGCCGACGTGCAGACAAAACGGACGGTGCGCCGGAGCGCGTCCGTCGCCTCGACAGGTACGGCATCGGAGCAGGCCCGCGATCAGTCGGGACTGCAAAGGCGTGGCAGTAATGGGTCGATGACCGAGCGGACCTTTCGAACCCCGAGCCCAAATCGACCTGCGAGTAGCGCGTCCGGCCAACAGAAGAACCAATTTGCCAACGACGATATGCCGCCCGTCCCTGCGTTGCCCCAGAATCTAGATGGCAACTCGCGACAGCCCGGCCGAGGGCCCCAGCAAGACATTCGGCATCGGAAAGCCAACAGCCTGAGTCTGGGAAGCAGTCCCCTGCGCCTCGCGTCCCAGAAACTCGCTTCAGGTGAGACGCCAACTTGGTTTGGCGCCGCGAAATTGGGGGACCTAGGAAGCGTTCGTCGGACAGACCCGGCAATGGCTAGCCCCCCGTCAAGTCCACTGCAGCTATCAGCACGGGAGGAGGACCTACCGGACGGAGCAAGGCCAGGCAGCCAGGCTTCGTCCATTAACTTCTCCTACCCGACGCGGGCGAGGTGCAGCTCCGCCGCAAGTTCCTTTCCACCCGTGGATCCCTCCTCCGCATCCCAAATATCAACCAAAGCAAGCCCGACGCAGCTACCGACCACGGACCACAATGCCACAACACGTGCGAAGCAGTACCCGAGGGGACAAGCGGCAGTACCACTCGCGAGAAGACAATCCACTTCCAACCCATCCGACCAATCCCTGGTGTACGACCCGAATTCGAGAAGGATGGTACGACAAGCGGATTTACAATCGATCCAGAATGTTCAACAAGCAGTCCTCGACGCTTCGCAACCACCACCACCAGGGCCCAAGAGGAAGAAGAAAACTCCGCAAAGAGCCGGGTCGCATCTGGCTGCGGGTACAATGGGGCGGACCGGAATTGAAGCTTCAAATACTGGACCGTTAGCCAAGGCTCAACCATCGAGCCCGCCAGCCCAGAATCGACCACATCAGCCTGTTCAGCCAGCCCCCCCAATGGCGCCAGCCCAATCTCATGAGGTTCGAGTGGATGCTGAAGAGCCTAGGGTTAAGGCGATCATGGCCTCGCCGGGAAAAGAAGTAAGAGAAGTCGGGCAACAGCGCCCTCAAACAACCGTGAATCTCCCCCGGACCAATCACTTGACGGTCCGCACCCCGGCTTCTACCGCAACAGACGCGGCGCAGTTCGTCGTGAGAAGACAGCCTTCTATGATTCGGGAAGGACCAGAGCCGGAGGATGTTCAGGATGAGAAGAAGACACAAGCGGCCGTCTCGGGTACTCCGAACGCGGTGGTGGCGCCACGGAAATTGCAAACCAGTGTACCCTCAGAGACCCGCACACCCGCAACGCCACCACAAAACACGACCCTCCAGCCAAACCCTTCCTCGGGGAACCATACGGCGGCTCCCGTCGATCAGAAACCTGAAATGGGACCGGTCGATATATCAGAAAACTGGAAACCGAACCCCGCCGCCGCAGAGCATGGGAGAGCTGCGCATATATCGCGGGAACGAACCCATTCCAGCAGCCCTGCTCGACAAGCCCATTTCGGTCCTGTTCAAGATAGTTTGACCGTTAAACACTCTCCGCCGCCTCGATCCAGCTCGCCGCGGAAGTCAGCTATGAAACTCACCAGTCCGCCCTGCAGCGCATCACCCTCCGGCGACACATCGGAAGCATCTGGGAGCGCCAACCAGGAGCCCCCCGTAGCACGCAAGAAGTCTGTACGCGTCAGTTTCGAGGACAACGGTGACGGGGAGGCGGAAGAGTCGGCCCCTATTAAGCGGAATGCCTCCCCTTTGGCGACCAGCCCGCTGCACCCGAACCGTCACAGTTGGCTCCCCAGTCTCGGTCGCAGTCGGGAACCATCGTCGTTCGACGAAGATGCGGTGATGAAACCGCGGCCGGCCCTGCCCAGTTTTGGCAGCGTGAGGGATAGGAAGCCGCGGGAGGACAGTCCAACCGAACTGGAGCGACCGCTTGTTCGACCCAGGGGAGAGACGAAGCATGCCTCGCCATCTTCATTGCTGCCTAGCCCTCCATTGGGCTCAAGTAACGACCATGCCGTTGGCGCAGTACTGTCGAACGAGAATGACAATTTGAAGGAAATGACTACGGGTTCGGAAGACGCCCCAAAACAGAGGGAGCCATTGCCTCCAATTGTCACCACCGTGGATGGCTCCGGCTACTTCAGTGACGGTTCCGATAGCAGCTCTATGCTCAGTTCCGAGTACGAGCCGCCCCAGCCTCCATCGCCGGTAGCAGTTACGGAGCCACGCCCAGAGCCAGTCGCAGAGCCGCAAACGTTGCAGCCCAGGGAGCCCGCCAATGGCTCGGTTACAAATCCGCCCACCGAGCCTGTCCCTTCCCAAGTCCCTGTTGAACAAGACACACCTTCGGAGCCGCAGATTCCAGCGATATCCGTCTCACAGCCGACGCCTCCTTTTGCGGGGAACATGGCGTCTGGGCAGTACTTTACGGATGTCCCTGGTGCATTTCCAGACGACGAGTCGGATCGGTCTACTGCGTCGGAGGCCAAAAGACTGAAACAGGTGGAGACAGCTGTTAAACCAGTTGAGGATACTGAAGTCACTCCGGGCGATGACCTTGCTCACCAGCCAGCTGCTCAGACCATCGAACCCACTGCCGCAGAAAGCTCGAGCAACTCCGATAGCGATGTCTACAGCGATGCCTACGAAGACCTTTCCGAGTTCGAAGGTGATGGTTTCCAGTCACTCAACGCCGTTGTGGAAAGCCCGGTACAACAAAGTCCCCGTCCAGTTACCCAAGCCGAACCGCCTTCTAGAGAAGTTCCGATCCAGACAACCAGTGAAGAAACGCCGGCACTCCAAACAGAGATATCTTCCGCCACAACCGCCGTCGAACCACAACCAGTGGAGGTCACGCGGGACGATTGGGAGCAAGCAAAGGCTTATTGGAGGAGCCTCACAGCGGAGAAGCGAGCTCAACTCGAGAAAGAGACCAGGGAGGAGGCGGGCACCGAAGGCGATAAGGACGAGGCACAGCCCGAGGCGAAACCCAAGAAGAAGAAGACCATCGAGCGGAGGAACTCGGAACGGAAAGCGCTGGCAGTTCAGATGGCGCAGCAGACGGCGACAGATCAGGGACAGGAGAAAGCAACGCATCCGGAACGCAGCTATATGATCAAGCCCGGAGAGCGTTGGACTGGCGAAGAGGAGTTGGAAATCCCGCCCATGCGCAAGACCATGCGTAGCGAACCGCAGCAAGTTCCAGCCGCGCCCATCGCGGGGTCTCGATTAAGGAAGTCGATGCGGGCAAACGGTTCAGGCCCGAGCAACGCCCATGTTCCCCGGACAGGGGGAAACCAATTAACTTCCAAGCGCCCGGAGCCATCTCCAGTAGCCGTTACTCCTACCAAGACTGGGCACCGAAGGTCGGCAACGCAGGTGGAGGAGCGTGCTCAACCTCCCCTAAGGAGGCGCGGTTCAACGGGCAGCGAGAGCAGCTTCAAGCGGGCCCGGTCTACTAAAGGCCAAGGCTCCGGTTTCCGCCACTCTATGAGAGCGGCCTCCCCCCCAACCAGGCCAGAAGAGAATCATTCCTCTAAGAGGTTCTCCCTGAGAACACTTTCTCCAGCCAGTTCAGTCTCGCCCTTGCATTCCCAGATGCGCACCACACTGCGCGACTCGTCCGGCGGCAAAAAGACCCCCACTGGGATCCGAATGCCGAGCTTCAGCCTCTCGTATGGCGGGGGGAAGAAGAGCGGCTCAAAGGCGTCATCAAACAAGGCGTCTGGCTCTCGGTTCTCAAGCCGGCTCGCTGACTCGAGCGACGAAGAAGCGGGCAAAGGCGTCGAGTCGGGCTTCCAGAGCCGGTTCGAAGACTCGAGCGATGACGAACCCATCATGCCGATCCGGAAATCCGCCTCGGCCCCGTCCGCAGCTACCGGCGAGCCGGGCCACCACCTGACGAAGAAGAGCTCGATCGCGAGCACGGCCCTCCCCGAGGAGCTCGAAGAGAGCGAAACCTCCCAAGACCGCCGCCACAACGAACCGACACCACAACCACAACCCCAACCCAACCCCTCCCCCCTCAACACAACCATCCGCCGCAGCCGCTCAGGGAGAGGCCAACTCGCCCCCTCGCAAACCGCACCCTCCCTCTCCGCCACCACCACCGACAACTTCCCCACCACCACCAACGAACGCCGCGCCTCAAAGCGCCACAGCATCCTCTCCGTCCTGCGCCACCGCAAAAAAGACCGCAGCAGCAACACCATCGGCGGCGGCAGCGCCCCCGGCAAGATCGGCCGCGCCGAAGTCACCGAGAGCGCCGCGCGCCGCGACACCCGCCTCGAGCGCTCCGCCGGCCAGCTCGCGCGCCTCCGCACTCGCGGCGAGACCGAAAAGGAAGGCGAAGGCGAGGATGACGACGATGAGATGCCTGAGATGCCGTCGCCGTCCCCGCGCAGTCCACGGCTCCAAAAGCGCAACAGCAACAACCACAGGCCTGCCGCCTCACCATCGGCATCCGCCCCAGCGGTCGTGATGAGCGCGGGTGGTGGTGGTGGTGGTGGTGGCGCTACCCCCCACCGCTTTCCCTTTCCCCTCGGCCCCAGTGCCCCCTCCTCCTACCAGTACAACCCCCACCGCGACCGGCGGCCACGGGACTGATACAAGCATGCTCATGAGCGTGGCCGAGGAGGATGGTGACGGCGGGTTCGATCCGGCGGCGGCGCTCATGCGGCGCTCGACGACGGCGTCGGGGAACCTGGGCACGCGCACGCTCGGGCGCAGGAGCAGTAGCGGCGGCGGTGGCGGTGGTGGTGGTGGCGGGGGTGGGTTCCTGCACCGGCGGATGTCGGCTGTGAGTGGCCTGCCCTCTGGCGGTGGCGTAGGTGGTGGTGGTGGTGGGGATGTGGGCAGCGTGGATGGGTCTGTGGCGGGGAGTCTGGCGGGCGCGTCGTCGACTACGAGGCGGAAGAGGTTTGGGGTGCTGAGGAAGATGTTGGGGCTGAATGAATGAGTGCGTGGCTACTTGGTATGGGGTAGCTCAGTAATGGATGGGGGATGGATGAGGATGGGAGGGGAGGGAGTATGGGGGAATGGAATACAACATAAGGGTGGGTGGTTGGTTGGTTTGGGGGCACGAAATGGAGCAATCGTTTTATTTATTTGTCAACTTTTTAGAGCGCGCGTATATACCCAATGCTGGAGGGCACACTTGGATTTCATTTGTTGCTGGCGGAGAGCGTCGTCTTGTATACTTAGAGTGGATGACTGCGGGCTAAGCTGGTGGGACTTGGTGTCAATAACATGGATGAATGTAGCTCATCTTAATGCAAATTCTCAAGCATTCGGACTTGACTGATAATGAGATCGGTGTCTTTGTGCTACACTTACACAACCCGAAGACGGTTAGAAAGAGGGGGTATCCCGACATGCACATGTAGGTATAACCCCGGTGTGCTGCCTTTCGGAGGGACATCTCGATAAGCATGAGCAGTGGTGAGCTATACGCCGCGTATGACGCAATCTCGCTCGTAACAACGTCCCATCACCTCCTCTCCTGCAAGCGGTGGCTCCGAGAAAGACGCACGTGGTTGTTTGGAGGGAGGTGACAGGGCATGTTTTAAGCATCAGGGCATGGAGGAAGAGGTTTACGGTTGAGTGATGCCGGTTCTCGTGCTCGGGCCAGCATAGGAGTTGAACATTTCCGCTAAAATAGTTTTACCCATCTAATAACTAGAGGGTGCCATTAAATATTGCATATGCATGCAGCAAAATAAACCCGAGCCACTCGTATGCTCCTATGATCCCATGATCCCCAATGCTATGCAAGTGAAACGAACAATAGAGGCTGCGTTCAGCACCCGGAGCGCTCGTCGCCTCAGATGTTGCTTAGTGACGCAAGTCCCCGTATTTCCCGATATCGTGCCCCAAACATATGAACCATAACGCCAAACCACTCCTGAAAAGCGGGATATCGCTTCAAGTATCCTCGCCCTTTTTTGGCTTGCGGTCACGCGCCAAGAGCAGAGTGAGTTCACTCTTTGACCGTCCGAAAGGGATCGGTGGCGTAGGGTTGGGGGGTGTTGGCTTGAGTTGCTGATCGAGAAGGGAAGATGACGGCTGCGAGCCAAACATGACCCGGTCCGGAATGTCTCTCGCCTCAGGGACTACGGGCTCCGATGTCACCATTTCCGAGTCGAACTGGCCGCGAGCCATGGTACTGACCGTAGCAACACTGCTTGTGGCTTGTGATGGGAGGAGCGCTACGCCGGGCTCGCGGACTCGGTGTGGGCGATCTGAATTGTTAGAACGCGAACGCACCATCGGGGGGGCTCCATGCCCGAATGACTGGTCCACCACGAATCCCGCAACCGGGGGAGGAACGACTTTCGAAGAGGGCGCCGGAGGATGTTGAGCAGTCTCCTGTTGCCCTTCGGCGGCCTCATGGTATACCACACTGTCCTTGACGTCCCACGTTGATCTTCGTTGTGGGCTACCGGGTCGCGGCTGCTGCTCCGCCACGGTTGCGTCAGGCTGGCCGCCGGTCTGGCCGGGAGCACCCTGAGAAGTAGATCGCTTGGCAGCCGCCGGTTTTGCTCTACGTTTCCCAGCAGCTTTAGCGGTTAGGCCGTGGTCACTCGTTTGGGAAGACGATGAGCCCTGTCCGAGTAGCTGTGAAGCGGTCGGTGTTGTCCGTCTCGACCCAGCACGTTTTGAAGCCGCAACAAACCCCACTACACGCTGACCAGAATCAGATCCCGTTGAGGATTGTGAGCTTGGCCTGCGGACCATCACAGGCTTCCTCCTAGATGCCGCAGTGGCCGCCACCACCTTTCTACCGGTGTTGGTCGTAGCTTTGGCCCCCGTGGCTGGTGGCACTAATGGGGGAGGGGGCATTTCCACCGCGGGTACGGCTGATATTGGGGATTCAGCTGTCTGTTTCGCTCGTGTTGGCCCCGGGGCCTTAGGTACAGTCGACTGGCTTGCAGGGGCGGTGCCCTGCCTTTTCTTCACCGTTAAGGGTAGTGGTGGAGGAGGCATCTCTGCGGCAGCCACCGCCGCGGTGTTGGTTGGTGTATTCTCACTGTCATGGATGGCTTCTTCGCTAGAAGCCGGCGGCGATGCAAAGCGCGCAGTGGGCCGAGGACCTGATGAAGAAGGACCTCTTGACTTTTTCAGGATAGGGTGGGGTGGCGGTGGCCTCGACGACGAAGGGGTCAACCCCCTTTTCACGCTGGAGACAGCAGATCCTTGTTCCGTAGTCTCGTGTGGCCGGGCCGGGCCGTGGCCGTTGGCGATACGTTGATTTGAACCAGGCTTCTAAAGGTCAAATCAGCATCCGCCTGCCCTTTAACACAGCGGAGACCGCTTACCTTGGAGCGTCTGAACTGGTCCGCGGGCGAGGGGAGGGGCACGAACGTTGGACCGCTCGAAATCTCTTCAAAGAGTCTGGCAAGTTCTTGACCGCTAAGGTTTCGTAGCCTGTCACTCCCCCAGACGTGCCACCAAAAGTTTTCCAGACGAAATGCGCTCGGATCGAAGAGCCTTCGGAATGTGGTCGTATAGGCTGAGCGCGGGTTAGTCCGGGGAACTTTCTGTCCAGCGAGCTCTTCCAAATACCGTTCCAGTACTGCTTGATCTTCTCAGGGGGTACCACGGGATAGCTTGCTACTTCCGCGTATATTTCCCGGGTGTTCTCAAAGAACCCCATGGGCATCATCGCGTCCATCTTTACGGTGGTCAGCGCCGAGCCGACGGGTTGTGGCGGACTAGCAGAGGTTTGGCACTTCGTAGATGTCGAGGGACCATGGCTTGCGCAGGTATCTTGATAGCTCGGTCAGATCCGTCTCCCGACCTGGCCGCAAAGCGGACACAAGACAAGGCCTTGGCCTACTGGAAACCCCTCAAGAGGGCGTAAAGGGCGAATGTAGCTTGGTGTAGCACTGAACCTTGCTGGTTATTAGAGACTTTTCAAGCAAGAACAGCACTGGTTCGCGGGATGCTCCACCAATGGAACGGGATAGATTCGCTGTGTGTGAGGTAGGGCATGGGGCCTTCAGTTCCGCGGGAGGGGGTGGGGTGGTGGGTGAGGGAAAGCCCGGTAGAGCAGACCACGTCACTGAAGTCGCCCTCTCGGCAAAGGGGCTGGGGCATTCAGTTTGACGGCTGACGGACTTTGGTTGTGGCATGGAGCAAGAGGGTGCGCTTGGGAAGAGAAGACGCCAGCATCCAAGATGAAGGGCTTAGGCAGAAGGTTGCAAGCCCATGAAGCTCCTACCCGCCACACCACTTGTGATTTGCTTCTTCTCTGCGTTGTGACAGCGACGCACACCAACCGCCTTCGACGAGCATCCCCTGTTCCGTGTGGCTAATAAGAAGGCCGGGCAAAGGAAGGTAAAAGCCGTCAGACACTTACACAGTTGTATCCGTCAGAACCCAGGTGTGCGGCTGGGGCAAGTGGAGAACCGTCTCTCACCGCTGTCCTTCTAACCCTAAGCAGTCGGCCCCAGATCCGACCCACGATGCCGGGTCTGATATGACGAAAAGAGCGTTGACGGTTGCCCACCGCCGTCGAATGGGTTTTCCGGCGGATTCGGATTTTGAGAGGAAACCTGGTACCGAGGAGAGCCGGGACTAAGCCGACTTCATGAGTTTTGTTGTTGGCGTTGAGAAGGCACAAGGGCACCTGGCAAAAAGAAACACAACCCCCCTGAACACGTCCTTAAAACGAATGATCCAGCCCCTCCCTTGGGTAAAAGAGCCGCGGGACAAAAGTAAAAAAAAAATAAAAAAGAGTGGCTGGCCGTGCGATCTGGCCGTAGGTCACCAGGAAGGCGCGAAGAGATGTGATCCAGGGCAGGTTTAGTCCGGGAACAATTTGTCAAAACCCAGAAGGCAACGTACCTTCCTCTTCCCCTGCTGACCGACGACGGATACAGGGGCCGGGGGGGGAGGGGGTTGCAAAAGGTCTTCGAAATTAGCGTTGTTGGGGGGATCCTGGGCGGTGGTGGTGTCTGTGGGGTGTCTCAGATGCTTGTCACGCGTGTGGTCCTGGTTCTTGATAAAATGCCCATCAACCCGTGGACAGCTCTTCCATTCTCCCGACTCCGCCTCCCGATACCGCGCCTTCTCCAGGTCGTTCTCGGGGAGCCTTTCCCACCGGCCGTTGCGGAATCAGGAAGGTGCTTATAACTGGGGTATCGAAGTTTGTGCAGCCCCAGGAACTCGGACGAGGCGGAAGGCACGACAAGAAGAAACCAATGCCAGGGACCGACAAGGAAGGAACCACCTGCCATTCACTGACCGGGCAGGCACGGTTTTGTGGGATCTAAAAAGGGAAGGAACGTGATCTCTCTCGCCTCTTCACGCTCCCACAGCTCCCTTCCCCCTCAGTGAGACCACCACGGGACCTGCTCTATCTCCGCAAGTCGATACAATGAGCGGCCATCACCTGACAAGGGATGGGAGGCACGTGGATTTAGGGTGACACCAGAGCCAAGCCCCGACATCCCGCCCCGTCCGTTTTCTTTCGGCCTCGACCGCCTGTGCGACTGGCCGACTCAGCTCGTTTGAAATCTGCGCACCATCTGCCTCATTCCGAGTTTAACTAGCTGCTTTCACAACCGCGGGTAAGAAAGTCGCCACGTCTCGCATTGCCATTGCCAAGTCTCCCGAAAGACCCCTTCCTCCATTTTCCCACCACCGAGGAGGCTCGCCGAGTGTAACAAGCACACTCGACCCCCACGCTTAAGCTCTTCTTGCACATAAGATGCGGCTATAAGGCCGGTTTCAGGACCAGTTAGTACGTGTTGCCCACTGCCCACGCAAATCATAATGCGCGCAAAAAAAATGTTGCTTGTCACTGGACGACGACAGCCCTGCCCAGCATAGCCGACAGACGGATCGGAACGGGCCTTCTTAGCGGTGAAGGGAGGATTTTAGACCGGTCAGCGACCGGTTCCGACCTCGCCAGGATATTGGTCCCTGAGAGAGAGCTCTGCCCGGTGACACCAACCGCACAAGACCGCAGGATTCACTCGGTGACGAGTTCGTCCATCGGCACATTACCCAGATTCGTTCAGATTACCAATGTTCCGGTCGCCCACCAGTCGCGAATTCAGGGTCCGATCCGGGGCCCCGCACAATGGGATGGGACTTTCCCCAGACCACACCCCCCAGGAAGATACACCAATGACGACAGTTCCCCGCGGGTGTCCCCTCAGCCTCGAAATCAACATGGGGCGGGGCCAATTCCACTCACCGCATCCCGTGCGGGGACCCTGAGCGGGCTCGGCGGGACGGTGGCGGAACATATCCAATGCTGATTAGGGACCCGGGCCAGTGGCCGCCTAATTTGTTGGCCAGCGGAATGAGCACAAAGAGTCCTGTGACAGGCGCCTCTCTGTCCCTGGTGCTTCGACGGGCCATTGGTTCGGACACTTGCCATCATTACTTTGGCCGGAGAAGCGGCGCAGAGTTTGGCCGTCACAGCAACTCCCTATACCGTTGTGTGTATGTACATGTTCACATACGTACTGGACCAGGTCGATGAAAGCGGCCGCGGTTTATATCGACGTTTCACCGGAGGCCCCCACCCCTGCATCATCTGATCGGAAAAGAACATCGATGGAAGCCCACAGGAACCACCCCGCGTCGCGTCCCGAGGCCACGGCGGTGCGTGTAATTCCGTCCCCTGCGAGCGCCCCGACAGCGCGGGATGGACGCCTGCGTAACTGGATCCATACCACGCCGACCCACGAGGCATGTTGTTGCATCGCGCACTTGATCCAGGGTACTACCGTACCTGGGCGGGACATGACGGACATCCGTCTTCGTGCGACTTATGTACTTAACCATGGACACGATACCCGGACAGCTCCCACCACTCAAAAGCAATCCAAACCCTCAAAATCCCCAGCAGAATAGCGGTGGAAGACCGGCGACGGAGGTGAGGGGCCATGCCTCCCGGGGGGGACACCTTTTCACCGCCCGTCACTAGAACAAGTAGTTCGTGACTTCCCAGCCTGGGCAGCTGAGGTGCGACCGCCGGCGAATGCGTGTCTCACAAGAAGAGGTAGGTCGGCCGCTCACCGTGGACCCAACCAAGCCAGTGGGAAATACCGGGCCCAGGAAATCTCAGACCCTACTCGTCGGGCCTCCAAAAACGGCGATCCGACCAGCCGCCAAGGGGGCTAGTCGGGGACGTTAATTCAGAACACGACCAGCAATTCGAAACAGGCTGCAGGAACTTTGATTTGCGAGCGAATCCTACCAAAACCGAAGTACTGTTACCTTGGCAGCACCCAGGTCACGTGGAACTTCTGCACATTGCTCGAATTCTGAACTAAACCGACTTAAAAGTCGCAACTATCATCTTTTTAGAAAAGAAAAAAGATTAAACTAATCCTTTCGATGTTCAATTCTCAATTCTCACATTGTTTTAAGCAAAAAGGGTTGGAATTATATAGAGATGGTTGAATTCTCGCTGTGTTCCGAATTGCTGGTCGTGTTTCGAATTAACGTCCCCGACTAGCCCCCTTGGCGGCTGGTCGGATCGCCGTTTTTGGAGGCCCGACGAGTACCAAAAAAAAAGGACGGGGAGCGGAGCGGGCCTGGGATCGTGGAAGGGGTAAACGGGCGAATCGCCGGGCTGGATCTGTATCCGATGTGCTCTGCACTCCTGCGTGCCGGCAGCTGAGCTGAGAAGCTGTGCTGCGTTGTGCTGTGCTGTGCTGTGCTGTGCTGTGGTGCATTGCATGCGCGGGTGTGGTATGTGATGTGTAGTGTGAGGGCGGGTCGGGGAGCTGGGCTGGAATGCTACCGATCGGGAAAGGAGGGAGGGAGGGCTGAGGTGTGTGGTGTTTGAGATGTGAGATGTGAAATGTGGGATGTGATAGGTGACACACCGACAAGTCGTCAGTACCTAACCAAGGCAACTAAATGATGGTGGTGCTAAGGCGGAATGCGCAGGCCGGAGATGAGGTGCCACCCCCTCTCTCCCTCCCGTCGCCGGGGATGCGGAAGCGGTACCCTTTCTCGAATTGAGTTTAACCTCTATTTCCGCTGTTACACGAAGCAAAAGCTTGGGTGAGGGTGGCTTTATGACGGCTCTGGAATTGGGATTGGGTGGGTGTGGCTTTTTCGATCACTTCGAATTAAAAATGACCGGATGGGCTTGATTGCATGATTAGTTAGAGAAGACTAGCAAAAGCCACTCCGTTAGGTATTTCCCCAAGCCTCAGCCATTTTTGAATTACATCTTGGTAGTATCATTATTACACAAATGTCAGCTATGTATCACAACCCGGGGCGGTTCTTCGCCGTGCCCGGTCCCTTCTCCTCCTTCTCCCATCCCCACCAACGGGAAACCGTCCTCCGTTTTTTTACGTGACGGTATAACCGCCATCCACGCGCAGGTCCGCGCCCGTGACATAGTTGGACGCGTCCGAAAGCAAGAAGGTGACGGGGCCCATCAGGTCCTCGGGCGCGCCCATGCGGCCCTGCGGGATGAGCGAGGTCCACTGCCGGTGCAGATCCGGCTTGTCGTCCAGGATCTTTTGCGTCCTGTGTGGTGTCTTGGAGTTAGTCACCATTTTCTACACTAGCTAGCCAGCCAGCCAGCCTCTTTCTCGCCGCTCATGCACATGCATGTATGTAGGTACATGCACGGTTAGGTTGGCTGGGGTGGGGTGGGGTGGGTGCGCAACTTACAGGGCTGTGAGCATGTAGCCCGGCGAGATGCAGTTCACGCGGATGCCGGCTCCGGCCCACTCGACGCTGAGCGAGGCGCAGAGGTGGCGGACGGCGGCCTTGGCGGCGTTGTAGGGGCTGTGGTTATCGCGGGGTGTTAGTTTTATTTTGGTGATGCGGGTGGTCATCAGGGTTGTGGTTGCGGGGGGGAGGGTGAAAGTGAGATGTGACGTACGCTTGCGGCTGGGGGACGTTCACGATGGCACCGCTCATGCTGCCGATGAAGACCATGCTGCCCTTGGCGTTGCGAGCCATCTGGTGTTTTATGATTAGCAACTGCACATTTCTTCCGCGTCCCTCTCGAGAAGGCCCAAATAGGACGGGAGACGTACCAGATGCCTCGCGACGGAGGTAGCAAACAGGTAGGTACCGTCGACGTTGACGCCCCACAGCTTGCGCATGCGCTCAATCGGGTAGGCGACAGCCTCGAAGTTCTCCGTGAAGCCGGCCGAAGTCACAAGATTGTCGATCCTGCCGTGCTCAGAGACGATCTCGGCGATGCAGGCCTCGACACTGGTGGGGTCTGAGACATCGGCGTAGTGGGCTGTCACCTTGGGGGGCCTGGACGCGGGTTAGTTGGGGTTTCCTGAGGGGTGCTTCTGAGAAAAAAGAGCACGGAAGGGACGCACTTCTTGTCGGGGTGGTCGGCCCGGAAGGTCTCGACGATGCTCTGCGCTTGGCGCGTGGCTTCCTCCTCTGTGATGTGTTAGTGATTGAGTTAGATGGTGGCTAGAATCGCTGAGACGTACTGTTGAGATCAACGATGGCTAGATCCGAACCGCTCGTGACCATGCCCTCTGCAAGTCTGTTAACACTATATTCTCAGGGTCGCCGAGTCTCAGTGTGATCACTTACGCCCCATCACCAAGCCCAACCCTCTCGCACCTCCGGTGACGACACCAACCTTCCCCTGCAGCGAGAAATTTGCCAGCGTAGGGAAGACATGGGCGCCTGCTCTGTCGGTACCAGCAACAGTCTCTTCAGTAGGGAGTTGCTCGTCGGGGGGGTACTCGACTGTGATGGAGTCGTCGGTACGAGCAAAGGAACCTGCTCCGGTGGCTTGTGCATTGTTGTTCTTCTTCTCGGCCTGACGGGCAGCCGGGACAGTGTGGAACCCGGCTGCTGTTGCGGGGATCGCCCGTTGGATCCGGAGCCGGTTCGGGAGTGTGGATGCAGGCGCGGGGAGGTTTCCGAGAATCCGGGAAGCAGGGGTGCGCCCCGCAACGCTGTGCAGCGCCCGCCTAACCGGGAAAGACATATTAACTAATCGCTGACTGGGTTTGCGATTAATTGTTTGTTTTCCAATGCGACGTGCGAGATAACCAATATGGGTTGAAGTGATGAGGTGATGAGGTGATGAACGGCAAAACTGCGAGTGGCGATTTTGGTTGAGGAGAGGTTCGGTTTTTGAATTGGATTGGCTTTGTCGTCTGATAAATGATCAATGGCTCTGGAAAGACCACCAACTCGAGGGAGGGGTAGTTATACGCACACTTCACCTCACCTTCCTTCACGATAATGCTGGCACTGCTGGTCGTTTCCAAAATCTAGACCCAGCAACATGTGGGGCTTGTAGGGATGGGCGTAGGCCAGATCTGCATGTTCTTGAAGCCCAGACTCTGGATTTCGATGCGGTGGGATGGAAAAACGCAGCGCTGGTTTAGTGGGCCGAAGACACGATGATTTCGGCTTGCCCTTCTCGTCCATAAACCCTCCAACCCCCCCTTGAGCCCCCGCCATGGAGGTCACGAGGACCCTCAAACTTTACATCTTTTCGTCAGCTGAGGGAGCTGACCCCGACCGCCACAGGGGCTTTGAAACGCGATGAGAGTGCGTTGGACACCGGGATCGGAAATGACTTGTTCGACTGAGAAACCCCATGTTGCCGAATGCCGATGTGGATGAATCCCATCATCTGACCAGCAAAAAAAAAAAAAAAAAAAAAAAAAGGAAGAATATCTTGAGACAAGCCAATTGAGAAGAGCGGACGAAATCGCGAGTCCTCTGAGGTGAGGCCACACACCAGCCAAACTGGCGGTGCAGAGGATGCGGAGCCTGGACTCTCGACCTGCATCCCGATGCAACCACACTTACCTCTCGACCTGCATGTCAAAAGCCTTCGCCCCCACTCTGCGCGCCGTCTGTTCGGTCTCTTCGGCCCCTCCCGGAACACGGGCGGGAGCCCCGACATGCCGTGAGACAGCTGTTGGCCGATCGGTATGTCCGACCACGATTATTCTTGACCGACCCGGAGACACGAAGCCAGCTCGACCAGTGATGTACCTTACAGCTGGCACGTTGGAGTTTCAATGGATTCGTTGCTTTGACGATTGTGGACATTTAGGTGGTACGTGGACACGCTCGCCAGAGTTTACATCCTGAAGACACCAAACTTGGTCTGCCCCGGGGCAACAACATTCCGACCGCCCATCGCCGCGTTCAAACCCAGACCCAGATATTGCCGTGTATGCGCCGGAGGAATAACGCCGTCGTCCTAGCCAAACACGTTAGCCCATTTGCGAAGAAAACCGGGGAGGAAGGGGGGAAGGAAGGGGGGGAGAGGAAAAAGGCCAACTCACCCACAACCGCGCCGACGAGAACACGCAATCACTCTCCCTGTCAATGCGCTCCTTCAACCCGGTATCGGCCTTCTGCCCGACCGTCTCCATAACGCTGGCGAGCTGCTCGCCGCCCATGACGCCGATCTTCGCGTTGGGCCACATCCACAGGAAGCGCGGGGAGTAGGCGCGGCCGCACATGCCGTAGTTGCCGGCGCCGTAGCTGCCGCCGACGACGACGGTGAACTTGGGCACGTCGGCGCACGCGACGGCCGTGACCAGCTTGGCGCCGTTCTTGGCGATCCCCTCGCGCTCGGCGTCCTTGCCGACCATGAAGCCGCTGATGTTCTGCAGGAAGACGAGCGGGATGCCGCGCTGCGCGCACAGCTCGATGAAGTGCGCGCCCTTGAGCGACGAGCTGCTGAAGAGGATGCCGTTGTTGGCTACGATGCCTACGCGGTGGCCGTAGATGTTGGCGAAGCCCGTCACGAGCGTCGTGCCGTAGTCGCGCTTGAACTCGGCGAAGGCGGAGCCGTCGACGATGCGGGCGATGACCTCGTGGATTGGGAGCGGCTTGCGCAGGTTGGTGGAGGCGATGCCGAGGAGTTCTGAGGGGTCGTAGAGAGGCTCCGAGAAGCTCGGTGTCGTCGAGGTGGCTTTGGTCGGCCAATTGAGGTTACTGATGGAGCGCCGCGCGAGCACAATGGCGTGCGCATCGTCCACGGCCAGGTAGTCTGTCACGCCCGAGACCGACGAGTGCATCTTGCCACCTCCGAGGTCCTCCGGGCTGACGACCTCGCCCGTGGCCGCCTTGACGAGTGGCGGCCCCGCGAGGAAGATGTGGCCCTGCTCTTGCACGATGATGCTCTCGTCACTCATGGCTGGGACGTAGGCGCCGCCGGCTGTGCAGGGGCCCATGACAACCGCGATCTGGGGTATCCCCGCGGCCGACATGCGCGCCTGGTTGAAGAAGATGCGCCCGAAGTGTTCGCGGTCAGGGAAGACGTCCGCCTGGTGCGGGAGGTTTGCACCGCCCGAGTCGACGAGGTAGATGCAGCTGCACAGCGAGTCAGGTCAGCAATGGCCGGGACCCTCCTTTTGGGACAACAACGTACGGGAGCTTGTTTTCCTGCGCAACGGCCTGCGCCCTGAGATGCTTCTTCACCGTGATCGGGTAGTAGGTCCCGCCCTTGACCGTGCTATCGTTGGCGACAATCATGCAGGTGACGCCCTCGACGACACCAACACCGGCGACGACACCGCCTGCCGGAACCTCAGCCTCGGGGTACAGCTCGTGGCCGGCCAGGGGCGACAACTCTAGAAATGTAGTCCCGGGATCAATGAGCGCCGTGACTCGATCCCTGGGCAGCATCTTCTTGCGCGCCAGGTGCTTCTCCCTCGCCTTTGCCGAGCCACCCTGCTGCACCTTCTTGGTGAGCGCATCCAGCCGGGCCATGGCCTCGCCCATAAGCTTCTCGTTTTCCTTGTATTCATCGGAGCTCGTATCGACGTTGCTCTTGATTACGGATATGGCACCGGCGTGGTGCGGCGTGTTGAAAGTTGCAACCGTTCGTCTCGTCGAAGGCCCAGAGCCAGAGAGAACCGGGTTGCGGTTGCGGGGCCGCAGTGCGTGCGCGCGGAGGCATTGGCGACCCAATTGCCGAGATAGAAGCAGCATTTCCCTTGATGGTGCTGACAGAGACATATTAGAAGTTCGATTGAGCCGCGACAGCAACCACGACAACACGCAAGGCAACAGAATGATGTTGTGAAAGTGCAATCGCGCGCAAGAGTCCCAAGGAAACAGACGAGCTCACTGACGTTCCGAGCCCCAGGAACCTGCGGTAATCATGGGGGACGGCCCGAGGGAAACCGCTGCAAGCCGAGGCCCTGTCAGCCGATGTCATCAGGCACTGGCACATGCCTTTCAGGGCCCGGAAAGGGGAAGCATCGGCTTAAGGCACGAACCTTCCCCATTCCAACCTCGTTACCGGTCAATACCTACAAGCCACAGAAAGGGAAACCCAATTCCTCTCCTCTTTCCTCCGTAACCCCCTCGGTCACTCAATCAGTCACTCAGCATGTCAAGCTCAACGATATCACGGGCGCTCTCACGCGCAACGAGGATAAACGCAGCCGTCCCCCGCCGCCAATTCGGTCTCGGCTCATCAATAACATCAAGAACTACTACAGCGGTAACACCAACACTCACCTGTCAGCAGCAACGACGCAATGCCTCGTCGAAACACCCCAAGGATTTCGAGCCACCATCGCCCGGCGACCTCGCCGAGCTGCGCGAGCGTGTTCAAGAATTCACACGGCGCGAGCTTACTGAAGAAGTCGCCTCGGCCACCGACAAGAACAATAGCTTCCCCGCCGACATGTGGGGCAAGTTAGGGGAGGCGGGCTTCCTCGGCATCACCGCCGACGAGGACGTGGGCGGGCTGGCCATGGGCTACCAGGCGCATTGCGTAGTCATGGAGGAATTGTCGCGCGCGAGCGGGTCCATCGCCCTTAGCTACGCTGCGCACTCACAACTGTGCGTCAACCAGCTGCAGCTCAATGGCTCGCCGGAGCAGAAACAAAAGTACCTCCCAGGCCTCATCTCGGGCGAGAAGGTTGGCGCGCTGGCCATGTCCGAGTCGGGCTCGGGCAGCGACGTGGTTAGCATGCGCACGCGCGCCAAGGAGGTCGACGGCGGCTACGTGCTCAACGGCTCCAAGATGTGGATCACCAACGGGCCCGACGCCGACGTGGTTGTCGTTTACGCCAAGACCGTCCCCGACGGGGGTTCCAAGGGCATCACGGCCTTTATCGTCGACACCACTTCCCCCGGGTTCACGTGCCTGCGCAAGCTCGACAAGATGGGCATGCGCGGCAGCAACACGGGCGAGCTCGTCTTCGAGAACCTGTTCGTACCCGCCGAGAACGTCCTCGGCGCTGTCAACGGCGGCGTGCGCGTGCTGATGGAGGGGCTCGACCTCGAGCGCCTCGTGCTCTCAGCGGGGCCGCTGGGCCTGATGCAGGCGGCGCTCGACGTGGCGCTGCCCTACGCGCACACGCGGAAGCAGTTCGGCACGCCGGTCGCGCAGTTCCAGCTCGTACAGGGCAAGCTGGCTGACATGTACACCAAGCTGCAAGCGTCGCGCGCCTACACCTACGCCACGGCCCGCGCGGTCGACGAGCAGGGCCTGATCCGCACGCAGGACTGCGCCGGCGCCATCCTGTACGCCGCCGAGCGCGCCACCGAGTGCGCCCTCGATGCGATCCAGGTCTTGGGCGGCATGGGCTACGTCGAGGAGATGCCGGCGTCGAGGATCATGCGCGATGCGAAGCTGTACGAGATTGGCGCCGGCACGTCCGAGGTCCGGCGCATGGTCATTGGGCGCGCCTTCAACAAGGAGTACGCCCATTTGTCGGGCTAGATTATCGTGAGGTTAATGATCCGGGGGCTAGCCGGTCGTCCGCCGGGGACTGTGTTGGATAGCCGCGAGGCGAATCGGATTGCCTTGTTTGAGGGGCAGCTTGCCCCCTTTTCCTTGCTGATGATACGGCACGACGAAAGAGAGGTGGTGCACGTGGACATACGTACATAGATGAGAGTCAGCCTATATACAGCCATCAATATTGGCCGACTGCACAACCGCGGTTAAAGCCGCCGTGGAGCCCTTTCCCCGTCCCGTCTCCCGTTTCCCCCATCTGCGGGTGGATGAGAGAAGAACCGGCTCGCTGCCCTGGCTTCCCCGCCGTTACATTCCATGCCCGCTCTGTCATCGGCAGCGTTATCTCTGCCATCCCATCCCGAACCCGCAGCCGTATCTTGATCCCCCCCCCTCCTTCTCCAAACACTGCATTGCATGCAAGCAAGCCACCAAGATCCCACCCTCGTTCCGCCGGCCGACCAGCGGGACGTCGCGTAGGGTAGTGTGTATATGCGCCGTCTACTTAAGTAGGTTATTGTACAACCGTGACCCCCACGACCGCCCGCGGCCGCATATACACAGCTATATAACCAGTGCAACGTCGGTGTGGGAATTTCCTCCAAGCATCGTCGCGCACCGCCATCTCCCGCTGTGACGTTCCCGGGCAAGAAAGAAGGAGGAGGAAGGGGGGGGGGGGAGGCGGGAGCAGCAAGAACGAGAAGGGGGAACAAAAAACAACACGCACAATTGCAATTTTTCTTTTTTCCCCTATTGCCCCCTTCCTCACCTTTCCCGCTCGGCTATCCATCCGCCAGCCCGCCCACTATAGCAAACTTGTTTTTTTTTTTCTTCTTTTCTTTTCCGCTTCCCGCTCGAGGTTTGGTTGCTGTGCTCTATCCCCTCGCTTGCCCCCCCAAGCCAACTCTCCCATCCATGCCGCACCGCACCGCATGCAAAGAATGATTGTCAATCCCGTTCCTATCCCATACCTCCCTTTTCCCCATCCCGTGCCTTGACTACCTACCTACCTACCTTGCCATTGCGCGCCGTGACCGTAACCGAGCGGTGGCAAACCCAGGACCCAGGACTCGGCAGATACCATACTCTGTAGATAGACGGCTCTGTACGCGGCGAGAGGAGGGGGGGGGCGGAGCGGGATGGGGGCCATGGGGGGGCATGGGGAACGGGGGGTCGAGCTCGGACGGCACGCGCGCACGTTTTCAAGCGAGCCGTGATCTGTCTGTCTGTGGCGGGCCGCGGTCCGCTGCTCGAGGGAATGTGGGAAGAGGGTTTCGTTCGTTCGACGACGGGGTGGAATGGGTGGGTAGTAGCGGGGGAGTGGGCGCGTGAGTGGTCCCAGGTAGGGATGTACATTTGTATGTACTCGTGGTGCTGTGGACGCCCGGGGGAGCGAGGGTTTGATCGCCGGACCGGCATGCACAAGGGCAAAATATGCTCTGCGGGTTGCCGGTTTGGGGAACCGGTTGGGGAACGGGAAAGGATTCGGGGCTGGGATTGTTTCTGCGTGTTCTGTCTGCGTGTCTGCTTGCCTGCCCACCGCCTGTCTGTAATGCATGAGCCTCTTGCTGGCAGGGGAAAATGCCGGCTCCGAGCTCGATCACGATCGGGTCTCCCCTCCTTATGCTGCTGCTCGGGAAGTCGATTGTCGATTGGTCCGGGAGTTGGACGGAGAGGAGGAGAGGAGGCCGAAACTCCACGGGCAAGACAGGATAGGATCTACGACGATGCGCAAACAAAACGAAGGTGTGAATCTCTGTTCATAGATTTGGAGAGGAGAAAGGCAGTAATCATTTCACACCCCTTCGCAACCCCCTTCACAACCCCATCCCAGCATCGGGTGCGGCAACCGGGTTATGAGACCCACGGGGGCGGCGACGCTTTGGGAAAGAAAGCGCGAGATATGGGTCCATCTGCCAGTGGCGGGACCCCGGTGCGAAGGAGATAGCACCTTATCTAAGTTCCTGTCCCTCGAAACCAATCCCTCTTTGGAACGATTCTCTTCGAGAACAAGCAACTCGGCGCCGGTGTTTGAAGTCGGGGAGACGGACAAAAACCCGTTGTCAATCACTCGTAGATCCGAGAGCTGGCTAACCTGACCCAGTATTGCTATATATCGAGCCAATATGACTCCGAGCCTGCAACTGAACAGCAGGGAGAGAAACTCGGACGGTTTGGGGCTGGACAAAAAGAAAGCGTTGGACGATCGAGTCGGAGGTTACGCAGTGAGATTTTGCCATTTTGGTTCCCAGAAGGGTTGGTTGGGTGCAACACCGTATCACTGACCCTGCATGTCTCGATCAGTGCAATGTGGTGCCAGAAATGTTTCGGGTTGGCTGGCCAGGATTCCTCCCAGGGCGCCTCGAGACGAAGGAAGCTGATGCCGGTCTGCCATCTGCCGCTCACCAAACACCAACTCTTCGCGCCCCCCGGCACCCCCAAGAACCCCGCCGAGGTCTGTATAAAGTTACCGTGGTGTGTGGGACAGCGATGCATGCAGCAAGGGGCCTCGAGAATGCAACATATATAAGAACAGGAAAAGCTCCCGAAACGATTGGGCCAGTTTGTCCGTGTGGGAGGGGATTCCCTCCATCGAACGCCCATAGCATGCGATTGAATCCATATCCGGGTGTGACGAACCACACTGGCGATGCCCGTGACTGGGTATAGGTCGACTATAGGGTGGCAGCCTCTTGTGTCTTGAATCGGCCGACAAACCGAATACCGGTGTGGGTGCCAGGGGACGGCTCACCGGTCGGCTAGGGTGTCAATGTGTCATGGCCTTTCTGACTCGGCAGTTCCCCTGCTAGATTCGCATGGTCGATGTGATGGAGGTGCATGATTGGTGCCTCACTCTATCCGGGGTAATCGGACGGTCTGCTCTCCGGCGCTCCTGAACCGGCTCGGCTGGCTCAGCTTGGCTACCACCACGGCAACGATTTTGATGTATGGATGTATGTAGCGTAACTACATGTAGTGGTGGATGTACCAAGTACTGTGGATGTCGGGAGGCTGCTGGAAACTTATACTAGGCCCCCCCCGATGTGCCCGATGCTGCAGTCCAGTTGCCCTGCGCCCTGAATCCAGCATCGGGTTACATTCCGAACTGCCCGGGTCCACAGGGCGGTTGGAGCCCCGGAACCTGGGGGTTTAGCGTCGATACGCCCGATGCCTGGGCCCTGTGAGAGTCCGTGATTCGCCGGGGATTTTGTCGACCTGCATGCGGTGGGCGCTCCAACATGGCTTCCCGGCCTTGCATCCTCACCGGTCGCTCGTCTGTTGCAACTTGTCGCCCAGCGCTTCATCTGGCCACATGGAAGGAACGCAGCTCGTGTCGATGCCACCCTGATTGGCCAGCGTCCTTGATAAAGTGCATGAGGCGGCTCGAGGAAGGCTCCGCGTATAAAAGCACACCCCCCAAGTCCCTGTCTTGGGTCGACGTGGAGCCGCGGTCCCTCAGTTGTTCTGCCACGCTTCACTGAATCACCGCGCGTGGTTGACGAACAGACAGTTCCGCTTCACACCAGTCCGCCCACCTCCACTCCCACGCAATGACTCGACCTCAACCCCAACCCGGCGCGGACGAGGCGGAGCTCAGGCACTGGCTAGAAGAGGTCGATAAGAGCATGAGCTTCCGGCCCGCGAGCGCCCTGGGCATGTCGTGCGGCACCGTGACGATAGATCCGAAGCGCGCCATGGTTCTCGTGATCTGGAATAACCGCTTGAAACTCTACCAGCTTCCGAAGGGCAGAAGGAACCTCAACGAGAGCATGCTTTCGGCGGCGCTGCGCGAGACGTACGAGGAGACCGGCCTCAAAGTTACGCCGCTCCAGCTCGACGTCGCAACTCGCGCGACTCCTCCCAAGAAGGCGAATGCCGACACGTCCCAGAAGCCGCCCAACATCACCGAAGGCCACCCGAGCAACGAGTCCATCGGGGCATGTTTATACCCGGACCCGCAATCGGAAACCGAAGCGCTGAAGATCGTCTACTTCTTTGCTGCGACGGCCGAGTGCACCGCTGCGCGGGACTCTGGGACGCAGGAAGAGTGGGAGAAGTTGGACGCCAAATGGATCCCGCTCTCCGAAGTGCCGACCACGCTGCGCTTCGAGGCCGAGGTACGGGCGGTGACGAAGACGGTCGCGGATATGAAAAAGTCGGGTTACGCGATCGGGGAGTAATCTCGGAGGAGGGACAGGTTACTCGGTCCACTCGTCAATATTTTTGTTGAAAGTGTAACTCATCGCTTGTTTTTCGCTGCGTTGTTCTCTTTTGGTCGGGGAAGGAGGAAAGTTACGGTGGTAATGCTGTTATTGGGTTCGGTCTCGGGGTTCGGAAAAGTAGCTCGCTCTTCTTCTTTTTTTGGTTTTTTTTGTCTTTTCTTTTCTCTCTCCCTTCCTTCCTGTTTTGTACTCCTGACGATGAATGAATCCAAATGTTTTCCGAAAGTGCACAACAGGCGAGCTGTGAAATCACCCGCTGTGAAACTGCTGCGGGCGATCGGACGAAGACAACAGCCCTGTGCTTGGCGCTTCGAAAGAGGGCATGGAGGGGCCAAGAGGGGTTCCTGATTGGGGCATGAGTTTCGGCAACTCGGGGCAGTGACATCAGAGACATTGATCGAAGCTACCCCGCAATGCTTTTCCAGCACAGCTCGGAAGTGAAGGCAGTGAAAGACGCGCCTTGATCTTAGAAATATATTATGTCATATAATTAGATAGCTCTAGCCTCGTTCCAACTTGTACCTAGTTTCAAACCCAATATCGTATTGAATCAATCTCAAGATCCAGCAGGTATGCCCGCATTGAATCAGTTGCGTCTTGTTGCTGGTAGGGCTGTCTACCCCGCACCAGCCAGCATCGTGTTATCGCGGCCCGGGTCCCGTACTTACCTTCGCTCTCTGTCCAGCGCACACCACTCCGTCTCATCCACGAACCCAAACATCAGCTCCTCCCGACCATACTCATACCACATTGATTCCTCAGCTAGACCTACCCCATCATCAACCGCCAAGATGTCGACCATGCCCGCGAGCCACGGCCACAACGAGGCCTGCTGCAACATTCCGCCCGTGGTGACGACGGGATACGAAGCTAAAGGCTCGTACAAGGAGTACGATGGCTTGAATACATGTACGGGAGACTTTCGACCCAAACGAATATCACAACACCCCAGCGCGACCAACTGACACCTCTCAATCACCGTTTCAGACACAACCGGCCCTGCCGATGCCACCAAGGGCATTATCGTTATCTACGACATCTTTGGCTACTTCGACCAGACCGTCCAGGGTGCCGATATCCTCGCGACGAGCGATGCCCAGAAGTACCAAGTCTTCATCCCGGACTGGTTCAAAGGGGAGCCGTGCCCCATTGAGTGGTATGTCCCCCCCAAGTACACCTCGATGCTTCAACCGGAACACTCATAAACCCAAACCCTAGGTACCCGCCCAACACCCCCCAGAAACAAAAGGATCTAGGCGCCTTCTTCGGCAAGAACCCTCCCGCAGGCGTGGCCCAGAGCCTGCCCGGTTACGTCGATTCCCTCAAGGCCAAGCACCCCGAGATCAAGTCATGGGGCGTCCTCGGTGTAAGCCACCCATCCATCCATACCAACCCCCCACCCACCCCGTAACAACACTCCTCATATTAAACAACTACTAACCCCCTCCCCCCCCCCACCCACTAGTTCTGCTGGGGCGGCAAGATCGTCAGCCTCGTCACCTCGAGCGCCTCCAACCCCTTCTCCGTGGGCGCCGAGTGCCACCCGGCGATGGTGGACCCCCAGGAGGCCGAGAACATCAAGGTGCCGCTGATCATGCTGGCGTCGGGGGAGGAGCCCGAGGACAAGGTGCAGCAGTTCGGGGCGAAGCTGCAGGGCGCCGCCAAGCACGTCGAGACCTTCAAGGACCAGGTGCACGGCTGGATGGCCGCGCGCGCCGACCTGTCCGACGACAGGGTCAAGGAGGAGTACGCGAGGGGCTATAAGACGGTGCTGGACTTCTTTGCGAAGAATTGGTCGTGAGTTTGTTTGAGATGGAAATAATCTTTTGGTTTGGGGCGAAGAGAATAGGAGGCTAAGATGCGATAAGGGACGGATCTTTCCCCGGTTTGGCGAGATTGTAGGTACGGAGGGTGTAAGTCAGTGTAGCGTGCGTGGCCGGAATTTGACGAAACGAAAGTACATACATACATAGTGGATTGAAGAATGCCAGATCGGAACTTCTCTACTAAATACAACACATATATCTTGTTTGCCACATCGAAACATTTGGAACGGAGGCAACTAGTCATAATATACATCCGCACGCCCCAAAGAGCACGCATTATTCTGAACACCCTCCCAACCCTATTAAGACAATATACAATACACCCCCTACCCCTGACCCCTCCGCTCCCACACCATTACATCACACACCATTCGACGTCTTCCACATCGCCAACCCCCCCGAATTCCGCCTCGGCACCCCCGGCCGCCCCGCATCCTCCAGCTGCTTCTTCAACCTCTTGCCCAAGCTTAGCTGCGCCGCCGAGATGGGCTCCTCGCCGCGCGGCGGCGGTTTCACGCCCGCCAGCAGCCCGCCCGCGACGCCCGTGACCGTGACTGAGGGGATCCCCTGCTGTTGCTGCTGCTGCTGCTGCTGTTGCTGATGATGTTGCTGATGCTGCGGACCGGGCGAGGCCACGCTCTCACGGTCCGTCCGGTCGATGGCGCTATCGTCGTGGCCCCGCCTGCGCGCGGTGGGGCCGCTGCCGCCCATCCTACCGCCGCCGGTGCCGGTGCCGGTGCCGGTGCTTCCGCCGCCCGCCCCGGACCGGACGCTGGCAGTGTCTGTCCCGCTCCCGGCGCCGGTCCCGGTTGGGGTTCCGGTCCCGGCGCCCGACCCGATGGTGGTGGCGGGGGAGTCGTTCATCCTGCGCAGGATGTGGAACTTGGCGGCATCCGCGGGGGCCGACTTGCGCCTCGACCGCGCCGACCTGGACGCCGCGCCGCCGCCGCCGCCGCCGCCGCCCGAGCGGGTATTAGCGCTGCTGCTATCCCCGCCGCCACCACCACCACCGGTGCCACTGCCGCCCCTCTCCCGCTCGCCGCCACGGCCATCGCCCGCGGTAAGCAGCAGCGCCGCGGCGCGCAGGCCGGCCCAGCTGCCGGGGGTCTCGCTGCTGGCCAGGTCGGCGCAGTGGCAGTCGTGGCCGGCGGGGCACTCGCTGGCGCCGTGGGCGTGCCACTCGGCGAGGCAGGTCTCGTGCGCGACGCACCCGCACGCGATGCACGGCGCGTAGAGCCCGACGGCGGGCTCCCAGCAGTAGACGCACACGAGTTCGGTCTGGGGCACCAGGTCGGCGTGCTCGCGCTCCGCGGTGCAGCGGTGGCAGACGCCGACTGCGCCGTTCATGACGGGAGCGTGGCCGTGGGGGCCGTGGCCCGCGGAGCTGTGTGCGCCGGAGCTGCTGGCGGCGGTGGCGGGCTGTGTCGGGCGGAGGTATTCTGCCGGTTCGAGCGGGACGCCTGGGTGCACGCGGCAGAAGCCCGTTACGTCGACGCCGCGGCCCGACGTGAGGAGTTCTTGGAAGAAGCCGCGACGGTCGGCGAAAGGGGACGTCGGGGACGTGGCGCCAGTGGCGTAGAGCGGGGTGTTGTTGGGCGCGGAGTCCTCGGTGTAGTGACTGGCGGCGGCCGTGCTGGAAGAGAGGGTGTCGTCTCTGAGGATATCAAATTTCATGATCTCGAGGCGTGAGAGGGGTTGGCCCCACATCTGGAGCATCTCGGCGTAGGCGTAGCGGTAGCTAGAGTAGAGTTGAAAGTGGGTGTCGTCTATCAGAGGCGTTGACATCCAGCCGTCATCGTCGAAGAGACCTTGGTTTTTCGGGATGCAGGACACTGCGATGGGAACCATGGAGAAGATGTCATCTTTCCAATATTCATCTTCTGAGAACGATGTTCGTGATGTTCCAGGGGTATCTAGCCCAGTGCCGGACACAGTCGAGCCAGCCCATGCAAGGGCGTTAGGGGTGAGGTTGCCCAGCATTGTCTCGGCAGGGCTTGGCCGCTTGCGAATGGGATCCGGCGGAGAACCCGATACCATGCCAGCAAGCGCTCGCGGAAGACTGGCAGCAATTGCGGCAGCAACGGTCGAGTTGGACCGGTGGAATAACCTATTGTTGGGGGATGTCGAAAGACTTTGAGTTTGGTTAACCCCCCGTAGATGGTCTCGAGCATGATTGGGAGGCGTCTCTCCGCATGAATATGAGTGCGATTGCGGTTCAAGAGAGCCCGGGATTTCATCAGAACTCGGGGGGTCCGAGTACATGGCCGGGGTGTGGGCTGTTCTGGGGGTCGTTATGGCCGAACTCGCCTGGCTCTTGTTCAAGTTCCAGAGCGCGGGGTCGGTAGGGAAATACTCGAGCGAGAACGACGGCGCCTTCATAGGCAGCGGCGTTTTTGGCTGAGGGAGATGCGACGCTGCGATGGCTGCTTCCTCTTCGATCGAGTAATCGCCAAAGATACACGCCAACATGGCCAACATCTGGATGTCGGCGATTTTCTCAAAGTGGTCGAAGAGGTCGTTGATCAGATCTCGAGCTAACGGATGATACCCCCATCTGACACGACCAGCCAGGTTAGCTCCTGTGTTCGTGGCCTCTCCTTCGCCTTCCTCCTCATCCGCGCGGGAAACGGCGTCCTTGGCAATCACGAGCACCGGCTGTCCGCTGTGTTGGAGGTCGTGTATCTCTAGCGGGATGTCTCTCCGGAGCAGAAGGGCGGCGTACTTCCAGACATGAACTAGATCTTGGTATCCGTATTTGTCGGCAACCGCGGCGTTGTGAGTGCATACGTCAGCCCCGTCGCCAAAGATGGCGTATTCCTGAGCGAGTTGCTTTTTTGACGGCAGGTCGCTTTGTAAATTATGGATAGAGATGATATTTTTAGGCTTGCCGGGCCGTTTCCGACTTGTTCCCGTGCCGGTGCCCGTCCCGGCACCAGTCCCACCGCCGCTTGACCGTATGGACTCGTTGGCGCTCCAAGTCTTTCGGAAACGGCGCGTTGGCTGGTACCACAAACTGATTTTGTGCACTGTTGTGGGCTCAGAATCAGTAGAGGTTGTTGAGTCCGTATCATCAGACTCTCCCGATTGATCGTCCGTTGCGGACGTCTCATCGTGGAAACCCTGCTTTGGTGGCGGCGAGTCATGGGAAAGACGACCGAATCCAGCAAACGTGGGCTCCCCTTTCGGCCGCTCCTTAGACGGGTCCGGATGGGCGGGAGCGAACAGGGCCTTGGCCTTTTCCTCCTTCGTTGGGAAGAAACACACCAGCCTGCCGTCGTTGGAAAACCTGGCTCCGCAATACATGGGCAACGGAGTGACCGCCTGTCGCTGGGCTGAGACGAGGGTTGCCGAGGGGTCCAGTTCTGTACTGGCGCTAAGCTCCTGCGACATGGATGCTGAGCCGCCGGTGGGGATATCGTTCTCATCCTCCTCACTCGAGCTCTCATCTGCTAGTGCATCGTCATCTTCAAGATCCCGGACGTTGTGGAAGAAGGCCGTGCTGGACTCCAGGTCGGCCTCCCCGAGCAGGTAGGTGAAGGCCGTGTAAAGGCAGTTCTGCTTTCGCTGAAGGAAGCGGGCCGCGAGCTCGTGAAGTTCATGCTCGAGCTTTCGATGAGTCTCTTCTGGCATAAACGAAGACTTCTCGACGAGAAATCTGGGGGCCTTGCTCTTGGGATAGCTGGAGGGAATATCCACCTTGACCTGGATGAAGATTGTTTCGCGGTTGACGCCCCACGGCCCCTTTAGTGAAGCGTTCAATGCGAGGGAATCCATGTCGATGTTTTCCCACTTCACGTTAGGCAGCTGGTTGCTGATACGGAGGAACTCGTCCTGGATGGTTTCGGGCTCGCCCCAGCCGCCATCGTAACCGTGGCCGAACAGGCCCGAATCCTCGGGACCAGCCCGGCTGGGGCCATCAGAAGCTGACTTCCTCTTTGACATGGTGATGCCCTTCATCCAACCAATCTGGAGCTGGGTTTTATCCACGTGCTTGCCTGTGTTCGTTTTCGCCTTCATGGACGTGGCCCGCCATGAGGGTCCGGTACGGCGGATGCTAGCATTTAAGCCGCTGCTGAGAGCACTGTGTCGAAGGCCACCACTCCCTGGGCGGTCACTCATGGTCGGGCTCCTGCGGTCGCGATGGACCGCATCATCGACGGTCCGGAAGGTTTTGTATGGAGCACCCCTTCGAGTGAGGCCGAGGTTTTTCATCAATGGCGTTCCTCGTACGTGGCCCACAGACTCTAGGAGCTCGTGCTCAACCCTGTGAAGGTGCAGCTCGTTATCCTCGCCCCAAGAAACAAGCTGGAATTCGCGGTTATCTACGCCCTCGTTGGTCACGCCACCGCGGCTTCTCCAGAGGAATTCTTTAGCCTTGTGGCTGCCGTGACCCTCAAAGACGGCCGCGGGCTCTACCGTGCCATCTACGGGTGTTTCGGGGTCGAGGTATTGGTCGTAGAGGAAGAGGTTGCCTGGCTCCGTTTGGGGCATCGCAAGTAAACCATGACCGAAAGGGGTATGCCGGGCTCGCCATACCGGGAAATCGGTGCGAATTACCCTCTGGGGCTTTTCGTCATCCTTGCCGTAGTCCCAAAACTTGATGCTCTTGTCTAGGGAACACGTAACGAGGGCGGTGGATACGGTGCGGTTCCAATCAATGCCGTATATTTTGGATGTGTGAGCGTCGATGGTTTTGAGTGGCTCGGCCGACTTCCTGGAGTCCCAGATGTGAAGCCAGCGGTCATGGGCAGAGGCCAAAACATTAGGGTCCTGGCGACTGTATTTGACCTGGGTGGCACCGGCAAACCAATCACAAAAGGCCAGAACTGGCTGTCTGGGTCTCCGGAGGTCCCAACAGTAGACATATCCATCGACTGCACAAGTCGCAAGAGAATCCGGGTGGTGAGCGGAGAAATTGGCGTCGGTGATGGCTCTGCTGTGGGCTTGGAGGGAGTGTTCAATAGCCCCCGACGACGAGTCGTCTCGCTTGTTGAGGTTCCATATCAGACAGCGATGGTTTGCCGTGGAGGCGACCCAGTAGTCGCGTGCCGCAAATGGTGACCATTGTACATCAACCACGAGCCACGGAAGGCCGTGGCTGCTCAGCCTTCGCGGGGGACTCCATGGTGAGTCCAGGTCTATGATGGCCAAACCTTCAGGACTGGGAGCGTGTCAGATTCGGGCTCGTCGCCTACTACAAGGAGAGAAGGCCGCTGTTTCTCACGATGCTAAAGCAACATCTCGACCCGAAGGTGAGATGGTTGCGGATCCAACCAAACCATCGACCTGGATTCTGAAATCGTTATCGAAGCTCTCGCTTTCAAAGGCGGATTTTATCACTTTCGCCTTCTTGGGCGCATCGGAAAGGCGGACAAAGGATAGTGGCATGTTGAGGCGCAAAGCGAGGTGTAGAGCATTGTGAGTGACCTGAGACCATGGAAGTTGCGAGTTCGTGACAGGTCAAATGGAAGGAACCTAGAAGTCTTCAATGAAGAGATTAAAACTGTAGAATTGGCTCAAAGCCCGCCATCTACTGGGCGTGCCGAGTCTCCGGCTACACTTTTATCGCGTTGACAAAATTCGAAGATTATCAGGCAAGTGTCGGCTTAATTCCATGCATGAGTTGTCATCAAAGTTGAGTGATGGAAAAGAGCCAATCTCAAGACGGGGATGCAGTGGGTAAGGGGAAGAGATCGGTTCCACGGTTGAACGTCAGGAAACATGGCCCCACGTTTTGAAGCGCTGTGTCCGGCAAACGCCAGTTCGTCTTGGCGTGCGCGCGCGCGTGGCACACCGCCGCTAATTTTTGCGGGCGCGCACCCAGGCGGTAAGAATCCATAGACGGCGCTATCAAACGCCTACAACGGCTGCAATTAAAGCAATTCGCATTGCTGTAGCGATTGATCTTAATCGTTTTATTGTTATATCTATTTTTTAACTAGAATTAACCGCTTATACCGTATATATACCTATAAAATGGTCCGGTATCTTACCCGTAACCAATATACAATTATCTATCTAATACTTAATACCGATAAATCAACTTTTAATATCGCTAACGTAGTTAGATATATACTAAAGTGGCGATACACCTCAAAACCACACATACCACCAAACACTTGCAGTGGGTCACGTGCCACGCGCGCGTTGTAATGTTAATGTTGTATAAGGGAGGAATTGGCTTAGAGAACAATCTTCAATACTACGGATCCTACAACTGTGGAATCAATGCACCTGCGTGTGTAGCCTTCTGGTTAGAAGGCCGCGGTCACAACTACCGTAAAAAGAGGTTACTTTAATAAGTGCGGAAAAAGAAATAGAATTGTATGCCCCGTAAACTCTGAGAGGGCTTGAGCCTCTGACTAAATATAAGGACGCCCTAGGTGGACGAACGCAACGAAGAAACGGAAAAACGAAAATTCCAGACCCTATATCCCTCTGGTTAGAGGGAGCTCGTTGCCCTAGTTTATACTTCCCTTTCGAACTTATAATAGCTCCTGCCTGCAAGTTCGAATCTAATCCTCCTAACCGTCGCGCTATATACGCTCCGTATGTAATACCGGGTCCTATAGGCGATGGTTACGCTGTATAGATACATCTGCTACTCCCCTTTATATAAGAGCCCAACCCTGCTACTATACCGGGTACTCGGGTTCCAAATAATAGGTGGGTAAGCCGCGATGATCGTAGATAGAGGGCCGCTCGAAACCCAGTTCTGGATCCTCCGGGCTAACCGTATGTATTAGATTACGTATTCTTACGGTCTCGTTATTCCTCTGCTGACTAGAGGGCGCCGCTGCTGATCGAGTGTTGATTCGAGAAGATTGTCGAACAATAGGGCCGGGAGTCCGAGGTGGTTGGGGTGCGGGCGGCTGCGGCGCCGGCGGTACTGGTAGGAGTACCTGCTAGGCTGTAGCCTACCTCGCTATCTCGGCTTTGTGGTACTGTATATAGACCGCCTTCCGGAGTTCTCTATTCTAGGTTATAGCTTTGTATCGGATCTACTAAAGGTGGACTGGAATATTAGGCCCCGCTTTAAGGCTCGCCGCTCAAAGCGCTTCGGCCGGGTTAACAACTGGCTTACGCTCCTTACTCGGAGCTCTGCTGAGAACCGGGGTACTACCAAGAGATGTAAGAGCCGAGTCCTCCTAGTTAGAGCTACCCAGTAGTATACCTTTATTGCCGAGCTTATTTAGTACTTTAGTAATTAGCTTAGGCGGGTTATCGAACTGGTTCTTCTTTAGGAATTTCGGTAACCTAGCCGAATTCTACCCTAGGGCAGCTAATATCGCTTTAGCTCCAACCTTTAGAGTTACCTACCTAGGCGGTCTAACTAGCGTATCCGGGAGTATAGGGGTTGGTTGTATAATAGCTACTTCGTTATTATCTAGGCTACCTTTATTCTCTTCCTATTATCTTTAAGTTAGGGATATAAACTATCCCTTAGTATCTAGAGGTAAGTTGTTTCCCTACTGTAGAGTGACCTAACTAGGAGGTATCCAGACCCTGGTATTGTAGGGGTTACTATTTTTATAGTTATTCTATACTACCTTAATGTAGAGTAAGTAGGTAGTAGTATTGCTTAGGGCTACTCTAATAACCTTGAGCTACTTACTTAGTATTTTAGCTCAGGCCTTCCCTCTAGTTAGTTTATAGTAAGGCTAGGTTGTATACTAATCTGTATTTATAGTATAACCCTAATGGGTTCTGATATCTTAGAAGAAAAATCGGGTGAGCTTAACCGCCTAGATCCTATACTCCTAGTCTTGCGATTGTATTGGGTAGTCGATTACTCGGATATCCGGCTAAGCGATCTCTCCTAAGTATTTAATAGCTGTAAAAATCGCCCCTTCAATACTAACGATATTACCGTAGGGGCTGCTATCCTCCGAGTCTATATAGCAATAGGATCCTTATACCTAGTTATAGATTGTAACTAACTAGTAAGCTTCTTCTATATTTCCGTTAAGGTAGTAGGGGATTACCTAGAACTGCTTTGTTCTAGCTTCTTCTAAAAGTTCTTCCTTAAGCTACAGAACCTCTGCTAGTTGGAGGTTGTTAGTAATAGGCTCGGGAAAGAGGAAGATATAATACTAATAGTAAGCTAGGGAAAGATATAGGAGGGCTATAATACTAGTCTGGTCTAACTACTATTTCCTAATAATCCGCCCCTTAATATTGTAGAGAGATAGTATAATATTATACTAGGGTAGATTAAAGTAGAGAGCCCCTCTAGGTAGAGGGCCCTTATAGTTAGGAAACAACTACCTTATTACCTCTTTATTATATACCAATCCCGGCAGCGTTCCGAGCCAGTTAGGCCTACTAGCCTCGATTATCGGTATATATCCTATACGCTTGTTTAGCATTAGTAGGATTCTCTTATCGTTTACCTTTCGGGGTACTAAGTCGATACCCTCCTCTAGTTGCTAGAAGGTAAGTACCTATCGGCGGTAGTCCTCAGAGTCCTGCGATTCTTAAGGCTCCGGGTTGCCGGAGGTAGGTATCGGTGTAAAAGTCGGTATATAGAGGTCTCTACAAGGCTCGATACGGGTCCGGTATACAATTTATAGGTTTATAACGTTTAGTAAGTTGGGGGGAGGTACTAGTGGCTGTTAACTAGAAAGGGGTTGCCCTTCGCCTTATAATACCATTGTAAGCGACTATTGTAGGGAGGCCTAGGGAGTCTGGTTGGTAGAACAGGGAGAGGGTTGGAGAGGTTGAGAACCTATAGTAGAAGGGCTAGTAGTTCTAGAGAGGAGAATAGAAAGAGGAGGGGAGGGTGGTTGCTAAAGGCTTTATTTATAGACCTCCTTCCTAGTACTCTATCCCGTTAGTATAGCTTAATTTCGCTCTCTTCGAAGGTAGGGCTCTAGGGCTATCCGATCTTATATAGGAATCTGATCTCTCTTAGGGTCCTTTACCTAGCTTTACTTAATGCGTTAGCGTTCCAATCTCCTAGATCGGCTGGCGTTCTTGCTTGTTTTTCCTAGGTTGAAGTTCTGTAGAAGGTGTGTTATTAAGGGCGAAAATTTTTATTGGTAGTATTGAGATAGAAACGCTTCTGGTTCTAGGTATCTTCGAGTATAAATTCTCTACTTATCCCCTCCCTTCTTCGTTCCTTTTTACTTCCTAACCTCACTTACCTTCTAATTAGCAGTAGATATAACTTCTTATCTTTTACTTCCCTTTCGAATTTAACTAGGCTTCTATCTAGGAATTTGTAATACTATAGCCGACTAGCCTATAAACTAGACCTCCTGCTTAGTAACTTAGGAATAAGTTGAAATTAACCTTACGTTATACCCGCTGGAACCGCCTCTTACTAATCGCCCTATCGATTTAACCACTCTTTCTAACAAGGTTACAGCTTACGGTCCTCAGTTCGTTTAGGTTATATAAGCGTGTTCCGATGACCCTCCTCTCCTTAATAGGATTTATAATATAGAGGAAATACGGTCTGGGCTGGAAATCGTCATTCCGCTTATCCACTTCTTTCAAATCCGTAGCGATAACCTCTCCGAGGTTCCTTATTGGTGGTAGGAGCTCCCTAACAACCCTAATAAACTTATAATACTGTTTAAGGAGGCTGGCCTTATAAAGACCTACTTCGACAAGCTCCGGGTACGGAGGGGAGTCCTAATGAGAAGGCTACAACCTGTTTTCATTAAGTTGTAGAACGGAGGTCCTTTCGGTTGTTGCCTCTACGAGCTTTGTAACCGCCCTAACCGGGCTACCGCTTTACTTGTTCAAGCCTTCGATAACAGGTATGCTTTTTCTAACTCGTTCCTCCTTCTGGTTATCGGTAAACTAACTTCCTTGTAGGAACCTTTTTCCTTACAAATATTACTATAAACGATATTAACAGATAGTAACGACTACCCCGGGCGGACATACTATATACAGTATAATACCTTTTTATAGTTGTGTTTCGCTCGGACCTGTGCTTAACGGTCGATGCGGTAACTACGTCTGGCATAAGTAGTACTACGTTTTCGAAGAGATAGCGGCTTCTAATAACCCTAATGGGAATCCTATAGCCTTTACTTAGGTTATTTATAATGAGAACCAGCTGCCGCGTCCCGTTAAGCTGGCCTATCTCGATAAAGGTAGGGAGATAATTGTTGATTGGGATCAAATCGTCGCTAACCAGAGGGGCTTTTAAGCTCGGGTATTGTATTTCAGCCTAGTCGACGGTCGAGGTAGTAGGGAAAATCACTACATGGTTTCTTTGAGAGGGGGGGGGGGGAAAGGAGGGTAGACGGGATAGGGCTTTCACTAATCGAGCCTCCTAAAACCCGGGCGGGCTCCTCTAGGTAGCTTAATTACGAATTCCACTTTCTATACCTTCTTTTCGGCCTCTACTTCCTATACTCTGGACCTTGTAAATCGTCCTTGAGAAGCACCTATATCAGTATATCCTACGGTTTCTTCAGTAATAACTTCTTCCTCAAGTCCTTCCCTCTAGTTAGAAGGAGCTTCTGCCTTCCGGAGCTTATTACAGCCATTAGCTTCCAACTAAACTCTATTAAGCTAAAAGAACTTCTTAACTCTGTTAGGTGTATATAGTATATAGATAGGTATACTATCTAGGGTCTCTAGAAGATAAGTCCCTCTCTCGCTATTCTTCCTAATATAGTATAGCCTATACTATCTAAATTACAGTTTGCGGAACGAGCTTATATCAA